TAAACAGAACCCTAAACAAAACACTATAGGATATAATCCTACTAGTAATCAGGTTCTAAAGCTAGAAAAAGCCCTATACGGCCTAAAACAGAGCCCTCGACAGTGGCAACTTAAGGTTAAGGCTATATTTAAACAACTAGGCCTACAACCTCTTAAATCCGACGAGGCAACCTACTATAATAATAATAAGGACAATCCTATTATCATAGTAACCCACGTCGACGATTTTATTATATTCGCTAAGAATCTTAACGAAATAAAGAAGCTTAAGTTATTGGTTTCTAAATTCGTTGAAATTAAGGATCTAGGCGAAATCAGCTATTTTCTAGGTCTCAAGATCACTAGAGATAGACCTAATGGGTCTTTACAAATCTCTCAAAGCCACTATATTCAACAAATCCTAGAAAACAACAACTTTAACGGCATTCAAGAGGCTATACGAGAGGCTATTTGGCTTCAAGGTCTCCTATCTGAACTAGGCTTTAACTATAAGCCGATACCAATCAAAACCGATAATAACGGAGCCCTAAACCTAGCCTATAACCCAGAATATCATAATCGAACAAAACACACGGCGATATACTATTATTATACTAGGCAAGAAGTAGAAAAAGGAAATATCTCTATATCCTATATTCCTTCTACTAGTATGCCGGCTGACGGGTTAACTAAGCCTCTATCTAGACCTAACTTTATTAAGTTTATTAAACTTATAGGTTTAGATCCTTCTTCTAGTATTAACTAGAATTACCCTTTTATCTTTTCTACTAAATAGTATAAAAGAGGGGGTGTTAGAAGTATAAGTATATTATACTTCTATTTTACTTATTTATCCTATTTAGTCTTATCTAAGACTTAGTAGGACTTACAAAAGTAACTAGCTAAGAATGGCTGCTTGCTAGTTTAAACATATGACATTCAGATCCCTATGGAATACTCTCTTTAACCTTATCTAAAAGTCTATTTAGTTAAAGAAGATTCTAGTCTGATTTATAAGCTGCTTTATAAGCTAGTTGACGTATATACTTACGTATACTAAACCTAGCTTATAGCTTCCTATATTAGCTATTATAGGCGACGTTATACTACTATATAACTAGCCTAATTCTCTCCCTTAGCTAGCTATTAGTTCCTCAACCAACTCAGCTTCAATATAAGCCTATACATTCTTTACTATTAAAGCCCTACTTCATAAGTACAAGTTCCCTTACTCTAATACCCTGTTATAAGGATATCGTACTATCTACGAGATTCCTACCTACCGTTCCAACACCTTTATACTATGATTGGCATGACGTTGTTTTCTCTGATGAATGCCACTTTGGCTTTGCCGACGAGCGCCTAGCGCATATTGCGAGGAAACCTCATACACGCCACGACCCTTCCAACCTCCAGGAACGCTGGGAACCTGACGAGAGCGAACGAAAGGCTATATATTGCTGGGCTGCTATTGGCTATGGGTTTAAGAGCCCTCTTGTCTGGTATGAGGTCCTAACAAACCAGAATGGGAAGATGAGCTAGAGGGTCTATATTGAGACTATTCTAGAGCCTTACGTCAAGCAGTGGCTTGAGGAGGCAGAGGCAGAAGGCAAGCACTTTGTGCTTGAGGAAGATAATGATTCTGGGCATGGCCCTGGCCTCTCTAGCCAGGCAAGGGCTTGGAAGGATAAAAACGGTTTAGAATACTTCTTTAATTGCCCTCGAAGCCTAGACCTCTCGCCTATCGAGAACGCATGGTCGGCACCTAAGCAGTGGGTTCGAAACACCCCCCATTGGGACTATGAGACGCTTAAACATGTTGCAGAAGCAGCTTGGGAGGCTCTCGACCAGTCTACTATTGATAAATGGGTTCACTCAATGCCTAAGAGGCTGAACCAGGTCCTAGATCTAGATGGTAAAATGACAGGCTATTAAAATTGAGGTATTTTTGATGTTTGGGTGATGGCTGTAAAAGCGGCCATTATTTTTGCACCCCGAGTGACCAGCTGGCTTTCGCAGGCCAAAATCACCACCACCACCACCAAGAAAGATCACCAACGCTAAATCGATCGTGCATCAAAGCACCATCCCTCGGGAACCTGGGGAAGTAACGGAAACATGGTCGGAAGAGAGGGGGCGAATTTCGTATCCGAAAGCCACCACCAAAAGAGATGGGTGCGGACCGAGATTGAGCTCGGTTTTCAGTGACAACCCACGGCTCGTCTGCGTGCGTGCCCATCTTTGTGTCTCCTAATCCGCCTTCGAATCTTCCTTTTTTTGTTCTTTTTCGAACCCCCTCCCCAGATTATGGTTCCGGTCATTTGCCCTCTTGACAGGTTTGACTCGAAAACCTTCTTTCTCTTGAATCTCCACGTCTTCTGGCCGAATCATCAACGCCTGAGTGAGGTCACTTGAGTCGGCCGTAAAAGCCCACCATGCCTCAATCGGGGGCGGGCGACTGCATTCAATCGTAATCGCCAAGCAGAGCCAGAATGCCCATTCTTGGTGTCTCAGCGACCGGATAAGGCGAACCATGGCGATGTAGAGGTCTCACATCCGCAGAAAAAAAGGCCCCCAAAAGCTGTCGTCGCAGCCGAAACGCGCATCTCACCCCTCCCAGAATCTTGGGTTTGGCATACGGCATCCCGTTCTGTTCCTGTACCGTCTGCGAGTTCCTTTGTTGTATCATGTTTTATGCCTCTGCCGCCTCCCGCTCGATAATAGTATAACCACAGAGCTGGGTATCGGATAATTCTGGATGGCTTTGCAAGAATCACCCAAGCCCAAAGGTAGGGGGCGGCAGGCGTCCCGTGTGGCAGAACAAACGTCTGCTCGGCCGTAGCTTGATCATCAGTGGTGCTCGGCGATGGCAGTCGACGAGGAGGAGGAAAATTAAAAGGGTCCGTGTCACGACTTCTTGACATTTACAGCGGCTTGCCCGTTTTCTGCATAGCCTTCTAGTCACCCTCTTTGTGGAAGAGGCACGGTCTACAGTTGCTAATCCATTAGTGGGCTCGGTAGTGCGGAGATTGCGAGGTCCGCAGATGATAGGTACTGCAGTGCAGTACTGGAACAGTAGTTGGACTAATGAAGGTTGGGGGGGAAAGAAGGCAGAGGACTAGACGGTGAACCGGCTCGGGACAAAATCATTGTCAGACATGCCCAAACCCAGCGTAGGGCGAAATACTTGATTTTTACTGCCGAGCCGTGGATATGGCGACTTAGGCCCCAAAGGTTCGTTGATGTTGGATTTCTTTGGTTGGTTCAAGCACCGGATCGGCAACCAGGTTCGACGATGGTACCCTGTCACCCGCTGCGGGTCCACAGCTCTACTACGGTACATACCCGTAGCATACTAGTTACTACTACTAGTACATACACCACTACTATTACCTGCTCCCCGCCGACCCCTAGGCCTGACAGGGGAGCAGCTAGTTAGCTTTTCAGGCCAAGACCCATCACTGGTCAGTGAGAGGCCCATCCTCCCGACGGCGTCTTCCCTGTAGCCTCCATCTGCAGACAGATACGCAAAGCCAGCACATGTGCATTAGGGAGCTAGTGAAGAAAAGTGAGAGAGAGAGGCACAGAGGGTCACAGAGAGGACCAGACAGAGAGAGTGAGAGAACAGGCACATCAGATTAAGGTTTCCCTCGCGTAACGATCTGCCCCTCCTCCTCGACTCAGTCGTCTTGGGCCCCCTCCCTCTCCGTCCCGTCACTGTGACCATGAGCTTGACCGCAGAACAGCCTTTTTGCTGTTGTTTCCTGTCCGCACCTTCTGCGTCTGGAGTGCTGCAGTGCTAATAGTGGCTCCAACTGTTGCCCTTCTCGTCCTGCCGTTTTCTCGAGGTCTAGAGCTTACGGAATCTTGCTCCCCTCAGTTTTACGTTGGTCCTCGGCACGCTTCGAGACAATATTGTCTTGTGTTAGTGTGTATGGTGCGAGTATCTTGTTAGTGAGAGCCATGTCTCCGAGCAGCCGCCACCTCCATCTCCATCTCTGTCTCTTATCTCCATCTCTGTCCATCTCCCCCCCCCCCCCTTGCTTCCACCTCTTGATATCCGTCACTGTGCTGTACATACGTCGGAGGGGCTCGTGGGCAAACCGTTTCTCTCGACGTCGCCCGTTCCCGTTCACCCACCCCCAAAATACATCACGGCTGACGGGTGGAATCCCGAACCGATCCCTGTGGCTTGCGTCAGGATCCGCGGTCTGAAAGATGTTCTTTGGTACCTACCATGTCGCTATGAAGCAGCCCAATCTTCTTTCTCCAACGCCCTTCTTTTTTTTTTTTTGTTCATAGCCAAGTCCATTTTGGGATGCTAGTGACTTTCTTGGGAGGTGGCTTCTTTTCGAATCGACCAGCTGCTGCCGGACCCGGACCGGTAGCTGCCACAAAAAGAAAGTAGAAACGCCATTGCACCCATTTAGTGGGTTCCAGGGCTTTTTTCCCATCGACCATTCAGCTCGACATTGCTCTCCTCTGCTTGCGCTTGTCATTTTACTAAGCGCGAGAATTAGGAGAGGGCGAGAGAGGGAAAAACAAAAAAGAGAACCCTGGCGTAGTGACAAATGAGTCCATCTTTTTGCCTACAAGCCTCTTTTTCACCCCCTTACCTCTAGTGCATCCGTCTTTCTCCTCCCCATCCTTGCTGTAGTAGCACTGACTTTTGGTCTATCCGTATCGTATCTTAGCTTGCCCCCCTTCTTCTCTCTCCCCATCCGTCCTTGCACGTACGCTTCGATCACCTTTTGGACGAAACTTTAAAGACGGTTGTGTTCCCCCCCCCTCCCAGACATTTCGAGACCCATGGTAGCTCGGACATACAGACCGTCGATCCCTTTCCTCTAGTGTTCCTGGTTGTCTTGGTTATATAGTTCTTCTGGCCCTTTACAGCCCTTCCCCGAGCCCTTCCCGAACCCTTCCTTACTACATGTCCGTATTATCGTGACAACAGACAACATCGACATTGCGTCCCCTCGACCAAAAGAAAAAGGGACCTACAACAGTTTCGGGACAACATGGCTCCCTCGTTGCTTGCCCGGGGCGATCCCGCCACTATGCATGCGACTGAGCCTTTGGGAGGCACCGTGATGAGCGTCATCATCTGCCTCGTTTCCATCAGCATCATATCTGCCTTTCTAGGTATGCCGACCCCTATCACGTCGAACCGATTTGCGAGGACCACCACCGGGATGCTAACAACACATGACAGCTCAGAGAAGTGTAGCGTTCAAGAACTGGCGGAGGATACCTTTTGTGGTGTGGCGTAAGTGGTCGACCCGGGAACCGATGTTAAGGAATGAGCGTTGGGAATGCTGATGGTGGGGCCTTACCAGTTGTTCTTCTCGTCTACGCCGATTCATATCTCTTCGTATTCGTCACCGCCATTCTTCAGTTCGCCCTCGGCGTGAACACGAACATCCAGATTTGCGACGGCGCCATCTTGCTATGCCTGGTTTGCTATATCACGACCAAGGTGTTGATCTACCTATTCTTGGTTGAGAAAGCAGTGCGTATTCGGATCACGAAAGGCATCGGGAGGTCGAGCACTAACAAACTGCGCAGCACATTATCAGAGGAGCGACGAAGCCGCGTCTCAAGTCAAAGCTATATGTCTTCAACTCTTTCGGCATGCTTGGCGTCTACGCCATCATCGCCATCCTCAACTTCATCTTGTAAGTGGGCTCGCTCTCGTCAAAGCCGCTCAGTGTCTAACAAGAGATACAGCCGAATCACCAGAATAGATGATGGACAGTGCTACATTGGAATGCAAAAGGTTTCCATGATTCCTCTCATCTCCTTTGACGCCGTCGTCAACATCTACTTGACCATTCTCTTCCTCATCCCCCTCAAGAGTGAGTCCACTTCTCAGACATCGACCAACTCAAAAGTCGGTCCCTACAATACTAACTCATCCGCAGGTCTCTACTCTTTCAAGAACTTCCCCAAGACACCTGCAAACATCCGCTTGAGGACTGTCGCGCTGCGCACCTTCATCGGTGCCCTGTGCACGCTGACAAGCAGCATTGTGTAAGTTGGCTGACCATACGATTTAAGCTCAAAGTTTCTGACTCGTTCCAGGAACCTGACCGTACTGATGGTCCTCAACGGTGAGCCTGGCTGGGTTTGCCTTATGTGCTGCAACAGCGATGGTAAGCCACCCATAGAACCATGTCCCTGCTTCTCATTTTCTGACTCTTTGGTCCAGTACTCTTCTCTGCCGTCGTCGTCCAATGGGTGACCTCCAGGGACAACGCTGCCACCCAGAGCTCATCGGGTGCTTCACGCAGCCATGACCCGAACCTCTTCATCAGCGATGACGCCCGTCGCGGTACCGAGAACCAGTATTCTCCCCACATCGCCCCGAGCCAGAAGCATGTCATGGACGACATTGGTGAGATTTCTCTCGACAGCAGCACCCGCTCCGACTTTGGCAACAGCGACAAGGGATCCGTCGATGCAGACCGCGGTCGCAAGACGTCCTCTTCCGGTTCCGGACCTACGAGCGGCGGCGTCGTGGTGACGACGACGATCAAGCGCGAGTCGAAGCCGGGGACGACGGTTTACGAGGAGATGGACATTGACGACGGGTACACGGCGCCCACCGGGTCTCGGCCGATCAGCGGACGGGATGCTGAGTTTGACAACTACAAGAGTGGATCGCGAACGAAAATCACGGCCGGCAAGCGTTAAAACGAGGAATTTCCAAAAAAGGGGGAACCTTCCAACTGCTTTTGATTCGACAGGGCGGCATCATTATATCCAGGGATTCCTTTTCTCCTTTTTTTATGGCGCGGAACGGGCCATTGTACATCATCAGAGGCGCAATATCGGGTTGTTTTCCTTTTTCCTTTTTCTCATCTTTTTCTTCATTCCCATGGCCTTCGGACTGCCCTTGCGAAGGGTTCTAGGACGAACGATTTACGAGAGCCATCTTTCCATTTTTTGATATCACGACACTACGAGCTCCGCAGGAGGACTCCAAACGTCTGTTTCTTCATTTTGTGCACGTACGGGTATTGAGGGATAAAGGGTTGGGCGGGCGGCTTTTGGGGCAGGACGGCATCTGAGATGAACAACCCTCTGCCAGTGTGTGGGATAGGATATACGTCTTTTGGTGTTGGGGATCAAAGAGTGTTGAGTCATGACGAGGCCATGGAATCTTTTCCGTATCACTGTTAATTTTATTGAACGAAGAGATGTGAGATATCACAAACGATGACAATAGAGACTCCCTCATACCATGATACAAAATCTACAAACCTAGGAGCGAGTGATCTGCACAGAATAACATCAGCAGTAGCAGTTACAGTTGAAACTATACGAAGGAAATAAGAGTAACAAGGTGCCTTTGTTTGCCGCACAGCGTTCGTCGTGTCTTTGTAGGTCTTGACCCCCCCTTCCCCCTTCCCCCTATGCGCCGTTGCAAAAGGGGCCCCTGCCACAATCTCGATCACACAATCCCATGTCCGGCCAACAGACTTGCTCGACGTGATTTGTCGAAGCATGAATACTACTGCAGAATGAGATTGGGCAAACTGCAAAAGGCAAACGTGCGGATCCGCTGCCGTCACCATATTATAATCATTATACTCGCATCTCACAGCCGTAAGTTGCCAATGAGGTTGATCTATTTTTTTTTTGTTTTTTTTTTTTCGTTCGTTCGTTTGAAAGATCTACCGAACGGCCTTCTACCGGTTGTTCTAGTGAACTCTGATGCCCGAGTGGTGCTCGGGTTTTTTTCGTTTCTTCTCTACACAGACGTATCCCCGGCAGGACGCGCGCTATGCACCACACAGCACGACATGTTTCCATCTTGCATTTCAGTCCTTTTTTTTTTTTTTTTTTTGGTCTTTGCCGGCCGCTTGTTCCCGTCGTGTCTCTTTTTTTTTTCTTAGCTTATAGAGATATGCCGCTCGTCCAATCTACGGAGATGAAAATCAACCCTGACGGGAAAAAAGGGGACTATGTCGGCCATCAAGGACAGTGTTTTCTTTATTCACACTTGCCGCCGCGGCAAACTATTACCATGCAAAAACAAAATCACAGACACGCAATGTACACGTGGTTGAGTAGTAGTAGTAGTAGTCCTCGGTCAGGCACGTTCGACATTCGCACGTGTCGATGCGACTCTACTACTTACGACTGCCTCCGAACGAAGAGAGGAAAAAGAAACTCGACAACTCGAAACTCGGGTCTTTTCTTTTCCTTCTCTCATCGAGCACCCCCCCCTTTTTTTTTGTGTCTATGCTTACGGCGCCGTTTACAATTCTCGGGAATGCTCCCTTTCATGACTCTGGTCTTTTATCACGGCTCCTATCATTCTGATGTCTGCCCCCAAGTCATGTCGTTGCTGTCTGACCTCCACCACCACCCCCCGGGACGCGCGAACCGGGTACGCCTGTCTTTTCCCCGGTCTTGGCTTCCGTTGCGGGGTCACCCCCTCTTAACGTGGCATTAATACTACGTAGTTAAGTGCTCCCCCGTACCGTCTCCGCTGAGGGTTGTTGTGAGGGAAAAAAGGGGGTCCTCCCGGCTCGGTAGGCATCACCCATGAACGGGTTTCGACGTGAGGAGGGCTGAACGGGAGGAGGTCAAAGCATTCCTGCACGCCACCGAATCATAAAATGTCGAGCGAAGTCGACTTACTGACTCTTGTACTGCTCTACAAATGGAGAATAATTGGATGGGGAGCTCCTCCTTGTCCTCTCTCTCTCCCTCTCTCTGTCTATCTCTCCCATCTTGCTCCCTCCCCCACCGGGGTTTGCTCAGCTGCGCAAGGAGCACACGTTGGCACCGCCAGCTGCGCGAATTGCATGATTTTGGCTCGGGCTGCCCTTCTTCGGGGTTTGGCTACCGTCTAGAACCGGCCGGGATGGGCCAGCCTGGAAAGCCTGGAAAGCACTGTCCCTGGGGCTGCTCTTTTGTTCGTTACGGGACGGATTTGTGTCTGTCTGATTGGGGGGGGGTGACAGAGGATGGACGAGAGAGGTGAATCCCGCTGCTGTCGCACGGGAAAACACATACCCACATCCCGAGTCTAGACACTCCTTCACCCACTACCCAATCCGCAGTGTGGACGCATGGACGTCGAGCTTGGACGTGAAGCATTGGACTGGACGGGGCAGACTTTCTGCGGGCGTTGTTGGGTCGACTCTTTTTGCCTTGGGCTTGTCAGCTTGCCATGTCGTATAATTCTTCGCGAATTCTTCGCCGCCGGCCGACGTCTGAGAGAAAGAGAGAAAGGCCGGTCCAACCAACTGTCATTATCGTTACGCCGTACGAGAAGGTCGCACAACAAAGAAACAGTCGAGTGGCCTTTTCATTGGGTTTCAACGTGCACGAGAAGCAAAATAATCTACTGCACTTGTTTGTCATGTGAAGCTCGGCGGTTGCTGATTAGACGCAGAGGCAGAAGCATGTTTTTGTCTCTACTAGAGTACCGCTCGATTCGATTACATAAATTGTACTTGATCAAAAGCAACGTCCACTTGTAGCCAGTGTACCGCTGACTACTCTGTTCGTATCCCATACGAAAGGGGGATGGGATCAAGTACGTGTTGGTGGGTGGGCGGGCAAATTGGAGCACAGGGTTTACCTTCGTCTACCACTCAGACCTGTTCCTGTTGTTACGAGAACAATGCCCCTCCCCCCCTTTCCTTAGAATGGCAAGTCGATGGAACACAATACGGAACGGTTTTGGCTAGGGTGATAAGGTAAGGGTAGCATTTGAGCCAAGGAAGGATGAGGTGAAGAAGGTGAGGTGATGAAGGGGGCGAAACTGGGTTGTGAACAAGATTCACCTGCCGGGGAACCCCAGATCTGCAGCGGCGTATCTTAATTAGCCCGCGTTGAAACCTGCGTAATACACATAGCTGCTAGGGAACGGTCCATGAAATGTTACATTGGCTAAGAGGAACAGAATAAGCTCAACTGTGAGTGCCGCGGACACCCTCCTACCCGTGTAATTGATACAACTGAGAAAGAGAGAGAAGAGCATGCATAGAAGAACCCAAAGACAGATATACGTTACAATGGGCGGCAATTTGCGGCAGAAGAGGCGAGACAATGCTACGCTTAATATGAAATGGGGACCCGGGTGTCGGACAACAGACGTCAACGTCAGCCTACTATGACATCGACGGAGCACACCTTTGCATGGTAGTAGGCCTCAAGCGGACGCCGCCTCATTTGCTGCTACTCATCCCGTAAAGATGCATCCCACGTCGTGGACCTTCCCCTTGACCTCCCCCCAACGGTATTGTAAAGCTGGATGAACTCTGGCCGCCGCCTCAGCGCCTCATGTTGTAACTATATCGGACTCATACCGTCGCACGCGTAACATGGCCGCCTTGACCCGCAGCCACTCATAGAGGGGAGACCAGGCATAGACCTCCTCCTCCCGCTTGCACCGCCGCCGCACCGGACCCCAAAGTCCAAGTCGGCGCGGATCGGACCAAAAGTCGCGGTACCCACACTGCCGTGTCCCCAAGCTCCCGGATTCATGTATCCGTACATTCGTCTCGTCGACAAGGAAGAATAGGCCAGAGACGCGGACAGATACCTTCATTTGCACGTCCATCTCCCTGCTAACCACTCTACGAGTCATGATCTTGAACATCTCGTAGTACTACTGGCCTCCTGTAGCCCCTTTGACCAGCCGCTTGCCTCACCACCCCTCCTCGGTAAAGCCCCACACGCCCAACCAACACACAAAATGCAGCCCAATGCAACTCTACTGGCCGTTCCGCCCCCGGACTCCCTGTTTCTCTCGCCAACTAATTACCTAAACCGGTATTTTTTAAGCTTTCTCGCTTCTATCTGATGTTGGATCGGAATCCCACTCCGGAGGATGAAGCTCTGAGCTAGTCCAGTGGGAGGTCTCCTATACCATGACGCTACCTGTTCTGCCCTTATCCTTCACCACACCAACCGATTCCCTTACATCTTGCGGGTGCCTGTCCCCCCCACAGCTATTGCGTGCATTTAGACATTGACATGTCCAGATCGCGTATATGTACAGCATATTAGGCCGGACATCGGCCGATGTTTCCTTTTTGCAAAACACTCCACCAGAGTTTTGGTCCTCCCACCCATACAAATGCCCCTTCACATGCCATCCACACTCCCATGCCTCCATCATTTTCTTGGCACTCGTCTTGGCCCATTGATTGTTTGTATCTTTGACATCAACTGTGAATACATTGAGATGTAAAAAGTCCAAGCTACACATAACATTCACCACACACACTCCTCTTTCTCTCTCGCCGTCGTCTTGTAACAAACACACACACACACACAAGAGCCATCCTGACTTTCTTTTCTTCCAAAGACACGGCAGTTGACATCCCACCATCAGTATAGTTCGTCGACAGGCCGTTTCTCCTCGGCCGTCTGTTCGGCGGTAATCCACCACCAATGAAGCCCTCATCCTAAAAAGGATGTATCACGGACAAAATACTATCCTCGACATCTACCGTGTGCCAACAAGTGCCATTGTCAAACACATGGCAAATGGCACAATGCCGTACGGATCACGATCTGATTCCCCTCTTCGGTCTCGTACTGCTACACCGTTTTCCACTCATGGCCCTCCCTCTGCTACCTTACCCCGGACACACAGACTAGACGTCGCTAGTGCTCTGCTCGAAGCATGTCAAACACGTGTAGATCTCGAACGGCGGTGAAGAAACATGCGCCAAGTGCGCCACGTCGAACATCACGGCTGGTCCACGCCCCGTCAGCCTTCAAGGGGTCTAATCACTACACACCATTATCACATTCGATATTATAATTGCAGTTTTGCGCCGTCTCCCATGGCACCCAAGACTGGCAGTGTGTGTGTGGCAGACACGCCGTCGAAGTGGTGTAGACACCCCGAAGTCTCTCCGAATGTCCCCTTCTCGGGGGCGGGCTTCTCGGCACCCCAACCGCCCCGTTGCGACCGTGAGCATGTCTTCCGAGTTCTCAACCTTTTGGAAAGGCCTTCGAGACGAAGTCAACTTTGTTAATTGCCAAGATGCTCCCCATCTTCCTTCGCACTCGTATGTCGTTCCGTCCCCCATAGTATATCAATAAGATACAGCCAAACATCCTTAAGCTCGGCCTGCAAATGACGTCCATGTTCCCATACAGAAAGCATTTACGCCTCAACGTAGCATCATGATCTGCCAAAACTACATCATACCCCCCACCGGCGCCCCCGAAAACCTAATTGATCAGGACAACTGTCTTGCTTGCTAAATTGCGCCTCCTTGCTATGTAGGTACTCAACCCTCTACCCTGATGAACCTCACCGCCGGCCTGCTTTTTCACAACCCAGCCAAACAAGAATTAACCTTGGAACGAGCCAACAAAAGAGAGAGAACCGTGTGAAATGCATCTCTTAGATTTGCGCCCTTCACGCGTGCCGACCATCGCCGGCGTCAGCACGTCGCATGCATCTCGAGACGCAGAGAGATATATGCGCATGCAAGTTACGCGACAACTTTAAAAATAAAAAGATATAAAAAAAAATGCTTTCGGCGTCCCTTTTTTTTCTGTCTGCTACGACAAACTACGTAGTACTACGTACTAAAAACCCACAAAAAAAAAACAACAAAACAAAAAAAAACATGGAAAAAGAACCAAAGGAAAAACCAAAGAAGAGAAAATGTCCCGACGCACGGGGCTCGTGTCATCCGGCGGAAGCTTAAATTCCTCTTTCTCTCTCTCTCTCTCCTCCCCCACCTCGCACGAGCCCGCCGTGTACGTTTTCCTTGGAACGGGGGGTTGGGTTCACGAGATATGATTGGGCTTGTTTCCGTGTTTCAGGCAAAGGTTACCGAACAACAACAACAACAACAAACAGGTTCTTCTTTGTATGCCGCCAGTTTTCCGTTCCAAGGTAATGTAACCGCGTGGACGGACCGCTCTTTTCAACCGTTTTGAAGGTGCCGAAACGGTTTGGTTTTTCTACAAGGTACCTACAGCACAAAACCCGGTTGCATGGGACGGACGGGAGGAGACAGATGCCTTCCGGAATATGTCACAGCGGAGATCTTACGGAACGGTGTCACTGTTTCTTCCGAGCAAGATACCAAGAAGTCCACATGTCATCATAGACGTTCAAGACAGATTCATCATGTAAGAATTGCTTGATAGCCTGGTATTCCATTCAATGTGTATTCGTAGCTCGTCAGTCTATCCTTTTTGGTTCCTCATAGGATTGTTCCTGAGCCAGTTTTCCCTTTCTCTATACCTCAAAAGCCCGCAAACACCTTGCGTCGGGTATCCCTTGTTGAGCCGAACCCGAACCGATAAAAAAAAATCACCCAGTGGGAAAATATTCAGCGAGCGACCACCCCCTGAACGTGAAAAGCGAGAGTCCTGAATAGGAAAAAAACGTAACTGTATGTACAGTAGAAGAAGAATTGAAGAAAGTGCTGTCCACTTTCAGATTTGTCCATCCTGAACCCCAAAAGCCGAAAAAATGCCTATCCCATAACATCGTTTACGCTCAAGAACCAAGTAATCAACCAATGGCAGCTTAGGCGGAGGCGTAAGACTTGCCCAGGGAGCTCAGGGAGCTACCAGAGGTGAGGACGCCATCGCTGACCATGAAGTAGGCGTAGCGCTCGAGGTACTCGACGGTGTCGAGCTTGGGGATGTTGGTCTGAACGAAGCTGGAGATCTGGTCGTCGCTGCCGAGAGGAGCGAACTCGGTCAGCCAGACAGGCTTGCCGCCGCAGATCTCGTGGACCGACTTGAGGTGAGAGAAAAGGGTGTCGGCGGCGTCGGAGGGAGAGTACCAGTGAGTGACGCAGAAGTCGTAAGAGCAGCCGGCGGTGTCGCAGGCAGAGACCCAAGCCTTGAGCCAGTCGAGACCCTGACCGGCGATGTTGCTGTTGGTGATGGCAGGGGCACCGATCTTGACCTTACCGGCGTAGGGGTTGACCCACTTGACGTGAGCGGCGGCGGCAGAGCCGGCGTCCAAGTTGCACTGGGAGGGGAGGTCACACTCGTTGAAGCTCAGAATGTGAGTAGAGCCGGCGGAGATGGCGGCGTCGGCGTTCTTCTGCCAGCGAGAGGTGTGGGTGTCAATGGGTCCCCACAGCATGGGCACATAGTTGAGAGACTCAGAGAGGCCGTTGGAGCTGGAGTCCCAGTTGTAGGCCCAAGAGCACTCCTTGCAGGTGTTGCCACCAGAGAAGAAGTTGCTGACAAGGCTGGCCTGGTTGTAAGCAAGACCACGCTTGCCGCCAGTGCTGGAGGAGCTGGCAGCAGGGGTAGCGGTAGCAGCCTTGGATGAGGCAACGTTAACGACAGCGACCTCAACAACAGCAGCAGCCTTGGAGGAGGAAGGAGCGGCCTGCTGAACCTTGGGAGCGTAAGAAGTCGCCAAGGTGGTGGCCGGGGGAGCAACGACCGGGGCGGGAGTAGGGATCACGACGATGGAGGTCGAGGTGGTTGTGGCGGGTTGGTTCTGAACCTCAGCAGGGGGCTGGGCAGCAGGAGTAGGGGTGCTGGAGGGAGTCTCTCCCTCGTAAACAGTAACCGTGACCCAGTTGGTGACAACATCGTACTGGTAAACCCGCTTGTCGTTGTGGTTGTGACGGTGGGCGTTGAAACCCATGACCTGCTCGGCAAGTGCCAGCGAGGCGGCGACGGAAAGAGCCTTCTTGGTGAACATTTTGTAAGTTGTCGATGAAATCGAGTTGGCGTGTGTTTTCTGTCGAGGACGTGTGCGCGAGTGCTATCTATCGAGAGAGATGCTTAAAAAGAAGCTGTTGACGTCTTCTTTCCCGAACAATAATGCGTAGAGCCAGCCGCTTAGAAGGAAGGTGGATATATCAGAAGATATACGGAAGGAGTGTTTATCGATGTCGTTCGGTCTATCAAAGACTCGAAGAAGGAATGTGATGCAGATTGTTGTGTAGAAGAGTTAGCTGAACAACGAACTGCGAGAGCGAGGTCGAGGCTTGCGACCAAGTGCTGAAGGAATGTGTTTGGCTGGTGAAGGGAAGGATGAGCCGGTTACTGTTGTTGAGAAGAAGGGGACACAAGCAGAGATTGTGGGGGGAAAGAAGGTGGTTTAAGAAGGAGAAGACCAGGTACTGGGGGGGAAACAGAAAAGCAGGGACGTCGAACGAAACGTGGGCAACTGAAGTCGGCCGGGAGAAGGAGCGAACGAACGATCGGTTTTGGGCAGGCGCAAGAACGATGCGGGAGCAAGTACACTACGGATTGTGGACCCCCAATGGGCCTAATGGGGGTCGGGGCTGCAGACCGATGGGGCTGATTTACGATTCACCACGAGGAAGGAGGGAGGGATTGAGGTACGAAGGGAAGGTACCCCATCCATTTCGTGCCTGGCCATCCACGTACACTACGCACTAAGGAAGCAGGGGGTAGGACGGGCCGGCGGAGGTATCACGCTTTCTGGGAAGGGAAGTGGTGCGGTAGTGGTCACTTACAGAATTGTGGATGCGTCAGCTCCCATTCACGATTCAATGGCAACTGGCAGGTGGAGCCCCGCCGTCACTGTCGTGGTCGAGGAAAGTCGACGGTGGTGGCACAGGCACATACTACTACGGTAGATGGGACGGAATGGGCGAGTGGGAACCACTCCCCCATTGGCAGTTCATCAGTACTTCTTTCTTCATCCGATATCTCTTTGAGTTCTTTTTCCTCGGTCGTTCTTTACTTCTTTCCCCTTCGGGGGATCAGCGTCATGCTTTTTCCAGACCCAGTTTATTTTTGTGGTCCCTGTTCATGGTCTGGAGGGGTCTGGACACTTGACTGACTCTCTGGGAAGCGCTCAGTGGGCGGGACGTCCGCAACAGCTGGGATGGTGTGCTGGCGTTGACGACCCGATGACAGAAGATTACCCAGCACTTCCTCGACTTGATTCCCCCCAGAGTTGCTGCCCAGAGCGGAGAAACCAAAAAAAAACAATGCAGTGAACCACACATTCGCAGGGCAGAGAGCATCCACAGTGACATAAATCGTCTGGAATCTGGTGTTTTAGTCGACTTTTACCAAGGTAGTGTAGATAGGTAGGCACCGAGACACAGGTGGGTCAAGCAGTGAACAATCCCTTTCTTCTCCGACTATTTGTCTCTATTCTTTAATAGTGGGCGTCTTGGATTCACTGGCCCTTCGATAACTCAGATGCCCGGGGTAATTACTGCCGCTCGGCGTCAAGACGAGGGAGAAACAAACTGTTGAGATCTGGCTGTTTCGGATTGCCGCCCACACACCACCACTTCCATCCTAGGCAGCGCGGAAGGAAGGAAGCGCTGCTTCTGACGCTGTTGCTGCAGGCCTGGACTTTTGCCAGCAACCGGTGCAGCAAGAAGAGGGGAAAAAACAACTTGGCAGGGTTGAAACATCAACCAAGTAGCGAATGGAACAAGAAGCGCCATTTTCACCCCTGGCTTATGCAGGAACGAGGGGCGAAATACTGCAGGAACCGGAACGGCGGCGCAACCTTGGAACACCGGGCGCCAAGGGTACCTCGGTGAGTACAATACCTGAAGGTAGCCACAAGTGGGTTTCGCCGCCAGAAGGTACGAGCCAAGAACCCACACCTGAAGTCTTCTGGATTGACTTGTTCCTTGCTTACCCCTCAACCATCCCCTTAGCCCCCGTACAGTCCAGTCACCGACTGCCAGACCACGATCCACCGCATTGGCTGGCCGAAGCACAGGTGGCAGAGAATGGTAGGTAGTTATGGTGAAAGAGGTAGGAGCTGTAAACATGATGCAGGTGAGAACCATGAGCAAGAAAAATAGACTCTTGGCCGTCTCCTTCATCCAGTCACTATGCACCTGCCTCCGCAACTACCTTAACCCTAAGGTTAGTTAGATCCGTTGTTGAGTACAACACGAGCGTTGACATCTGTCTGATCTGATCTTTGAGATTGGGGGGCCAGTGGAAGAAAAAAAAAAAAAGAAAAAAAATAGCCTTGGCCGCATGTGCAAGCCTGGCTCACAGCCTCCACCAAATTCTTGATTGTGCTACCCATTGTCCCCCCAATTGTCCCGAAAAAAAAGAAGAAAAAAGAAAATCCCTCTTTTTCGCCTCCAACACCACATTTCTGTTGCGTCTGCTTGGACTCGTCACCATGGCATTAGCTCCGCTCCTTCTCCTCCTTGATGATGGTCAATTTACGCCGTCACCAGAAAGACATACAAACAACGCGAGAGAATATCTGACGCTTTCGGATATTACCGCTTACAGCACATTCATTGTCCCTCACCGGGCTCCAGAGCAAAGCCTCTCATAAGATAGTCAACGAGTCACCTACCCTGGAGTCATGACGACTGCGCGGCCTGGAAGCCCTCGCCGATACGGCAAGACATGGCTCACCTGAGGCGCTCCAGGGTTGAAGAACCTACCAGGCCCGCTGTACAATGCCTTGTACCTTCGTATCCGTCCCACAGCATCAGACGAACAAAGGATGGCAGAGGCCCTACGCTTTGGGCAACTGAAGAGACTGATGCCATCCGTGGGAGAAATGGGACGAATGCAAGGCCGGTGGAAGCTCGACAGGACCCGCTCCTCTGACCCGTTTCACCACTTTGAGTTGGGCCCACGTTGTCGTCTTCCTCTTTCTCTCTGACCTATCCCCTTTACGTTTAGCCGGTTACGTGGAGCCAGATGGATCGTCCTAACCATCGACTAGAACCAAGTCCAGTCCAGCCCAGCCCAGCACTCTGGGAGACTTGGGAGCAGTCCTTGACAACGCGAATCCCGACAGGGCCAACCAAGCCCCAGGGCGCCGGCTTCGAAACCCTAAGCGAAATGAGCTCCCGCCGCCACGGGGCAATCACCCAGCAAATCCCATCGATTATCCCCGAATGTGGTACCAATTCTGGCACTTCATTCCCATCAGCCTGGTCCTCTCTCGACAACGCCAGCGCCGCCCACATCCCTCTCCCAGTCTGACCCATTGCTTCCCCTGCTGCCGTGCCCTAGCTCACAAAGCCAACGAGGGTCAACTCTCCGGATCTGCCAAAGCTTGTCAGTCCAACAGGTTCTGACCTCGTCCTAGCCTTGGTGAATGTGCCACCTGGGCAACACTGCGCCACGCCGACGCTAAACCTTCGGAATATCACCCGGCTCCATCACCCGGGGCTGCCATGCCGGCCGTCTTATCGATCAGGGCAGTCAGCACCGTCTCCTGGGCGCTCGGATCATCGTGGTTGACGAAGGCGGAAGCCAGACGACGATAGCAGCACGACTCAGAGCCCTGGGCCGCGCAACACAGGACAATATCAGGAACACGAGGCTTTTCGCTCATAATAGCTCCATTCATCTTGACGTACGTAATCACCTTCGTACCACTTTTGCACCACCGCCCTCGATCTGTATCTCAGCGAAGCCGCCTCCCGCAAGCAACCGCCGAATAGCATCTCTCTCCAAATGGCTGCCCTTTGCAGCCGAGTGCAGATGTACGTAGTAGGCAACTTTGCCTAATTTCTGTCTGATTACCAGTTTGCAGCGCTTATTATTTTTGTGCTCCACAAACTGCTTGCTCTGATTGACTGGCTTGGCCAATGTCTTGCAACACTCGATTTTTGGGGTGCCAGTGTTGTCTCGGTCATTGTTCTTGATCTGCCACGCTTACTTTTGCTGATTGTTCTTCGTCCGCCGCATCTCCTCTCCAAACAGCCTGTCTCACCTGCATGCCAGCCAGGCAGGCTATCCCTATATAACTTGAGATACCCCCAACCACCCCCAAGATGCTATCAGCGTTGTGTTACGCTGATGCAACCATGCAGACAGTATCCATGTTACCTGTAGCTGTTGCCATTTGATGAAACCGCTGCTGTAGGATCACTTCTCACCCCCAACAATTGGGGTCTACTGTCCCTTATTGCCAGCTCATCTATTTTGATGCGCAAATCGGAAGTCGGCAGCCGTCCACCGACCTTCATTTAACTTGGTGGCATTCCGCGGCATTGCTGATATTAATAAGGAGTCTTTCATTGGGCATTAAAACGGCAAGGTATTGCCGAGGGACGGCACTCACGGCTGCGAGGATTCCACACTGGGAAACTAGAGGCAGCTCCAAGACGATCAACAGTCTGCTGCGACTTGGACCCATCGGGATGAATGCTTTACGCAAGTCTTCACATTACTGCCTTTAGCGTTGTTGAACTATCAAGAGCGGCTAGTCGGTAGGCCTCTGAAGCATGCTTGAGACCTCCAAAAACGAGTTGCAACCCGTTTTTAGCGTTTGCCCATGATGAACGGTTCGGTTGCTGGCCTGAGGGTTGTTTCCACAGGTCCTGAGACTGGTATTATAGCAAGACACCATTGAGCACCAGTTTTCGGGCGGGTTTGTCCGCCGTAGTGAAGCAGTCTCACCATTTTTGGCTCTTGAGGTGGTCTTTTCAGAAGTAATGACACTTTGCCAAGTCCCTGAAAAGGGTATATTGAAGTTTTTGGGCGCTACCGTTTTGCTAGAAGCATTTCAAACCGGAGAAGTTTGTCCTCCGACCCTCTTCTACGATTGAAACTACCTGTTGTTCATCTGAGAATAGCTTGGCAGTATGCCACAGCGAAGGGTACGTCGCCTGGGCTGAAAACATAGTCTTGGAACCCGTTATAGCTCCTAGAGTCACAAAGCACCCGTACGGATCCTTTTGGCGCATTCACTGTTTCATTATCTGATCAGAGTTGAAGTCTTATTGTGCTGTTTGATATTATGTAAATCCTCCGAGGTCACAAATGGCGATGGAGCCAAGAATAGGCTTGACGTCCGCTAGCGAGAAAGAAGCCTTGTTCGAGAATGGGTGCAGCTGTGCAAATTGGTGATGATGAGCGCCAGCCTTTTGGCCAATTGGAGCAATTTCTGCATAGGAAGTAAGCACAGCACACCCAGGAGACCAAGAAGAAGATTATTTTTCTTTAAAAAAAAGAAAAAGAAAACAGATTGTCAAAATGACAGGACCGACCGTGGTTCGAACACGGGGCCTAGAGATAACTGCGTGGAACTGCAATCTCTCGCTCTACCACTGAGCTATCGATCCAGCTTGCTACACCAGAATGCAGGGCACAGACAGGCTTACGGCACACGGAGCAAAGCGGAACCCCGGGCATCTCGGTGGGTGTCCGCTCGGAAGGGAATGCGTGGTGTGGCAGGACCGTTTTGCACAGCCGAGCCGATGCCCGACCTTAGCACGAATTGATATCTCAATACTCGTTCGGTGAGCCTAAATGGTATGTGTTTCAAGGTCATCTCGAAAACCCCAGCCTGCACAGCCTCCACCAACTAGCCACTGACACCGACTGATGATTTGCAGGCGACCAATGATGCCCTAGCATGGTCGTAACCAAGACCTCGCGCGGGCAATCAATCGCACCGATAATATGCCACCCTGACAGTCGTAGATGGCGCTACACGTGACTTTACTTGGCTGAATTGGTATGCATTTCAGGTGATGTGCCGACGTCAGTCCATTTTTGACCAACGGTTGATGCTATTAAGCAAACCCTTTTTTATAAAACATCTCCCCCGTTGGTCCTGTTCTCTGGCTGTTAGGCCTCTAAGTAGTGTTACCGACATTTGTGAAGTCTCTACTAATCTGCGACATCATGGAAGCTACTCGATCGCAGACTCTGCTTCCTGTCAACTTCACTCTAAATGAGTATGATTTCGGGCCCGTCTTTCCAGATGAGGATCTGCTTCTTGGGGATGGGGGCGCCTACTCCAATGAGATGCTGTCAGATTCGTCTCCGACTGACGTCTTGGATCTGGTGGCTGTAAGTGATCCTCCTGCGGAGATTGGCCAGCCCAAGGCCCCGACGCAGAAACAGCGGCTTGAAAGAAGAGGACACACGAAAAGTCGTGCTGGGTGTTTCAACTGTAAGAGGAGACGAATCAAGGTATTGCAGTCCTGGCTGTTATCACCAAGTCCCCCGGGTTGACAAATAGTGTAGTGCCAAGAGACACGGCCGTCTTGCGGACATTGTGTCAAGACGGGTCTGAAATGCGAATATCCAACTACGCCAACAATCATACATCAGGTACGAGAGGCGTCCGTATCTCCGTTACACCTACTTACCTACCGGCTGCAGCCACACCACCAAATCCCACTTTTCAGCTTGCAAGACATGCGCTTCTTCCAACACTTCATGTTGCATTGTTACCCACATCAGCCCATTAAGAATGAAAACATCTGGACTCATGAGGTACCTTGTTTGTCTCAAACCGTATGATATTGCCCAGAAAGTTGAGAGCCACATTGATCAAGATAGCTGACGCCGCCAGTAGCACGAGTTTCTTATGCACGCAATCCTGGGGATGGCGGCTTGCGACCTAATGAAGGAGGACCCGAGTCTACTGGAATTCGCCATGGCGCACCGCGTAAAGGCCATCAAAGCAATCAAGAAGTCGCTCGCCGAGCTGCCCAAGAACAACAATACCGCCTCCTCGGAGCACGCCAACGCCCTCGTGGCGACGTGCTTCGCCCTGACGTTCCAGTCCACCACGTTCGAGGACGGCATGGCGGAGTTCATGACATTCATCCGGGGCATCCTCATCGTCGGCGCGCAGATGATGATCAAGGGCATCAAGCCCATATTCGTCAACATTCTCGATCAGGACTCGAAGGCGGTACTAAAACCCAAGATGGTCCAAGTGCCGTTGATCAAGAAGGAGTGGGCTGACGGCGCCGTCGAGGCTATCGGCGGGCTGCGACATCTCTGCCGTGACGTGGTTGAAATTCAGTACTATGACCTCCTGATGGACATGGCAACGAAGCTACACATATCATCCTGGGAAGGTGAGACGCTTGTCTATCTGTTCAAGAGGGAGGGCATAACTAACCCCATATACAACCAGCGTATGAAGCCATTGGGAAGCACTACGGTTGGTGGATGCAGCTACCGCACGAGAAATTCCAGCGCGTCATCAACCCGTTGAATCAAACCATGATACTCCTTGCCACTCACTGGGTGTCGCTGCAGCAGGTCATGGTAACGATAACCAGGGTCGAACACGAGTGCAGAGAAAAGGCGCCGGAGCCGAAGGAGGACAGCCCAGACTTGGGCATCATCCGCTGGCTGAGGTACCTGAACAAGCAGATCGACTACGAGCATCAGATTTACAACCAGTGGCCATTGTGGGTAGAGTATCAGCTGAACCGTGACCTTTCTTTCTTCGGAAAAAGACCGCCATCGTAGACGTAGATCGTCCAGGATAGGATTATATGGACGTATTAGAACTATAATCAGGATATCTCGGAACCTTTTCTTTGGAAATGGCCATTCTATGGGATGGATGATCGTCCTTGTCACTTGGCCTAACTTCCAAGTGTCAATGGTGTGTTATGTATACTTTACTTCTACACGACATGCAGAGCTGTCTTCTAGAAATAAGATGTACGTAATTTCTGATATTCATCCTATAGAAGATGTCGATAGAGATGCGACTCCTGCTTGAACACCGGATGTGCGTCCCTGAATCCTAGTCATATCATGCATACAACCCCTGTCGGTTTGTCGACTGTGAGAATAATCAGAGGATAAGAGGAGTAACAGAACATGCCAAATCAAAGGGAAAAAAAAAAAAAGGGTTATTATTCTAACACAGCAGATTCGAGTGTGTATTCTTTCTCCTACAATTAATTATATGCAAGCATGAGTAAACCAATGCTTGCGTACGCCAGAAAAACGGGGAAACAAATACCACGCAAATTCAATCATTGGTTGCCAACCGACTCCGAATCAGGCATTGGGGGGCGCAGCTTACTCTGGATACGTGCTCACCACCTCTCTCCCTCACGCAGTGCCAAACCCCATAATCTTTTATGCGTGCCCACACCTGTAATCGCGGGGCCTATCTAGCGCAATGCGTCTGGGAAATAGCCGGAATAATCTTCTCAAACTTGCTCGAGCAGTCGGCCACGGTGGTTTACGCAGGCTGAGGCAAGGAGCTACCAGTAGCAGGAGCTTGTGCAAGCTGTGCCGAAAGGGCCTCAGATTCCCGGGCATCGACAATCCCGAATTGGCCCCTGAGGTCGTTCTGGCAAAGACACCGCTGGCAAAAAGTAAAGAGTCGTTTCGTGGCCTTTTCTCGGATCACAAAAAGCACTCGTGGCGCTGCGACTACCTTCTCGAAGATGGTTATCCTGATCTCCCTTACCTCACCAACTCGGCATCCAACGGTTGCGAGTTTTGCCTGGTTTTACGTAGAGAGATCCTGGCTGTTGGTCTGGAGAAGAACCAGTATGATAGAATACGCGTCAACTTGAGTTTTCTTTGGAATCCTGAACCTGCTGTGACCCAGATGGGCACCAGGGTTACGAAATGGGTGCTCCAAGCCGATATTGAGAGGCATGAGGTAGACACCCAGAGACCCAGTTTCCTCCCCAAAGAGAGACTGTACACGGGGTGGTTCTCGAAATCACTCTATATTTTCTGGCCGTTATCGTGTCAGCCTGGTGAGTATTCTGTTTTCCTCCACCTCTTGCTCGACTTGAGGCTAGTCTAACACGATGTGCTTACGGAAATACAGGCGAGCTTCATGCCCAAAGATTACGCATGCCACCGCCAGTCACGGATAGTTCTCTTACGGAACAATCTGTTGAGTTTATGCGGGCTAATATCCAGAGATGTGTGGAGGGCTGCGAGCACAGCACTATCAAAACGGGAGGCTTTGCCCCCCGCCGTCTGATCGACGTTAGCGGAAGCGAACTGCGGGTTGTTGAAACCCGCGAAGACCCAGGTGTCCAAAAGTTGCGCAATATCCGCTATGCGACGCTGAGCTATTGCTGGGGAAGTCAGGAAAAAGGTCTGTCGCAGCTGCGGCTCCTCAAGCACGTCGCGGCAGATCTCCGAGCTGGCTTCACCCTGGAAGCCATGTCGCCAGTGCAGAGGGATGCCGTGGCGGTGACGAGAGCCTTGGAAATTCCTTACCTATGGATCGATGCTCTATGTATCTTACAAGACGACAAAGATGACTGGGAACGTGAGTCTTCTCTCATGCATAAAGTCTACGGCAGCTCTCATATCACTATCTGCAACCTCAGGACCAGCTCATGTCAGGAGAGCTTCCTGGATACTTTCCACATACCTGTGCGTCTCCCATTCGATCCAAAAGACATGAGTGAAAGCCCCAGCTGCTACGAGATAGGGCAGAGCTTTATCTCGGACCGTCCATTAGGCCACTTGCACGGAGGGCAGTCGTGGAGCAGCCTCGAGTTCTACAACACGGCCTGGCTGCATCGTGCTTGGACCTTCCAGGAAGGAGCGATGTCGGCGCGTATGATTCTGTTCGCCGAGTCCGGCGTCTACTTCAGTTGCAGCGAGGGCACCGTCAAGGAACACGGCGGCGTGCTGGAGGAACCCACGACCTTTACCACCAACAGCGTCGCTCTCGGCCAGTCGCGCCTGCAACTGTATCGGACCTGGTACAACCAAGTAGTCAAGCAGTTTTCCGGGAGGGAGCTCACTTACTTGACGGATTGTCTCACCTCTCTGTCCGGAGTCTCGCAACACTTTGCAGTCGCTCTGCAGGACGAATACGTCGCCGGCCTGTGGCAGAATGATTTGATCCGCGGGTTGCTCTGGCGGCCCGCAGATTCATTTCAGGGTTCTCTGGATAGACTTCTGGAGACATTTCAGACGGCTCCATATATCGGCCCCTCCTGGAGCTGGATCGGAAGGGTCCGCGGTCGATCTCGGGTGGGTGAGGTGCTCGACTTCGGGCCTGGCCTCGCCAGATTCTATCCCGGCGGGACAAGCACCAGGGTTGTCCAGCTCTGCGATAGGCTCGAAGCGCACGTAAAGCCGGCAGGCGAGGATAAGTTCGGCAAGATCTGCGGCGCGGAGCTGCTGGTGCAAGCCCCAGTTTATCCGCTTGCTCTGGGATGCTGCTTCTTGCCGGACGAACCGGACCCCGATCCCGTACTGACCGACCAAGGCTCATTCTGCATTCCGCTCCCGGACGGATCCAAGCTTGCCTTCAGCTTCTTCCTCGACTTCTTTCCCAATCGCCATCCCGAAGACTCAGGCCAGCCTTGGAAGCACGACTTGACTCTCGTTTTGATTGGAAGTATGCAGTATGCTTGGGCTGGTGTCAGTGAGGAGGACCTAGAGGAGGCGGATCATCTACTAGAAGACGAGGGCCCATATCCGTATGGACTCATTGTTTACCCGGCGAAAGAGCCAAATACATTTTGGAGAGTGGGCACCTTTGGCCCCAGTCCGATAGAGTCGCCCGGTGAAACGGTGTCCCTTCTCGGGGTAGACTTCTTTGAACAGTGTGAGAAGCGAAGCCTGAGGATTGTATAGACTAGTTTAGGTGTATTCATAAGCCCTAATATCTTCCTCCTTGCCCTTAAATGTCTGCTTTATAAGTGATGGGTGGCGATTGCGAACCAGCGAAAAACATCTAGGAGTTATCTACAATCTTTCAATAGTTATTAATCAGACTGGCTATTGCTCGGGTGAATGAGCGAGCCATTCACAAAACCATGAGACCTTAAGGGTTATGCTATAATCTTTGCTGGACAATAGTATCTTTGCTTACCGAGGAGACTGCTGCAGGACCGCAACCATGGGTATTGGCATTTGTCTGTGGTATTCAGCTTATGCTGCCTGGTTGGACCAATAGGCATCGGTATCCTGCTGACCTGCATGGCCACAGCCTCGTCAACTCCTCACTTGGAGGTAATGAAGGGTAGGCCTGACTGCTCTGCGACCAGCAGCCCATATTCGAGAGGTCAGAAAAGGTTTTGCGGATGAGTGGGCTCAACTGTGCAAGCCCGGGGAAACCATATCTAGAACAACCCACCTGTCTCGCTACTTTACCCTTGGGATTCATGTACGAAGAGACCGGCATCGAATATGAGCCATTCAGATAGAAACGCAGAGTCCGTGGATGACGTCGAACTGAGTAGCGGCGCCATCATGCGTAACGATCTCAAAAGAGACTGGCACTTGGAGCTTTGTAAGTCTTCCTTGCTTCAGCTTCTAAACCTTCTGGATCAATCTAACCTTGCACACCGATACCCAAGCCTCTGAACCTCAGCTGCCGAAGCGAAATCGCATAGTCCATGCATCCGAGAACAAACCTCTAATTGCAAGGGAAGATTATACCATCGGCTGGATTTGCGCTCTGCCCGTTGAGCTGGCAGCCGCGGTCGAGCTGATGGACGAGGAATTCGCCGACATCCCCTCTAACCCGACCGACTCCAATATCTACTCTTTCGGCCGTATTGGCCATCACTATATCGTGGCTGCCTGTCTGCCTGCCGGTCAGATGGGTATAAGCCAAGCAGCCATAGTGGCCAGCCAGATGAGCACCAGCTTCCTATCGCTGCGGTTTGGCGTTCTAGTTGGCGTTGGCGGAGGAGTCCCGAACCTCGATGTAAACATTGATATACGGCTCGGCGACGTTGTTATCAGCCAACCAACAGGCCAACATGGCGGAGTGGTTCAGTATGACTTTGGCAAGACTGGAGCCGACGGCCGTATAGCTCGTACCGGCAGCCTCAACGCGCCACCAACAATACTCCTCACAGCGTTGGCTAAGTTCCGTGCCAACCAGTTTCGGGGCAGGACGCAAGTCGCCGCGAATCTATCGAAGCTTTCTAGCCAGCCGAATTTCGCATCTCCAGGACCCGAAAACGACACCTTGTATGAAGCATCATCGCCACACATAGCTGGAGCTACATGCGCAAAGTGCCGGCCAGAAGATATAGTACATAGGGAATCGCGCCTAACGACGGATCTATACATCTTCTTTGGTAATATCGCATGTGGTAACCAGGTTATGAAGGATGGCCCAACGCGCGATAGATATAGCCAGGAACTAGGGGGGTTTTATGCTTTGAGATGGAGGCGGCCGGTCTTATGAATAACTTCCCTTGCATAGCCATCCGCGGCATTTGCGACTATGCAGATGCGCACAAGAACAAGCGGTGGCAACAGTATGCGGCAGCGACGGCGGCAGCATGTGCGAAAGAGCTTCTCTTTGCCGTTCCACTAATAAATATTGTGCAAGAGAAGACCATCCAGCAGTTAGTCTCTGGTGAGTGGATTTCATCCTAAAGAATACGGGAGGAAACTGACCGGTGGCTTTATGCAACACTGCGAAAAGGATTGACAAAGTGACATAATGTCATTATAATAACATATTATTGTTACTCATAGTCGCGTAGGAACACGTACAAGTCTCAACAAAACACCTCCTTCTCTCATCTGAGCATCTCGCTGAGGATAAGCGCACCAAGTACGTGATGGCTTCCTAACAGAAAGGGGCCACACTAATAGAAATGTAGCCAATTACTCGAGGATAGCCCCATTGACCTTCTCGTCATCAACGAAGCACGATGCAATAGTGCCGACGTCCAAAACGGCCCGAAGGGCGAGAGTGGATCATTGGCAGCTCTGGTGGAATTAGCAGCTTCAACAGTATCGCGATGCAGATCCTTCTTATATAGAAGAGGGGGGTCATCCCAACGTGCAATGTTTTCATGCATGGCGCCCGTTGGAGTATCATAGACCAGCCCAATTCCTCCCAATGTGTTCATTCCTCCAGCTCCTCCATGAGTTCATTGAACTCCTCTTCAAACTGATGCCACATCTTCTCATCTTGTCCATTGTCTCCGCATCTACTGTCATTTTCCGTAGCGAAGGTCAAGTCTAACTTCAAATCAACCATCTCGACCTTGTCGGCCTCCCCTCTCTCCGTTCCAACGCTGAACCTATCCAGCAACTTCAGACGCATCCCGCGTGACCTGACATTCCACTCCTGCTTCTGGGTCAAGACGTAACTTGCGCTGATTTGCTGCCACTGGGCCGCCCAGACCCGCCGGCCCAGAATTTTGGTTTCCACGTAGCCTTCCGTGTCGTTGGTCAAGCTGACCTTGGCGTGAATGTTGGTATTCAAAAGGGCTGCGATACCGGCGAGGTCTGGAATAACAACGTCGGTTGACAGCCCGGCCGAGCTCGATTTCGAGGATACAGCGAGGCAAGTTGCGTCCTCTATCAAGTAGACGCCTGTCAGCAGCCAGATCTTTGGCGAGGCGAAGGCGTTCTTCCAGGTCTTTTGTAGACCGCTTGCCACCGTCAGCACAACCTCGAGCCATTTCCTTACACCATCCTCTTGCAGCATTTGAGAAAAGAACTCTAGTGGGCTAACGAAGAGTCAGCCAGCGCATTCATTTCGAATGGTGATGTTAACTCGAGGCCATTATACGTACTTGATGAGCTCGACCTTAGACCCTTGAGTGCCTACTACTAGCCTAGACGAAAGCTTCGAACGACTCGACTCAACGAGAAGGAGATGACCGAGACCGATGTCTCCGCCAAAGCTCGAAGTGCGCTTCTCGCTCATTGAACAGTACGGCCGTTCGTCAGCTGTCGCAATGACCGGCGGCTCGAACATGTTCCTAACAGGCGCAAAAAGGAACAATGTCAGCAGCTTGTTTGAGCGTTGAGCAACCCTTTGCCGTGTCAAACTTACGGTACCTCCCCGTGGTAATAAGGGCACTTATGTCGCGGATTCGCATAGTCCAGTACCATGCTCCCGAGGCGAAGGAGTTTAGGGTCGAGTCCCTCGTAGTAACCGAAGTAGGTGACGCGTTCTGCAGGCAACATTTTTGGTTTACCGTTTTGACACCCTCGAACTCCCACACAGGAATGATTAGGGGACTGAGTTGGAATTTTGCGAGAAGCCGCAACAATGCAAGTTAAGAATATTTCAATTGTTCTCAGCGGGCTCGAAAGCTGGATTGCCCAAGGCTATGTCGCTGAAGTGAGTTGGTGTAACTACAACGGTGACTTAGCGAACTAATTGCTTGCTTTCAATACCACGGCGGCCTCCGCCACGTGGTCATGCAATGCAGAAAAGAAGGGGGCGAAGTCTCAGTCGGCAATCGACATGGATGATGATTGGCGATGAGCTAGTCACACCAACATTTCTTTTTGCTGCCCCTCCTCATCAGGCTGGACTTCCTCCGGCGGATGTCTTATCGACAACAACCCGCTGGTTTGGAACTGTTGAAGCAACGTGCTCATCTGTTCTGGGCAACCCTGAGCTCCTGATTCCTAGTTGCGCCGGACACCAAATTACAGGGGCTATGGACTTTCCAGAACTTTGCGATTTTTTCGGCGGCACAATCTTTTACGATGACTACCGAGGAGACTTGACAGCTATAGCCGAGAAAATAAGCTTACGCGCATCGTCGATTCCCCTTATCTTGCTGGACAATGTCGCATCGCAGACCCTGCTCGAGGCTATCTGGAGCCTGCTGACCGGCAACTACACATCTGCCTTCCAACGGTTGAATGACCTGAATCAAGAGGGCGTCTATTGCGAACGCTGGCTTCGTCGTGCCAGGCTTTACGAGGTACTTGCCAATCTCTGGTTTCGACATCCACCAATGTTCCAAGAATGCGACCTTAGAGGTCCCGCCATGATGCTCTGGGATGCCTGGCACCCAGAACCAGTCCGCGACGACAAACTCATAACTCCACCTGCGGATGCCTCTCGCGGTGACATTTTGGAGGTGCTCTGCATCCGGACGCTCCGGAATATACAAGACGACCGAACAAAGCTTTCCAAATCCCTTTTCAACAGCGAATACACGGCCGCAGACATAAGTTCGGAGCCATCTTCGCACTCTCCCGGGCCCCTACAGGTCGCGTATGAGGCCTTGCGGTTGGACATGCCTATAGTCGCCAGCTATTTCCTACAGGTTGCATTTGGATACGGCTCCATCGACGAAGTGGGTTGCTTCGACAAGTGGATTGAGTTAAGGGACTCAGGTCCAAGAGCTGGACGCAGCCACATCTTTGGGACCCAGAGTATGATGCTAGGGGACCGTGCAGTTTCCCCTCCGGACACTACGAGCCTTGCCTACAACCTGAACTTGGGCGATTCGTTGGATGTATTCGGTGGTGACATCAGCATCCACCAGCCTGGCCATGCAATCCCCATTGAAGACTTCGGAAAGATGCTAAGTTGCTCGTTGAATTTGTACATGTTAGCGAGCTCACAGTTCTGTGACGCAGGCTCGAAACGCGGGGAGGCTGTTGCACTCCTCAAAGCGGCTGCTGTTGTTCAGATTGCCAAGATGAGCTCATACAAACTTCGCTATCAATCGGGACAGCCGCTGAGTCCATCCGATCTAGTCACGCGAGCACGAGAGTTGGCATTGGCGGCTGGCGACCTCCAGCTTGAGCAGCTTTCAGTGCTTTACAAGTGCCTGGTTATGAAAGAAATAGACATCCCCATGTTGAAGGGAATAGCTGCATACATAAATTCCTCTGGCAACGAGACTTTTGGACTTTGTATTTGTATGCTGTCTATTAAGACAGGCCTTTTTTTTCGCTACCGCCAAGACAACCTGAAAGGCTTCTATTCCGCCATCGAATCTAGTCGACAGATACTGGACGATGTGTATCCTTTCCGAGACCTATGGTGCAAAGTTGGGACGACTCTATGCAACAACTGTGGGTGGCAGGCCTCGCCGGCCCGTCACGTGGGCTGACGGCCGCCACCACTGGTCTTAGCCAGCCTCCACAGCCCTCTAGCCAGTTAGTTAGTTCTTCCAACCAACAACACCACTTTTCCCATTCTGAGCGTTCTGTGCTGGTTTCGCCCACAGGTTATGAGCCCAGCGTTATTCTTTCGGAATAACGTCGTTTTACCCATTATTCTACTCGTCTGTCAATTTTCTATTGATTCACGAATTTTTGCGATTTTATTCGCTTTATTTACCCTTCTGTGCGATTTTCTCGCTTTCTTTCCTTCCTCTTCGCTGACGAATTTCACTTTCTGACGCGACATTGGCTGCCTGGCGCGCACGAATATCACACCTTCCACTTCTGCCTCCGGCGCCCCAGTCCGGTCACTTGGCGTGGGCACCGTCTTCTTCCAGACCCAAGACCCCACCAACCCTGACGTTATTCACGATTGGACACTTCACAACGTTGAGTACAACCCTTCCAGCCCAGCCAACTTACTGAGCCCTGGAAAACTTCGTCGTGATCACGTGGAATATGATTGGCAGACCTCAAGCCTCATACACGTGACACAGCGCACTTCCCTTGCCAAAGTTCATTGGGTTTCTGACGTCTGCGTCGTTGAGACTCATGATACTGGAAATCACGTGCCTCGAGATATTGCTGTCAGCCTCGCCGCCTTCCGGGCTACCCAGCGACCGTCTCTTGAACTGATGCACCGCCGGCTGGTTCACGCCCACCCATCACGTGTTGTGGAGGCTTGCCGCCGTGTTGGCATTCGGTTCACAACGTCAGAAATTGACGCTTTCTTCTGTGAGTCTTGCCATCTCAGCAAATCCACTGAACGGATTAGTCGAGACCACCCACTTCCACTTACGAGTATTGGCGATGAAATTCACCTTGATCTCGTTGGTGTTCTTCCCCTATCAACAAAAGGGAACCGTCAGGTTCTACACCTCATGGATAAGTATAGTGGTTACCACTGGGTTGTTTTTCTGCCCAACCACAAGTTTGCCACCATCCTGGCAGCTATCAAGAAATGGGATACTGAATTCTACAGTCTCACCGGCCTCAAGCCCAAGGTTTGGGTTTCTGACAATGCTCCCGAGCTAATCAAGGTTTTCAACGACCCCTACTTCGAGGGTACTCGCCACAACACGACTATTGCCTACACGCCTTCCATGAACGGTACTATTGAGCGTGCTGGTCGTACCATCGTCGAAGGCGCCCGGACACAGCTGATTGACATGTCCCTTCCAGAGGAACTGTGGGATTACAGCATCGATTCGGTGACTCAGATTCTCAACCTCTTGCCCACACCCTCCAAGGGTAACTTGAGCCCTCACGAGATCATGGCGAGAGAGCTGAACTTGGCTGCTGAACGTGAGGCCCCCCACATTGAACATCTCCGAACGTTTGGCTGTGCTGCCTACGTACACAAGAAGGGCCCTCGACGCCCTATGCGCTCTGCCAAGATGGAACCACGAGCAATCAAGGGATTCCTCGTCGGTTACGGTTCTCTTCGTGGCCACATTTACTACGTTTACCTGCCTGATCGAAAGGAGGTTATTCGCTGCAGAGATGTTCGATTTCGTGAGGAACCGCACAAGACAGTGTTGCCTCCAACTACTGGCACACCCAACATTGATGAAATTGAACATGATGCTGCGTTTGTCGAACCAGATATCATCATCCAGTACACCATCCGTCAGAAGCCTATTGAAGGTGAAAAACCCGTGACTGGTGATCCCAAACCAGATGAGACCATCGTTGAAAAAGCGATGGCACCCACTGATACACATCTCATGTCTCCGCCACCAGAGAACCTGTTGGAGACCACTGCTACACCTCGTGACAGCATTACTAACGAATTGAATGATGACGAATTCGTCGCTTCCGTGGAAACAATGGAAACTGATCACCAGGACCCTGATTCCCTCTCCACGATTGTTGAGGAAGCAACGAGTCAACCGGCAGAGTCCTCTCGACCTCGCCGCGCCTCAGCCCAGCGACCACCTGGTCACTACCGAGCCGCCAGTGGCGTACGCTCCTATGCTAAAAAGACTTTTCTATCTGCTGACATTCCAGCTTCACTAACTTCTCGTCAATTCTCTCTCAGCGTGCTTTCTGCTACTGCCCTTTCGAAAGTCCTACCCGACGGCGTGGTGATCCCGAAGTCCTACCGTGAGGCGCAGAAGAGCCCACAGTGGCCCCAGTGGGAACAAGCCTTCGAACGAGAGATGACTCAATTCACGGAAAAGGGGGTTTACGAAGTCGTTTACCCACCACGTGACGCTAAAGTCCTGCCCGGCAAGTGGGTATGTGACATCAAAACCAACAAAAACAACGAAATCGTGCGCTACAAGGCCCGATATGTGGTTTGTGGAAACCACGAGAAAGGTGACTGGTCATCGCAAGAGGTTTACGCTGCAGTTGCCTCTGCCACCGCAACCCGCCTTTTCTTCGCAGTTGTCGCACTTCTCGATCTTGAATACGAAGTATATGATTTCGACACTGCTTTCCTAGCCGCCTCGATTCCAGAGGGGGTTAAGGTGTACGTCCGGCCCCCCGCTGGCTACGCCACTGCAGACAACAAGGTTTGGCTGCTCCACAAGGCACTCTATGGATTGAGAAAATCACCACTTTGGTGGTTTCGACTTATCAAGGGTGAAATGGAACGAATTGGCTTCACTGCTGTTGATGGGGAGGTTTGTCTCTTCGTCAATCACAAGATTAAAGCGTACGTTCTTATGTACGTCGACGACAACGCCATCGCCGCTCCCAACAAGCAAGTCATGATGGAAGTTCGTCGTCTCCTCGAGAAGGTCTGTTCTCTTAAAGACCTCGGCGAGGCTACCGATTTTCTCGGTTTCCAGATTGAACGCGACAGAGCTGCCGGTAAGATTTTCGTTTCCCAAGCCAAGTACGCAAAAGCAGTGCTTCAACGATTCGACTTTGATGGTTTGAGTGCTGTCAAGACGCCTATGGCGACCACTGACGATCTGCCCGTCACCTGGGACAAGAACGAGTGCTCGCTTGACGAACAACAACTTTACATCGAACAAACCGGCTGCCTTAACTTCCTGGTGGCTGGAACTCGCGTTGACATGGCCTACACCGTCAGTAAATTGTCACAGGCGAATTCAGGGCCTTCTAAGGCCCATCTTCGTGCTATTAAGCACTTATTCCGATACCTCAAGGGCACCGTTTATCTCGGTATTGTACTTGGAGGCATCCCCACGATCAACGAGTTGGGGCTCTACGCTGCTGCAGATGCCTCTTTCGCTGACAACAAGCCATCACGAGTCTCGACAGGTGGTTACGTCGTCTTCCTCGCTGGTGCGCCGATTGCTTGGAAGTCAAAGAAACAGACTTTCGTGACTTTGAGCACCACGGAGGCTGAATTCATCAATCTCACACCTACGGCAATTGCTGTGAAGTGGATCAGACGTTGCCTCTCCCAACTGCTCGGCAAACCCATCACCACGCCTACTATCATGTTCACTGACAGTGCCAACGGCTACGACAACGTCATGAACCCACTCAACGAGGCACGAACCCGCCACATCGACGTCCGATACAAATGGATCATACAGGAGGTTCACACTGCGAAAAGCATCGAACTCCGACTCATCAAGGGCGCTGATATGGCCGCCGATGGACTCACGAAGCCACTGGTTGCGGTCAAACACAAGGAATTCGTTCGTTTGTTGGGCATGGCGGAGGGATTGGATTGAGAGGGGGATTTTGAGACTGTGGGACTATTGATATTGAGACTTCGGGATTCGGAGGATTTCACGGCCTCCTATTGGCCAGGTTTAACCGGTAATTGACCGAGTTTTCTAATAGTTGAGAACTCCTCGGATTTGGAGGATTTGGGACTTTTCCTGTATTTCCTATTATTCTACTGCTTTTTCGCTGAGGAGTCTGAGAGGGGGTGTGGGTGGCAGGCCTCGCCGGCCCGTCACGTGGGCTGACGGCCGCCACCACTGGTCTTAGCCAGCCTCCACAGCCCTCTAGCCAGTTAGTTAGTTCTTCCAACCAACAACACCACTTTTCCCATTCTGAGCGTTCTGTGCTGGTTTCGCCCACAACAACTATCGAGAGACTGGAGACTTTCCGACGGCGAAGCGCTGGTCGCACTTACTCGCACAAGGTATAGCAGCCTTAACAACGTATTGTTTAACAAACAACACAATAAACGATATGTCCAGCCGGAGACTTGTGATTTACCACGAGGTATTCAAGAGACTGATTGATGCCATAATTTACGGATTTTATCTGGAAGGGGACCCCGAGTCGGAAACAGCGAAGAGTCGCGCGCTGAACTTGGCTGTCTTTGTTCTCAACGAACAAATGGAGTCTTCTGAGGCTTCGCGCAATTGGCACAACAGTTTTATCATGCGACTGACTTACCACCGGTCAATGTTGACATACAAACACCACGTTCGCCATGGGAGACTCGTCAAGGCGGCGGTATCACTGCACCCAATACTAGCCGCCCCACCGATCGCGAGAAGTCGGACTTTGAGAATCAAAAGTTATCAAATTGAGGCTTTAATGCTTCTGTATGACCACTCTAGCGCCCAGGAGGTCTTCTCGACTATTAGAGATGATGACCTTCTTATTCCAGAGTTCATTGAAGACGGCGAACTCTTATCAAACGAAGCAAGTAAAGACAGTGGAGCCAACCAGCTGCGCCTGCAGTCTCTCGAGATCATCCTCCAGTGCGCCATTCGAACCAGGGATTGGGAGAGAGCACACAGATTGATGCACCGCATAGAGACCACAACCCCGGGCTACTTCACGACGAGCAAGGGAAAGACATCCATGTGGCCGTGGCAACGCAGTCTCTACGCGGGATTGATCCATGAAAAAACCGACAAGAGGGGGCTTGCCTCAGAATTTTTCTGCCAATCTCTTAAGCTTTTCCTGTGTCTATACATGCATGTGATGTTCCCGCACGATAACAGAAGAATATGGAGCCTGCCGGAGCCGTCGCGGTTAATCGCTGCCGTAGCTCGACTCTTTATGACCGAGCCTTCACCATACACCGAGCTAGATCTGAGGACACCGGAAGCGGGATCGATCCTGTTGTCATCGCCTCCTGATAAGATGTGCTATGATCATCCTGACGACAGCGAGACATCTGAGTACGCGTTATGGGCGATGGAGCTTGGAAGGACTAGAACTGTCTGGGACACGTTGAGGAACCATGGCTCTATCGATGCTGACTTTGCCACTGCCCTGATCAAGGAAGAAAAGTGGCTGGAGCTCTGCTCCAAGGATGACTTGAGCCCTGAGGAAAGAGCAGAGTTCCAGAAGCTTACCGAAGAAGAGGACGATTTTACTGGACTTCTCCACCGGTCAAGGGGTGGTGAAATATCCCAAAGGAAGATGGAAGACTTGAGAAATCCCGTGCACGATGTTAGTAAGTTCTGGAAGGCCATTCCACGCAATGCACTGGTGGTGTACACTTGTATATCTGAGGATGGCTTCAGTATTATGTTCATCAGCGACCTAGGCCCCCTGCTCAGTAGAGTATCCGTGGAAACCAGCTCAGCAGCGTTTCAGGCTACCGTGATCATGGCTCTGTCTGCAATACGAGAGCAGAAAGGAGAATTGGACATCCTGATACCGGTGCTCGACAAGCTTAGTAAATGGCTTCTTCCACACGATTTCGGCCATTGGATTGCCCTTTTCCCGCATCTCATCTTCTGTGTCACTGGCGAACTCGCTCAGCTGCCAATGGGGCTTCTCCGCTTTCGCGGAGACTACCTGGGGCTCAAGAAAAAGATTTCACACGTTCCAAGCCTCGCAACACTTCACCACCTGCGCACACGGGACACAAAACCCATCATGAGTTCGACAGAAATTTCGATCATCGCCAGGCCCGGCAGCCTTGCTGATTGTAGGGTCACCGGGATAGAGCCCCTACACATGGCGGGAGTTGAGGCCCTGATGGTCCAGAGCCTCACCCAAGGGACACTTCATAATGCCAAAGACGTTACGAGCGGAAGTTTCGTCGAGCAGTTCGAGAAGGCGAGAATCCTCCATATGTGCACCCATGGGCTCATCGATCCCGATCACCCCCTGAACTCGCATTTGCTTCTGCAGGATCGCCTGAGGGTGCTTGACCTGCTATCGGCTCGTTCCGATGTTGACCTTGTAATTTTCAGTGCTTGTCTTAGCGGGTCAGGCATAGCGTCCGAATCTGGGGACGTGGTTGGGTTCTCGCACGCCATCTTAGCCGCCGGAGCTCGGTCGTACATAGGGGCTATGTGGAAGGTCAACGATATAGCGACACTGATGCAGATGACGTTATTCTACCTCAATGTCACCAAAGGGTGCCTGGTATCTGAAGCGTGGCGTTTGGCCGCTGTGGAGCTGAGAGATTCAACGCCCGAGTCCATCAGGCAGTTCCTGATATCTATGATCGATCGATGGGATGCCTGGGAGGCAGAGGGTATGAACCCGGGAAATTTCGTCAAGGGTGGGAGGAAGAAGTTGATGAAGTTGGTCAATCAGGATCTCGATTTCAGACATCCTTATTTTTGGGGAGCTTTCACCCTTGTGGGAGACGGGGAAATATTGTACCACTTCACAGAAGCGGAGACAAAGAGCGCAACGGACACGATCTTGAATGAACCAAACTTAGAAATACATGCTTAAAAATCCAATCTCCGAATACATCGACATTCCCCTTTCGGTAAATGGTCCAAAAGATCTCACAAGGCGTCATTCATCGATTGCTTTCCACTTAACGGAACGCGCAGGGCAGGCATCCGAGTCTGTTGCTCCGCCCGCTCCGGCATCGCCTCCACCTAACGTCACGCACCGCCCCGATGCCCACGTCTCTGATTGGCCAACGTCTGCAGAGCGAGGAATACGGCGGCCGGCAGTGGGGCCGCTAACCAATGGAACGACTACCGTCAGCGTTCCCGTCTGACTGCATGTCTCACATCGTAGTCAATTTACATTTTACTACCACTTAAAGTAGAAGGGCGAGCTGAAGCTTTTAGTCTGGTCGTCTACGCAGTATAGTAAAATGCATGAGAAGGACGCGTGGGAATTACGGTGAGAAAAGACAGTTGCTTGGTGATGTCTCATCTGGTGAACCGCGATGAGGTGTCAGCGTAGCTGCGCCTCTGACGCAAAGCGACGCTTTCACTGGGCGACGAGCGCCACAGTCTACAAGCTGGCCTGTAGGCTAAAGGAGGAGTAGCGAATTAAACGAGTGCGAAGCGTGAGACAAGGGCTTAGCGCACTCGCATTGCTCGTTTTGCCTGTCGAGGCTATGCGTCTTGGATTGAGAGCTCCCTGATATCTTGAAAGGATCATATAAGGTCATGTTAGCCCCCGTGTGTTTCAAATCATCGACCAACGGACAGTAAGCGAAGACTTTATTTCTCATTTTGCTAAGTCATTGTACATCATAAGCACCCGTCTTCTGCACCTACCATACATATCTCTGGTGGTTTCCGCGACGTTACACACAACTCCGTAAACATATCATTGAAACGAACAACAAAGCAACTCCACATCAGAAACATAAGGAGAAACTCAATACAGCAAGGCATAATCACACAAAACCTGCTATAAATTAGCCGCTCGTCATGGCAACTCTCGTAGACCACCCAAAGGGCGTTGACAACAATATCCCACTCCCGGAGTACTCACCAGCGGAAGGACTACAGCTCGCCGAGCTCACGCCGTCCACTTCAACATCCAGCCTCCCGCCAACATATGACGATGCCACGGCATCCGTATCGTCGGCCGTCGTAGCCAGAGACGCATATGCATCAGGCAGCCTACCGCCAACGACCACAACAGGTTTCACCCCGACAGTCCAATTCCAGATTGAGACAACGGGGAAACAGTGGCTTTCATTGCCTACCGGGACCCCTCCGGTTCCAATCCCCGTCTATAGGGTCGAGGCCGGGTCGTGGACCGAGCAGTCCACGCCGGCATACGTCTCCCTCCGCTTTTCTCGCAAAGATAGTAGCTGTCACCTGATGCACGGCGATGACCAGTCGCAGATGCCCGTGTGCACGACGCTATATCGCTTCGGTCCGGGTAAACCCCCGGTGTTCCGTTTGCCGAGAGAGAATTCTTCGGGTTCGGCCTCAGCAGGGTCTCCTCTGTCTTCTCCTTTGCCCAATACCGAAGACCAGGCCTTCCACGCCGATACCTCCAAGGCAGAGGAGCCATCGGTTGAGAAAAACGAACTGGACCTGCCAATCGTTTCAAAGTCCCTTACCTCGCGCACTCAGGTCCTCAAGACCCCGCACGGCACCTTCCAGTGGCGCTACGCCTCCCGCGAAGAGCGCGCCACCGTAGAAGGGGCAGACAGTTTGCTCGTCTGCGAGCTCGTGCAGAAGGTCAGCCCGGAGGGCGGGAGGAAACCTGAGGAGAAGACGAGGAAGATCGCACAGCTCGTGCGCGGAGAGGGGACGAGGAGTCAGGGCAGTGGGCGGAGCACAGCTGGAAACGGCGGCCGGCTGATGATTGACCTTTTCAGGTGGACGGATTTGAAGGACGGAGGAAGGGAGGTGGTGGAGCATCTCGTTGTCGCGAGTTGTATATGCATGTTGAAGAAGGAGGTCGACCGGAGGAGAATGCAACAGATGATGATTCTCGGAATGGGCGCCACTGGCTTTTGAGGGTCAGGACTCAGAAGTCATTTGGCTGAAGGCTTAGCGTAGATTTTCTTTTCTTGATATGTGTTACTTTTAGAGAAGCCAGTTCCTGATTTATATAAATATCCCCTTTCAATGTTAAACATGCCATATCAATGAGCGAGAACCTCTAGCGAGAAGATGAACGAAGTAAAGGTACAGCTTCTTTCTACAATCCCAAAGGGGAGAAGATCTTCCTGATCTGAAATCACTTTTCCTACAAGCAGAAGTTCATCACATGGCCAACTTCACATGGCCAACTTTCAAAACCTCACCAACGACAGTCCGAAGAAACCGTGAAACGTCAGCATAGCCCAACACTTCGCAGAGCCATGACACCATGCCCCAGCCAAACTTCAACCACCGGTCTTGGTACCAGCAACGAGGGGGGAAGAAAAAGTATCCAAGACATAGAAAATACGATTGGTGCTCGCGCAGTCCTATCTCAAATACACGATACACGACGCTGACCCACGTCCCACAGATATCAATTCTACACTACCGGTTGGGGGAAAAGAAAAATGTTTAGTTCACCGACGCAACTTGGTCCCAATGCAAAATGCAACGCAACCGCCCAAACAAACCATGTAAAAAGCCGCAGTATAGAGACTATTACAGATATACATCTTCAACGTTCTTCATCACACCGTCTCCTAACGTCCACCTCTCTCAAATGAGTTCCTGCCGGACAGGCTCGCCCGTGACATTAGCACCGCCTAGGACCTTCTCGGCGTCCAGTTTGCCGATTGCAGCGCGGTACTATTGCGTTTGTTTGTCAGTATCAGATCAGACGGTTATGGAAAAGGACAAGTGGTCAACTTACGGCAAATACAAAGTTCAAAATCAGGGCAACCATCATCGCAACGCTGATAATCAGCGGTCCAACGAGGTTGTCAAAGTCCTTGCCGCTGCGGCTCATAATCATCTTCCTGCGCACGTGCATCATGCCGTATCCCCACAGGCCGGCAAAGACGGCAATCAAGATATAGACGATACCCATGATCTCGGCGAGCTCATTCTCTCCTGCGGCAGTGTACAAGGATACCGCCAGGGCGCCAAGAAGGATGCAGATGTGCTGCCACTTGAGGAACGTACGCTCGTTAGCCAGCCACACCTTGGGCTCGATCTTGAGCTCGCCCGAGTTCTTGAGCCACTCGGTCGGCTCAACAACACCTTCCGGCAGCTGCTGCTGGTTCCGCTGCGCCCGCTTGGCCTTGGAGTACTTGGACAGTGAGAAACCAGGCAACACAGATGACAGCGTGCCGTAACTCCTCTGCTGGCTCTCGCCGTTCTGCTGACCGTTGGCCTCTTGGCCTTCGGCGTTGCCAGCCTGTCTGGAGCGGGCGCTCGCCTCCGCGGCCATTCTGTTGGCCAGGTACGAAGTTCCCGCTGGTGAGCTCTTGGATACCTTGTAAGAGCTGACTTTGTTGCCCAAGAAGCTGCCGACGGCCTGCTCATCCTCAGCGCGCTGTGCCCGGCGCTGCTCCTCGGCCTCAAAAGCCTTCTGGGGGTCCTTGCGGATGTCGGACTCGAGGTCGCTGAGCCAGAAAGGCAGGCTGTTGACGTAGTCCTCAAAGAGCGAGGCGACACCGTGGACGAACTTGGAGAAGCGCGGCGCGGGGTGCACCAGGTGAGAGGCCATCAGATCCGAAACCCACGCGGGCCGCTTACGGTGGGGGTCCTCCTTGAGCTTGATCTCCAGGATGCCGTACGGGAAACGGGAGACCTCGCTCTGGTTGATGTCCTTGAACGGGTAGGTCAGGTTTCTGTCGTCAATGTCGACACGGTGCCACTCGGCCGGGTCGCGGCACGGCCTGTCACGGTCCAGGGTGTCCTCGCGGATGAAGGCGACCTCGGTGTCGATGGATATACGCACGCGGTCGTCGGCAGGCTTCTGGAAGGCGGTGCGGACGTAGTTGGCACGTAACACGGGCTCCAGCTTGTTCTCCTGGACGAAACCCTGGAGGGCTTGAACGGTGTCCTTGAAGCTCTCAATCTCCCCCGCCGGCCGCCCCTGGCGCTCCATCTTCTCCACCGTCTTCTCCATCTTGTACGTGCCGTCAATGAACGGCTTGATGTACTTGTCCTTGATGGTGAACTTGCGCTCCTCGCTGGAACCGTTCTCGCCGACAGTCTTTTGCTCGATGAACAAGTCAGGCTTCGAGCTCAGCTGCCCATACCACCGCACACGCAGCGAAGAGGCCTCGGACTTGCGCTCCACCTTCTTTCCGTACAGGTCGAACTTTGGGCTGTCAAAGTACAGCGAGGTGATGGTGGGGTCGTTGGTACCGTCGAGCTCCTTGGCCGACTGTTCGCTGTAAACAAGAGCGGGAAGCCGTCTCATGATGTAGGTCTTAACTTCCAGCAGGTTGTCCGAGTGCACCCAGAACTTGTGCGCCGTATACCTCTCGCCGTTGTGCGTCTCGCCTTGGCTCTCGAGGTCCAAGGGCTGCTGGTCGACACCGCCCTCGTCAAGCTGCTGGCGGATGGCATAGTACATGATGGACAGCTTGTTGAGGAGCGGGGAGTAGCCCTGCTCCGAGTTGAAAGGCCTCCGTGACAAGCTCAGCTGCATCATGGGGCGCACCTTGTAGCGGTCGCCGCGCTTGCGGTCGTGCTTCTTGACGATCTTGAGGAAACCGGTATAGTTGATGTTGCTGTACTTCTTCAGCTCCGATATCTCGGTCGTGATCTTGTCGAGCTCCGCCTCAATCTCCCGCAGCTTCTGCGCCGTCGCGGCGTCGGCCTTCTTGAAGTTCTGCGATCCATCCTGCTCCTGCTCGTTGCTGGACGGCGGCGCCAGATCCTTGAGCTTCTCGAAAGCGGCGTCGACGCGGTCCTTCAAGACGTTGAACGTCTCCTCCTGAAACTGGGCGACCTTCTCGAGTTGTGTGTTGAAAATCTCGTCACAGAAACGGCTCTCGTCCTCCTCGGTCCACGCGACGTCTTCATCATCGTACTTGTCCTCCCGCAGCAGTGACTTGAGCTTCGCGTAGTCGATATACTTGTCCTTCCACGGCGCGTAGACCGCTTGCCGAAGCGTCTTTCCGAATCGCATGATGGGCTGGTGGTGGCGGCGGCGACGACGGTTGTTGTTTAGGAGACGCGCGAGGGGGGTTTATTCGGTAGAGTTTGGAACTACAGGGGTTGCGAAACGGTACGCTCTCGATCTGCCTTTTGTCCGGTTCGCTGAGAGACGAACGGTATCGAGAGAAGTCGCAAGAGTCTGACTTGGCGTCTCCTATCAACTAGAACCGAGCCGGCAGGTCTAGGAGTGGGAAAAATTTCAATCGAGGCAACTGAGATGGAAAGGAAAAACAAGCTTCGGCTGCGTCAAGGTGATGTCGGGTTCGCCTGGTCCGTGGTTGCTGAAGCGCGGCCCCACACATTGTCCCGTCCCAGCGCCGCAGCTCCATGGTCCCGCCACCTAGCGCATTGGCCATTGCCCTATCAGCTGCTGTGGTTACAGGCACGTGTGCTCGCTACAGATACAGACATGCAACGAAACCCCTCCTGCGGGGACGTCGAGCCCCATTGTCCAGAGAAATCTGAGGAAGAGAGGACTGACATGGCCCGCAGAGCTACCACCCCTGGTGTTTTTCGCTTTTCGCCTCAGAAACGTTCGCGAGCTGCATAGGACCGAGGCACAACTGATGTTTGTTTCCAGAATGAAGTCAAAAATAATATTCAAAGAACATCTATACTCGTAAATGAATGACGATTATCATTAGGCTTAAGAAACTCCTCATACAACCCATCCAGAGAATGACCTTTGAACCACGAATCTAAAACCCTGTAAATAGACCCCTTTAAGCCGTACAACCCGTGCTGGTAGATTCCTTTTCCCTTTTTGTTTTGTTCATCTGATAATGCTTATTTCTGAAGCCACTGGTCAACAGCGACGTCAACCTGCTTCCTGTACTCCTGCTGCGTCTTGCATTGCTCGAGGAAGACCTTGTACTTGGCGTCGAAGAGGAATTTCTCGCCCTTGAGCGTGCCGGGCTTCACAAGCTTGCCGGGCTTGCTCATGCGGTCCATAATGGACCACAGATTCTCCGTTGTGCCATCCTCGGATGCTGTCGCCGCCTTGGCGCCGAGCATAGCGGCTCCGTGGACCACGGCTGCGTTAACGTAGCGGGGCACCAGGACGGGCATATCGCAGATGGTGGCCATCAGGTCCATAAGCAGCGGGTTCTGGCACTGACTGCCTGACATGAAGATGGTGTTAATGACGTGACCGGCGTTGTTCATGGCCTCAATGATCTGACGCGTCTGCATAGCGATGAATTCCATCGTCGCATAGTACCACAGCGCCAGGTTGTCGGTCGTCTTGTCACTGCTCAACCCAATGACAGCTCCCTTCATGTTGGGATCAGCAACAGGCGATCGGTTGCCCCACAGATCGCCGTAGAAGAAGAAGTGACGGCCAAGGTACGAGATTGACGGAGCGTTCGTCTTCTCTGCCATGTACTTGAGGTGGGCATTGAGGAAGTCGTAGATGTTCTTTGACTCAGCCGTAGCAAGTGCCTGTGTCTCAACGAAGGCAGGGTGGATATCGAGGATGTGTCGAAGGAGCTCGCCAGTGGCGGATTGACCGCCCTCAGCCATCCAGAATTCGGGAAGCAGGACATCGCGGTAGGGACCCCAGACACCGGGCACGAAAACGGCATCTCTAGACATGGCCAAATGGCACGTTGATGTTCCCGCGACCGCAGCCAATCTGTGGAATGCCTGGGAGATGTCGTTCTTCGGGACCTCTTCGTCAAGGTGGTCGGGAGGAAGCTCGACCTTTGCTCCGACGGTACCTATCCAGCCGGCATAGGCGTCAATCACACCTCCACCAACAGCAATGCCCTCAGGAAGTCCCAGCTCCCTGGCGGCCTTCTTGCTGAGCGTGCCAACGAGCTCTCCGGCGCTTTGGTATTTTCCGTTCTAACACAACAGTCAGTCAACTGCACTTGAAAAGGTTAAGATTGTAGGATATGGAATGCAAAGAAAAAGGCTCACCACCCCGTTGACACCACCAAGGCGCTTAAAGTTGTCTTGGACAAGGTCCTCAAGACCAATTGTTGTCAGAAAATCATCCTGCCAGCCCTTGACGCTACCGTCAACGCCAACAGGGACGTAGCCCTGCTTGCAAACGGTGCTGCAGAAGCTTCTTGTCTCGTTGCCGGTGGCCATGTGCGTGAGGGCATCCGCGAGATCGTAAAACTTGCATCGGTCAAAGAGCTCCTTTGGCATGTTGTTCTTGAGCCAGAGAACCTTGGGAATCTCCATCTCGATGCTCATGGTGCCACCAACGTACTTGAGCAGGTTGTGCTCAGTAGCGTTGATCTTCTCCGTCTCCTCGACGGGGCGGTGGTCCAGCCAAAGAATCACATTGCGGTCGTTGCCGTCGGCGTTGTCGAAGTCGGGGCCAGTAACGGGGACAGGCTCGTCGGTGTCATGGCTGAAGACGGCGAGAGAGCAAGTGGCATCAAAACCAATGCCCTTGATCTTGGCGGGGTCGACGGACGAGTCGATAAGGACTTGCTTGACGCAAAGGCAGATGCATGCCCAGATGTCTGTTGTCGATTGTTCCTGTCGATAGTCAGTTGAGCTATCCCAGCAGTGAATCGCAAAGTGATTTGTGCTAGGAAAGACTGCAGAAACCTACATAGTAACCAGTCTCGGGCTGCCACAGCTTGATGGGCTCGGTGGCAAGTGCTTTGATGTCGCCAGTCTCATCGATGATGCAAGCTCTGGCAGAACCAGTGCCCACGTCGATTCCAATGTAATGGTCCTAGTGAATCGCCCAGAGTCAACAATTTGCGCTTTTGTCGAATGACGTGAGCGAAGCTCTCGCTGTCGATCGGCCAAACTTACAAGAAGCTGAGGAGGTCTAGGAGGGAAGCTTGTTAGCTAGTCTGTTTCTCTTTCTCTCTCTCTCTCTCTCATATAAAGTTGGCACGCAGCTAGCATGCTAGAAGCCGGGTTCAAGCTCAATGGCTAGCTATGGGGAAAAAACGGTAGAAAATGAGACTTACTCCATGATGTGCAGAAGTTCACCAGATCACAAAGCTATCTATCAGGTAGTGGAGGTGAGACTTGATAGCCTCTGTATGTCAATTGGCAAACGAATAGCTACAAGGGGAACAGACCAGAAAAAGAGGGAAGAGCTCCTGGGGCATAGGCATACACACACGCGCACATTTGTTGAAGAGGAGGAAAGAGGCTGTGACGGGGAGCTCTCTTAAAAGGGACCTCAACACGAGCTGGAGGGGCGACCGGACAGGACACAGCATCCAGACCGCGACCAACTTTTGCGACGGGGGTTGAGCTTGTGCTTGTGCCGCCTGCCCAGGACCTGGACCCTTTCTGCCCCTCTCCATCAAGTGGGGTAATAGGTACAAAAGCTACCCTGCTCAGTATAGGTCATCTTGTACATGATGCAAGAGAAGGGCGATTAGAACCCCGTGGACAGCAAAAAAATAATTAAATAAAATACAAAAAATTGGCGGCGCGGGATGGATCCGCGGCCTGTGTCAGCTGCAGTTCCAAGCGCTACCGGGGGAATGCCAGACTCACCCCTCGTAATGGGGGGCAACACCGATGGGATGGAGGGGGGAGTGGAGGGGGCGGAATCCACAATTCGGGGTGTGTCTAAGAGCAGTAGCAGCCTGCGCATAGTTGACCGACGTTGGGGAGAAATCAAGGGGGGGAACAGACAAAACTGGGGGATGCTCGGGAGAGCAGCCATGTCTTCCAGGAAGGTCCCTGGATGGTCACGGCCCAAAGCTCCAGAATTACCATGCTCCGATATCCGGGACACACACACACACACATAACTCATCAGCTAGCTCATCCAACAATTCTCTACACTACGCTGTACACTATACACATCTCCCCAGCATCCCCGAAGGGAGGCAAAAGAAGGACGTAGAAGAAGGGAACAACCCCGCCCTGACGTGTTCCCCACATGATTCCAGAAAAAGCGTGAGTTCGTAGAACAAAGCGGACTACTCGAATTAGCAAGAACTGGAGAAACGCTTAGCTGACGGGAGTTGTATCAAACCAATTGGGCAGAAACAAAACTTGGAAGCTCCCTCCAGATTTATGACATTGATTCCGTTTTATTTTTTGAATTTTACCATGTGTCTTCTCTGTCTCTTTTCCCACCGCCACGCCGTTTTGGACCACAATTTTAACACAGCTGCAACCTTTTACTCCGGACACTAATACTCCAGGGTTTCTCAAATTCCATGCAACCTGATTCAATTCAATGGGTTTCGATGGGGCAAAGTTGCAGCAAGTTCCCTGAACAATAAGCGGGCTATGTCTTTTTTTTTTCATCTTCTTTTTGCTTCTGACCCAAAGCCTGCCATTTTACTCCTTCGAGAAAGGGAAGGAGGGACAAAAGAAAATAAAAGAAAAGAAAGAGGGAAAAGAATAGAAACACTACCAAGAGTTAAGGAGAAACAGGATCTGCAACACTTGAATCAATAAACTGACACAAACACCCAGAAACGAAGAAGTAAAAAAAAAAAAAAAATAGAAAGACAAGCGGAACGTCGGGAAGCCCAAAAAGGGCTGACCCGAATGACTGACTTCTTGTGCCTCTACCCTACTGCCCCCCCGTGCCGCTCAACGTCGGGGGCTAGAACGACCACCGACACCGCCGTCGCCGATTGTGAGTTCATCCTACATAGTATACGCTATCTTCCCCATCTTTTTTTTTTTTGTCTCCATCCTATCCGCCTCCATGCGACCCAATCGTAGCTCGACATGCCTCACTTAGAAGATATTATTCATTCAGAAGCACCCTTCTCAACGAGATAAGACCAGGATTGGTAAAAAAAAAAAAAGAGAAGGAGAAAAAAAAAAAAGAAAGAAAGCCGCCTCGGGGAAGGAACGGGGAAATGCCACTGGCTACATAATAGTCGTGCCCCCCCCCCCCCCTCTCAAGAACATTCCAGGCCGCCAGCCAGCCCTGGCATTCACCATGCAGATACCGGAGTGCCCAAAACCGCAATAAAAAGGGCTTGTCATTAGCAAGGATTACCACAGATGCGCCGCGGCGTCCCCCCCTCGAGCGCATTCTAGCGTAGAGTCAAGAGTGTGGGGAGTGGGACGTGGGATGCGGTACAACGGCAAATCCATGGATCACAAGAGCTCATGTGGAGAAACAAGGCACATTGTGAAGAAACTATACAGGCGGAGGCGGAACTCCTTTTCCATGGTTTTTTTTTTTGCCATGCAATGTAACTTGCTAAAAAATTCCGTCCCGTCCACCTGAATGCCCATGATGATCATCACAGTTAACAGGGACAGATGGGATAATTACGGCTGCACGAGCTGGCCGCTATCTTATTAACTAATAGTGAGGGTGATACCTGGCTTCAAAGAAGCAGAAGAAGCACGGTAAACACTCCAGGCTACAACATGTGGAAAGTGCCTGGATGCCCAATGTGAGTATTTCAGCCCTTGATGCCCGCTTGTGCTGTCACCTGTCCGGCGTTGCGGTGTGCTGCACACTTGGCCTTCATGGCTTCTATTTCCTAGGACCTCTCTGAGCCTGTTGGCGTTATCTCCGCTGATGTGGCCTAGCCTTGCCAAGCATGTAAGTTGACCACGATACCGGAAGGCTCGTCCGTCGATCTCTCGCCCGGCAACTCCGACGAACGGAGGAGCCTCACCTACACACCATCAAGTCTCGTCTTCCAGCTTGCCGCCCGAGCCCCTGCTGTTCCGTGCGTGCCGATCACCCCACGATCGCCGGCCCCTTTTAACAATCCTGTTGATTCTTTTCCCTGTTCTCCTTGCTTGGATTCGCCGGCGTTCATCCGTCGCACGACCTCTTTTTGAATCGCGCATACCGCCTTCCAATCAATTGTTTCGTATTCTGAACAGCTCTCGCTTGGCACCGCGTAATGCCCTGAAAACGTGCTTTGTGTGTTTGTCGAATATGCAGATGGTAGTGTCTCCTGTGCCTCCCCGAAATGCTCCTGGCGCCCTCCTGCGTGTCCATGTAAATCGCTAATAATTTAGCTCTGATTTCCATTTACTGTCGTCCATCTTTAGTTTTCCTCGTAGAGATTTCAGGTCATCCTGCTGCACTTGTTAGCTCCGGCCTGTCAATACAGGTGTTCGCATTTGCTATACTTACTTCGGCTTTCCGCTTGCCAAGCACCGGCTCGGGCGTCCCCCTCGAGTATACCGGCGTACTTTCCCGTGCCTGAGTTGCCTCCGCATGACAGCTGTAATGGAATGCCCGGTTGCCCACCAAAATTGTATCCAGCCACACCCACTCTTGTGCAGTGTCCAGCCACTTGTTCTCGAACTTCTCTTGGCATATGGGGCAGACGCTGTTGATTCCGCTTGAGGCGTCTGGCACAGGAATGTACTTGGGTTTTGCTTCCTTCTTTTCTCGACCGGGGCTAGATGAGGAGTTGTCTGTTGGGGGCACGTGGTCGACGTCGATGGCTTCCCTTGACTTGAGCCAATCCTGTGTTGTGTTAGACGTTGCCCAACTTTTAAGACACGCATGGGGACTTACATTGTTGTCGACATACCAACTACGGTGTTGGCCTCGTTTCTCCGCTTCCGCAAGCCGTTGGTGAGCTTTGAAATGCCAGTCCATGTGTGCCATCTTCTTCTTCCTGCCCTCCTCGTCTGTCTGAAACCGTCTGCCACATTGAGTGCATTGAGGTCCAAGTTTCTCATACAGTGATGAAATCAAATGTGGTTGATATCTTTTAGGGAGGTCAGTATGCCTTTATCTCCTCAGAGGGACGATGACTTACTGTTGTTTGAGTGCAGTAGCATCAAGTTGGTTGGGATTGGGATTTGGAGGCGGAGGCCGCGGCATGCCTGCCAGCAAACTGGCAATATTGGGGGGCAACAAGCCGGGTGGCAGCATCGGCATTCCCGGAGGCGGAGCTGGCGCAGCGGGAACTGGAGGCACTGGCGTTGGTGTTGCGCTCGGTGCTCCACCGGGAAGCAATCCGGCTTGCCGCAAGCCTGCAAGCAGTGCCATAGGATCAGTGGCTGGAGGAGCGCTGGGCTGCCGTACCGGCTCGGCCCTCTGTGGAGGAGGAGACCGTATCGCCATGTTCGGGAACGGCGGCGGCGGCGTTGGGGTCGGTGCTTGCGGTGTAGCCGACTGCCGTGACAACAGAGCAGCAAGAGTCCCCTGGCCAAACAGAGAATCAAGTGTCAAACCTCCTGGCTGTTGAGGAGGGGCAGATGGCGGTACTACAGGCGCCGCAGCAGCGGGCGGTGGATGATGAGGAACAGGTGTAGCAGCAGGGACAGGACCCTGGGCCGAGAACGGCCTCACTTTTACAGCAAGATCAGCTACTTGATTCTTTATAAGGACCAACTGGTCCTGTGGCAAGTTCTGGTGTTGGAGCAAGCTCTGCACATCCAACAACGCCTTAAGTCTTTGTTGAACACTATGATCATGTGGGTTCTGCGCAAACTCCAACTTCGATGCATCGATCAGCTTCTGGATATCTTGGCCCAGAGAGTCTATGCTTATCCCACCAGCCTGAGGAGGGCCTGCTAGCCCAGCTGCATGTGGCATCTGTGGCATCTGTGGCATCTGTGGCGGGGGCTGGTAGGGCCCGGGGGCCGCTGAGGGCGGCTGAGCGCTATATGACGCTGGGGGAGGCTGTGATAATACTCAATGTCAAGACTTGGTACAGGGTAAGAGAGTGGAACATACTGCATAGGGTGTCATCTGCGGATGATGCGGGAGCGGCGCGCTCGGAGCTCTATTGCCATTGGGCTGCTGCATGGGAGGCGGCACGCCATATGGTCCTGGCTGGTTAGAACCGGGTCGCACGCCGGGAGGCGTAGGCGTCTCGCGGTATGGCGCACCAGGTCGTCCGCGGCCGAGTTGCCCACGGCCCTGCTGAGCTTGAAGAGCTGAAGTGCGGGCCTTCATCAGAGCACTCTCGATCGGCTGTGTCACCTCCGGAGCAAAAACTGGACGCTTGTCCAGAGATCCGGGCACGGGTTCCTTCCACGTGCGAAGCATCTCATCCATCTTACGGCGCACCTGTCCATCGACTGCCGCGTACGCTTCCATAAATGTCTGATATAGCTTGGATCCGAAGAAGAGAGTATATGGGGTGCCGACATTTTTGACAATCGAGTCGAGGACATAAAGTGCTGGGAGCTTCTTGTGTGCAGGAGCCTGTGATACATGTTAGAAACTATACGGAACTAATGGGTAGGTGGTGGGATTCCACATATTGCTATCGCCGACAAGCACAGTGACTGTGTGCGCCATTAACTACAAGCAAAAAGGTTTACTGACCTTCAGGATGTGGTCCTGCAGAACTTCAGATATGACCTGAGCATGCTCTGTCTGCTCTCTTGCAATCATGGTCAGATTGCTAATTTCGAAGCGTACGTTGGTAGTCAAGTCTTCAAGGGCCTGACGGTAGTCTTCCGCCACCTCGGCGGCAGACGCTTCGTAGGACATTGTTGCGAAAATTTCCTTTGGTGATGAAGTTTGATATTTCTTGTCAAGAGCACGCGAGTAGTAGCGAGCGATAATTGCAGACAAGCGAAAGAGTGACGAGGAGAAGTTCCAATCGTCCTCAACCTTTCACTGTGAGCACTGGAAAGCACAGAAAAACCACCCTTATTGTATGGGAGCAACACACGTCCGCTTTGATGGAGAAGACGACGCTGATAACCTAAACTGGGAGGGCCGATGTGCAGTTTCCAACTCTCGCGTCCAGGCCTCCTGCTCAAATCCTCCACACCAAGCCAACCAGATCCAAGCAGATAGCGAGATCACCACTACGACATCATCCGACGCGAGCTATCGCATCTACTGGAAGTATGCAACGGTGTCTCTTTGATGTATATGAACGTAGGGGAGCGTCGCGAAGACGGCGCGGATGGCAGTTGATTGATCACGAGGAGATCGTTGCGATGGAAGAAGTCAAATGAGCAATATGGCTATTATTCTGCGTCGAAGCAAAACACGCGCGTCGTCAGTTGATCGAGGTGGGAGTTTCAGGTCGTCTTGGATGAGGTTTTAAAAAAATCCTTGCTGGAAGCAAAGACGGATGTGATTGACGTCGTACCAAGCTTAGGCGGCGGAAGATAGCCAAAAACGCAGCCTAGGCGGGTCCATTGGGGGTCACGTGCTCACTTGCACGATAAGAGTCTGGCAGTGGCTGGCAGCGGAAACAATGGATGGGATGATTAACTGGGGTCTTCGCCGAAAGCGGCAATGGAGGTCGACACCTCTTCCCTTCTGTAGGTTTCACAGGGGGTGAAACAGGGGGTGAAACGGAATTCCGTTCGTCAATAACAAATAACAGTAAATTGGTTCTAATCGATGGTTCATGATGATAGTTGAAAGTGGTGTTGTTGACTAGAAGGTGGGGATATTCCCCCTTGGCCTGTCACGTGGGTCTGGGAGGCTTGGGCCTCTCAGCCTGGCGGGCGTGTGGCTGGAAGTGCCACACGGCTCCGTATTCCAACTATCGCAACACTGGAAACTCTCTTTTTATGGTGTTGAAGCGGTTGGAATACGTTGTCCCTATACAGTTCCGTCTCCTCGTCAATTCGGCCTCCTATCCCTACTTTCTCCCGTAGTTACGGTCTTGTTACCCATCCCTCCATACGTATCGTTATCGTGTTGCTATCAACGAATCTCTCGAGGGCTCGATTTGGTTTGCTCTTCGTGAGGGCATCAGCAGGGTTGTCTTCGCCGTTAATCCAACGAATTTCTTGTAGTTCTCGTCTTTCGTACGATTGTCTCAACGCCATGATATCGATCATGAGTCGCTTTTCTTTGGTAGTGCCCAGCTTCACGAGACACTCGTACAGCGAATAAGAATCGGTACAGACAACTGTCTGAATCGTTGGTAGGTTGAGGTGGTCAGTGATTGTCGCCAGGGTTGTGGCGAGGGCGTAGGCCATATCGACGCTAGCGACCATCCCGTAGATCTCTGACGCTAATACGCTGCGGGTGACTCGTTTACTCTTCGTAGAGCTGTAATGAACGAGGTTACCGTGAATCGTGAATTCTCCGTTGTTGCTGTCAGAGGAAGTGTCGTTGGCTAGGATGATCAGAAACCCTAATTGGGAGGAGAGGTCGTGGTTATTAGCGAACGACCCGTCAACGAAAACGAATAGCTTGGCTGTTGTAAGGTCGAGTGGGATAAACGTTATTCCTCGGTTAGGCGATTCTATTTGCCATCGAATCCGTTGATTCAGTGCTTTTATCGCTTCTGGCGAGGGGTCTTGGTGTTGGGCAGCAGTGGATAAATCGAAACAGGCCTCGGGTTGGCAAATTGACGCGATGTACGCCCCTCTGGCGCGTTGTTCGACATATTGCTGTTTTGGGTTGGGTTTAGTAGTCTCAATACATCGTAACTTCTTGGCTTGTCCCTTTTGTCTCAAATTGATCGAATTGTCGGTTGACAGCGCGATTATCCCTCCGTTGAATTGGAGGGGTTCGTCAATTGTGAGGATATTCTTCGCTTTTGCCGTAAAAGCCGCTTTTTCTAACTGTTCGTCTTCTAATTGTGAGAACGCCTTGTCTGACAAACCGAGGGTATCGTCGGTTTGCATGCCGATACAGCCAAAGTGTGGATTTTCGGTAGATGAGATCAATAGGCATGGATCGTACGAAGAAGTAACCATCTGGAGATTCTCTCTGTGATGCTTGTGATACGTTGCCTACCAGTGGGTTCCAGCTTCTGCGATTCCGTACAGAGGCTTCACAACCTCCATAATGGTCCCTTTTGGGTACTGGTCTTGAATTTGCTTCGGTGGGTAGGCGAGAATAGTACGATTGAGCCTTGTGGAGGATTGAACGTAGGCTTGTGTGATATCTCGAAGCCATAGTTGTTTCCCTTCTCGTAGGAGTGACGGGGTAATTGACAGAATTAGCCGTTGACTCGCCCGCTGAATCGTTGGCGATTGGGTCAATATAGCCTTCTTGCCATCGTCGGCGTAACCCTGTATTACAAGTCTCGATTTCTCGTAGGGTTCGGTTGTTTTACCCTTGACTTCGTTGACGATACGAGATCGGAAGATTCGTACGTTCTGGTGCCTTCTCTTATTGAACTGGGTGAATTTGAACACTCCTCTAGCGATGAGGCTGTTGGTCTCTTGTTTAGTTGACTGTTCGAACGGTTCGCCTGGTGTAGTAATAACACCTTCTCGTCGTAGTTTGATTGCTAATTCTTCGTCTGCTTGCTCCTTAATCGATAGGAATATTTGTTGATAATCCGGGTCATCGTTGAATTCCTCTGTGAAGTGGGCGATTGGCAGTGGTCTCTTCCGGGGTCTGCCCGGGCGTCTTCTCGGTGGCTCCGGTGCCTCTTGCGGTTCGTCCGGTTCACTGCCTCCGCCGGCGACGATAATTTCGTCGCGTACTACTTCCTGCTGCGGTATCTCAGCTTCGGGTTCTTCTTCTTCTGGCGCGGCGATGGAATTAGGTGGTTGATCGGGATCTTCGTAGTATGGTTTGACTACGGTAGACCGGAAGGTCTTCGGACCACGTGGCGTATCGACAGTACAGGTTTCGCCGTTTATGGCTGCTAAAGTAAACGGTCCGGTCCAGCCCTTCTTTTCGCGCCATACTCGTACTTGCGACCGTAGCGGTAAATTAACAATTGGCCCTGTATCAGGGCCATTGCGGGTGGCGATAGCTTCTGCCACCTGTCGCCTTGCGTGAAGTTCGCGTACTTCGCTCGTCGCCTTCTTAATCGCTTTCGCCCGCCTTGTGACTTCGGGAGATGGCGGCGAATCGTCGGTAATTCGTGGGTACGAGCCGAATACCAAGAGTGTTGGCACTATTCCGTTCGGGCCAGCAGTATCGTTGACTGCTTTGACTGCTGTTTGAAGTGCTGATTCTGGCGTAATTGTTGGGTCTTCTGCTCTGATGATTTCGTACGCCCTCCTTAGAGGTGTATGGTATCGTTCAACTTTCCCAATACTGTTGTGGGCTTCTATGGGAATTTCCTTGATTTCAATTGCCATTCCTCTCGCCGCGTTTCGGAATTCTGTTGAGCGGAAGTTTGTTCCAGCGTCGGTAACTAGCCAGTCTGGGGGTCCCTGATACACATCTATCCAGCAGAGGCGTAGGGCTTCCCAAGTGGCTTTCGCAGAAATGTCCTCAAGGAACCGGGCGGCGTTGAACGCCGTGGCGGTATCGACGACGTGGAGGACCGGTCTGTTACCCTCAAGGTACATCACGTCGGCGATAACCTCGTAGTTGAATTCGTAATCGTCTCGTAACGTGAATTTGAACCGTGATGGCGCTGGTGCGTGCATTTGGCATCGATGGCAGACTTTCGATAGTTGCTCAATTGCCGTAATTTCAACTGGGTGGCCGGCCCTCTGGAGCACCTTGTGTAATCGTTGAACAGATGGGTGTCCGAAGCGACGGTGAACCCGTCGCAATTCAGCGTCTGTGAGGTGGTTCCAGGCGAGTGGTTTCTCCTTATCGAGTAATAACCATGGGTGGCCCCATTTGCGAATAATAGGTACGACCTTATTTCCTTGGATGAGGGTATTCGTAACGTTGTTAAAGTAGACCTTCAATCGGTCCATATCTCCTAGGCACATAAGGAAGGGAGTGTTAGTCTCAATAACGTGAAATTTGACGCTTCCAAACGGCGTTGGCACTTTGGTAGTCCCTATAGACTCCAGTGGTATCCCATCGCCGAATTTCACTGTAACGCCGCCAGCCGCCTCAGTGTTTAACGTAATTCCTTCGTAAATTTGTTGTAGGGCCACGAATTGTGGGTGGCCAGCGGTTGAGAATCCTGCTGCGCCCGAGTCGGGCATGATCCCTTGGAAGTTCTGGGCAGAGTAGCGTCCCTCGAGTGTGAATTGCGAAGGTAGCTCTTTCGGTTCTGGTTGGTTGCGGAAGAGGTCTTCTTTCGTAATAGCATGGCGGGTTGACTGGTCTGCTAGGATCGTGGCGATCCTGTTGCCGTCAATTGCTGTTGTAGTGAAATAGGCGGTGACCTGGAATTGACTGTCGCTGCCGGTCTCTTCCTCTTCGTCACTTTCACTGGTTTGTTCGGTTACGTGGTAGTATTGCTGGGGGTCTTCGGCGGTAGGTTGTAGGTCTAACCCGTCGAAACCCTCGTATTGGACGAGAAATTGGCCATATGCTGGAAGTGACGTATCCTGGGCATATTGGGTGGTTTTGAACTTCTCGTACGCTTTTCGTCTCTCTTCTGTGGTGTGTTTGGTTGACCAGCAGTTAGGTTTTCCACACACGTAGCACTTCTTAGGCGTTGGCGGTAATAGGGGTCTGTCACGGCTTCTTCCTCGTGATGATCGACTTCGTGATGAACGACTGTATCGTGAATAACGCCCTCGACCGTTGAAAGTTCTGTCGGTCCAGTACTGCTCTGGTGGGTTGGCTACTGTGTTGAATTGTTGTTGGTTGAGACGGGTAGCTGTCTCGATCGACGAGATTAATTGGCTGCGAAGTCCCTCGTACGTCTCAGCCGGTACAAATAACGCCATTGCACACTCTGGAATATCTCTACAAGCGTGTAGAAGTTGGGTATGGAGGGATCGGTCGTTGTGATCCTGTTGTGGCAAACCGGGCTGAATCTTGCTTAATTTGTCACATAGTATGTCAAAACACTCCGATTTGGTCTTTCCAGGGTTATCGCGAATGATTTGGGGAAGAGTAGTTGTATTCCACTGCGTAACGTACGCTTGTTGCCTTTCCCTAGTCTCGAAGTGTGATTTCAATTGGTTGATCATGGTCTCGAAGTTGGGCTGTGGGTTGATCACTTTAATCGAGGCGTAGAAGTAGGTTTTGGCTATTCCTTTCAGTATTAGGGGAAGTGCCCTGTTGTATTGGGAGGTGTGAATTCCCAGCATTCTACAGTGATCCACGAATACTGGCATCTTCTTTTCGAGTACATCGTACATATCGCCGCTGTATTTCATATCGTCGGGGTACAGTTTCGCGAATTCTGTTAATTGCTTTCCGATACGGTCTGTTGACTCGTATGGTTGGAAGTCTGTTAACGGAGAGACCGTGGGATGTGGCGGTCGGTACGGTAGTTGCCACTGTTGTTGTTCTTGTGGAGGAGGTGGCTGTAGGGTTGGTTCGACTCTTCCTCCTGTGCTGTTGGCTACTGTTGCCGGTCTCGTGATCTCTTCGTGGAATTCGGGGTCTTTTATCAGAGCCTTCAGGTTGCGATATCTCTTGACGCCTTGTTCGAGTTCTTGGGGTGACCAGTAGTGGAATTCTTCCTTTTTGAGGGCTAATGCCACGTTTTTCGAGATTTTCTTGCCATCCATTTCGACGTAGACGCCGTTACCGATTAAATGGTCTCTGAAGAATCGTAGGATTGGGGGAGGTACGTTCTGGAAGTCTTCTTCTGACCAGTCGGCGAAATCGGGAGAAACTTCGTTCCATAGCTCGAGGCCCGTGAGATTCCTCTTCTCATAGGTCTCAAGTAGGAAACCCATATAGGAACCCAGTTGCTGTGGGCTAGCGTTTGTAAGGTCGATTGCCCAGTTGCCCCATACTGCTGGATCGATCATACTTTCGATTCTCTGTGGGATGGGGACTGTTGATTGGCTTTTGGCAGTGACGCCGCTCGCGGGCGATCCTTCTCGTGAATTTCGCTCCATTCTGACAGTATAAAAGGATTACTTCGTAGATTCTCTCGTGAATCTCTCTTTCTCGCTTCGGGCTTCGCTCCTCACTGTTGGGAAGTTTAGAATCTAGCGGACAGTTGGCCTTATGACGCCCACAACCACGTGCGTTTCTCCTAAGCCGCAGCCTCGGAGGCGTATACGTATAGCTGTATAGGCGGATTACCGCCGGTAGTCTCCGCTCGCCTTTCGGCGTGTTCTTCTTCTAGTGGGGAGGTCTCTTGTGGCAGGCGCCTCGCGGTTGGCACCTCGTCTGGGGATTTATTGAGAAACTAGCGGGCGCCTCGTGATTGGCACCGCGCGTGGGGGATAGTTGTAGTTGGGGAAGTTGTTATCCCTTGTGGGATTCGTGAATCTTCGCCCTTGTGGCGTGAAGAGGTTGGAGGACCGTCGATTCGGTAGGTCTCTTCTTCTGGTGATTGAAAACGCGTGATGGAACGCTCTTGCCAGCGATAATTGGCTGCGATTAACCTTATCCCGCCTAGGGTGAGCGTAGCAGTCCCTAGGTTACTCGAATAATCGGATTGCTGGTAGATTCGAGGAAAAGAAGCTTTCTTCTGCTGGTTTCCGTAGATCCCAGTTACTCTCGCTTCTTCTCTCGTTAGCACGAAATCCCTACTTTTACCTGGGCTTGGGTATCCAGTTCAAGAAGTCGTCTCTTCTGGTGTTGACCTTGCTGATCTGCGGTTTGTCCGTAGCAGAGTGGTAATTGTGAAGTTAACCAAATTAATGGCAACTGTGAGGTTTACCACTGATCAGTGTAGGTTTCACAGGGGGTGAAACAGGGGGTGAAACGGAATTCCGTTCGTCAATAACAAATAACAGTAAATTGGTTCTAATCGATGGTTCATGATGATAGTTGAAAGTGGTGTTGTTGACTAGAAGGTGGGGATATTCCCCCTTGGCCTGTCACGTGGGTCTGGGAGGCTTGGGCCTCTCAGCCTGGCGGGCGTGTGGCTGGAAGTGCCACACGACTCCGTATTCCAACTATCGCAACACCTTCCCTCCCATGCACAAACGATCTTAACGGCATCTTCTCAGAACACTTCGACGAGACTCCAAGAAGTTTTGCAAGCAGTTATTACTGTCATAGAACTGAACCATACGACAGTGAAGTTATTTCCGCCCTGTCCCAGCGACAAGGGCCTAGCTAAAGTTGCCCACCAACAGGGAGAGATGTTGCAAGCCCAACTCATCATGGATACCGGTAAATTTTGGGGTTTCGAAGCAACCTAGAAATGCAGTAATTGAAAGCAATGAAATCAGTTTCTTACTGAACTCGGAGCCTACAAATGACGGCGACACAAATTTTATATGAATGTGCCAGCATTACTCCCACAAATCATGGTGGAGTAGCTAACGCGATGGCTATCGCATAGTTGTTTTTTGAGCGTGTGGCAACGAATGATCATTTCAACTCAAATGTTTTGAGTTGATAGAAAGCCCCAAAGAAATTTGTTGCCATCTATTTATTATTTGTGTCGAACTGAGCCATTCACGCGCATTTTTCCAGCTTTCCTTTTGTCATGTGTACTTTCCACACCTCGGCTTCCAGTTGCTCTGCCAAATGGGCAGCTATTTTGAGCGAGGCCTGGGAATCGGCCAAAGTGGCAGTGCTGGCGCTTATACATTGCTCATGGCTAGGGGAGAAGGAAAAAAAAAAACAAGGAAACTCGGCTGGTCTTAGACTTGGTCCAAAGTTGAAGTCATACAGGATACCATTAATGGAACTGTAAGCGCGGATGAGCGCCTCGCTAATCTTTTACTAGCGAAGTGTTGTCGTGAGAGGTGCCACAGGAACGGGCGCCTATTAGACGAATTTAAAGACCCGTCAAGGAATGCTCAAAACGGACTAACCTGACACGCCTGCTGGCGCTTAGAGCACGGCCGGCTGTAATTTTCGGTCATGAAATCTTGTCCAATCCTCTGGTTTCACCTTTTGGTTTCATTTGATGAAGATGCGTCGTGGTGCTGGGACTGGCTGTGAACAGACAGCACTTGGTTACAATACAGTTCAAGGAGCGGGGGCCACACAGCTTGCCAAGCTGGAGCCCGGGACTGGAATCTTGAGGCAGTCAAAAAGGCTACGAGATTTTCATGGCGCATGTGTCAACTAGCATGGTTCGCGTTGAGTTTAGGGAGCTATGCTTATAGTGCTGTTTCTTCTAGCTGCATTGTCGGGTTTATTCCTGATGGGAGACCAGGTTTAGTGATTACAACGGTCGACTCTAGCCACCATTGTTGATTCGTGCACTTTCTATCCTTCCCAGCCGTGTATAAAAGCACTCTTTGACGAGATCGTCTACTCGGTAGCTCACATAATTCCAGCCCACTGGCGAAAAAAGCTTAAAAGTCAATTTGGCTGTCATGAATATTCACCAGTAACATGGTGTTGAGGTTGTCGGTATTGTGGTGGGGATTCCGCATCGGAGGTTTGGGGCTCATCCGCGCTGTGGAAGTCGCACTCGGAATAGCTGAGCAGCGCTCGCCCAATTTGAGGTCCAGCAACACTACAGCAGGGGTTTTGCCGCTCTCGCTGTAGTGCCCTCTCATTGCGCAGCGAATCGGCACTTCTGGCGCCTGCAGGGGTCACCCAGCGGGCCTCTGTGCCTGACATTCGGCTGGCGGCTGTCTGTACTAGACCCGTATGAAACAGAGTCTGCTCGCCCATCATCCAATCAATCTAGCCTTGGTGACAACAACTGAGAACTTGCCTTGTCCCTTCAACGCATTGCCGTGCAGTAGCTCCATCTGTTTGCAACTTCGCGACTACGGTCCGCCCCTTTCACTTTCATTCTGCTTTCTCCCAATCCATGTCCACGCCTCTCATGCCTTGACACTGTTTCCCTAGCCTGTTTCAACGCACCCTCCCATATGACCGCTTGCTATGCTTCCCTGGCCCTTGAAAGCTTGACTGTGACAGACAGACCTTCAGCGCACGATTGGATGAAGACGGCCCACGCCAGTTCATGCCGCCCGTGGCCTCTGCTTCTGGGGCCCTGCTTCGTCCTGACTTTTCTCATGATCAGCCAGGGGATCGTCAACAAAGCTCAGAGGCCACAGGTTATCAGCAGCTCTGGGCTGAGAATGGGCTCACTCACATGCTGCAGGTCCCCGCTGCCCGACCCATCAACTAGACCACAATGACAGACATGTAGACGCCTAGGCGTCATGGCTCAGCCGGTCCTGCGAGTGTTTGACCCGGGGTTTCTATTGAAACCACGTCTGCTTGCAGCAGCACGGCATCGCTTGCCACATCAAATCTCAGGGAAATACAGCGCGGAGTGGCATAGCTCTCTCAGTTGCCGCCACCACCTTTGGTCGGGTCCCCATCCTACAGCCCTGTTCTAGATGCCACTAATATGTGGGAGGAAGAGAGAGATACCCCAAACTGTTCGTAAGAGAGCCCTTGAACGTTCCCCATCCCTCCTCGTTTTCTTCCCCGCCGCAACATCCCGGTCCTGAGGGTCCCTTCGCGCTGCCAAATCGATTGGCTGCTGGTTGCGCGAAACTTTTGGTTGCAACACGAAACGGCGAATGGGGTCAGTCGCCGGGCAGGCACCGTCGGTCAACCCATACCTTCCTTGCCTGGCTTGACTTTGCTCTTGCCTTGCTTTTCAGAATAATAAATTTCAAGCAGGTACAAGGGAACAATACATTGTTTTCTCGTTCTTTGGACATATTTTTATCCCTTTCACGTCGTCATCCAATCTTCTTCTGAGCTTGACAACAAGGGTAGTTGGTACACCAAGGACCTTGTCCATATTAAAGAAGGAGCTCCCCGCCCCTCCTTCCCTTCAACGTCGATCTCATCCACCGGTCCTTTGACAGGCGCTTCCTTCCCTTCCTTCCCCATTGAACATCTGTGGAAAGCTCTGTTCTTGGGCCTCCGCTAACCTTGTTCACGCTCAATACTTCCTCTCTCCTACCTGTTGTTTCTGTGAAGCCTTGCCTTACTCACCTACTACCCTCCCTATATTATCAACCTCTTTGGACTGGTTTCCAAGAGTATTTTCCATCTGTCTCTTAATCACGTTCTCTGAATAGCCCTCTTCGAGAAACAGTCAACATACGAGTTCCTCAGTCTGGTTGATTAGACTCGACATTTGCTACAGCCTCTTTAGTCAACAACTTAGCAGACAGCCACCTACCTCTGGTATCGGTATCCTGTACGTCTATCTGCACAACAATAAAAAACAGGGGCACTTTCACTAACAAGACCCCCAGAGCACCCCCAACGATCGTCAAGATGTTCAATCTCTCCGAGAACTCCCGCCTTCGTGGCTCAGGCCACATGGTGCTGAATGTATTCCGCGCTTTCAACATCATCGGACTCTTGGCCATTTGTGCTTCCACTTGGGTCATGATCGTTATGTCCATCCTTAAGAACAACTTCGCATTTTTCGATTCGGCATCCCACTTCTTTACCTTCTCTATCGCTGTGTTTCTTATCATTTCAGAGCTCAACCTCTTTCGGAACTATTTTGAGCGCAACTGGCCCGTCCTCTCATGCGAGCATGGCCTCAGCTGGCTGGGAATTGCCATGATTGTGATGGGCTGCCAGGTCCTCGCCAATATCACCGAGCCTGCCTTTTCTGCCGAGAGCCTCGGTCTGCCCCTTTGGCGTCTCATACTTGCCTCGGGCATCCTCGCCATTACCTTTGGCTTTTTCAATGTTATTTCGTCGATCATCTTCCGTGATGGCTCCATGGGCATCAATGCACGAAACATCCGCAGTGACGGCACTCTTGCTTCAGGAAAGAATTCCTTCGTCGACGGCTATTCCGTCCGCAGCAACTCCATTAAAGAGGAGAAGACCTTCCGACGCCTCACTCAGAAGTTTACCCCCTGGAACAAGAACGTCAACACCCGCCCTAAGATCAGTCACCCAATCGCCTCCGATGTTGAGCAAGGCCATATGTCCGACAATGATCGGGACTGGGATGAAGACCGACGCAGCCCAATCATGCCTGAAGTTGCCCGCCCGCCGACCGCGTTGCACCCTATGAATGCTGGCAACACTCGTTTTACCAAGTATAGTGAGGCTAGTCACATGGACCGTTTCTAAGGAAACCATCATGAAACTCTACATGGACAAAACACCTCGTAGGGAAGTTAAAGAGACAGCGGAAAATTGGCCAGCCTGCATAAGAGCCTCGGTATATAAGAATACAGGATACCACACCACGAGTGGTCAAATGGGGAATAACGGCGTTACGGATGATTTAGGTTGCATTGGAAAAAATACCCGGCACGACGGCACGGTGTACGAAGAGGGAAGCGAAATTTGGAAAATCATTTCTACATGATCACCATCAGTAACTACGTCATTACAATGAAGTCAAGCGGTTTTGTGGTCAATAGGACCAGTAATTAAGAAGCTCAATTTTATAAATTTGCATCAAAATGGTTGTTTGAAGTGTGATACGGGACGCGAAGTGCAGATGCTGATGGGTTCAAGTTCAAGGATTAGGTATAATTCTCATCTCTTTACTTGAACGCACAACCGACTTTTCAGGGGTTAGATGGTTTCACCTCGAAGCAAGGACGTTGATTCCGAAAATACACAGTGGACGGTGTAAGTTTTCTGTCGCCTTCAACTTCGATCACAAAAACGTCGTTGGGTGACCGATATAAGGCGAGACTAGCGTGCCGTGCACATCGCAACGGTGCTTTCTCCTTCGCTGTCGATCATTCTTACTGGAAATACCCTACTCTGACGCCCCCCACCTGCCAGAGACCCGTTCGAAAATTTTACGACTGCCCTATCAAGTTGAGGGGTTGAGTTGGGGCCCCGTCCGTTTTGGTTTCGACAGATGCGTCCATGGATTTTTTCTTGCGAGAGAATTACGATGGGGCTGGATTTTACTTGGCCGCGTGAGCACGGAGAACAGGAGGACCACACTTGGAAGAGAGAGAGAGAGAGAAATACAGAGCACGAGCAGAGAGTATAGGCGACGGCAGAGAGACGGAAGTTGGTGAATGAAATCATCACAAAAATCACATTTTGATCATTACGCCCGCCCAAGATATGTAAAAGCTCTTCAAAGAGTCTGTTCCATTTTCGTATCGTATGGTTGTGTGTTGTTTTTTGTCCTGGTCAGACCAGAGCATTCCAGCGCATGATATCAAGAAAGTTGCGCAGAAGCGCAGCAAACCCGAGTACAACCCAAGAACCGTGTCCTCGAACACCAAACCTGGCAGCGGTAGCAGATGATACGGCCGCCTTTTCTTCGTCCCTAGAGACAGGGGGAGGAGCAGTAGCAACGACAGCAGCCTTTTCAGGGGGCTGTAGCTGTTTACCGGTAGCGCCACAGGGAGAGGGTGTTGTGGCGCTTCCAGGTCTTTCTGCGGCCGGCCTTGGTCTTGTTGTAGCGGTGGCCCTTGTTGAGACCGCGGGACTTCTTGCCGGTGGCGGTGAGACCGCGAGCCTCGCGGTGCTTGTGGACGGGGTTGACGATCCAGTTGATGCGGGCATCGGTGCGGATGGCCTTGTGCTGGGGGTCGACGAGGATGATCTCGTAGTACTTGTAGGTGGAGTCCTGGTTAACCCAGTACGAGTTGAGGACGCGCAAGTTGGCGCAGCGGCGGCCGACACGCTCCTCGGCGGTGGCCTTGAGGGAGCGCTGGTACTTGAGCTGGTTGACACCCTGGTTGGTGGGCTTGCCTGTAAATCACACACATGCAAGGTTAGCCATCTTCTTCCCTTGATCACATCCAATCCCGCCAGATGGAAAACTTCGACTCTGTCGAGGCATCTGGTGGTAAACCTGTCGTGGGTTCAACGTACCGAAGGTGGCACCCTTGGCAACGGGCTTCTTGCGGCCTCCACGGCGGACGCGGACACGGTAGATAACGTAGCCCTGCTTGGCCTTGTAACCGAGGCGGCGAGCCTTGTCGGGGCGCGAGGGACGCGAGGCGCGGTGGATGACATTCAGCTGTCGGAGCTATATTGATGCACTCTCAGCAAAAGTTCAACGAGTGTATAGCAAGGACGCAAAGTTTTCCCCCGCTCTCCACCTCGGATTGTCAACAGGCACCTCCTTTGCTACGAGAAGCAACAAGATTTCCGTCAAACAAATCGAAGGGAGAGGAGGGGTCTTTGGCGTCCACATTCGTTTCGGATTGGGTGGTTCAACGTACTTCCCAGCAGCGAACACGCAGAAGGAAGCGCATCACATCGGACTGCTTCTTCTTCTGGAGCTCTTCGACATACTTGAGGGCACCCATTTTGACTGCGCAAGCGAGACAAAGGTTAGCCGCCTTGTTGGTTGATCGATTAAAAGAATGATGATGGAAATATCCAATTCATCTGTCGAAGGGGAAGGAAGGGGGACAAACCAGCTTTTCACGTAAAATCCGGCTGCCGAGGTTTTGGTGAGGGTGGTTGGTGATGAAAATTTGGCGACGACGATTAAGAGAAAGTTCAAAAGTGAAAGTGGGAAAATTCAGAGAAGTTGTGGGATGTCCCATAAGCGATGCGCTAGTCCTAAGAGAGTTAGCCCTATTGGGTTTGACCCCTACGTGAAAATGTGGGTCATTGTGTGCCTCGGAGGGTGGTACTATGGTTTCCGCCTTTCGACTTCACCGAGCCCTATCCTATCGGTCAGCGTTAACTCAACTCCGAATCTAGGTGAAGTGGAGTGTCAAGCTGACCCCAGTTACCCAGTAGGAACGTTTTAATAGAAAAATTCCCATTTATTTGACTAATTTGTCTCGTTTGATCCGCTTTACTGAGTGTGGACAGTGGCATATGTACGAATTTTACAGTATGCTCCAATTGCTGCCATTTCCATTTTTGCAGTATATTTTCTCTTTTTCACTGATATCGCTGGTGCTGCTCTTTGCTGATAAGTTAGACTTTAAATTCCAGGCGTATTTGGCTGGCCTTCTACGATGTTAGATCTGCGTGGTTAGGCTCTCTGTTCTCCTTCTTTGTATCGAGCTGATGTACTGTCTTGTTGTCTTTTGCCCCTATTTGAGGAACTTGATCATTACCTCAAAATTTGCGGTAGCCATCTTCCCAATACAGTTGCTTCGATCATTGAAGTGCTAGCACTACGATTGGAGGGCAGAATTCGGCTATCTAGCAGGCGGATGAGCCCCAAAGTCATGTCACACAACATTACTTCAAATGGATCACGCTTCACATCGAGTAGCTCTTGAGTTTGTGTAATCCTCATGTTCTGAAACCCAAGCAGGCGGAAAAGTAAAATCTTTCGTACAAGAATCCCAACTGAGCCATTAACCAGAAAAAAATTGCCTTTTTTGGTTCTCAGGTTACACCATGCTCGTGCAATAAAAGCAAAAGAAAAAAGTCTCTCTGTCTATGACGGTAGTGCCCTGAGTAGTAGTGAAAGTCTCTCAATCTCCTCTTGAATCTCTCATCATCATGAATGGGGAAGGCCGTGGTCCCTGAGTCTCAAAACATAAACAAACAAGAGTGAAAGTGGTGTGTAGTTCAACATGTCTTTCCTTTCCCTTTTAGTCTTCTTTTTCTTCCGAAAGAAGTACAAAAAAAGGTCCCGCCGTTTTGACAATTTAAAAGCAAGAAAAAAAAAAGAAAATCTCTTCCAACGCCTAAGTGAGAGAAATGCCGCCGAGCCTTTCAGCCACGGTCATGTGTATAATGCCTCAGCCATACCAACCGTATTCATATACGTGGAGATGTGTGGCAACTTTGTGTATGTGTGTGTGCGTGTGAAGAACCGGAGGGAGAAGAGAATTAGAATGTTCGTCGTAAATTCCGACAAGTGTAGCGATGCAAAGGTACGATACCAAAGATAACTTTTAGACACGACTGCGATGCTTCATCAACGGCTGTTCAGCGAGAGTCCCTGGAAAGCAGCTGCCCAGTCGTTTTGGGAATTCATCGGAGTGACACCGGGTTCGTGGGATCCAGGTCCTTCGGAAGCTGGGCCGAAACGAGTGCGCATCTGGTAGTCAGCTGCTCCAGGGAAGCTGTAGCTGTCAAGCGACGGCATAACTCCAGGCACATAGGGCATATTTCCAGGCCTAGGGGCACCGCCCAAGCCGCCCATGTGAGAGTAAGGGTAGTTGGGCTGACCATAACCGGCGCCAGGGCCTGGTCTGTCACCACTGAATGAGGGCGTAAATGAATTTTGGAAGCCACGTCCAGCCGGACCGGAGCCGTTGAATCCTCCAGGCTGTTGCTCTTGCTGCTGTTGCTGCTGGGCGGATCGTCGTTCAGAGTTATTTGAACCACGCCCGACACCAACGGCTCCGGGGCCAACACCGCTCGGGGCCTGGATGCCTAGAGTAGGGCTAGCAAAGGATGCCGGGTTGATGGCCGACATCCAGATCCTGGTCTTGTATATTTTAAACAAGTCCGTGACAAGGGAGTTGAAGTTGATATACGAGTCGGCAAAGTAGTAGAAAGTCAATTTCTTCCAATCCCTGCAACCCAGTTAGTAAGGTTGAACGCAGCAAGAAACAAAAGTGACACTTACATCTGGAACTCAGCGTCGAGGATCTCCATGTTGAGCCCGTGCTCCTTGACCTTCTGCATGCAAACACGTTTGGCCTTGGCCTCGTTGCCTTCCTTGTCCCGCAAGGCATGGATCTCGTGACTTTGAGCAAGGCGTTTAATCAGCTTAGGCTTAAGCTCTCCTGCATTGGGTTCCTGCATATGATGTTGGTTGGGAGGCCCCATGCCGCCGACAGCACTGCCCTGGAGACCATTTGCGGCGGCCATGAGACCCGCGCCAGTGCCGTCCTGAGCAGCTGCGGCGTTTTGTGAATACATCATCAACCATTTGTACTGTTCCTCGGCGTAATGCTCCTTCAGCTCCTTGGCAGTCTGCCAGTCAACGTTGTCTCGCGCAACGGTTCCTAGGTCGGTTCCTCGATCAGCCTCAACGATTACAAGATCGCCAGGCTTGACCGTCAGACCGGTGCCTTCCTGAATGTAAAATACATCTGCTCTTGCGCATTTGAACAAGACAATGTGGAGTAGCTGATTGTGGCGCGGCTGTGACATGGCATAGACATTGCGGTGAGGCGAAGGCGCTCGGTTGCCGTACGGTGGGGGATGCATCTGAGCATACGGCGACGGGAAAGGGTTGCTGAACATGCTTCCTGGGGGGGCTTGTAAGCCACCACCGGGTGTGAAGTACGAAGCTGTATTGGCTCATCAGTCTCAGAAACCTTGGTAGTTTTAAGGGACGACAAGGACGTGCTTACCAGTATTCCCAGCGTAATTTGGATTTTCAGCATAACCGGCAGTGAAGTCAACAGGCTGCTGTTGTTCTGCCACAGGTGTGTCCAGTCCGGTAACGGTTTCGCTGATGGAACTTATGGAACCTTGACGCGTTGGAATATCTGCAAAGGAGTGTCTTCGGCTCTGTTGCCCCTCTGGCCCGCCGAATCCGAGGGAGCTATGCCAGTACGCCTTCTTAACGTTTTCCAGCTTTCGGTTCTCGTATGGCGACCGGAATGCAGAGACTCCAAACTCGCTCATCCTGCGGCCCAAGGCTCTCTTTGATGCCAAGTCGACACCGTCGTTAGCCTCATCAAGCTCATCGATGGCATAGTCCGACTCTTCCGGGACAGATTCTCGCAGGGCATAGCCATTACCAAGTCCGTATGCTGCGCCGGTGGCAGCTCTCGGTCTAAGTCGGTTCTGGTATTGTTGTTGTTGCCTGAGCATGGCATTCTCACGAGCAAGTAACTCTATCGTCTTCGCTTCAGCAGACTGATGCATAGATCCTTGCATAGACTCGGTGGCGCTCTCATCGTCATCATCGTCCACTTCCTTCACTTTCCCAAGGAGACCTCCGTCGTTTGACATTTCACTAAGCATGCTGGGGCGGGACGGTCGGTGCTGAAGACCCGAATGGCCATGAGCACGGCCACGTACAAGGATTGCCGAGCTATTCATCGTTGCGGGAGGAGCATCTGGTTCAAGTTGACCAACGGAATATGACTGAGAGCGATAAGTCTTGGGCGTTGGATGCAAGGGGATGGCAAACGGAATCTGTGCGTTGGGGCCCAAGTCTCGCGGAGCCGGTGACGTCTGTCCATAGTTGTTCTCATTGAAAAATGAGCCCCCAGCCGACCCAGGAGGCATTGTTGATGTCGGTGAGGGTAAGACCTCACTCAGGCGAGAGGGCGGGTCCTTCCGGTCACTATTCCAAATACCAGTCCCCCATGTGAAGGATGAACCAGCTACTGGAGCGCGACCAATGACACCAGAAGACTGAGAATGAGAACCCCAGGGTGCGTTGCCCTCCGCTGAGGGTGTACTTGGATGGGATGCTGTCGGCGACATGGAACTGCTAGCGAACGAGCCCTTTCGGGGTCGAGGTAGAGGCTGTGTAGTATCGTTCAGCCAAGAAGCGCGCCTCACAGGCTTGTGAGGCTGGGGTACTGGCTGGGGAGGATCTTGGCGATGAGCGTCGACCTCGTCGTCTGAACTCGCCAAGGCCTCGGAATCGGGAGTCGATCGACGGTTTAGCTTGTCAAGAAGGATAGCATGGCTACTTGGGGCAACCGCTGAGAAGGTGCCCTGGCCCGGTTTAGACGGCGGGCCCGGTTTGGCGGTGCCAGCACTCCCGCCAGAGCTCATTGTCCTCCAAGTTTCTTTCCAAGTGAGACCCAAATCCTCAAACCACCTCAAGCTACGGCTGTATCGCTGACTGGAGTGACAGGCGGATTGCTGTCAGGATTTGGATGTCAGAAGAACAACGTCTTCGAATGAGAGAGAACTAAGGTAGTGAGAAAATGAAGGATTTCTGTCTCGGCCCGACGTGGATGAAAGAAGATGAAAGACGGTGAAAGCCGAACGAGCCTAGAAGGCGTGTTAGCAGCTATGTCATCAAACGTTAAAGGCAAGCGCTGTGAGACAAGATGAAAGAGATGAGTTTCGCCGCATTCAGTTTGGGTGTCACGAGGAGCTGCGGCTCAGCTCGGAGGGTCAAAGCTGGCAGACACTGGCGGTAGGCAACTGACTTGCGCCACGAGGCCCGAGCCAAAGACATTCAAAACCCCCCCAAAAAAAACAGAAAACCACCATGGTTGAATGAGAATAGCGAGTTCTTGAGCAATTGAACAATGATATCTCAGAGCAGCTTAAGAGGAGGGTAGATAGACTGAGCCAAAGTTGAGGTAGTAACACGCGCAAGGTAATCAGACAAGACGGAGGCAGGTAGAGACCCTGACGTGATGCAGTTTGACCAACGGCTGCGGTGGAGCTGCTCTTTCGGAGGTTTTCCCGTCTGGCAGCAACAGCCACAGTAGCAGGCGCTACCTTGCGACATGGTATGTGTGCTTCATGGGGCAGACGAATGAAAATAGGTACTTACCAAACAGTAGGAATCCGGGGGGAGGTCTATGTAAAGGGTATCAGAGGGCGTAATGTCTAGATGTCGAGGAAGTGTCCGGTTAAATTAGCGAGACGGGGAAGAAGAGGAGCTGGTGGCGCGATATGTTGGGCGCGGTTTCGGTCGTAGCAGCTGTCGAGCTGGGCTGACTTCGGTGAGCTGGAAAGCTGGTTTGGCGATTTGGCAGCAGGTGCAGATGGTGAGATAGCAGTCGTGGCCCAGAAATGGCAAGATTAGGACGTGGTTGGGGGATACGTCGTATGAGACTCGAGGTAGGAAATGAGTAGCAAGATTATGGCGCGCGCGAGATGGGAACCGTAGAAAGTGCGAGAGTCGTCTAAACCAGTTCGTCTAACCCAGATTCAAGTGGCCAAAGGAAAATATTCAACGTTTCTGTGTGACGGGGGGTTGCGCTGCAAGGTAGGCTTGGGCGGAAGTTCGTTCAAGTGCGATCAAGCGCAGGCGCGGGCGCGGGCGCGTGCCGTCTAAAATGGAGATGCGGTATCGTTGGCTGAGGGGAAGTGATGCGACAGAGAGGCTACGCGCATCCCATTGTTGGCGCGCGTTGGGAGAGGCGGTCGCAAAGTGGGATGCGGTATGAGGTGATGAGGTGGGTGAAGGCGGGAAAGAAAAAAAATGTCTTGGATGACGGCCTCGATCCTTGGGTGGTGGTCCTGGCGGAGGAAGGATGAAGAGGAGGAGAAGGAGGAGGAGTAGTAGTAGTAGTAGTAGCAACAAGGAGACGGGGGACGGACGAAGTATGTGTTGGAGAGGTTTGAGAAGGCGATGGGAAGAGGTTGTAGTACGTCGACGGAAGCGGGGGAAGACGTTGCGACACGAGACCAGAGCTTGTCCAAGTGGCTGGTGCGTACCTATGGAAGGGGTCTGGTGCAGGGAAGGTAATAGGGCCACCAAGCGGGTAGGGTAGGTGTAAGGTGGTGGCAAGCTAACCTGACGACGGCAGACGCCTGAGAGGTAAGGTACGGCGCAAGGCAAATAAGTGGTGGTGGTGGTGGGTGATGGTGGGTGGTGGCTAAGGCGGGAAACGTGGAGATGAGGAGTTCGATGGAATGTAAGGATGGGGAAAATGCAGAAGGGCCAAGTAAGCCAAGGTAAGGAAGGAGGTAAAAGTAAGAGTAAAAAGAGTGAGAGAGAGAGAGAGTGTGTGTGTGTGTGGTATGCAATGGGTGTGTGTAGAGTAGCGGCAAGTAACTCAAAAAGAGAGGGTGAAGGAAACGTGCGAGAGAGAAAGAGAGCGACTCCAGACAGGACAGTCCAGCACAGCACACAGCATAGCAGTCGGTCCAATTCCAGCCCAGTCCAAACCAGGAGTGCCTGTCCGTCTTTCAGTCTGTGCTGCTGCTTGCTGCTACAGCTGCTGTGTGTGGGTGTGTATATGCACGCTGGGCTGCGATGCGCTTGAAGCCACGGATACCACGCACACTGTATGAATATCAGAGGCACACACTACAGTGTAGCACTATGCCCTTGCTGGCCTTTTTGGAGCTAAGGTAGCACGGGCACGGGAGCTGGGCTGATAGGCAGATTGTCAAGGACGGGAATGTGCACGGGTGGGCGCGGGCAGTGGATCGAATCGACTAATATAGGTGGAGGGGATAAGTGGGCAGGTCCCAGTTGATCATCGTACGGGAGAGTGGGAACGCTTCGGGAACGATGAAGTACAACGGTAATGCTGCGAAATGGGGAAGAAAGAGTGAAAGGATAGAACCAAAAAAAAAAAAAAAAAAGAAGGAAAGTAAAAAAGGGGCCTGCTGGCGAAAGGGGGGGGGCGTAATGGGGTACGTTTTTCGTAGCCAGGACAAGGGAAACAACAGTTCAAAATGAGCACAGAGGCAGGTAACGTAAAGAGCTGTAAGGTAAGGTAACATGGTCGTGGTTATTAGACGCGAGGATGAGGAGGACTGCATCTAGGTGAGGGGGGGACATGGTGATGCGGCCGCGTTTCCATGCAGAGAATGACACCTCTAATAACATGCCAGTATGAGGTACTCGCATCCACAAAGGCAATAAATCTGGGCAAGCACCTTATTCTCTACCACCTCCCTCCATCACACGGGATTCGGTTGATGCGGAGGCGCGGAACACCAACCAGCCATCAAGAAAGCGAACAAATGATACTTCCGCTGTCTGAAGATACAACTAGGCACAGACTCGTCTGCTACTTTGGACATTCGGACCACCTGGAACCCCTGGGTAACCCAAAGACTAAGAGGAAGCCAAAGGGTGTCAAAGACGAGGTGGTGGTTAAACCCGTCGCGGTAGGCAGTACACGATGTCGAGTCTCCGGCTCACGGATTGGATGAGCCTGCACAGCTTACCCATTCTTGGCTGTAGAGGCCATCTGGGGAAAGGGTGAAGCATCTCACTGTAGGTCCGGCAGCTAGGTCACTTCAGGTAAGGTTGGGTCAACCTGGTGGCTCCCCCTCCTTGTCAAACGATGCTGAATGGTCCGGTCTGCTTGTCGAGAGGGTGTGCGGTGGAAAGCGAGAGAGAGGGAAAGGCGACATGAAGAGGTCTTTTTGGCGAGGGTCATGCAGCGGGAGATGGAAGCCAGAGTAAACCAGGTGTTACCACAATATGTTAAAATAAAGAAGGGCAGAGGAAAGATGGGAGGAAGTTATCCAAGATTTGCCGCTAGAGTATTGAGGAATATGAAAGTGGGTGGTAGTGCAGCTTCCAGGGCTTATTTGGAACTGTAGACAAGCTGTGGGCGAAACCAGCACAGAACGCTCAGAATGGGAAAAGTGGTGTTGTTGGTTGGAAGAACTAACTAACTGGCTAGAGGGCTGTGGAGGCTGGCTAAGACCAGTGGTGGCGGCCGTCAGCCCACGTGACGGGCCGGCGAGGCCTGCCACCCACACAAGCAAAAGGCGAACAGGATGGGGGTTAGCACGAACAGGAAGCCCAGACTCAGACTGCACTGGAAAATTTGCAGTCTGTTGAGACGTCAAGGAAAGGGAAGGAGATAGACGCTCCCAGCCATCCAGCCATCCAGCCATCCAGCCAATTACCAACTGCACAACAATGCAGAGCATTACATACATCTGTCACCAAAGCTGTCTTGACCTTTTTTTCCTTTGAAAAGAAAGGAAGGTACGAAGAGTTTGGCAAAGACATCGGACAAGCTCATAGTTGCTGGCTTAGCATTACACCCTAGAGCTATAGGCGGGGGTACCTCAGGCAGTACAGTGCAAGCAAAGTGTCCGTCTGGAGTGGTGGGGCCAAGCTAACCACACTCGCTCACATACAGGAACGTACCTCAGCATCATTCCGATTCCCCACACTTTTCTCCAGGTGCAGGCCCACTTTACGTCCTGTGCCACTGCCAGTCAGAGCTGGTCTCATAGTAGCTACTACGCAGTAGGCCAGGCTGGGCCTGTCAGGGCTCTGGCTCAGGGGTGCTGGATGATGGGGCCGCCCATCTCCGATTCACCAACCATCTTTGACCGTCTCGTCACCCTTGTCTTTGTTCCCACGGCATGAGCTAGGAGCTGCCTCGACACATCTTGGGATTCCGGACCAAGAGGGAAAGAAGCGGGGAAACAGAGCTAGAAGAAGGACAGGTGAAAGGGAAGGAAAAAGCCACTGAGCTTCTGGCCATGGCGAGCATCCTCCCCCCCAGAATATCCCAATTCGTTTTGGAGGGATTTTTTTTTTTTTTCCAACTGATCTCCATTGGGTTGGTTGCCTCAATTCTTGACCCAGGTGTCTTCGTTTTATTTCAGACCCGTCTGGTTTGGTAGGCTGGGTTGTCGCCACTTTCAATATTATCCTGCAGCTGTGCTCCGTAGTTACAGGCGCATTTGGGTCGCTTGACCCTACCTCCTGGAAACGGCTTTCTTGCGTAACTACTAATAGTTATTCTTGGGTTAGTCGGCACCCTCCTCCTGATGGTCCCTTTGGACATTCCTCGATCGAGACCAGCCTCGACGATCAGGAAGCTTCCCGAAGAAATTGGATAGCGCTACCGTTCCTTCCGACGCTCGTTCAGTCACCAGCGGCTTGCAGAACACGATGGCACATCCGTGCAGACTCTCCCTGGTTACCAAAAGTCCCTAATTTCTTGACCCTTCCGTCCTGAGACCCTTTGAATGCCATACCTGCAGGGCAAGTGGTCGCAGTGATACGCCTGATTATACAACCATGCACCCCGGGCAAACTCCTGTTTCTCTCCCAATAAGATGTTATAGTGGCACCCACTAATGAGCTCACGCACATAGCATCTCGCCCCTAACATCAAACAAAGCACATTGTCCCTATTTCGGTTGGCATATTCTTCGATCGGAAGTACTGTTGTGGTTTGGAAAGCATGCCATGTCGAATTCGCTAGATTCAACAACTCCGGTCATGGTTCTGGATAGAGAGACGACGAGATAGATTGTTCCCTCGGCGTTACAACAACCGGCTGCGAAAGGCAACACCCCTAACCGCACCACATGGATACCCTATGGACGGCCCCGACGATGCCGCCAGTCTTGTAGCTCTGTTCTTGCATGCTTTTCCCTCAGCGTCCAGCGAGGAGTGTCCATCTGACCTAAATGCGGCTGTAACAGGCGGATCCCATTCGCCCATCGCCGATCCTTCAACTTTGGATGTCTTTTGCCCCTCGATCAACGGATGGCTAATACCTTTGGCCAGTGATAGCATCGCGTAGCAAAGCGGCCAGGTAGTGCTGTTGCACACCTCGGCATCCACTCGACCCGTTATTTGTTTCCTCTCGCTTTTGTTGTCCGTCCTATACACGGCCATGCAGCATTGCCGTTGTAAAGGCTCCCCCTTTCCGCATCGCTCTAGTGGCAGTCGTCTTTGATCCAAACACTTTTGTTTCCTGAACTCTGCATAACGCACATACCGCCATGATGCCCCATCGGCAAGCACTGTGATAGAAACGGTCTATTTTTGCCAGGCCGTTCCTTGCAAGCCACTGGTTATCGCCGTTGGATGGGCTGCAACTGTGTTCGGAAATCTGCAGCTGGCCACCGGTTTCCAATCCAACACCCCGCACTAGAGATCCATGTTCCTCGAATGTCCGTGTCCAGCTCGAACACGCGAAGATGTCCCGCTCAATGGTTCCATTAAGCCATTATGGAGGGGTGCCTCACTGCCAAAACCATCCCTATTCTGTACTTTGAACGGATAAGATGGCTTGCGTATCGAATCAATCGGGATTCAACGACTGGGAGATACAAAGACTTGGTATATCGCCTATAACAGCTTGAAAAAAACTACAAAAGAAGAAGAAGCGAAAATGGACAGCGCCATATCTGACGTCGAAAATGACCAGCCGCTAGAGACCTACGTGCATGTGCAAACGTGTGCGGAAGGTTTGGCGTTGAAGGGGTCTGGGTACAGGGCAGTTCTCCAAGCCCGAGAGAGGTAAGGATCCGTGGAGCAAGCGGGCTACTGCAGCATGTCACGCGCGCCCATCTTCATCTAACCTCCTTCATTCGACGGATGGCCTGTTTGATTGGGTCTGCTTCTCACTGACCTCACTGTCGCATCATCCAGCCTTCTGACATATAGCATGTTTGGGAGGGTCAATATGTCAAATGTGGTGCAATGTCCAAGACCATGTACGACCGCATTGCCGGCAAACGGTACCTCAGGCGGACGTGCGCCAAAGAGAGATATGCAACCTTGCTTGCTACTATCGCCTGCCTGTCGATGCACTGAAATATGTGCAGACTTGCATTCATGTTTGGATTTGGACCGAGCTAAGGCTACGATGATGTTGGACTTCGGTTCGTGGCAGTGATATTTGCCAAGTTCGATGCTGCTGACTGAGGTATGAAATTTGTGAACTTAATTAGTGAACCAGGTAGCTAGCCCACAGCTCCTCCGACTACGACAACGTCTGCTCCCCCAGACCCGCTGCTCTGTCGTCAACTGAAAAACGATGTAGAGCACCATGTGCAGGATCGAAACACACCCACCCACACAGCGCCGCCAATCCAGATCGACAGACCCTCGAACCCATGAAGGACGAAAGTCAAAAATCAGTCAGGGGCTTTACCCCCGGATTCTCATCTCGTTGCTAAACTCAACCTTGATTCTCCTCCTGCACCGGCTAATGAGAAACCAGAAGTCATAGGATTGTCAGAGCGATCCAACCAACAACCACCATTTAGGTTAGACTGAAAGAAAACCAATTTAGAAAAAGAGTCGTCGGTCTCCCTTCTAGCCGCGGCCCTCGCACGCACGCTGAAGTATCTGACACATCCGGAGTTCCTACAACCAACTCTTACAAGGTCTGCGTTGCGTTCTCAGCTCACCTGCTGAAGGCAAGCCCATCCAACGTCATGGTTTCTGCTCCGAGAAGCCTGTTGGTAGTGGCATAGCCGTTGCCTGTCACGCCCATTCGGTAGTGCTCGGTGCGGAGATGGGCAGGCATGTTCCCAGCACACTGGCATGATGGTGAGGAGATGCGGCACAAGATCAGCGGAAGGCAAGGAAGCTAAACTTGACCAAGGGGAAAACCCAAGCTTGCACTGGTGGGTTGATACGCCCGGGGGGGTTAACTGAGGGGTGGGAAACAAGCCGGACATGGCCTGTGAAAGGAACTAATGCTTGGATTGCCTTGGTGCTCAGAGAGAAGAGTGCATTCCGGTCGCCAGACGTGGGGATGCCTAAGCCCCCCGAAGTTGAGGGGTTCCTGCACGGTGACCACCTCCCCCGGCTCCCCGCTCTGATCCGCTGCAGTAACCCTGGGCGGTCAAAAGTCCAATCAGACTGGAGGGGAGTTTGCCAACCCTCCGCTAACCCAGGCAAAGTTGACGACCAGGTAAAGATGGTCTCGAACGTTGTAGTTATTTTGTTTTTTCCAGATACTGGCGATCTTTTCCCCCGTTGTCGTCAGACATTGTCTGATTCTTTCATCTCGCCATCGCGGTCCGGGTCGCGTGTGTACGATTCGCATAGGCTCGCCCAGGTTATCTAGACCGGTCTCGACCTAGAATATAAGTTTATCTGTTTTAAACCAAATGTCGTTTGGGCGAGGATACAAGCCCATCCGAACACGAGTTTGATGTGCCCTAAATCAGCCATCGCATCGGCATATGTCCGATACACACTAGTGAATGTGACGGGGACGTCGGTTGCAAGGCTGAAGGAAGAATACAGACGCGGCTGTAATGAACAGCGAGGTGGTGGGTATTTTTCTTGCATCACCGGCTTTTGGCCAGGTGATGTCCTTGATGTAATTGTACAGCATTATTCTACACGGTGGCGCATCGCCCAAACTTTCTCCTTTTTTTCCCTTCTTTTTTTTTCTCAACATCTTCTCCATCGGAGATGTACCATGAAAGTCGTGACCGTTCATGTTACCGGATCGGACCCTCAGGCAGTTGCCTCCTGGCTCTTTTGCGCCTTGAGCTTCTCTTCGAATTTGGCGAATTCCTTGAGGGCAATCTCCTCTTCCTCGTCGAGGATCTGCTGGACACCCTTGACTTCCTCAATCTGGAGAGACGGTTAGCAAGAGTTTTCACAGGTTTGTATCATCCAAAAAGTGAAAGAATATTGAGGCTACTCACATAATGCATCAACATGCTCTCAATGCCATTCTTCAATGTGGCGGTGCTCGAGTCGCACGTCCGGCACGCACCGCGGAGCTTCAAGAGAACGATGCCCTCGTCAGTGAAGCCGCGGAAATCAATGTCGCCACCGTCCTCTTGGATGGCAGGTCGTATCCTCGTCTCGAGAAGCTCCTTGATCATGCCGACGACCTCGCTGTCGTTCTCGTCATACGCGAGACTGTCCTCCTCCTCGGCCTCCAAAGCGGCCCCTCCGTCCTTCTTCTCAGCGACGTTGACGATGGTCTGGCCGGAGGTGATGGCCTCGGTGATCAGCGCAAAGATTTCAGGGCGGATGTGCGCCCAGTTGGCGTCGGCGGCCTTGGTGACGGTGATGAAGTCGACGCCGTAGAAGACGGAGGTGACGCCGTCAATGTTCATCAGCTGAGCGGCCAGCGGCGACGGGTAGGGAGGCGCGATGGTCGAGCGCGGGTTCATGTACTCGATGAAGGGGCTCGAGATTGTTTCGGGGAGAATGCGGTGGTTCGGAAGGAACTTGATGGCGTCCGGGTTGGGCGTCGACTCGGTCTGGATGAAGATGGTGCGGACAGCACCCTGGCGACCGGCAAAAGGCGACTGCCTCTGTTGTGCCAGGTGTTGTGTCCGGCTGCTGCGAGGCAGACGGCTCTGTTGCAGCAGGCCAGAAGACACGGCTGCGGGCAGGCTGGAGGGGTGGTGGCTGGCAAAATGCCTCGATTGTTGAGAGGGCGTGAATCTGATGGGGGCTGATGAGCGCGAAACAGCGCGGAGGGCTGTTCTCGCCGTTCTGTAGGAAGGCATATTGGATATTAATATCGTCGTCGTCGTCGCCGTCGTCGTCGTCTTCTTTGGAAAGGTAATCGGCGGCTGTCGTCGTTGTGTGTGTGAGAGAAATGGGAATAGAAAGATTCAAGCCAAAGGTAGGCAAATTTGTCGAGTTGGATTTGTAAGGTGCAAGTTTACATTGAAATGATTAATGTTTTTGCTATGCTACGAAATTCAAATCCCAGGGCCGCCGCCCGCCGCTCCTCGGCATTACGCAGGGTGCAATTGCAAATGGAGCTAAATCGGCTTTTCGAGCGCAGATTTGGGGGAGGGCTCCTCTTTTTTTCCCCTTCGCCGCCCAATTCCGAGGCGTTGTATTACCAATCATGGGTCCCATGCGGGGCCTGGTAAGAATGACGCAGAGCCCAGTGCCATTCTGTTCGTTACCCTTTATTTTTATTTTTATTTTTTTGTCCTTCAGAGGGGAGAACTGGATTTACCGGCAACCGTTTTCGTCCGTAGAGTTCCCGATTCGCCCAAGAAGCGGGCACGAAAATGCGGCTGGAGCTTCCGTCTTCCTCGGTGTGAAATGGGGACCTCTTTTACCATAGTGTTTTTTTGGGCATTATATGGTGGGGTTAGGAAAGGAACCCCATGGTTGTAACAGCTTTGGCGGTCAAGCTTGAATTTGGGCCTTTGGGGACATTGACCGCCTGGAACCAGTGGCCCCCGCTGGAAACTTTTCGAACGCTAGACTGAGCTTGGGGGGGGGGGGGGGGGACCTTCGGTGACATCCGTCGTGCAGCGGCGGCAGAAAAAAAAAAAAAGTTCCCTGAGCAAAAGAGCATACGACGGGTTGAAAGTTGAACAAAAGAGAAGGCCGAGCGAATCATTACAAAGCCGAAATATTCTTTGGTTGCTTTCCCATTGGAATCTTAAATTGGAACATTTGTTTTCTTACTTCTTTCCTTTTTGGCAAATTACAACGTCGAAACGGACGATAAACCAGCCAAACTTTACGCCGCCAACCGCAAGTACATACCCAAAGCTACAGTTCGCCAGATCGTCAACCAGCGACGCGCACTTCCTCCGTCGCGACAGCGTCTTGCGCCGCCGATATACAGATATCGGCGATTAGGGAGGAAGATAGTGTTCGGGGAAAAAATTCAAGAGGAGGAAGAGAATAAGCTCCGTGAGGCACGAAGCAGGTCGGGCAGACCACACGACGAAATGACCACCGACGCCGACCCCCCACCGCCCGTCGCGCCTCGGTCTCCGAAGCGCATGCAGGATGATCTGGATGAGTTGATCGAGTCCGCGAGCAAGAGGTCCAGGACGGCGAGTCCGGGGGAGACTCACCAGCAGATGCAACGGCAGGAGGAGGGGAATGGGGTTGTGAAGGATGATGATGATGATGCTCCGACCACGACTTCGAATACCGAGATAACGGGGAGCAGCGCAGAGGGCGCGAGCGAGACCCAGGACGAGAGCAAAACTCAGAATCCTCCTCCTCCTCCTCTTCCTGTCACAGCAGAGCCTCCAGCTGCACCCGCAACGTCACAAGCAGACGACAACGACACGGCCGAAACCGAGACGAAGGCTGCGCCCAAGAGCAAAATGTGCGGCGTGTGCCATGAAAAAGAAGGAAAATACAAGTGCGCGCGCTGCGCTCTGCCTTTGTAAGTCTTGCTTTGGAAAACCGTCTCTCTCTCTCTCTCTTTTTTTTTTTATAGTTATTGTGTTTGGTTATTCATCATACATACATGCTCCGTCATTATATACATTATCTTTACTAACAATTCGGGGGTATGAAAATAGCTGTTCAGTGCCGTGTAACAAGATTCATCGCGAGAACCACCCTCCAGATCCTGAACCAGCGGCAAAACCACCTCCGCCTCCTGATGTCGCAGCAGGACCGCCGCCCGCGACGAAGAAGGCTCGCGACCCGAGTAACCCCTTCAGCGTCCTCGATGACTCGGACCAGCTACGCTACCTATTCAAGCGGTATCCGAGCCTCAGGTCACGTCTTCTCGGCATCCTCGCCGCCACAGAGCCGCCGCCCGAGATGCGGGGTGCTTCCGGCACAAGCCTCAACGACATCATGAAGGCCAAGGCCATGGCGGCGGCGAATCCGAAGAAGGAACAGTGGACGCACGACATCGGCATCCGCAACGGCAAGGAGGCGCTGCGGAAAGCGAAGAACGCGGCGGGCGAGGACGGCGAGGGCGTGCGCGAGTACATTGAGCTCATCAATCACCTCGTCTCCAAGGGGGATGGCGGCAACGACGCCGATGCCGACGAGGCGATCCGGAGACGGGCGGCGCAGCAGGACACTGAGCTCATCAGACGTCTCATGGCGGACGATAGAGGTTGAGCGACGGCACTGCCGGGATAGATGTTTCATTCTTTCAGGGGATGGCATGTGGATATGGCGCCGCGCTGGAGGGCGGTTGGTTGGAATAGACGTGCGCGCCCTGCGTGGTTCTTCTGAGAAGAACACGGGTGGTATGCTTAAATACACACAAATCATGTAATAATATTCTTCGACCAAGGTAAGACGACGACGACGACGACCTCTAATGATTACCCTTGGGAGATTTCAATGGTTAACTTTGAACCGTGCAAAGAAATTGTTCTTGGGCGACCTCTGCGGTGTATCGGACGGCGGGCTCCCATCCCTCGACCGTTGTTGCGTCTCTTCTTGCTTGTGCTTGGTGAAGGCGCCCCATCGATTCTTGATGGCCCAGAGAGAGTCGGCTTTGCGAAGCGGATGTTTGGACTTTTGCTGTTGTGCCTGTTGTTGCTGCTGATGCTGCTGCTGCTGCTGCTGTTCGTCTTGTTCGTGCCGCAGCTGGTCGCTCTGTGTCCAGTCGACGCGATGCTCGTACGGATCATGGTCCGGCACCCCGGGGCTGTCGTAGCCGTAGGGGTTCGGCGAAGACGGGCCCGAGTCCCAGGTCATCAACAGGTCTCCGGTGGTGAGGCGCCTGGCGGCCCTGGCCTGGTGATCGTCGACTCCCAGGCTCGCGACGCCGGCGGGGGCACCTTGGATAGTATATCTGTGATGCTTCTTGTCGTACAGCGAATAGTCGTTTCTGTTATGGTGATTGCCCGCTTCATCTTTGACGTACTCTGGTTGGTGCCGCTCCCGGTGTGCCTGTGCAATCTTCAGAGCCGTACGCGAGAGCTTGTGGACGAGGCCCTTGCCCTCCGGCATGCCTTCGGCGGCAGCAGTGGTGCGCGCGAACTGTGTTGCGGCAAACTGTGGAATGTAGTGGTGGTGTTTGTCGCTCGAGCCCTTACGTCTGGGAGGGCTTTTTGAGGTGGACGAGTCCTTGGATTTGGAACTCCTGTTGTCTTCGGGGGTCTTGGACTTTGGGTGCACAGTAGTACCGGTGTCCGTTCTGTCTCTAGACGGGACGGGCTTCCTCTTGATCGCCGTCGGCTCCGTGCGCGGCCTGGTGGCGGGGTTGATCATGGAGTGACGATTCCCGGGCCTCACGGAGCCTTGGTCAAGGTATTCCCTCGCCATGCTCGTGTAGTTTGGGTGCGTTGGCGAGAGTGGGCTCTGCGGTACAGCAGCTCCTGCAGCAGCGGCGGCGGCAGCGGCGGCGGCAGCCTCTGCTCTGGCTCGTCGTCTTCTTTCCGCATGTAGTTTTTGATCGATGAGTACTTTGGCGAGTTTCTGGGATAATTCCTCTGGGTCAAAGGGCATCGGTTGCGAGCATCGCTGTCTCGGCCGAGCGGCGGCATTTGCAGCGGTGGCTGCAGCAACGGGTTTAACAGGCTGCTGCCTCGGTGCCGGCTGCGGCGCCGCTGGATGATCGTGAGGGTAGTTCATGTTGTATAACATGTCGATGGCGTGCAAAGTAACACCCCACTGGAAATCTCGATACAGGCTTGTACGGTATTTGGTGGACTACCCGCGCCAACGAAAATGATCCGAGAGCGTTTTTAGAAAAGTTGCCAAACCTTTTGTTGTGTTTGTTGCAGCTGTGGATATCACCCTCGCGAGGCAAGCGTGATCTTTTCTTTTTTTAACCTTAGGTGCAGGGCGGCGCAGTCACTCTTATCTTGAACTGAGCTGAACCCGCAGGCGGTGGTAGTAGTGGTGGTGGTGTCGGTGATGGTGGGTTGACCGTTTGAGAGTAAGTACCAAGTAGCGAGATGCGGTTCGTAGACAGGGGTGGTATGTCACATCCGAGTAAAACCAAGGAAATCTTCTTGTCTGCGTGGAAAAGGCTGGTCGAGGTGTCGTACATAAGAGGGGGGGGAAGACCAATGGTACAAATGAAATACAAAAAAAAAGGTGCTCCGAGAAGATAGAGGAGACTGAGAGGTGCTGCTGCGCTGGGAAAAGGCAACGAGTCTTGGGAGCTTGGGCTATGTATATGTCATACGACAGACGCAGAACCCGGACAAGCAGGTCAAACGACCAAGCTTTCGCTCATCCAGCCAGGCCGATGCAGTGGGTCAAGAAAAAAGCTCCAGCCCAGGGTCCTGTCGGTTGGTCCTTTTTGGTGTAAGGGACCGGCTGCGTCCTGTCTGCGTGCCTGTGTAAGGCAAGACGGGCCAGAGGTACGCGAGGTGAGGTGAGGTGGTGGATGTGGAGGAAGAGGAGGAGGTGGTGGTGTGCGTCTGTATGTCTGTAGGTCTATCTGCCTGCGTCCCCTTCTGCTTCGTCCTAGTCCACAGGGTCCCAGACAATATGTACCTCACGGGCGAACTTCAGACCCGCGCTAAGCCTCCGTTCCTCTTCCTCGGTATGCGCGTGATTGGGATGGAGAGAACTGATGTTTGCGTACGTGAAGTATGTTTTGTAAGACCGGAACGGAAACGGGCGGCACACATAGGATGACGAAGGCTGGAAGAGGGTGCGACTCAGCGAGACAATGACTGAGAATGCGCGCAGTCTCTATGGTGGAAGACCAGGATGAGGGAGAGACAATACAGAGTCAAAGAAACAAAAACGGGTGTGTGGGAATATGAAGAATTAAGAATCACAAGGGGTATTGGGTTCACGGATGTCTTGGAGGACGAGCGTTCCATTCCTAGACATACAACTTGTCCGGGTTGGCTGATCTGGCAACGGGCCTGTTATCTATCTATTCATCTTTCAATCTACGGGGCGCTGGTGTGACGGCGGATGGCTGATGCTCTTTGCCTTAGGCTAGGAGCTCAGCACTATGACTTCGTTGAAGCACTTTTTTTCCCCCCCCCCTCATCTCTCTACCTTTCCTTTCCACCAGTTCATTTGGGACTGGTGGTGGTTACTTCAAGCAGGTGGGGGGTGTCGGGAATTGCGCTTCTAGGTACCTTTACCTTGTTGCTGTATGAGGTATGGGGAATGACGGCGCAACTCGGGGCACCCTCTGGCTCCCTCTGCATCCGCCGGCACGCGGCGCATGAGAGAAGCTATCAAACTTGCATGCCTCCAGTGCTATTCTGGTTCCTTTTTTTTTTTCTTACTCTCTGCATGCTTTCGGGACCAATCGATAGCGGGCAACGCAACCCACGCTTGTGACTGGTGACTGTTGAGAATCCGTGCTAGTTAAATGTGATTAATTAACGATAGCGTAGTAGTATGCGGGCGAGTAAGGTGCATAGGGAACAGAAAGATGGAAAGGGGGGTGTCAGTCACGGTAGAAACCATTCCCTAATCGACCAAGTTCGTGACCTGCAAAGGAGAGAAAACGGGTTACAAGTAACGATTGGGAAAGCTTAGGGTAACATGCCTCGCTGGTGTTTGAGCCTTTCTTGGGAGATGAACCGATCAATGAACCAACTCGGATTGGGCCAAGGACTGATGGTCGCCCTGTTGGTAGGACGAGTTGCACTGAGCCAGTGGTCGGATACCGCTTTGGGATTCCTCTTCCGGGCGTTCGCCCGCACGCCTCACCGCACTACACGAGGTCGACGTCGGTTAGTGGCAGTTGGATATCTGAACGGCCTATGCAACGTACCTGAGTGTTCACATCAAACACCAGCGGCGAATTATGACAATTTTTTTGTGACAAAAAAAAAAAAAAAAAAAAAGCAAGGAAGACGGTGAAAACCCTTGAACTAGGTCGCACAAGTCAGTATGGTGAGGGTAACATGCATCGAGGCGTGTGAGTGGGGATGATTCACGACGACCGACAGTCAGTCTCCTGCAGAGGACTCACACTACAAAGTGTCATCACCCCGTGGAGATGAGCCAGAGTCACCGCGAGGGAGGGATGCCAAGCGAAGAAGGGAAACAGACCAAAGGAGATCCCTAACAACTCCGACGAACTTCTGGCCCTAGTGTCCTGTTAACGTAGCGCAAAATCCATGGGTCCGCACGGCGTAGTCTGACCTCCGATCTGCAGGTTGCGTTTGGTATTGTGCATGATGTGGGAGGCCATGGGAGGGGGGATGCCACGTTCTCAACGCCTTCACCTTGGCCCTCCTTCAATCCTTTTTGCCTTTCCTCCTCTGAATGATCAATCTCAGGAGTGAGCTGGATACCTCAGTTAACAAGCCTCATAGCACGGCCTTTAAGTTTTCGAGGCACCTTACTTATTAGGCGCCTTGTGGTTTGGCCTTGGGCTGGCCAGTGTCTCACCGCTGCCATAGAACCACCAACTAATAGAAAATATCGGAGGCGGCGTCTTGGCAGTTAACGATGGCGGAACGGCTAGCAAGTGGCTTTACTCCTCCGCAGTTGTGTCCGAATAACAGCATCCGGAACCTGATCATGGGATCATGTGGCTCGGTCGTCTCGTTCAACTCCCGTCCAGGATCCGAAAGTCAGGGGTATTGGTGTTATTCCCCAGCTTCATCGCAGCCCACACCTGAAATTTCCAAACGTGACGGCCCCTGCGCGTAGTCGCTCTGTGAGGGTGCTCCTCGATCAAGAGCGCTATCCAATTTCGCCTCACATCAGCCCGACCCTTGTGTCTCGGCTGATAGACACACTGCCGCCATGATGCGCCCCGTCGCGTGTCATCCAAAGCCGCCGACAGGAGAAAACCATGTCTTTTTATTTTACTTTGCTTTTTTCTTCTGACCCATGTCGTCTTGTCCGTTATCTCTGCCATTGATAAAACGGGCCCGGGCCGGTGCGGCATCCTTTCAGGTCGTCGGTCTTCAGTACAAAACAACAGACGTGAGTTTCGGCAAATGGGTGATACGTTGCGGCAGCTTGGAAGTACGTTTGCTGCAGTTTGCTGCATGTCTGCATGTCTCGTCCTCGTATCCCCTCCATGTAACCCTAGGCCTGCGCGTTACGAAAGGGCTGTCTTGCCATAACATGCGGCTTGGCAAATGCAGCCACAGCTCCATCAAGTTTACCGCTGGGCGGTACTACAAACTGCCGCGCACGAACCCTAGGGGACAGCCCATTTGCTGCGATATTTGGCAGAGGAATCACTTTGCAACGCCACGGCTGCAGGATTACAAAAAAGGGTCGGTGTGTTGGAGTTTTTTTAGTATCGCCCGTCTGTTGCAACGATGGTAAGCTGGGGACAATCCAAATGGCTCCCCAGATCCTCCCCCTCCCTCCCTTTCATCTGAACTCCGTTTTCCGCCTCTAGTTCATGGGTATCCGGAGTCGGCACGAGTGGATATGTGCGCTATGGTCATCCCCTTCCGATCTGGCTGTCATTCCCTCTGTCGAGGCGGGAGGAATGTGATTAGCCTTATTCTGAACCACACCGGACACACAAGTTATCGATCTAAGAGAGAATAAAGCTAGTGAGCAAACCAGTCAGCAACTCACTAGCTTCTACCTGTATGGCGGCTGATTGGTGCCTGAGTAAATGATGACTCGCGTTGGAATGATAGAGGAAACGGAGCCTGTTCAAGCGAAACCGCCGCCACAAAGCCGCGCTCGGGTTTTCCAATATATTGAATCAGTCCATGCCACGGTTGGCCTGCCAATCATGCTTGTGGCGCATCGTGCGGTGCTAACGGTGAAAGGCAAACAATGATGGCTGACTAGTTGCTATTTCACATACACACTGACGAACGACCATAGGATTGTAAAAACTATATCACTTTTTATCGGTATCAGATGAAGGGTTAGGCTCATGCCCTGTTGAGTGATGATTCTGTGGGTGCATCAGGAATGCAGGCACGTGACTCTTTACCCAAGACAAGGGATCCTGCAGAAAGGAATGCCAAGAAGCGACCCGAAGTTAATCAACGACACTATTTCCACCGTCAGCTACGAGCGTATGTTCCTGATTCATTGATTCAGGATGGCCTCGGAGGTTTTGATGTTCGAGCGCTAGAGGCAGGATGAGAACCCATGAATTGTGAGAAGGGGCCGTGAAACTGATGGCGGTGTGTTGTGGTGATGGCAGCAAGCCGTGGCCGAATCGACAGAATTGATGGCAATAAGGTCCAAGGGCTGGCATCATTTCGAAAGGGAACAATGATATGGCCGACTCTAAGTCTTCCAAGACCGCGTCCGGTGCTCCGTGAATGCCGGCTGATGATGCACAGCATTTGGCGTCATTGGCCGGAGGGAAGGGAGACAGTATCAAGCTGCTCGGTCTATGTATCAGGATGACAGAGTGATACAGTCAAGTCATCGGATTGAATCTGACCAAGACTAAATCGATAATATCCTACGACCCAAGTTCTCGGAGCTTGACAGCCAATGCCAAGCGCCCTGCACTGTAATATCGTTCAAGGTTTCCGAGCCCAGTGTGGCTCAAGGAGGGTGATCTGAGAGAAAACGTGACAGCACAGTTGGTTCTTGGTTAAGCTTTCCGGCCGGTAAACGATGTCAGCACAGGCCCTGGTTAAGAGAGAATCGCCGATAGTCAAGCTGTGTCATTTGTAACTAGAGTCGAAAAGTCGATGACCTCTGCTCGGCTGCTGATTGTAGAAACAACGGCGCTGAAACTTGAAAGAGTCGGTTCCGGATGCATGATTGGCCCGCAGACTAGGTGGTAATGCGACTTTAGCTGGTTGGAGCGCTGGAGGATCATGGCACAAGGCGCTGCTTCATCTTGAGACAGTAGCAGTATCCATACGCGCGCTCACGGGAGGTTTGCGGCTGCGTGGTTGACATGAGCTTTTTTGACGACACCCCGATCTTACAGCGGACGGTAGACTAAGTGAGCTTGGGCTTTGGTCTGCCGGTCATGAACACAGTAAGATCCTGTCGCGAGCCACAAGTAAGCAACAACATGGATGTCGAGTCTACAAACGGCCTGATCAAGAGGGCAAACCTCAACATGGGTAGGTTGACTAACCGGCGTGACGTTTGTTTTGAGTCGCGCAATATAAAATTCTCAGACCGCCAGTTCGTGTTGCTTGCCATCGAAGGTGACCTTTAGGCAGAAAGAAAGCAAGAAGACAAGAAGACGGAGTTGACCCCGGGTTGTCAGGCTTGATTTACAGTGGGTAAAGTGAATACATACTAGTAAGAACGGTTATGACGGACCTGTTGGTCTTGAAGGATTGACAAGCGGAAGAAAGACCAGGTTCCCTAGGGAGACTATGGGAAGGTGCAGAGGCCCACCATAAACGACAAGGTAGCAGGCTCTTCCCACTGTCTGACTGTACGGGCATACACCACAGTTACCTCATGGGCAGGTAGGCAGCAGGACAGGTGGTAGAAGGTACAAAACCTTACTCAGGAACCAAATCCACTGAGGACCCAGTGGCCCAGTTCAAGGTCCCACGGCAGAGATACAAACATACGGTTATCCTACGGTACATAGTACATACACTGCTCCGGTAGGTAGGTCAAGGGGCCCTGGAAACAGCTAACACGCGTGATTGGGCCAGTGTAGTCCGGACGAGACGGCCCTGGGTGCGGTGCCGGGTCCCCGACCTCAGATACCCACTTTGCACACATCTTGTAGGGCCCAGCAAGCGGTGGAACAGCCCTTGCTTTTTTTCTCCGCTTTCCCCTTCGCTCCCGTCCCATTCGTTCCATGCGCACACTAGAACCACCCAAGCCGAGGGTTTTCCCATTTGACATTTTGCTGGGTACTGAACGAGACACAATTTCCTTTGGCTTTTGTTGATTGAGTACTCAGTACCATTTATTTATTTGTTTATCCTTTTCACTTTGTAGGGACCAATCAGTCGGTATCAACAAAACTTCGAACGCCTTGAGCAAAATTGGGCCCAAGCCCAACACCTGGCCGATCGCACCTTCGCTCTCTGTGCGGGCTTTTAGCCTCTCACCCCATCATCGCGGCTCTGTCCCGCTCTCCCGTTAGTCTTCCTCCTCCTAGTCCCTTAATCCCTTGGGTTCCTTTTCTCCCCCCTCTCCACACCACTTTTACCTCATCTTACTTGTACAGCCCGGCCCGAACCAGCGCGGCCTAAGAATCAACCATCCACAAACTACTTGCACAAAGTACGCAGTAAGGTAAGGTACCAAACCCGTTAGCCGTAGCAGACGAACCAACCAACTAAACTACCTTGACCCCCTCTTCCCAGCCTGGTTTTAGAGTAGAAACAACACCGTCACCAACGGTAGCAGCACCAGCGTCTTGTCGCCTTCCATTCAACGCTACGTAGCCATCGCTCACTGTCATCGTTGGATCTTGACCTGACCCTTTCACATCATCCCCCCGTTCCTAGCTTTTCCCCCCTGCCCCCTAGGCTAGAGGTGCGCCCCTGTACATGCGCCGTCAAGTTTCCACCTTCCCTTATTTCGCTCGTGGAAGGGGGGGTCGTGCCCTTGGCTTGGAACCTGTTCGCCTTGGATCTGGATCCGTGACTGACCTCATTTGCTGTGCCTAGCATCGTCGACCGCCAGCTCCTCCCACCCCCATCGCCTTTCGGAAGGCGACATCTGCGTCTTGGTGGAGCGCCTAGCAAGAAAAAGGGCCCCTTTTTCGAACCCTGGTCCGCCGCACCACGAAGCTCCAAAGTTGACACTAAGACTTTACTCCCTGGACTTATCAAGTGAGTACAGAGTACAGAGCGTACGAAATACCCTGCCTTGTTGTGAGATCCATCCTGGACCAGTCCTCTAGCCAGGTACTGTTTTCCATTCGTACCTTGCTCTCTCTCCCTCTTTCTCGCACTAGGACCAGTCCCAGTGGGTTTGCCATGCCTTCCTTGAGGCTCTGGAATCCCGACTTTTAGTCAGTGCATCCACTGTCCAAAAAGTTTGGTTTTCATCAAGGTGGTCTGCTGCTAGCTTTTTTATTTTTTATTGTTTTTTTATTTTGTTCTGTTCTCTTTCTGTGCTGCTCCTGTCCAGGTCTTTCCATCGCCGTCGCAGTCGTTGTCGTCTTCCATTTCTTTCTTTTTCTTGTTCCTTGCATATTTTGCATGTTTATCACCTTCCCCGAGTAGCCTCTGCCTTTGCTGCCCCTGGTCGTGGCCATGGCGTCTGACAGAATGGGAGCTCGAAAGGCTCACAGGAGTTCAGAAGGCTCTCACATCCCTCCGAGCCATTACCACCGCTCCGGCACCTCATCCACAGCCGCTTCTGCCTCCGAAATCGCCGCTGCTGCTTCCAGGAAAGCCGACCGCGACACTGCCCACCGCTCCGCGCCTGCTGCCCCGAAGCAGCACCCGTTCCACTATACCGTCCACCTAGACAACCCGGACCCGAATCTGAACCTGACTCCCCAGCCAGCCTTCGAGCAACCGGCCAACTACCGCGACTCCATCATCTCCATTGTTGACGACCCATTCTTCCAACGCTTCGACGACTATTCCACGGAAGGGGGGGCACTTGGGTTCGAGCCGCATCGGGCTTCCACAATTGACGACGCCGACGCCGACGCCGAAGACGAAGACGAACAAGACAACGACGACGAAGTAGTAGGCGCCACACAAAAATACGAAATTCAACAAGAATTCGATTTTGATTTCGATTTTGGCTATTTTGAGCTACGCGATGACGACACCCCCAACGAGCGCTGGCCGCCCCCAAGAAGAGAGTCGTTGATAATAGGGCCTTCCTTGTCCTGGGTAATGCCCCACCAAACACAGACTGCGGGGTAGCTGATGAGACGGCAAGTGGAAAAAAGGGGCTGACGATCATAGCAACAACCAACCTCAGCCATCATGGAGAGCCTCAACGTCGCCGTCATTGGCGCATCGGGCGTTGGCAAATCATCCTTCGTCCAGCGCGTGCTTGGCCTCTCGCGCCCTCCCATAACGAATGCCTCCAGCGTGCGCATGGTCGTTGACAATGTCACCTATGGCGTAACCCTTATCGAACTCGATCTCGAATACTTCGAATTGGATCCGTCGCAGCCCATCCAGTGGCCGAAGCAAATTAACGGACACATTGTCCCTCGAGTAGACGGCGCATTGCTCCTTTACGATGTCGCAAACAAGGAAAGCATGAAAGAGTTACCGCAAGCCACAGGTAAGCGATGGTGTTTGCTTCGATTACGACGCGTCGCGTCTTGCTGACCTCACACAAAAGCCGCCCTGACGAAATCCGGACTTCCCGCTGTACTCGTCGCCAACAAGTGCGATCATCCTGAGAGTGAACGACAGGTTGACGCGCAACGCGTTGCTAGCCACGAATACTTCAACTCCTGCGTTGGCGTTTTCAACCTCTCAACAAGTAATCCCGAAAGAGCACGAGCCTGCCTGAACACTATGCTGAAAGCCGCAATTACATATCGCAAGGGTACGTGACCAAAAACCGGACCCCCATTGCGTACGCCCAGTGCATGCATGCTGATGAACTATCAGATACACAAGCATCAGAAGGGGGCATGTCCCGCCGCCGTGCAGCCTCGGCAGCCAATCTCGAGGCCCACGACAGCTCGAACGGTCGCCCGCTAAGTCAGCACAGCAAACATAGCCGAGCGAGCTCTGATTTGTCGCTTCTTCGAGGTGCCCCCCCTCCCATCCCAGATCACCTGCGCGGCCCACCAGTTCCAGGGAGCCCCCGGATTGCCAACTTCAGCGGCACGTCCTCGACTTCAACATTCGGAACCGAGACTATCGAAGAAGAGTCTCAACAAACCGTGTCGAGCCAGCTACGAACACCCGGTATACGTCTCGACCGCGGACCCACTGACTCATTCTTGGATATGGAGGAGTCGGACGCCGAATCTTACAGATACTCCGAGGACATTACGGTTCTGCAGCGGAACGATGACAGCTTGCTCGAAAAGCCTAAGCCAACCGGCGTGGCGTTCGACGAATTGGTGGACCGCCTCATCGCCCCGCGCATGACCAAGGCAGACAACAACTTCTCTGACGTGTTTCTCTGCTTGTACCGGAAATTTGCCGCTCCCGGTGAACTGTTCTCGGCTATTCTTACGCGCCTCGATCGCGTGAGAGACGACAAATCCGCACACTACCTCTCCAAGACTGCGACCCAACTTAGAATTATAGAAGTTGTCGCCAAATGGGTGTCTTTGTATCCGGGCGATTTTGCACGCCCTGGTACTAGACGAAACCTGGAGGACTTTATCAAGCATCTTTCCACTGAACCTATATTCTCCATCGCCGCCCAGCAAATCAAGCGCCATCTCGAACACAGCGTGGTGGAAGACGATGACACTGGCTGGGCGAAATCGGATGAATTGGCGGATCAAGAAGGCAGCAAAGTTCTGTCGAAAGACAAGACACGCTCGACATCAGACATGTCCAATGGAATTGGCACCCTCACAATTGATGACGATAAAAGCTTCGACGACAGGCCATCCGCCAGCTCCGACTTTTCACATGTGGACAGGACCAGCGGTGTCGGAACACATGTCTCGTTTCACTCATACGATGAGTATGAAAGAGAAGCGGCCAACATGGAGCCGACCGACGTGTTGCCCATGAATAAGTTCCGTTACCACATTTTCATGGATATATCAGACGACGACATTGCCGATGAGATGACACGCATAGACTGGGTCATGTTCTCGTCTATCCGCATCAGAGACTTTGTGCGGCATGTGAGCCTCTCATTGGATCAGCGGTCTAAGTGCAAAAGTCTAAGGAACGTTAATCGGATGATTAACCACTTCAACCATGTGGCGAAATGGGTAGCCAACCTCATCCTTCTGCGCGACAAGGCAAAGCACCGCGCGCAAATGTTGGAGAAGTTTATGAATATTGCGCAAAAGCTTCGACGGCTTAACAACTACAATGGGCTGGCCGCAGTGCTTGCTGGGATTAACGGCACTGCAGTTCATCGACTAGCCCAAACTTGGGCCCTAGTACCGCCAGAGTCACAGAAGTCTTTCGCGAAGCTGGGCATTCTCATGGGTACACAAAAGAGTCACTTTGCATACCGGTTGGCATGGGAAAACTCACCATTGCCCCGGATACCATACATTCCACTCCACCGGAGAGATTTGGTCTCTGCCGAAGAGGGTAGTAAGACATTTGTGGGCCCAGATGGTGACAGAGTAAACTGGAAAAAATTCGAGGTCCTCGGCGAAGTGCTGCTGCCTCTCATGAAGAGTCAAGGGACTGCATATCCGAACCTTACCAAGCACGAAGCGGCCCGGGAACTCATCTTGGACTGCAGAATGCCAACGGACGAAGAGGTAAGCAGAACCATAATGTTAACATGTACCGTCAGCTGCTAACAGGCGCCAATCAGGAAATCTATCAAAGAAGTGTGCAGGTTGAGAGCACGGCAGGAGGCGGTGCCGAAATCAACAAGAAGAAATTTCCCTGGTTTGCCAAATAGAATTCGGCACTCAGACGGTGCATGTCGATGGAGAGACTCTGAAGAGACAACAACACCATCCGTCACAGAGACAAGCGATGGCGTAGCATGCAGGCGGATAGGCGGGTCAGAAGCTCGCACAATGCATGCCGGCGCATGCAGGCGTATATAAACAAGTCGGATTCATGTGAACGTTGTGGGACTGGTGAATAGCGATTTGGCTCGATTTCCGCGATATAGATATCCTATTCAGCAATTGACAAGGGGGGCCACCAAGGGCCTCGGATTCCTTACGAGATTCAAACGATTTCTAGCATGGCGACTCGACCGGTGAATGCCATTTAGGCTCTACTTGTGACGCTTTCATAACAGTCAATGGCTCAACAAAAGACGAGGTCCCCCGCTCTCATCGGTGTCGGTGAGGCTCAGGACCACGTTTTTGTGATATCGGTAGCATAGCGGTAGCCATTTCAGTAACAGGCACACTTCATCGGCGATCCCTAGGCACATCTGCATCTCCCCTGGTCGGTCGGTGCGGTCCAGCCCATTGTTGGGTCTGCGATGACCCAATGCAATGCGATGCGGCTGGTGTTCAAATTGCCCCGCTAGGTTGGATTTAGGTGCGCTAGAGTTGGCTGACGTCATGCTTCTGAAAGCTCTGGTGTTAGCGTTTCAAGGAGAGGGGCAACAAGGGGCAGAAACCGGGAGCGGCGAGCTGCAAAAGACAGAATCACTGTGCAGTAGTAACTGCGAGTACGTGATGGAGTTGTGGGTATGGGGCGGCGACGTGCAGTACCTACTGATAAGCGCAGTTGAGCCAGCTGGGTCGCCAGGGAGAGGGCGCTCCCCATTCCACATGGCAAAGAGAATAGCATACTAGATGCCCCGCGGCGGTCGCCCCCTTAACCTTGGTCTGCGGCAGCTGCTACCGCTTTCTGTTGCTTGCTGTTCTCTCTGTTTACCTCCGCTGGCGCTCCGCACCTACCTGTAGCTATCTAGGTTTCCCGTCACGCTGGTTGGCTGATTGCCTCCCGGACCAGAGCTCCCGCTGTTGCTGCCACCAAACACGTCGGCTCTTTTGGTTGCTCGCAAAGGAGAGAGGAAAAAAAAAAAAGGAACCTCAACCCCAGTCGGGCTTCGTTGCGTCAATATTCCCAAGTACCTACGCCATCCTTCATTTTACATCGCCAACCTTCCATTGACCATCCAGGCTAACCCCTCGACTTTGTGCAAAGCTGACCGCCTACCGCTGAAGCTATCGTGATACGTGACGTTGCCTGCCGAGTGGTTTTGGTAGCATTGCTGGGGTGTCTGGTTCTTACTAAAGCCAGCTCCTCCTAAAAGCCTGCAGTTCGTCCGTCGCACTTCTTTCGCCGTTTTCGCCGCAGCAACCCACAAGTTTTTCCCCTTCTTCACCTCTCGCAAATCCCTCAAGGCTCATTTTCTTGTCGTTTGTCGTGACCGGCGCCTCTGCTAGCGAAACTTGCCTGCGCTCTTACGGTGCCAAGTCGCCCATTATGGTTGTCTTTGACGGGCACGAGTACCTCACCGAGGAAGAGAAGCGTCTCAAGGAAGATCGAAAGCGTGAGAAGTACTGGAAGAAATGGGGCCCCTACGTCGCCGAGCGGCAATGGGCGACCGGTAAGCCCTTGGGATGTTTTTTTTGGCTCGTGAGTGAAATATCGTATCTAATCGAAGCTATGCTGTAGTGCGAGAGGACTACAGTCCTGACGGAGACGCGTGGAGTCGTAAGGATATTCCCCCGCCCGTTTGCTCCACGAGAGCTCCAATTGCAACCCGCTGACAGTCGGACCCAGACTTTACCCACGACGACGCAAGATCCCGAGCGTACAGATGGGGTGAAGATGGAATTGCTGGTGTCTCTGACACTCACGGCCTCCAGAACATTGCCTTTGCTTTCTGGAACGAGGAAGAGTGAGTCGTTGTCGAAACGGGAATACCTTGGCTCAGTTGTTGACGGTTCCATAGCGATTTTCTCAAGGAGAGGCTATTTGGTCTCTCCAACCCCCAAGGTAACCATGGTGAGAGCATCAAGGAAGCTCACTTTCATGTTGACAACACACCCGTAAGTGAATACGCTCCGGTTTTTGTGGTTACGAATGCTAACAGCCAATTCAGACGGTAGGCTTGGAATTATCGGCGTCCAATTGCCCGTACTGACGATTTATCTGCAGCACTCTTACATGAAGTTTCTGTACAAGTATCCCCAGAAGAAGTTCCCGTACAAGGACCTCCTCGAAGAGAACGCGAGAAGAGGCAAACAGGACAAGGAATACCAAATCATCGACACTGGCATCTTCGAGGAGGACCGATACTGGGATATCTTCATCGAAACAGCCAAGGAGACCAATGACCCTGAAGAGATCTTGTTCCGTGTTACGGCCTGGAACAGAGGCCCTGATCCGGCACCTCTTCACATTGTGCCGCATATGTGGTTCCGGAACACCTGGGCGTGGGGCCGCGAGCCTGAGGACAAGAAACCTTCCATCGAGGCATACGCGGAGGGCATGGTCAAGTCCAAACACCACAAGCTGGGCGACCGCTACCTGTTGATGTCGCCTTCTCCAGGCGTCGGCTCCAGCGGCGAAGATGTGCTGCCTCAAATGATGTTCACAGACAACGACACCAACTACGAGCTGCTGTACCAGCAGGAGAATAAAACTCCGTACGTCAAGGATGCCTTCCACAGGTACATCGTACAGGGTGAAAAAGAAGCAATCAACCCTGAACAAAAGGGAACCAAGTGCGCCGGATGGTTCAGTTTCAACGAAGATGGAGGTGTCGCTCCTGGCGAGTGCGCCGTCGTGCGTTTCCGCCTTTCTAAGAGAAACGAGACGTATTTCGACGAAGGAGAGTTCGATGACTTGATGGACTTGAGAATCGCCGAAGCTGACGACTTTTACTACCGCCTCAGCCCCCTCCCCATGGCTGATGATCTCCGCAACATCCAACGCCAGGCCTTCTCTGGCATGATGTGGACGAAGCAGCATTACCTGTTCATCTGGGACCAGTGGGCGAATGGCGACCCAACGCAGCCTCCTCCGCCACCCAGTAGGAAGAATATCCGCAATACTCAGTGGAAACACATGCACTGCGACGACATTCTGTCCATGCCGGATTCTTGGGAGTACCCCTTCTTCGCCGCGTGGGACAGTGCTTTTCACTGCATTACACTGGCGATGATGGATCCGGACTTTGCGAAGAAGCAACTGGATCTGTTTACTAGGGAGTGGTACTGCCACCCGAACGGTCAATTACCAGCGTGAGTTGTTCCCAGACTTGGTTCGACGAGGCCGATGCTAACAGTGAATAGATACGAGTGGAACTTTGGTGACGTGAACCCCCCTGTTCATGCTTGGGCAACATTCCGTGTGTTCAAAATTGAGCGCAAGATGTACGGCAGGCAGGACCTGGACTTCCTTGAGAGAGTCTTCCAAAAGCTATTGTTAAACTTCACTTGGTGGGTCAACCGCAAGGATGCCGATGGCAAGAATGTCTTCGAGGGCGGCTTCCTCGGCCTTGACAACATTGGTCTCTTCAACCGCTCTGAGCCACTCCCAACTGGCGGTTCCTTGGAACAGGCTGACAGTACCGGCTGGATGGCTTTCTACTGCCTTAGCATGCTGAACATCGCTCTTGAGCTGGCCAAACACCGACGCACGTATGAGGATATTGCATCCAAGTTCTTCGAGCACTTCATCTTCATTAGCGATGCGATGACCTTCAGGACTGGCCAGAAGGACGAGAAGTCGCTGTGGAACGACGAGGATGGTTTTTACTACGACGCCATCTCGTGGGGCGGCCCTTGGATCCAGCAACTCCCTGTTCGATCTCTTGTGGGCTTGATCCCACTTTATGCAACGATGACTCTCGAGCCCGAGTTGATTAACAAGCTTCCTTCCTTTAAGAAGCGAGTAGACTGGTTCATTGAGAACCGCTGCGATTTGGCCGAGAGAAACATGGCCAGCATTGCTAAGCGTGGTAAGGGAAACAGAATATTGCTATCCATTGTCAGCAAGGACAGGCTCGAAAAGATTCTCCGCCGCATGCTTGATGAAGACGAATTTCTGAGCGAACACGGCATTCGCTCACTCTCTAAATACCACGAGAAGAACCCATTCTCGATGGAAGTCAACGGCCAGACCTTCTCCGTAGGCTACGTCCCCGGTGACTCCGACAGTGGCTTATTTGGAGGCAACAGCAACTGGAGAGGTCCTATCTGGCTATGTGTGAACTTCCTTCTTGTCGAGTCCCTTCAACGGTTCTTCTTGTTTTACGGACAGGAGTTCCAAGTTGAATGCCCAACTGGCAGCGGCGACTACATGCATCTAGGCCATGTTTCCGAAGAGATTCAGCATCGTCTGCAGCATCTGATGGCCCGCAACGACGACGGTCGCCGCAGCATCAACGCCGGAAGTGACTTGCTTGATTTTGATCCCCACTGGAAGGATTACCTCTGGTTCTACGAGTTTTTTGACGGCGACTGTGGTCGTGGACTTGGAGCCACCCACCAGTGCGGTTGGACAGGTCTGATTGCCAGAATGATCCATGACACTGGGTAAGAGTTCTTCCCGCGTTTGATAGCCCCCTCCGCTAACCTTCTAATGCAGTGTTAACTGCCGTCTCCCTCACACCCCGCGTACGCCGTCGGCTGGAATGTCACACTATTTCGATGACATCCTGACACGCGAGATCAAGCGCCGTGACTCAACCACGCCACACACCCCTGGGCCCAACGGCAAGCCTCGCATGCGCAGATCGTCCACCGCACGGTCCATTGGCGCGAGGAGCGACTTCGATAACGACATGAACGGCGAAGACGGCCACGACGAGGAGTCACTTGGTGGCTCCGTCACCTTGGAGGACCCGGACAGGCTCAGGGAGAGGCTGAGGGAACGAACGGAGGCGGACGCACACATGCACCGCTATATCTCGGACCAGCTTGAGCGCTTCAAGGAGGATAAGGAGTTTACAGTCAACGGAGGCGACAACGAGTACGAGACCAGTGCCAAATGATGCGTTTCTATAGGTCTCGTTGTCCTGTTTGGTTAGTATAGACAGGTTGTGTGGGCTCCATCGCAAATGTCATCGGGGGAAAGATAAGAGAGTACTCAAAGAGGGAAACAAAACCGCAGAAAATATAAAACTGCATAAAGGGCTTCATTTTCATTTTCTTTTCTTTTTCTTCCTTTACAATGCATACGAATAAGAACATGACTGTCATAGGTGCACATAGAACTAAGCACAGTATTGCCGGGTTGCGAGAGATTAATCCTTGTTGACTCTTTCACTGGAAGCTTCCGTTTATTCGAAGGCAAATCTGCCTGCAGCCTCTCTCCTTGGGATGTGATGTCTGTGTGTGCTATCCGCACTCTTGGTATCGGGGACTACTAACCTCAAGGTTTTCAACGGCATGGTCGGCGCCATATTCTGTGCATGAAGCGCGTAGCTCTGGAAATCGACAACATTGATGTCGTCATCATACATCCATGTTGTTTTTGTTCCATCTACATCATGCGGAGTTCTCACTGGGTTATTTACATCGTGAGTTGTTAGATATATACGAGACAAAGAAGAAACCTTGCTGTGGATTCCTCGAGTGTACATTTACAGCTTGCTGGGACGAACTTTGTTACTTTTCATACAAAGGATGATAAATATCCGAGGTTAGCAGGCGACTCACGACGGTTCACAAATGTCGTTTTCCTTTTAATTATGCTCCTGCCTGCTGCTTTTATCGTATCAACATCATATCAGGCACTTTTCAAGGACAAAGGTGTTTAGAGGTCCGTGAATGCTTCTATTGTAGACTATGCACAGCTCGTCTCATTGGCCCGGAACAGGATTCCTCCTCTCTCGCACTCGAGGCCGAAAAAAAGAAACCCTTGTTTCTGAGCCCGCGCAGTTCCCACAGAGAACCACATGTGACGTTTGGAGGAAGGCGGGAGGATGTTCCCACAATCCCGTCACATACAGATGTTGGAGCCCGCAGCAGCAGCAGCAGCAACTCTCCATTTCCCCTCTCCCCTCGGTCAAAGTTTACAAGAAACACACACAAAGAGAAATAGTTCGGGTGAGGGATTAAGATGGGGTGTTATGCTAGTCGGTTCATCTTTTCAAGGGTTGTATTGTAGGTAAGACTGTTTTACAAGGCGTCGGTGAGAAGCTTGTTAAGCTTGGCGATCTTGGACGAGACGCTAAGGTCGATGGTCCGTTCGCCGACCTCGACGATAAGGCCGCCGACGATCTCAGGGTTGACCTGGGTGCGGTGTTAGTCAACGTTGTTCTTGATAGCATCAAGTCACATCTGGTCCGAGAATCTCGGTGATTCGGCCGAGGTCGAGGTTAACTTGCGAGAGTGAGAACGTACCTGGTTGGTGACCTTGAGCTTCTGGCCCTGGCCGATGTAGGCAGACTTGGAGATGGCAGCCTCGAGTCTGTTGAGGGTCTTGTTGTCGAGTTGCTATGGTGATGTTAGTCATGCGTTCCAATATTGTTCGTCTGTTGCCTCTGGTCGGTGAAACTCGTCTGCGCGGGATTTCTGTCCAACACATGTATTCCCCAACAGACAGATTCACAACTAAGCCTTGCCTCTGGCAGTGGCGGGCCAACTTCTCCCACGTAACGAGATGGGTTATAGCAACTCCCTCCTCAGGAAATGTGACATACCGTAGCGCTGGTGACAATAAGCTCAACCTCGCCGCGGGCGGCGCTCATGATCTCGCCGAACTTCTGGCAAACACCAGGCAGGAGGCCGAGACGGTTGTTCTCGGCGAGGGCGGCAAGGAAGTTCTTGACGGTCTCCTGGGAGCTGGCGCCGGCCTGCTTGGTGAGCTCGGCAACGATGGCGTTCTTGTCATCGGCGCTCAGGGTGGGCGCAGCGAGAACGGTGGCCAGCTTGGGATCCTTGGAGACGAGCGACTCGAGGGTGGACAGGGCCTTGGCCGTGGGGTCGAGGGAGGAAGTCTTGACAGCGGCGGTGTACTGGAAATTGACGCAGTTAGCTTTCTGGTTCGATGTCTTCCATTTTTATTTTTATTTTTTTATCCCTCCATCCTCGGAGAATCCCGATCTTCAACTCGAGATCCTCCCCCAATTGAGCTGCACGACCCAATTGACCCCGGAAAAACATGATGACAGGAGAATCGTACCAGGGCAGTGGCGTAGGTGCCGTCAAGGCCAAAGACGGCGACGGGAGGCTTGACGTTCTCGGTCGCGGCGGCAGCGGCGTAGGTTCGGACGGCCGGGGCGCGGGAGGCAGCGACGAGGCGCGACGCGGGAGCCGCCGCTCGGATTGTGCGGATAGCCGATCTCGAGAACATGGCGGATTTCGTCGTGAGTGCGGGTATTGTTCAATTGATGGGGGAGACCGGCGGGCGGGAGGGAGGGATGCTGCTGATTTGGGGATAGCAGGTGAGGTAGCTGTCGGTTTTCGAGGTTGAGGTTTGAACTTCGGCAATTTGGGATATTGATGCCTTGGGGCTGGAGGCTGCACCGTTGGCTGGTGCGGTAAGGCATCTACTTAGGTAAGCTGGTCCTAAGGGTGGCCGGGTCGGTGGAAATCGGAGCTGGAATTCTTGTGTCAAGGGGCCAACTGCACGGTGCCAAAAACAGACCCTAGCCCCACCCGAATTGAGTTCCCTGATCTTGACGAATGTTCCGTATTCGACAAGAATTGGGATGAACCACAACACCACAAGGACGGACAGTGAAGTCGAAAACAGTTACTGTCTAATGCTTCAATTATCAACTCAATACCAGGTTTCCCGTAATCCTGTGGGTAATCTACAGTAATATCACAATTGCCGCTGCCCTTCCCTGTTGTTGGGGGGCGACAGCGGTATCAAAGCCCATCACGCCTGGTCGCCAGCACTTCCTTAATTACCGACCGGCATCCCTGATATCCCCAACGCCCAGACAATGCATTCACTCATGGGTTCGAAATTTGGCATAACTCAATCGCTCTCAATCATCTTTTCAGCAAGATCGTTCAGGGGACCGTAAAAGTCCTTGCCGCTCGCCAGCTTGTGCTCGTCAACAAACAACACATACTGCTTGAAGCTTGTGTTGAGATGAGGTTCCAGGCCGAGTTCTCTGATGACGGCGTAGTGATGGCAGTAGACATGGGCGTAGACTCGGTACATGCGCTTAAAGATTTGTCGCACGTGCGACGGGAAGTTCTTCGGGAAGGGGACGCCTATACGTCCTAGTGTGAGTACAACCTCTCTACGTACTCGGCGTGGAATGCACCTACCAATCCTGCTTGGCATCATCGTCTCATTGTCGATGGTGTTTTGCACCCAGGTCATAAGGTGCTCGATGTAATCCGGAGCTGACATGTGAGTCGGCTTCTTATACTGGTCACTGTCCTGCCACAGGTACTCGAACTCGTCTGTGGCTTTCATCTCTGGACACGACTGGGGAGAGCAAAACTCCGTGATGGCGCCGTAGAGAAGGTTGATCTGGTTGTAAAAGTCGACCACTGCACACCGCAAACGTTAGTCAAACTGTACTGTCTTTGTTCCCCCTCCTTCCGTTCCTCTCATGGCCTTCTCTCCTCTTTTCCTGGGGCGTGCTCACTATTGACAGCCAGCCATTCGTTCTCGTCCTCGCCTTCGGGCAGCTTGACAACCTTGCGTAAGCTGCCTCCTCCAAGAGTCGCTTCAGCATACTGTCGCAGCGCAACGCCATTGTTTGCTCCCTTCACGGTGCGCGCACGGAACTGGTTCCTAGCCGCCTTACTATCCTCATCGTCAGCGGCTGTAGACAAAGGTGCGGGGAGCTGGGATTCGGGTGTTTGGATGACGGTAACATCGCGGTTGAGTCCGCTGCTGCGCGGGGGATCTGGCACCGGCGGCGGAGGCGATGGTGGCGGCAGCGATGGTATTCCCCCCGCCAGCAGCCCCGTTCTCACGCTGATGTAGTGCAAAAGGGACATCATGGCGGAAGCAGTAGGTATGGTGGTAGTACTGACACTGTCATACCCGGCACCCCGTTCATGGTGGCGACGTGTCGTGGAGCGCTCGAAGGTTCAGATACTTAAATGTTATCGTCGTTCTGGCTGTTGCATTCCATTCCAGTGGTTAGCGGGGTAATGGAACAGATGAAATTCGGCAGGACAGCGCCGAGATGTTGCTTGTGACATACCTGAAAGGCTGGATGACGTCGCTGAGCTTATGTCGTGAAAGCAGGATTCAGGTGTTGAAAGGAAAATTATTGAGGAGATGAAGTCAACTTAGGATCACCTAGGTTAGAAGATGCGCGCGGCTCGTTGTTTTGGGTGTCATAGGTAAGGTGCTGGTCAAAGGGTACTCCCTACTGCGTGGAAGGGGTTGGTGGTGTTTATGCGCTTGCCCAATCGGTGCGGTTGCTGGGTTGCAAGAGCCGGTCTTGTGGAGACCCGAGCCACAGTGGTCCTAATTTACTGTGGCTGGTGCACGGCGTCCCCTCCGTTTTCCGCACTGGTGGAAAGGGCGGAACACCTCGGGCGGGGTCCCATCTACGGCACCAAAGACCCAGTCTTGCGGAAGCCATGTAAATGCTCAATCGGAGGCCTTCAATAGCGTTGCAAACTGTCCAGAAGACCCACTTCTGACCAACAACGCTAGGCAGTTGGGAGTGGTCTCTTTCTCCAATCCTTCCTTTCAGGCCCGTCACGTATCGTCCTTGGAAGACTTCTGCCGGCCGGGGACTTGAATAGCCTCAATTCAAAGTGGAGAAACCATTATCCCCGCACTCTGGTCCTGTTCCCCTCAATGTTCCCTCCATTTGGGTTCCGGAAAGCCGAGTTGAACGATACCAGACAGCTTGATTCTCGGTTGATAACCGCCCGAGGTTGACTACCCCATTAGCAGAGATGGAAATGAAGGTTAGGAAAACTATGTAACCCAGTCCCCATGCTCCTAGTCGTCTTCATGGCTAGCCTGTCGATCCCTCCATGTCAAGATGAGGATTCGGCTTCCCCGCGCGAACCGAAATTTGGGGACGATGCCCCTTCAATTGTATAAAACCTGTCCGGTTGTCCAACCTTTTTTTGTAGACAATTACTAGGTAAAACTATGAGCCCCAAGTTGTCTAAGTGCTGTCTAAAGTGTATCTTAACATGCGTGCCTTGCACCTGCTGCCGCTATTATGTGCTATCATCGAAGCCAAGATAGACCGGCAGAAAGTGGTGCAGTCATTTAATCCTCGACGTAATGCCACTTCGCCGGAGACACCGTTGCAAGTTGGCAATGGCAACTTCGCCTTTGGTGCTGACATCACGGGCCTCCAGACCTTCAGTCCTTTTGCGACAATGTCAACATGGGGCTATCACAACTTTAGTCTGCCCACAACCCCAGGCCAGACATCGATTGAAGGTAAGTCACCGTGTTCATGGCACAGTTGGGTAGAGACAATGTAGGATATATCAAACTAAACCGTGAGTTCTTAGACTACAAGGGAACAGAATGGTGGACACATGGACGACTAGTCCAATACAACATGGCCAACCCCACAAACAACGACATTGCAAACTGGCTCCGCGAGAACCCCCACCGCATCAACTTGGGCATCATCGGTTTGTCATTCGACAGTGGCAATGTTTCGACTGATGGTGTGACGGAGGATATGCTTGGTGACAAGGAACAGATCCTCGACATGTGGGCTGGTGTTATTCTCTCAAGCTTCACCTACAAGAACACTCCCATCAAGGTGGAAACCCGAGTAGATCCCAACTCTGACACCGTCGCCGTATCCATCGAATCCGCTCTGTTGTCCTCTGGTGACCTTTCCGTATTCTTTGACTTTCCCTACCCCACGAACGATAAGTTTGGAGCACCATTTATGGGCGTGTTTAACCAGACCAACAAGCATAAGACGTCTCTCTCATCCTGCAGCGGAGGTAACCAGGCCAAGATACACCACGACCTGACAACAGCCCAGTATGATCTCCGCCTCAAGTGGGATAGCGGGAAGGGCAACGGGACGGTGAAGGCACCGACTGATGGCAGCCATCGATACCTACTGTCCACCAGTGGCTCGGACAAGCTTCGGTTCACGGCCAATTTTGCGCCTTCAAGGCCTTCGACTCAGGCCAAATTTGACAAAGTCGTAAATACTGCCCAGGAGTGGTGGGCTTCGTACTGGTCAAATGGAGCGTTTGTCGATATGACTGGCACGGCTGACGCCAAAGCAACCGAACTCCAAAGACGGACCATCCAGTCCCAATATCTGGTGGCTGTCAACTCGGCATCAGATTATCCCCCCCAAGGTAGCCATGCTTTTGTTCCTAGGTCCTAACCTTGCACTAACACCATCAACCCAGAGTCTGGTCTCGTGAACAATGGCTGGTTCGGCAAGTTCCACGTATGCAACCACCCCTCGTCACTTGAAAGTTTCTCACTAACTATGAGCAGATGGAAATGATCCTCTGGCATACATTACAATTCGCCCGCTGGAACCACTTCCCCCTCTTTTCCCGCTCCCTCCCCGGAACCTACGTCAAACTCCTCCCATCTTCCCTGGCCCGCGCATCAACACAAGGCTACGCCGGCGCCCGCTGGGGTAAGATGACGGACCCTTCGGCCATTGACTCGCCCGGCGAGATCAACACCCTTCTAATATGGCAACAACCTCACCCAATGTACTTCGCCGAGCTGGAATACCGTCACGCCCCGACAGCTGATACTCTCGCAAAGTGGGACGAAGTCCTTACGGCGACGGCGGACTTCATGGCCTCCTTTGCATTCTATAATCAATCAACGGGAGTGTACGACTTAGGCCCGCCAATGTACCCAGTTTCGGAAAACACCAACCCCAACGCCACTGTCAACCCAACGTTCGAGTTGGCGTACTGGCGCTTCGGCCTCGATGTCGCCATCTCATGGAAATCCCGCCTCGGCGAGAAGGCCCCTGAGGCGTGGAAGACGGTGAGGGATAAGCTCGCCCCATTGCCAGTCGTCGACGACACGTACCCCGTGTACGAGGGCATCCCCAACATGTGGAAGAACTTGACGACGGTGCAGGACCACCCGGCAATGTCCGGTATCTTCGGGCTTCTGCCGCCTCCCTCTTCCGGGCCAGGTCTCAATCGCACTGTTCTGGAAACCACCGCCGCCAAGATCTGGGAGCTGTGGGACCTCGACGAGTCTTTCGGTTGGGACTTTCCCATGCTGGCGATGAACAGCTTGCGATTAGGCGACGCGCGGCGGGCGGTCGAATATCTGCTGCACCCAACTTTCCAGTTTGACGACGCTGGGTATCCTGTTGGAGGGACCAGGGTGCCGACGCCGTATTTTCCAAGCTCGAGCAGCTTGCTGCTAGCAGTGGCCATGATGGCTGGAGGTTGGGACGACGCCAAGGGGCCGCACTTTCCCGAGGGATGGAATGTTACTGTAGAAGGTTTCGTTCCTGGGCTATAGTTGGGAGCATTTGTCAGATTTGAAGTCATAGAGTTGATGGATGCCGAGGCATCTGCCGTGTACTTGTCCCTAGTTCTATTAATTTCGACAATTGCCCTCGCTGGATCAACAGTGCCCCAAAGCAAGCACAAACGAACAGCTAAAACAGTGGGAATTTCACTTCAAAGTGCCCATACCCTGTGGGTAATGTTCAAACGATATGATTATCTTCTGCTGGCGTCCGTCATAACGACCAGACCCAAGAATGACGAGCATTTCACAATATTCTGCTCTACATTCAACCAGCCGTCTTCTGCGGCGTCGAACGACAAAATAAAGGGGTGCCGGTACGCCATTGTCCTGGCGGCCATTACCACCGCCCTTTTCCCAACCAGCAACTTGATCTTTCCATCCTCCTGTTCCTGGAAGATATCCATCTTTCTCCCGCATACGTTCAATCGTTTTGTCATTTGGTCATTTCGAGTTTAGAAAGTGAAGAAGCTCGGAAGCAAGTAAGTGGGTTGAGGTAAGGTCATCAAAAAGGGCCCCGCAAGTAACTCAGAGCAGAATTTCGCCCATGTTCTCGCCCTCGAAGCCAAGCTTGCTCAGCTTCTTGATCCGCCCCTTGTCGCGTGTCTTGTCTTTTTCCTTCTTCTCGGCCGCCAGGCGGTGCACCAGCTTGACATCAGCCGACTCGTAGCCCGGGGGTGGGTCGTCGTCTTTGTCGAGATCGATCTCACCCAGGAGGAGCACATTTTCGCCACGCACAAGGAAGATACCACGCTTGACGTCGGCGTAAAGGCCTGAAGGACGCGACGGGTTGGCATCAAGGTCTGGATGGGCGAAGACGCGCTCGACAGTGTCCTGAAGGACGAGATTTGCTATTATTTCCCAGGTTGTCAGTTATCATGAGGATGATGTGGTGGGGTTATGAGAGTAGGAGTGCATGTACCGAACTGGTCCCAGCTGCGAAGGACGCCAATCAGTTTGCGACCATCGCGGAGTGCAACCATGAGCTTCTCTACGGGTCGAATGTTAGCGACCAGCTTTCATTGTCCAACGGCGCACGACAGTCGTGATTTTCCGCCTTACTGTCGGTGAGATCCAGCAGCTGAGCTGCAGTGGTGAACATCTGCGGTGGGAGCTGGGCGGGTTGCTGAGGCGGGGGCGGTGCGCGGCCACCGAGAACGGGTTGGCCCCCCTGGGGAGGGGCATCGGAGATGGTGAGGTTTTCCATTGTCTTTTTTATCTTGTTGGCATTGGTACTTGAGAATTATTGCATTCGAGCCAATCCCGGTCCATCGATTATTGCGCCGGGATAGTATAGATGCGACAGGAAAAAGCAGGTGCTTATAATGTGGCGCTAAGAAGCATCATCGGGAGGGAGTGCGAGGTTTGATCGTTGTCGGTTACTGGCTGTAGCCTTGCGATTCTACCTCGCTCGCTTCTGAGGTACGCTGTATTGGATGGTGTTCAATCAAGCCATCATCATCGTGGGTCCACCTAGTCTGGGCTGGCGGCGTCGGCGACAGGGCAGGTGCGCTGCTTTGTGGTCGGAGATACTAATTTTGCGGAAGCCGAAAAGGGACAGACAAATCTGGTCGACTTTGGAGTTGGAGCACGCCCCGGCTGAGAGACCGAGCACGGATCATTCTTTGGTAGGTGAGAGTCGTCCGGGGCACGTGAAAGGCGGGGCATGAGTCAATCCCTGTTGTCAAAATTTCTGATGATCTCAGATGCATGCGGGGCAATGGCAGTCCCTGGCATTGCTGGAGGGGTAGTAGCCCACCAGCCAGTCCGAGTTTGACTTTTATCGGCGCAGGAGCAAGGCATGACTGAGCTTGGGGAGAGGTCGCTAATTTTTTTGGTCTTTTTTCCTTCTGTTCGTGTCGCTCAGGCGACTGATGGACGAGGGGCCTTGGGTCACACGAAAGTCTCAAGGCCTGAGCTTATTGCTGTAGCTTTTTGTCCCTTTCTTCAGCTCTTCCTGTTGTCAGCGATGCTAGCTGCGTGTCTCTCTATCTTGAATTATGTATTGTTTTTGTTCTTTTACTTTAGTAATGTGCACCGCAGCAAAGTCCGGCAGATCCGAAAAGCCAGCAATTCCAGCCAGAGGCAGCTATGACGAACTATCGCATTATGCTTCCAGCTTTTCCTACTTGCAGCTGCACTGATATATGCTCTTATGCACCTAAGCCATCCATGCCAAACCAGAACCGCCTCCTTTTTCCCGTAGTCTATAGCAAGCCAACCCACAACGCCTAGTCATAATGCAGTGTGATTCTCCCCGTATTCTTGGTTAATATGAAGTGATGTTCGTTTGTAAAGCAAGCAATGTTGGTCGCCGACGATGTGTCGAGGATGTTCAAGGTTTCCGCCCGTCATCGGATGGGTTACGAGAAGCCATTGGCACCTGCATAGCTGGTAACTTGCAAGGAAAAGTGTATAGCAGCGGTGAGACGCATTGCGAGTGTCAGTTTACGGTATGTGAAGTCGCAGTGTTGTGCCTACAAAAGAAGTGCACGCTTGGCTTTCATATCAATAGGCAGGGAACGAGGGACCGAGACGCTGGCGCGCCCATTGCGTATCATGACTTTTTCATAGTGCATCTAGTCAAGGCTTCGAGAAGCTCTGGCCGGGCCGCCAATGCTTCCTTTGCCTGCGTGTATGTCATCCACTGACGCTCTCTCTTGTGCTTCTCGGGCCAGTTGTCCTCTTGCCGAACGACGGTCGCTTCGTAGAATCGGTATAACGACTTGGATGAGTCCTTGCTGGAGTGCTTCGGTGGGCGGGTCTCGACAATGTCTCCCAAGTCATAGTTGATCTCGATACTGATGCCTGCTTCTTCCCAAGCCTCGCGTGCCGCTGCCTCGGTGCATTCTTCGTCCGTCTCCCAGCCGCCTTTAGGCAACACCCATCCCTTCCTACGGGTGGACTGGATAAGAAGAACGTAGTGCTTGTCCTCGGTCAAGGGGACAACACCGGCAACCAAGCGCTCGCCTTTGGAGTTGTAACCTGCAGGACAAGGTGTTAGTGGGTCCCGCGCTGCGAGCAGGCGCACCAGGGTTTGGGGGGAGAGGCTCAAAGGATAGAAAGGAATTCGCCTCTGCTCCCGTTTGCGCACTTACGCTGCTTGCTTCTTCCCGTGCGCGACTCCATTGTCCGCTCCTTGTGAGAGGAAGACATGCTGGGCAGCCTGCTTTGCCTTTGCGAGGTTTGTGTGGCAGGAAGGGTCGGAGGAGGTAGTTGTGGTGTGGGTTGCACAGCTGCTCTGATACTCGGTTGCTGTTGCGGTAGCGGTAGCGGTAGTGGTGGTGGTAAGTCCGACAACAACTTTTTTCTCTCACAGGTGATTTGCAAGTCGAAAGTTGTCCGGGCTGAGGGGCTTCGGGATCTGGGTTGCGGGCTCAAAGATTTTTCAGCGACATGATCGCGTATTTGTGAGGTAATTCTGAATGAAAGGTAGTCGGGTTTGTGAAAGGCTGAAGGATAATTCGCAAAAGTGAGTTGCGGGTTGCTAGTTATCGCGCTGAAGCTTCGGATGGGATCGGTTGGCAGCTTCCAGATTTCGCTGGAGGTCTGGCCAAAACAGGGGACCAGCGCTCTCACACGGTGTGATCGTAGGCGCAGAGGGAGAGGGAACGCTCGGATGGATTCACCACCGCTTGAGGAGAAACGAGTGGGACCAGCCTGTGCTGGACCAGCAAGTCACACGCTTCCGGCAACAGAACAAAACTCAAGCAGGACTGGCGGGTCACTCGCTCAATAAGAGCAAGAAGCGAACTAGGATCGAGTAGGCGAGTAGGAAAGAGAAAAAAGAATAGGCTGCGCAACTGCTCTTCTGGACCCTGGGTAGGCAACGGTCGACAAGTAGCCAGAGAGCTGGAGAGGAGGCAAGTAGGATGGGAGGAAGAAGAGGGCGGGTGTCAGATATGACTGAGGCACCACCTAGTGACGACAGATACCCTGGTGAGGGGCAAGGTTGATGTTGACTTAGGAGATGGTCGCCAACGACACAAAGGGGCAAAAAAAGTTCAACGTGGAAGAAGAAAGAGATTGAGGCTGGGGAGGGTTAGGAAGGATGAAAGAAGCTATTAGAGCAAAGGCAATGGTAATAGCTGGGAGCTCTGGTGCTGGCCAGAGGGTGGCATGTCTCGTGCCATAGTAGCAGGACGGGGGAACGGGCTCTAGGGGAAATTAAAGTTGATTTATATACTTGACCATTTTAAGACGGGAGCTTTGTGCTCTAACACTCTACAGGTACTAGGGGACAAGTACTGAGGTGGCCCAACTAGCATGTACGGACCAGGGAAAAAATAAATACAAAAAATACAAAATGGACAGGTCAGGGTATGAAGCCAGACCAGGTTGGTAGGTGTATGAGGTGTTAGTGTGGCTGCAGAGTTAAGTGTGAGCGCACGCGCGAGTTGTGTGTGTGTATGTGTTTGTGTGTGTGTGGGAGAGAGAAGGTGGGCAGAAGGAGGCGTGGGTAGAGCGTAAAAAGCCGACGAAAAATAAACGCAGACGGTGTAAAAGAGAGAAAAAAAAAACCACGACAGGGTGTGGATGTGAGCGAGCAAGCATGATGGGAAGGGGTGAGAGGCGAGTGACATGCATGGGAAAGCTCCCCGTCTGTATTTTGGATCCAGGGTAGGGGGTAGCTCCGAACCAGGAGGGAAAGAATGAGAGCAAGCCAGGAGTACCTTCCCTCTACTTTGGGCCCTCGCAACTTCCTATTGCCCGGCAGAGAAAGCAGGACAACAAGCCAAGAAAAAAGTGTAAATAATCGCCATTCACTTCCAAGCTGACAGATCATCACTTTGCGTCCCCATGTTGGTTTGCTCTCCTTTTCCTCCTCCTAGTAACCCTCCGGTGAACCTTCGCTGTCTTGGCCTGCCTCCAGCCTCTCTCATTTCCTGCTTCTCGACTGACTGACTAGTCCCAGTAATAAGGAAATACCAGAAAGCTAGAACCACAGTGAAGAGGAAACGACTCCCAGGCAACGCCCTGTCAATTCTTCGTCAAAGCATGTATCTTCTCACACATTGCTAGCCGCCCAGTACAAGGCTCGCTGGTTTGGATTCCAGAGACACCGCCGCTAATCTTCAAATAGCAAGGTGATGATCGATGGGTCCTGGTCCCAGTCTGGCGCAGGGGCAGCGACAGGTCCAGACCCAGTATTCCAGCAGCTTCTTACGATGCCCGCCGTGCCAGGCGTGCCTTTGCTTGGTTGTCTTGTCTCCATACTGTGACATGACTGGAAGGTCGTTCAACTCGGGTTGGGGCTAGGTGCATGCTCACCCACTGGGCAACGGCTCTGTTCAATCGCCGTCGGCTCGCTCTCCTGTCCTCACGCTTAAACAGTAGGACACCAATTGTGCCGCATGCCCTGCAGGCTCGGCATCCACTGCATTTGAGGCAGGGCTTGTTCCTTTTCTGTATTTTATTTTTATTTTTATCTTCGTTTTTATTTTCATTTTCATTTTGAATAAAGAGTTCAAAGAGTGGGGTGCTGGAGGCAAGGTCCCTTTGGTCGCACCAGTCCAGCAGTAGTAGGCTCCAGAACGAAGTACCTTCCATAAGCTGTTGCAACAGCAGGCTGGGTCAAATTGCTCCATCATACTGGATCTTTCCAGGCCAGCGCGGCTTCCTTCCACCGTTTCATCACTGCACACCTGCTGATTCCGTTTCTGTGCCTTGATTTCTTGTGGCAACAATGAGTCTTCTGCTTCAAGGCCCCAGTAACTCCCTCGCGTCATCACTCACGGTTCCAGTCTTGTCTCCAGATTGCAAGAGACTGCCAGCTCTGAAACCTAAATTGGCGGCCGGGCATGAGCAGTACTCCCTCGCCAAGGTGTTGCCAAAGAGGTTTGGAAACCAAGAGGGTTAAGCGGATGAAGGGGGGTCTATTCTTTGAGTTTTCCTCGCGCTCTAAAAGCTTAGCCTTTTGCAAAGGCCGATTAAACCAGTGCGCTATAATTCGATACCAAGACATAGCGACCTCTCTCAACCTCGCCTATCTCTGACACCAATGACTCTCTCGGCATCGGACAATAACCCGCACCCCTCTACTGCCTTCCTGGCCCTTGCTCTTTCACCTCATCGACCGTGCTCTCCTCCTCCCGGCACGACCCCAACGGTCCGTTTCCGTTGTTTGATGGCTTAATTCAGAAGGCAGAGCCGGGAACACCACTGGGAAAAGCTCAGTTTAGTGTCCATCATCGGCTTCGTGCCTTGGCCTCCAGCCAAGTGATGCAACAAACAAGCATATCGCTGGCAGAGGTTGCCAATGCAAGCCATATGGTGCCGCTTCAGCTAAAATCAACGAGGACAAGGCAGTCACTTTGATCAGCCGTTACCCGTATTGCCCTCTCAAAGTCTTCAGACCATCAAGCCTGCCACAACACAAGGCACACCACCCACAGCGTGTGAATCTGCATTGGTCACATAAACAGGTCCACGATGCAAGCAAAGATCCTTCTGGCCCCATCAACCCCCTCTTCGAAACGGGGACTTGAGAGCCACCACTAAGGCTACTGCACTGAGACCCCTTCAGCAGAGAAGCGGTAGAGACCGGACAGTGGACCCAAGCAACTTCAGCGCCCCCTTTGACGTGCGAACAGCGTGGCAGACGGGGTGAATATTGACCTGCATTCTTTGACCAGTGACGAGAACTAGGTGGCTTGGATTTGATCCAAGACGCTAAAGAAGAAGTACCAAAAAGACTCGGAGTCATGCGGTTCTGCCATAAACGGCAAACGAATCAGCGCAACAAGCGGCGATGTCGGCATGACTTCACCTCCAACACCTGTGGTTTTTTTTTTTTTTTTTTTTTTTTTTTTGGCCTGGATATCGGGTGTCAACTGCAGGGCGGCATCATTAGTCTATCTCATCGTCTGTCATTGTTAGACAGGCTGCTTGTTTTGCGGACACTGTAGTAGTAAGAAGAGCGAGCTATGAGCACCTCGCTTCCACAACTAATGTGGTCTTACCAGTCCTGATGGAGTCTTTTTGCTCCCTGACTGCGGCATAGATCAGGCGTTTACAATGTCATTTTGTAAACGTGAGCTTTCTTTCCAAAGTCCTGCTGCGGAAGAGGTGTAGCTTCCGGTGCAATGCATACCCCAGACCGTAATGCACCGCCAGCTATGCTCTCTAGCCATCCTGCTAGTGGAACAGATCGCATTGGACGTCGAAGTACATCATACACAACGCAGTGATCAGCAGCTCTCACCATGCTTGAAGTACCTAGGGGGTAGTTGGAGTATACAATTAGGTGCATTGTACGTCTTCTATAGATGGGCCGCCATTCGTCTATGGCGTTTTCCAGAAGCAGTCCCACTGATCCGGTTCTCAATTCCGGGACATGCATCTAACCATCCATTGCAGTCCATTGACAGTCAAGACGCTGCCGTGATGCATGTCACCACACTGCGTCGCAACGGGCCATTACTGGAGGATGGCCAACCACTAAAGTGAAGACTGGGGTTAAGACTAGTCTACTCTGCACAACGTGGTGTCTTGATGGGCGGTTGTTTGTGGGGGTTCCGCATGTTCCCTAGGCGTTCTGAGAAACCTCGAGGTCACCTTCCTTTACAATGGAAACACTTCGTTGGGGGGGGTTCACCCCACGCAGTGCAGCAGTGCAGCAGTGTCTAGTGTTAGCGAATGATTCGGGGTGTCTCACTGCCTGAACGCCAAAAGAAGCTTCCCACGCTACGACATGCTGGGAAACTCGTGCCAGACAAGATACGCAGGCTCATTCAGCAAGCACACTTTTCTCGACATGTTGCCTTGCTTTCAGGCATCATCCGTACGGCGCCTCGTCTCATGGCCTCTAGACAGGTATGATGACCTCAACGTCGAGGTAATGTATTGAAGTCTTCTAGGTATCTGCCACAACAGTACATCTGGACACTCAAATTTTCTCCTATCATCTCAGCACAGGTACTTACCTGCCTAGCCAGGGCTCTACAGCCGCCCCTACCTACTCTGACCACTTTCGTTTCTCGGCAATCACCTAGACTGTACCTCGCTTCGTCTTTTCTGCTATCGTATTTCAATTTCCTGGTCAGGTCCATCTCTCGCGTCATCCCCGATCCGAAAGAGCCGCCGCCACCATATCCTAGTTTTGTGTATGCAAAGGGCTCCCCTAGGCTAACGACGTTCGAAATTCGCCTGGTCATCTGCCGTGAGGTAACCCTGACAGCTCGCATTACACGTGCTCTAGGCTCCGAGCTCCTGCATATCCGTGCCTCCATCACCTTCTGATGACAGACGTGCGAACGAACGTCTTTGTAGTAGAACGCGGTATCAAACATCACCAGGCAACGAGTAGATTGGGGCAAACAATTGCAAGCATACTCGTTCCGTTTCTATACATTGGGCATCAGTCGCGCTGGGCTGGGCAAAATCGTTCCGCGACGCTGGGCTGGCAGTTGAGGTAGGCAGGCAAACGAGCAGGCAGATAGCAGCGTCGTCATGCCCTGAGGACTTGGAGCTGCATATTGGGTATTAATCGGTAAATACAGACTACAAATACAGACCGAGCCGTGATATAGCAGGTTTCTTCGGTCTTCCTAAAGCGAGCCTCAACAGCAGCGTATCGTATTACGTCAAACACCCTTCGTACCTTTCCGTTCACTTCGCAAACTGGGCAACAGACCAACAGACGTCACAGCCAACCAGCCAGCCGTTACAGCGCTGCAGGTCAGAGAGAGAGAGAGGAAAAGCCAAAGCAAAGCCGCATTCACGTCGGACCTGACAACACTACGGCCCCCTCCATCCTAAACCCTCCGAGCCCCGCCATTCCCAGTCTTGTTTTACCTTCCTCATCTTGGGGCAGCTTGTTCGAAGATCGAGTTCTATCCGCCGTTATCCCACCTTCCTGGCGCAACACGCCTGAAGCCAAAAACAACGACCCTCAACGCCTCAGGACAAACCTATTTGAACTGCCCACCTGCCTGTCCTCCCCTCTCGGTAAATGCACGCTATTGCCTGGCGGATACCTAAGCAACTTTCGCAACGAACATCAGCCAACATTCCGTGCTTGCCTAACGCTAGTCCAGCTGGCTGCTTCCTTGGTGCGTTAGAGCGCGCAAGTCACAGCCGACAGTCATGGACGCAACAAGCATGCAGACCCCTGGTGATGCACTGTCCTATATAACTCCAATCGGTGAGCCGTTCGTCCTATTCTCTCCTCCAACCAACCGCCCCCGTGCAGCGTTTCCCGCCCGTCGTTGGCTCGTGGCATTTATGGGGAAGCCCCCAACATTGTCCCGCCACCTGCACATCTGGCTTAGTTGCCTTTTCTTCTCACGTCTACGGCGATCGATGTTACCGTATCCCCTCCCTCAGTCGTCACACATACACGCACACGCACATACACACACACCCAACTTCACAACATCTCTTTCTGCTTCTGTCACCTCGACCTCGATGTTGACAGGATTTTGTGTACGTGTGTGTGGGGGTGTGTGGAGGGTTGTTTGCGCAGCGCTTGCCGCAGCCCGATTGCTGAATCCCACGCTCCTTGAACCATCTGCCTTTAAAGTTTGGGCCGCGTTTCCAGCAGTCATGCCTGAATATTCAATGCACACGATGAACCTTGCATTTCCTGTCTGGTCATGTCAACATCTTGTATATCCACGTCAGTGAACGACGGCAACATTGCTCCAGTATCCCATTAAGATGTAGTGATATTACAATTCTTGAGTTGAGGCATTGGCCTCAAGTAACATGATCGATTTGGCTCTCGACTAACACACGTTTAGGGTATTCCAACTCGTCGCGTTGCGGTTACTGTGGCCGCCAAGGCAAGAGTCAGTCAAAACGTGAATGAGATCCCATGTCCCCAAACTGCCCCCCTCGGGAAATACCCGAGACTTCATGTCACAATATCTCGTCCCCTCACGTCATGGCGTGTTGTGGCATGCCACTCTCACGTTAGCTGCACGTGCAAATGCGAACGAAATCGGTGACTAGCAGATGCTACTGTGAGAATCATGAGGTTGAACGGATTACTGACATGAGCTGTCTCCTTTCAGGCTTCTCCTACTATGCTAAGGCTACCTCCCTTACGCCAGAATACTACCAGCTCTTGCTGGACCATTACTGGAGGCGGTCCGGGACGACCCTATATCGGCCGGATCAACTCCATGCGTGCTGCGTCCATTATACTCTCCGGCTGGACTCCACCCAGTTCAAGCCGTCCCGAGATCAGCGCCAAACCGTGAATCGTTTTAACAAGTATGTGACCGGTGAGGCTTATGCTACGGAAGCGGCCCGTCTCCACCCTCGGTCACGCGAGCAGGCCAAGAAGCGGGATTCCGAGTTTGACCTGATCGAGAGGATCCATGAAGCGGAGTCCGAGACCCTGCAGGTACCGCCCGAGCCTGCCCACAATTTCACCGTGACATTGGAAGACGATGAATTCACGGAGGAGAAGTACCTCGTTTACGAGAACTATCAGCGCGTCGTTCACAAGGAGGATCCAGCAGATATCACTCGGCGAGGGTTCAGGCGCTTCTTGTGCGAATCACCCGTCCAACGCAAGACTATCAAGACAGCAGACGGCAAGGAGCAAAAACTAGGTTCCTTCCATCAATGCTATCGGTTAGATGGCAAATTGGTGGCAATCGGTGTTTTGGATCTACTTCCTCACTGCGTCAGCGCCGTGTATTTTCTTTACCATGAATCCATCCACAAACATGCTCCCGGGAAGCTAGGAGCTATTCGTGAGATTGCCTTGGCACGAGAAGACGGATACCGTTATTGGTATCCTGGATTCTACATCCACACATGCCCTAAGATGCGATACAAGATGGATTATACGCCGCAATACATCTTGGATCCTGAAACGCTGGAATGGGATCCTATGGACAAGCGAGTGATGAAGTTGCTTGACCAGAAATCTTACCTGAGTCTTTCCAAGGAAGGAAAGGAAACTTCTCTGGACCAAGTCCAGATTCGAGATGGCGTGCAATCGGCCACAAAAGACGAGGCAGCAGTCGAATCAGGCGATGTGAATGAGGACGATAAGAGTACGTTTTTGTTTGATACAGGTATGCCAGGCGTCATGACCTTGGAAGAGGTTCGCACGTTGATTGAGATGGACCATCTCAAGCTGCGAATAGACGGCTCTGGCATGCTCTTTGAGACGGGTGACCTGGTCGCATGGCACCGGCAAGACGTAGGAACTAGTGGATGTTTGAAGGCCGGTATTGCGGAGCTAATTGCTGCATTGGGGCCTGACCTGTTAGAAGGGCTCGTCATCGACTTCTGGAATCCTGGTTTCTAAGCTGAGGTTATGACGTTGGCTGCGGTCCTAGTGTCGGACCAGATGGACAAGTTTATCCTGATAGGCCGCACAAAGAAGAAGATACACAATATCCTCCCTTTAAATTATACACTTGTACTTCTATGCATGTTATTGGTCTAAAAGATTGTCCTCTGGCTACTTCATTAGCAGCTTAGATTGCTGCCTTTGACTAACCCTTGAGCTATCCCGACAGGCCACAGTCGTTATCCTTTGATCTCTAAGCTTTGCAGTTCGAGAAGCGATGAAACCTAGATTGATAACAGTGAAGAACATTAGTCGAAACGGCAGGTTCATATGCATTACTCGCAGTGGGCCTTGGAAGTAATTTCTTATTCCCCTTTTAGCAACTCCGAATACATCAAAAGGCTTTTTGGGTCCCTGTGAATTATGTCATAAACCCTCTATAGCTTTCTCTTGGATTACACGAAGGGAGATAGGAGACCAAAAATAAGCCATAGACATTTTGATCAAACCGTCAAGTTCGAGTAACTTGTTGTATCGGACGAAGAGACTGAACAAAAGTACAGGTAGACACGCATTCTTCACTTCTCAATTGAAACTGGAACCAGGCGGCTCATTTGTAATCTTGCTTCCTCAACTGCATGGTCCAAATTACTAATGTCGGGTATGCCTCACATATGGATTCATGACCTTGGTTTGTCACAGCTGAGTTGAAGGCATAGGTTAGATTGGGAGTACAACCGGTAAACTGGTGTCATTATGATGAATGGACACTACGCCCTTTTCCAAGAGATAGCCTGAGAAGTGACTGATTCTGAGGAGATGATCGTATGTTGTGTCCCCTTCACATCCCTTGTTTTTCTGACCGAATATCATTTATAAAATGTTCCGCCCGGACCCAATTTGATGGTTGATTCAAACACCCTGTCTCAAACTCAATCAACCCTGAGTAGGAAATCACCAAGCTACGATGTATGCCTATTATCCAGGGTGTTACTAGATGCTGATTTCACTTCCAAACATGCGGCCTAGTGCCAATCGTGTTCAATCCTTCAGTTGGCGTGACTACTCCAATGCTGTCGGCCTAGACCAATTCAACACAAACGACAAACCACCTTGCCGGTCCCAAGGCAATGCCGACTTGCTGCTGATTTACTTCCATCACGCATCGGATAAAATTTCAACCATGTTCCTTTAGATTGCTATCCATAATACTAAGGTCAAGAGGTTCCGAAAATATTGCAGGTAGAAGAGGCGACCAGCTTCTAATAATTATGGTTGACTACCAGGTGCCGGAAAGAACACACCTGGTGCTGACATAGTTGCCTTCAAATTTGCTCCTTTTACTCATTGTTGATTTACAGACATGGCATTTCTTGATCCACACCAAGGTACTAGATAAACGTCAACGCACGCTATGAAGGACACAGAGAGAAACCGCATACAGTGAAGTCTCATTGTTAAAACCTTCAAATTCCCTTGGCGAATCTGTGTTATCAACACTTGGGCATAGGACGTCGTTCAAGCCACATGCGCCGCCACAACACCGATCCGGACAGCTCGCGCCCGCCGGTCGGCCCCACACCCCGCGGACCCCACCATCTAAATCCCTGCCTGCTTGGCCTCTTGGTGAAATTCAATCCAAGCAACTTTTTGCGACATCATCCAGCCACAGTTTGAGCCTCAATATCGTGGAAGATTGACGGCGAAAACGAGTATTGAAACGCTCTAAACTGCTGTCCGAAAAGACTGCTACAACAAAACAAGCGAAAAACAATTAGCGGTCGAAAGGGTCTTGCACAAACAGAGAAGCTATGGCGTCGGCACAGCAGGTTCTGCTCTCCCCAGCAGAGCTCGCCTACCTCCACTCAACCCTCTCCCTCACGCCGCCCATCCGCCCCGACGGCCGCAAAGCGAACCAGTTCCGGCCCCTTACAGCCGAGACAGGCATCCTTCCTGGCACCAACGGGAGCGCGCGTGTGTGCTTCTCCGACGGCACTGAGGCCATTGTTGGCGTCAAGGCTGAAATTGAGAAGACACCCAAGCCGCCCGGCAGCGATGAAGACATTGAGGAGACGAAAAAAGCAAGGCAAGACGGCGAGGAGGCAAGAGGCCGTAACGAATGGCTCGAGATTACCGTCGAAATCCCCGGTTCCAGAGACGATGACGCCGCTACCATCTTCCTGGCCAACATGCTGAGCGAGGCGCTGCTTGCCGACGGAGAGTTTTCAAAGAAGTTGCGAATTAACAGCCGTTTCCACTGGAAGCTTTACCTCGATGTTCGTATCACCGTCTTACGGTTCTCACAAGATAGCGCTAACTCTGATGCCTCACAGATCCTTCTCATCTCTCCACCCCTCTCGTATCCGCTGCCTTTGCTCTCTTTAACCACCCACATCGCGCTCCTCGCAACCCGCCTGCCGCGCCTCAAATCAGAGGGCGATGAAGACCCGATGTTCGACGACGACTGGGAGGCTTCGACCTACCTGTACCCCCGTGAAGGCAACGTCTCAACCTCACGACCTCCCATCACGCTGTTGGTTATCGCCGTGGGAAACAACATCATTTTCGATCCCGCACGTGAAGAGCTCGCGGTTGCTGAGTCGGCGTTAGCAGTATCCGTCGCCGAGGAGCGAAGGGCAGGCCATACTGGAGCCGGGGACATGGATGTGGACGGGTCGGGCAGAGAGCTGAAGTTGCTTGCCGTGAGAACAGTGGACCCACCGTCGAGGCTGACGGCGCCTGGTGTGCCCAACTCCGCGAATCCCGCGACGGGTCTGGCAGGCACGCCGTCGAAGCAGCCGCCTACTCCCCCGCCCACGGACGGCCAACCGGCGGAGGGCGTCTGGAAGCCGCCGATAGGAGGTGCCAAGCTGAACGTCCTAGAAGATATGATTGCCAAGGTGTTAGAGAAGGGAGGCATTGCGGACGAGGTGCTGGATGGCATCGCTGGTGTAGATCTGTCTTAGGATTTTTGAATTTGTTCAGGGGCAATTGGGCTGGTTATTTTTACGCTTGCGGTATGGCGATATGCACCAGAAAGGCAAGGGGAAAAGACAAAAGTCATGATACCAATTGGTGGTTCTTGTTTGAGAGATGTCATGTTGTACATGGTTTGATGAGGGTATATTACAGAATGGCTCCATGCCGTTGTATATTACACTAGTGCCAAGTGATCTTTCGTTTAGAAGATGCCGAGCCACTTCTTCCTCTTCTCACCCTCCTCAGGCGCCGGCTCGACGTTTCCAGCCACAGGCGAAGCGTCAGCAGCAGGCGCCGGCTCGTCAGATTCCTCCTTCATGCCCAAGAAGTTGGCGATGGGGTTCTCCTTGTCCAGGCCGTGCTCCTTGCGGTAATATTGACGCTTCGCAACGTCGTCGGTATGGCGCGTGTGCTTGGCAATCGCCTTCTCGTTGCGATCGCGCTCATGCAGCTGCATGACTCTGATCCAGGTTTGGATGAAATCGATTGGGTGGCTCCAGAACTGCGAGGCGGGGGGAAGGAGGTGCTTGAAGGGGGACGTGTGAGTGAAGTTGAGATATAAACTCGTGATGGCCAAGGTCGTTAATGTTCCCTGAACATTCAATGTTAGTGCAATCTTCCATGTTACGGAGCTAACTGCGATCGTACCAGTGTGATGACCAAGTGAATCGTGCGGTTGTTCACGAACCAGTGCGCCCAGGTACCCTCAGGAGCCATCATGCCGGGGTATTCCCTTACGCGCTGGGCGCGCACCTCCTGCGAGCTCAGCTGCCCACCATAGTGATTTGGCAACTGCTTCTTGGGCAGGCGGGAGCCGTGAGAGGGGGGGTTGAACTTGGCCGGCTTCTCGAGGACGATGGGGCCCTTCTGGCCTCCGGGCGGCTTGGACGAAGCATAACGAATCGTCCAGGAGGCATTGCCACGAAGGGCTGCCGTCGCTGGGCGGCCGCCGGTCGACCTCACTGCTGCGGCACGCCACATGGGGCTCAGAGCCGGTAGGAGGAACCTGGGAAGAGTGGCCGAGGTCGCCATTTGGACGTTTGAGTGCTTTGGGGATGGTTGTGACGCCACACGAAATACTCCGCCCGAAAGTTGCCGATTGATGAAAATAGGTCACCTGGGCATAAATTATTAGGTTTTGGGCTAAAGCATGCGTTTCACAGCGTCATTGAGGCTCTGGCCCGGATCGCTGTATCATCAGGTGCGCGGCGGCAGAATCGGTTCGGGGCTGGGAAAATAGAAGCTCCAGGAAGATTTTCTTTGCAAGCCGGTGTGGAGCTAGCTGCTCCGTCCTAAGCTACGGATACGGGTCGCCGAACTTCCTCCGTGGCGGGTGTAAAGAAGGGTACGTACCCGACGTTCAAATCTCAACATTCAAAAGCTGGCGGAATGATCCCCACCAAGATCAGCTGCAAGATTGACTCGTTCGGGCTCTGGGTAACAGACGCCGAAGAGGAAGAGAATCACTGGGAATAATCAGGAATCCCCGTCGAGGCTCGGGAAACGGGATGGACGGGGACGCGGCGGGCTCTAAAAAAATTATCAATTACAGGGGGAGCCAGGACCCGCTGGTCCGCCCAGTTCACCAGTGAACCAAGCTAACAACCACCGACACGCAGCGGACCAAGTAATGTTCCGGGCTAGTATCCGGTTTTGCCCGGGTAGATGACCCCGGGCGCATGACAGTCTTACCAATGTTGCGTATCTGATTGGTGGGCGCGCTGCCACACATGTGGCTTGTGCACCGTGGATGGACGAGTGTGAGCTCATTCCAAGCCAGGTACCTTACTGCCGGGTGTTGTCATAATTAAAATCGGATAGTGTTGACCGTGTCGTCTCTTCTTTTTCCCTGGCCCGATCCTCTCTCAAAAGTTTTTTTTCTTTCCTTTTTCCCTCTCACCAACTTCACCCTCCTACAAACCTCAACGACATCTTGACGACCTTTGCAAAAGATCTTTTCTCTTTTGCATCTCATTACACCTGATACCCCCTTTCAACCTTTCCTCCTTAATAACCTTTTAATCCGTCAAAATGGCCGGTGGTAAGTTGCTTCTGCGTAGCTCGCGTGCCCAGCAATCTATTTCCTTTCCCGCTGTGGTTGGCGGATCCCCGAGAGCCCACCCGAAGCACTCCCCTACGTCGGCGACAAGCCATTGAGCTTCGGAATCCTCCTCTGTGAGCCCGAAACGATGTGGACTTGCTTCCTGGGTCAATTATCCGTCGAAATAGCCCACTGCGAACACTCCGTCGCGTGGAACTTGTTCTTCGAATACCACCCGATGCCATGCGCCATTTTCCTCGGTCACCTCGCTTGAAGGGGAAATACCGGCAAATGAGCAGGAGTGAGGCGTCACAACAACTCAACAAGCACCATGGGACAACAACTCATGGGGGATGTGCCCATTTTGCCATTGGCGCGTCGTGCTTTCTCGGCAAGAAATGATGCTTGCGGCTCTTGGGATCTTTTCTGCTCAACCACAGACCCGCAGCAAACGGGCTCAACCACATCAGGCCATGTGATGAGATCTCACTAACCTCGGCAATTCAGGTGATATCAAGAAGGGTGCCAACCTCTTCAAGACCCGTTGCGCTCAGTGCCACACCGTCGAGAAGGACGGCGGCAACAAGATCGGCCCTGCCCTGCACGGCCTCTGGGGCCGCAAGACCGGTTCCGTTGAGGGCTACTCCTACACCGACGCCAACAAGCAGAAGGGCATCGAGTGGAACGACAAGACTCTGGTATGCGACACCAAGATCCGTTGCGACAATCTTGAGATAGTAATCACTAACCTGCCTTTCTACAGTTCGACTACCTCGAGAACCCCAAGAAGTACATCCCCGGTACCAAGATGGCCTTCGGTGGTCTCAAGAAGGAGAAGGACCGCAACGACCTCATTGCGTACGTTTATCAATCTCAAACTGTCATTGATGTTGAACTCAATTGCTAACATACTCTAGCTACCTCAAGGATGCCACCGCATAAATGTGGTGATGTGTAACGATAGGATTGCATTAGACGGATTGGCGATTTGCGAATTGTACCATAGACCACTTTAGAACAGTGTGTTTTTTTCTTGGGCTTCATCAATGGCCCTTTGATATGATCTTGAACACTCTCCCCTTTCAAATAATTGACGATGATGTACAACCACGCTTTTTTTCCCACTTACTTTTCGCTTGCGATCGGCAAATTTGTCCATGATGTAACGCGCCAAACTAGTGCTTAACCCTGTCGGCTAGTGACCAAATTCATGGTAAAAAAAAAAAAAATTGCTTACTCACCAGACGCGCCCAGTCTGTTCCCTTTCGTGTTAGCCAACCAGATGACTCGTATGGCATCATTATCCTGGCACTGATCTGTGGAGCCTGTTGTCCGAGACAAGTCGACCGCATATTGCATTGAATAAGGAAAGCAACGACAATCCGGCTGACGTCGTCGTATACGGCACTACTTGTCGCCGCATATGTCATGTAAGAATTCATGCTGATTCAGATGGTGAATGTCACTTCTCCACTTTTTAATGGCCAACTGTGGTACCATCGCATGTGCAGTATGCAAGGGGTGGGGGACTTCTTTTTCTCTTAGTCTTGCTTCCCGGATCTTCGGAGCGTCACGCAGGCCTTACTTACCCATCATCATGAGCAATGTATGAGGCGCGAGTGAAGCGTACAGTTGAAGTACGGCATGGGCAGCGACTCGTACCTCAATTGCCACTAGCACGGAGGCAGAAGATGTAGCGGATGTCGCTCAATGTAAGGTTCAAGCAAAGGGGGAGACAGCAACGACAGCGATAACAATTGAAGCAATACCAATAGCTGGAGGGTAGATATGTGACAAAAAGTCCCCGCTCTAATTTTCTCTCTAAATCTAAAATTTATGATCCAAGTCTAAGTCTGGTGATGCAATTTGGCCGCCAGCTTCCTATACGTCTCCGGGTTCGGCACGCTAGGCTTCGTCTTGCGCAAGGCAATATCCCAATCCTGGCGTGTGAGCGACGGCTCTCCGCCCTCATAACGCAACACGCACTCGTCAAGCGCATTCTTGTATAACCCGTATAAATCGGCACCGCTGAATCCCGCGCACCGGGCGTCCCGCGCGATGCTCTCAATCTCGTCGCCTTCCGTTCCCCCGAGGCCGTTACGCACAATGGTGCGGAGAATGTCCACGCGCTCGTCCTCGGTGGGTAGGTCGACAAAGAGAAGCTTGTCTAGACGTCCGGGTCGGAGAACAGCAGGATCAATCATGTCCGGGCGGTTACTGGTGCCGATGACATAAACCTCGCCTCGGTCTCCAGCGCCGTCGAGCTCCGCAAGAAGTGCGTTGACAACACGGGCACCGGCCTCGGTGGTGGTGTTCTCTCGCTTGGGCACCAGGGAATCCATTTCATCAAAGAAGAGAATACAGGGCGCGCAGGACTTAGCGCGGGTGAATAGCTCGCGGATGGCGCGCTCTGACTCTCCCACGTACTTGTTAAGCAGTTCGGGGCCCTTGATAAGAATAAAACTGGCCTGCGCATCGTTGGCGACAGCCTTTGCGACGAGCGTCTTTCCGCAACCAGGGGGGCCAAAGAGGAGGACACCGGCGGGGCGCTGCTTGCCGAACTTTTGGAAGAGGAGGGGCTCCTTGATACGACGGACAATGGACACCTGGAAGGCGGCGCGGACAGAGTGCAGGGCACCGACCTCGGACCAGGTTGTGCTCGGGATTGAGGAGAAGCCTTCACGGCGCATGTAGGGGGTGTGCTCGGCGATGGCGTCAACGAAGTCTTGATGACTAACGTGCACACGCGTTGGATTCGTGTATGAAGGGTGCTCAATGTAGTCATACCATAGGCAGACGTCCTCAGCGTCGCGGTCCCAAGGGTTGTCCGTCGTCTCCATCTTATCTGATTGCAGTGTGTTCCTGGCCCTTGCGTATTCCATGTCCATGAAACGGTCACTAGCCTTACGGTTGGCGACCTGGACTACAGCGCGGATGTCGTCGCCCACGAAGCCGTGAGTGCGGACAGCTAAAGTCTTTAGGTCCACTTCAGGGGGTATCTCGAGGTCTTTAGTAACCGCCCTGAAAATCTCCTCTCGGGCATCGGTATCTGGGACCTTCACTGTGATGGTCTGAGCGAAGTAATCCGGTCTTCTCAGTGTAGCGTCGATCAACTCTAGCTTGCTTGTTGTGCCCACGACCACCACACGTTGACCTCCTTCCTCCCATTCTCGTAGACGCCGAATATTCAGCTTCAGTTGCGTGATGACCTCGTGGTCGAACTCACTGTGGCTGTTGCCGGACTTGGTCATATACTCATCGAGGTGTTCGATCAGGACGATGCATGGCGCGACCTTCTTCGCCTCGTCCAGCACATCTGTTACAATTTTACTGACCTTCTCAGGGGACCTAGTCTCAGCCAGGTACCGACCAAGAGAGATGACAGGAGTCTTCGTCCTCCAAGAAAGCGAGCGCACCAAAGACTGCTTTCCCGTACCAGGGGGCCCGGAGATGATGATACCGATAGGCTGCTCGCCAAAAGGGTAGAAATCTTCAGGTTTTCTCGCTCGCGCAAAAACGTAGCGGCTCAGCTCGTCCATTATACCACGTACGCCGCCCAACACGACGGAACCAGGAGGGATCTGTTCAGGCCCATATTTGCTGGGCTTCATCGCCTTCTTAGTTACCGTCGTTTCCGTTGCGGCAGTCCCGTTGGTTTTGACGGATTTGGACGTAGAAACAATCGCTGAGGCATCGCTAGCAGCGCCGTTGGCGGATTCGGGCTCTGGGGAGAGACGACGTTTCTTGGTGCTCTTACCCTCTAATCCTTGAGCCGTAACTGCAGGGGTGACATTCCAGTGCTTCGTCATTTGCCTATTCAGCAAGAAGCGGTCCTCCTGCTAAGAGATTGTCAGAATACATGTGCAATTCGGGGATTGTTTGAGAAAGTGTAGGACACAACATGCAAGCGGATGAGAGAGCGACGTGAGGTTCATGCCCAAGCGTCTACCAAAGAATGAATAAGCAACACTCACTTTGAAAGCCTTCTCAGCCTCTTCCGCAGCTTCCAGAAGGTCATCACTGTCCTCTGCTTCCGCCGCCTCCTCTTTCCTAAAGTCTAGTACCCTTTCAATGGCGTCCTCCAGCGGTTTTCTTTTTTGCCGGCTCAGACTGCTGTTGGATTTCTTGATGCTTTCGTATATGGCCGTCACTGTCAATTTTGCCGGTTTCCTCTTCCCATCGCCTTTCTTGGCGTAGTCATTCTGTCGTTCGTCCTCCAGCTTCTTTACAATCTGGTATACATCACGGTCGAGGCCATGCCTCAAACTTATCCGTGCCATTGTGCGGGCGGGGGGTAAAATGTCTTGAAAAGCGAGTGAAGTTTGGAGTCGCTCCAGGGTCCTTGAAAAAAAGTATTTTGATCGGGAGGCGGAATCAGACGTTTATTCGTTCTTATTGGCCGGGTGCCCGATTTACTCCACTAAAAGGTACGATAGTGGGGTGTTCGCGGACACACGAGCTTAAGCCGACTCCCTCACTCAAGATTTATGCGCTAGAATCTAAGACCTCATATGAGTGAAGGACAGACAGTATAAGGTAACTTTTCTTCAGCTCGTTAAAAATTAAAAAAATCAGAAAAAATCAGACTAAATAGGATGCTTTGTCATCGTAATCACTGTGAAAACATGTTTTTATGAATTTGCGCCATCGGAAAACAAGCCAAGAAGCCGACATCTACTTTTCATATGTCCAATCAGTTTTCACGCGGCCCAGAGCCCGCAGAACTATGAGACTGTACAGATTTAGTCATACGCCTAAACGAAAACTTCTTGTTTGTTAGCGATCGGGTACAGTGTGAGTGGACTGAATGATGTGTCGAACACATCACCCGAATACAATAATAGGTTTCTTTCATCAAAAAACGAAGCCAATGAATGCTACGGTCAAGATACCCAATGAGGAAACTGCACGACAGACAAGGCAACGAAAAATGAGAGAACTGAAAAAGGCAGCGATAGTTGTGCAATCTATCTGGTGGATTTGCCTACATAGAAAGCTTTCTACCACTACATTCGGCGACTTGCCGTTCTTGTTGTATAACTTTTCTTCTGATTTTATCCCTTAATGTCATAACCACCTCTCGCCACTCGATGGGTTCCAGAGCACCAGCGCTTCACTTCGAAGGAAAGCACTTGACCTCCAGACACCCTCCTCACCGTTTTCCGTTGTCAGATGAATGAAAGGAAAAGCTCGGCCCTGTCTGTGTCAAGGTCAGGGCCTAAGGCGGCGAAAGGTTATCCTGCAATCATCAGGTCATCTATCCATGGTATCACTACAGAATGAGCGGGCTAGAACGGGCCGCAGAGCCAGGAATTGGCGAGTCGTGCTCTAGTCCGTGACACTTGGCTTCTGGTCAGAGCCCGTAGAGCTCCCACTCATCGAAATTGGTTCCTTCTCCCCGAGGTTCCCTTGACGGCTTCTTGTCGTTCTCAGAGTCCCTTGTCGGGGCATACTCGGTTCGCAACTCTTGGCCAAGTCACAACTCGTCGTCCTCCAGCTCAGACGGCTTGAGGAGACCGCCAACCTTGCCTCGTCGCTCGAGGTCGGCTGCCTTGGCATCTCGTTCCTGCTGCTCCTTCTCCACCAGGAAGAGCTCAGCATTGTCGCCAGCGAATTCCTTCAAGGAGATGAGGAAGTCACGCAAGTTCAGGCGGAACTTGTCGTACTGAGTGTTGAGAGTGAACAGACCCTCGACGAAGGTTTGGATTTGAGCACTGAAAGTAACTGTTAGTGCATGTTGAGGCTTAATAGCTTGAAGGAAAAGCACTTACGGTTGCAGGTTAGGGAAGGCACCGCGAAGCAAGTTAGCCACGAAGTTAGCAAGGAACTCCTTGTTCGAGGTGCCAGAGGCTGCCTGGTCGGGGCTGTAAATGGGACCCTGGATCTTTGGTACGCTGCCGTCAGCGGGCTGCACAAAATAGAACATCCGCATCAGAACCATAGACTGAGTCTTGAAGCCAGCCTTGTGATCGCTATCGGTGAGGACGAAGAACACATCCTGTAGGATAGTGATGAAGAACTGCTGGAAGAAAGCATTGGAGGTCTGAACGTCAGTCTTCTCAGCGATATTGTTGATGAGCTCGAGGCACATGTTAAGTCCCGCAGCCTCAACATCGCGATTGTCGTGCTTGAATGCCCATGAGCAAGAGTCAATAACAAACTTGAACTGGCGGTTGTCCAGTTTCAGCAATGCTAATTAAATTAGTGTCCAATCTCCAAAGCAATTGACAGTGTACGTACCAGGGAAACAGTGAAGATTGATAGCCCGAAGGAGATTGAAAAACTCAACACGGTGCTCGGGGAACTCGGAGAAATCCTTGTTGATCATTTCCAAAGTGCACTCGAAGACATTCTCCATGATGTTCGGGACCTGGTCCTCCATCAACGCGGAAAGTTTGGTGATAATGGCGGACATGGCCTTGAGAACCTCAGCGTCACGAGCACCCGGCACATTACGGTTATAGTCGACAAGAACGGACTCCAGCAAAGGAGGCACCATCTGCTGGCGCACAGATTGCAAGTCCTCGGCCTTCTCAACGTAGGTCTCGACCAGCTTGAGAATCTCCTTCTTGATCGTACGCAGACCACGGACGTTGGGCATCTTGGTCGCGATTTCGCCTTGACAGTCGTTAGCTAAGTTTCTAATCTAGCAGTGGAAAATGTATACCTTGCTTCTGAACAGCCTCAGAGATCAGTTCACTAGTGGCACGGTACATCTGCAGCATGTCGAGGAAGATGCGACCGATTTGGGGATAAAAGTAGGGGCCAATGGATGTGCAGGCTGAGACGTTTGTCTTCATGATGTTGCCGATAACCTTGATCGTCTCCGCATCCTGGAGAATGATGGGGTTAATTCGGGCCTGCTTTATGATTTCATCCCAGGCAGCGTTGGGAATTGCCATCAGATCACTCAGAAGACGCTCCTGCTGGTGTTTGTTGCCCTGCGCGGCAACCATGTAACCGCAGGCCTCGTAGAAAGTGTGAACCTGCTGAGGAGACAGGTCGCAGGTGATCTTGTGCATGTTGCGAACGATCTCCTCAATGAAGGGCTCCTGCTCACTAGGCTGAAGCGCAACGAAGTGACGACGGCATTGTCTCGCAATCTTAATGAACGTGTCGCAAGCCATGTCCTGAACACCTACAGCATGTTAGTGCCCAAACAAAACACACATAAGCATGAGATTTGGACTTACCCTCATGAGACTCATGCATGAACTCGAAGAGCTTGTTGACAACAGTCTTGAGGAACTTCCAGTGAGCCTTCAAGAACCGAGGGTATTGTCCGACAATGTACATGATGTTGGAGGCAACGACGGCCTTGTTGTCCTTGCCGCGCTTCATCTCCGTTAGGCCCAGAAGATCCTTAATGACTGTGACTAGGAATCGCTTCTCAGTCTCCTCATTCATGGCCAGGGAAATCGAACCGATAGCCCAGCATAGAACGTTGCAGTTGTGCCACGACCATTCGCTGCCGTCAACTTGACGGGCAAGTTTCTCCGTCATGATGTTTTCAGTATCCACGACGTCCAAGTGTGTGAGGTAGACCAAGCACTCCCTGATGGTCTTGTAAAGTTGGACTGTATCGCTCTCCTTGACGAACTCTCGCACAATCTCTCCCTCATCGTTCTCAACGACGAGGACCTCCTCGGGTCGGACCATCTTCTCAATCATGACGGTGCGGAGGTTTGATAAGACCTCGTTGTACTTGTGCTTGCGGAGAGGATAGTTGTTGAGCATGGTCGGGTTAGGCGCACCGGCTCCAGTCATACCGCCAGCCATGCCCATCAAAGGGTTCAGCTCGGTCATAGGGAGCTGCTGCATCTCCTCAAAGAGCTCCTGGACAAGCTTGAGCCAGTAGTCTAGGCAAATCTTGAAGATCTCGCGGTCGTCGATCTGAGATATGCGGATTAAGTAGTAATGGCCGTGGGTAAGAAAGTCCCTGTTCGGCAGGTTCTCAATAAGCTGCGAGCTAGTTAGCATCACTTATGGCCCGTTATGTCAGGAAGGTGTTGCCTTACGTTCAGATGCATGCCGAAGAAATTGCATAAGAACAGAGCGAGGTTCTGGATGAACTCCTGGTCCCTGGAGTTGCTGTTGGGATATGTCGACTTAAGATCCAGACTGATAGGAATAATGGTCGCAATGGTTGTCAAAACCTCGGTGAACATCTTAACCAACTGCTCGTCATACGAATTCGGTTGCCCAGGCCCACCAGTCTGCAGACCGCCAATTTCCGTAAGGCACTGCAAAGTAACGTTCCGGAACTCGGGGACGGGCAAAAATCGTGTTCTCAGAGTGTCAATCAGAGGCGTCTCGAAGATGTAGCCGAGAGGAATCCAGTTGCAGAAGCGCAGTAATGTCTCGAGGGTGGCCTTGACCAAACTCGGCTGGTCGGCGGTGTTCAGGACCTCCTGGCAGAGTGTGAAAATTTGGGAAAACTCGGCGCACATGGTAGTCTTGAGGTTTCGGGTCTTAGTGGACGTCATTTGCTCGGCGGAGTAATCGAAGACCTCTTCGGACAACAGGCGGAGAATGACCATGTTATTTTCGCAGATGGACAGACTTGAGTGACATGACGTGATAATCTCGTTAATAAACGTAGGCCAGTTATGGGGCCATTCCTGCTTGAGAATTGAAATCAAGACAAGGTTGAGCTTGTTGAGCAGGGTGCGCTCAGCCTTCATCGTCTCTTCGGAGCTAGAGCACTGGATGATGAACTGCACAACAAAGTTGCGGATACCTAAACCAGTCAGTTATGTGTAGGAGCGCGATGTGCAAAAGTTCCCAACCTTGGCACTGGTCTCTGGGAAGAACCTTCCATCTTGTCATGATAACGTTGTCCAGCACTTGCAAGCCCAGGTCTGCAACCGTCAGCTAGTCTGCATCTCTAAAGATCGGTAGTTTGTAGACGACATACACTTCGTTTGGGGGTAAGTCGCTTCGGAAAGAATCTTGTCGACAAGGAGCCAGGCATCTTGATCTTCCTTAAACTGTAAGGGTTGAGATGGTCAGAAACCAAAGACATAATTTGGTTCGGGGAGTATTTGAGTGCGTACCTGGTTGAGTGCAGCTTGAGCTTGTTTTTGCTGTTTGGCACAAATGGTCGGTCAGCCTCGGGCCAAAAATCTCAAACCTCTAGGGCAGGAAAAGCTGCGCACCTGTTCGCCACGGCCCTCATAGAAGGAGCGGACGAGATCGTCCAGCTCCGGGATCGTGATAGCCATCGCGGGTCGTGCGGTACGGCGGGCGGGGTGGTAGAAGGCAGTCGATCTCGATCGCAAGAGGTAACGGATGAGGGGGACTGGTCGCAGGCACTCTATGAGGAGGGGAAAACGAAAGAGAGCGCTGCGCAAGGGTGGTGCGAGCGCTTCGGCAAATGCAGCAAAGGACGAGTTCAGCTGTTATTCGCGAGCGGATTTTGTGCAATGGTTTGAGAAAAGAAAAAAAGAGAGGGAGGAGGGAGCAGAGGAGTGTGAGGTGAGGAAAGTCTGCCTGGCGTGAAGGCGAGGATAGGTTGGTTATCGAGAGCGAAAGAGACGGATGGCGGGGGACAACCAATTTTGTCAGCCGCCCGCTAACTCCACCAGCCACAGGTATCAATACCTGCCATAGGTCTGTCTCCCGGCCGGACCCAAGGGCCGTCTTGAGCACCCGACAGCACTGAGCAGCCCCCGCCAGTAGCACCTCGCGAAGCTTGGGCCGGACCACTTTACGGCTTGAAGACTTTCTTTCGGTCTGCGTTACCCAGGCACCCACCCCTCTTCCCCTCTTTTCCACCTGCAGTCACCTGGCACGGTGAACCCTGCCTGACCAGCAACGGCAGCAACGCTGGGCTGGGCTGCAGCTCAAGCTCCAGACTCTCTCTGTGTACTATACTGAAGTTGCCTGCCACTTTAAAAACACCCCAACTACAGTGATGCGCGTCATAGGTCAAACTCACCTTCCTCACCATGTCTTTTTTTTTTTGCACACGCTGGCTACACCTTGGACAGCCTGCCTGCCACACCGAAAGCTCACTATCTCGTCGCCGAAGCGCCTACAGATTTGTAGTGACGCACAGCACCATTGATGGCCGTATGGTGCCGCAATTGTCGTCGGCTAATTACCAATACATCATACTCAAGTTCCCAGCCTTTTTTGGCCCCCCTTCTCCTCACCCCACCTTTACATTCAGTATTTACTCACTCTGATAACATGCTGTATTGGGGCCGATAAATCATCAAAAAGTTCACATTATATTGGTAAAAACACCAAAGAAATGCCGTGTATCTGTACGAGTACCATAAAATATAGCTGTCATCTAAGTGTTTGAGCAAAGCTCAATATCGGGCATCAATGAACTCGGCCGAAACGCCCCTACCGTCCGAACAGGGCTACTGTTACACCGTGTAGTACTAAAGTGATTCATTGCCTGCCAACCTGATGACGAGCCTCACCAATACCGCGCGGCTGGGTCTAAAAGCAACCCCTGCTCCAATGGAACCAGATCCGATAGCTTTAACCTAACTGATAGGGCCGTCACAACACATCACCCTAAGCGCTATCCTACTCAAACACGGCGAGTGTTTCATATTCTCAATGTTGAATACCGTCAAAACGGTCAATGAATTTTTTTCTTTTTTTGGTCTCTTCAATGCCATCGAGACAAATCTAGCTTCAACTTACAGTGCAACCCCGTCTAAAAGCGCCCTCTAAGGCTTTTGGTAGCCAACCTCCGTAAGACTGTCCTGCAGCGCCTTGATGGCATTGTCAATGTCCTTTCGGTTGGGATCCGTCTACGCACGTCAGTTTGGCATTCTTTAACATATTGGAGACCAATATTACTTACCACACTGACACCCATGTGTCCAAAACGGATGTACTTGGGCGCGATCTCCTTGTGGATACCACCCGCAAATACAATGCCCTTCTTGGCCAAGCTGGGCAGCAGCTCAGTGGCCTTGACGGTCTCGGGGAGGTAGATGGCGGTCATGCCGTGGGCCTGATCCTCAGGCTTCGCAGCAACCTGCTTCAATCCAAGGTCCGCAACAACCTTCTTGACCTTGTCGGAGACCTCCTTATGCTTGGCAAAGCGCTCAGATAGGGGACGGGCCAGAATCTGAGTGAGACCGGTGTGAAGGGCATGAATCAGCTGAGGAGAGGGCGTCGCGAAGTAGGAGGGCTTCTTGGCCTCGTAGTTTTGCATAACTATTACTCGGTTAACACCATGGCTACAGCCCTTGTCTAGACCAGTGACTTACCGGGAGTCCAGTTCTTGAACGAAGCGAAGTACGAGGCAGGCGGGGTCTTGCGGTTCTGGAAAGCCTGCATAGCCTTGCCGCTGAACATAGATATCGATAGACCAGCGGGGACACCGATGGCCTTCTGGGAGGCGGTAATCACACCGTCAAGTTTCCATTCGTCGAACTTGATCTCCTCAACGCCCACACTACACACACCATCAACAATGATGAGGGTCTCGGGGGAGACCTTCTTGACGACAGAAGCCAGGTCCTTAAGCTCACTGAGAACGGCGGTAGAGGTGTCAACGTGGGTGACGGTCAACACCTTGTACTTCTTCTCCGAAAGTGCCTTCTCGATCTCAGGCAGTTGGGGACGGGTGCCGACAGGGGCCCTCAGCTCTGTGACATTGGCACCGTACGTCTTGAAGCAGTCGGTGAAGCCGTTGCTGAAGTAACCGGTGGCGAGTACGAGGACATCTTCGCCAGCCTCGACGAGGTTGGCAGCGACGAGGTCCCATCCGAGGGTGCCTGAACCAGAGATAACGAAGGGTTGCGACTGGGAATCGGTGGTCTGGAAGAGCTGGCGCAGCATGGACAGAGCCTCGCCGAAGGTGTTGACGAAGCCAGGACCGACATGGCTCTCACTGCATTTATATACCCAATCAGCAAAAGATCACGGCAAGCTTGAGAAGATCGCAATTAGAACTTCATTAGGCAATGGGTGAGCTAATCCAGACCTGTAGTGGCTCATAGACTGCAGTACAGCATCGTCGAATTCGATAGGTCCTGGGATAAGGAGGGTCGGGTGTGGTGGTTGGGAAGACATGGTGGAGTGTTGGCGTTGTTGCTGCTGTAACAGATATGGATGAGAAAAGGGAAAATCGATTGATGGGCGAGGACTTACAGCGCTTGAAGTAGTTGCCCGCTCCGAATGTTGCAAGTGCCTCGAGATTAGCGATACCCGGGCTGATGAGGGGTTGTTAAGGTTATGGAGGGGCATTCTCCCCCCCTTTGCTAATGTTCGGAGAGGGAGCGGGAGCTGGAGCCGCCGAAAGGGTACGTGCATGTGTGCCTGTGGCGTCAGACGTCGGAACGTAAGCCGAGGGTCGCTTGCAGACGGTTATGGACCCGAAATGCTTGGATTGGGACTGGACGGGATTGGGCAAGATAGACACGTTTGAATTCGGTACGCTTACGACTTTGCTCAGTTTTATTCCCGTGGCAGCGGGAGAAGGAGGGAAAAGAGGAGAAGAAGACCAAGTTTAAACGGGCGGAAATCGGAGCTGGATCCTCCTGATGGGCCTCCTGTTTTTGATTAGCAAAAAGCAATTGAGCACAAAATACGCTGTTGTAATCCCTGTCTTTGCTCTACAGACGACGACGGCAGTGGCTTTCAGTGTGTTTTCTCCGCCTACTCTCTGTATTGCGTCCTAGCAGAGATATACCAAGTGTGAGGTCAAGGCGGTATAGGAGTTATCTCGGCGTTTGAGTCAGGGAGGAATGCCTACAGTGGTTTGTCATCGGAAAGTGGAGGTTTCCGTTCCAATACAGCGTCAATGGTGGATGGGATGAGAGCTTCATTAAGGACTGGGTTTAGCGGCAGACACCGGACGATATCGGCGGGTTCCTGAGCAGTGGTACAGGTGCTTGACACCGAGGGACCTTGCCTGATCGGGTAGGCAGCCGAATTCAACTCCAGCCACAATGGAAGTGGAACATCCCGCATCCGGAGTGTGGCTCGCCTTCAGAGGTCCCCACTCAACTACCGTTACACCAATTGCGGCTGGAAGGTGATCGCAGGAGCTACACCCATTAAGCAGCCAAGCTAACTGCCTAACCGCTCTAGAGATATTGCGCCGCTCGCTGAAATCGCGAATAACTATTTACCGTTTACTGCGAAACACTTCTGGCACCCAGTTTCGTCGCGATTACAAGACAAGTAAAGCCGGTCTCGCCCCGGCCTGCGGTCTCTCTCAATCGGCCGCACGAACCCCAGACAAAGCTCCCGACTTCCCGGCCGAGTGTTCCACGCGCTGCTGTTGCAACATCATCACGACCTCGAAACACCTTCGATAAACGTTACACCTTCTACAAACATGGCGTTCTTAATACTAGTCATTGGCGATCTCCACATCCCAGACCGCGCCCTTGATATCCCAGCAAAGGTAAGCGCACTTTCCTCATCCCAATTCCCTGCCTCAAGACGTAATCCTCGAGCTAACACCAATTCCACGCTCAGTTCAAGAAGCTCCTCGCTCCCGGAAAGATTGGACAGACCCTCTGCCTAGGCAATCTTACCGATAAGCACACATATGAGTATCTACGCACGATTGCCCCGGATCTCAAGATCGTCAAGGGCCGCTACGATGTCGAGGCGACCAGCCTGCCCCTGACCCAGGTTGTTACCCACGGCTCCTTGCGTATCGGCTTCCTGGAAGGTTTCACCCTCGTCTCCAACGAACCGGATCTTCTTCTCGCGGAGGCCAATAAGCTCGATGTTGATGTTCTCTGCTGGGGCGGCACTCACAAGTTTGATGCGTTTGAGTACATGGACAAATTCTTTGTCAACCCTGGCAGCGCCACTGGTGCTTTCACTGCGGGATGGGGCAAAGACGGCGAGGAGCCCGTCCCAAGTTTCTGCCTGATGGACGTACGTATTTGCAAGAATCTTTGGCCGTTAAGAGACCAATAAACAACCAATATTAACAGTTTGCACAGGTCCAAGGTATCTCGCTGACTCTATATGTTTACCAACTACGGAAAGACGACAAGGGGAACGAGAATGTTGCAGTGGAAAAGGTGACCTACACGAAGCCTGTGGAGCCATCTGCTTCATCATGAACCACCACAGGATGAAGGAGAGGCTTGAAGGATATTGATGTTTACAAAAGAGGGAGGTCCAGCCAGCAATGGCTGGTTGTTATGAATCAAGACCACATTAACGTAGGCGAATGATGATCATTATAATATGCTCAATTTCAACGAGCCATTCTTGTAGCTCTAATGCTCTCGGTGTTTCCAACTAAACGCACAGGAAACTCGACTGAGTCCCTCTCTGGTATCTGACAATGAGGACTACCGAAACACCAACATAGAAACATTAACCAAAAAAGAGGTGGTATTCGCGAACGTATCCAACTCCCAAAAAACACAGGCGCTTGCCATCCGTCAAGTCATTATAACATCATGCTTCTCCGCCTTCTCATTGAGACCCTCGACCCTGCGTCTTGAATATCGCCGTTGTCGACACTCTCGAAGCTGCTATCTTCGGCGCCTTCCACGTCTGCTCGAGACCGCTTCGGTAAAACCATTGATGCCCTCTTTCTGGATCCACTAGCTTTAGACCGCTCGGTAGTTTCCATGCCGTCAAGCTTGAAATCCTCCTTCATGACTGATGAAAGTCGCCTTGAAGACTTAGATTGGCGCGCTGACATGACGTTCTCTTTCGACTCAATGACATGGGAGCTATCGCTGCCTGGTGTTGAGCTGGTGAACTCGTAAGGATCCACCTCCCTATCGGGTGATGGAGTAGGCCGACCACTGATAGCTCTATCCGGAGAATTGTCTTGGGCTTGTCGGACAGATCTTTCCTCTTCCATTTCGGATATCGATTTCGACATCATTGACGACGTTCTCTTTTTACGGTCTGGCTTTGTTGTGCTGATTGGTGGTTGTATGGACGGGGCATTGTCGGTTAGCTCGGCGAGATTCGCGATGCGCTGCGGTGAGCCCATTGAGTTTGAGCTAGCGGGCGGAATTTCCCTCCACGCGTCGCCATTACTAGATTCGCGTTTAATCATGACCATTCCTTCCGGAGTAGCGCTATCCGACCTGGCGCTTCCACTGCGCTGCAGATATTTTGTCTGTCCAGATACAGCATCATGGAGCTCTTTTGTAGGGCGTCTCATTTTGTCGCGCAAATTCGGTTCTGCGTAGCTGACAGCGGCACGAGACCTTCTGCTCGGTCGTGATGTTTCACCATGGGAAGATATGTCGGCAGGAGGTGGCGTATCTCTGACACTGGAAAGGCTCATCCTGGATGTCGGCTCAGGAGAAGCTGGCGAGAGCAGAGAAGCTTCCGTAGGAACATTTTCTGTGCTCGGAAGAACGTCAACGACTGGTGGCGGTGGCGATGGAGGTCCAACAGGCACTTCAATAGGGGAAGGCCCAACATCTGCCTCAATCTCGGCTTCCCTGATTTTCTGCGCTGCCCGTTCTCTTGCAGCACGAGATTTCGGCTTCTCCACTACAACTTTGCTCTCACCCGTGACACCCTTCGGATTCTTGGTTGGAGATGTTACATCATCGTTCGTGCTTTTGGCTGAAAGAGGTTTCCTGGGATTCACTGGCGCAATCATACGCTCCCTCGCCTCGCGGCGTATGTTGGCCAGTTCTTTCAGGGTCTTCCCGCCTTGGCGCTCGCGTCCAATAGTTGGTCGATCGGTGCCGTCTCTGGGCTTTGACGGTTCAGCCCCCTTTTGGTCGGACCTTAGTACTTCATCGCCCATACTATATTTCCGTTTCGAGCCAGTCTTTGCAGCCGTGGGAGGCACGACAGGAGGCAGGATAGGGGTCTCCTTGGGGCGTGGTTTCTCGGGCTCTGCATCATCGATGGCGGGGTCAGGATCAGGACGCACGAGAATGGCCTTTTCGGTTTTGTTTATTGACCTGGCTGTCGGGGCTGGTGACGGCATTGGTGCTAGCGAAGGTGAAGCTACAGGGGAGTTGTATACGGCTGGTTCTGGTTCCACCTGCTCCGTTGATCTACTGGGGGATCCAATGTCGACACCCTCACCGTCAACAAATCGAGACATAGGTGGAGGGCCAAGCTCGGGAGAATCGGTCGCGTCGGCTGTGTCTATTGTGTCGGTTGTGTCTGCGGCTTCAGAGCAAAGCGCCAGGATCTGTTCGCGGCTAAGATATAGGTTAACAGCTGTGAATGGGAGAACGCGGTAATTTCCAACTCACTCCATGGTCGCTCTGGTGTATGACTTGTTCTCAGTAATGGTAGGCAGACGGCCATCGTCCTGCACTCGGCCCTCCGTCTCCTTGAGCAACTCGCGTGGTGGGCGTCTTCGGGGCGGGCTTTGATGCGGCAAGCTTGCTCTTGAGGATCTCCTTCCCCTAGGGCTCGCATGTCGTTTTGTGGGAGGCTCTTGACCGAGACCGGCGAGGACCGACATGCATTCTAAAAGCTGTGCTTCGAGCCTAGACCTGACGTCCAAAGCGTGGTCGGCAATTCGTCTGGCATTGTTGTTCTCAAGTTCCTTCTCTAACTCAATGACGCGACTTTCTAGCCGAAGGTTGTCGGAGAGTGAGCGGGCGTAGTCTGCTTCAATATTGCGAATGCGGACCAAATGAACGGCGTTGGCTTTGGCGAGATCTCTATTCTGGCGCAACAACTTCCTGCGCACTGAAATAATCAATTAGCTGACTGGATCGATGTTGGCAAACATGCAAACATACATGTGTCGATGCTATCTGCAGATACGGGGGGTTCGTTTAGTCGAGCCATGGTGCATTCTGGATAAAAGAGCAGCAGTTGCGTGACGAAGCCAAAAACTGAGGAATGGGAAGACTGGGAGACGAAGCGAAGCTCGATACGGAGGAGGTTGGGACAGTGACGCTGGGGGCCTGGTGGGAGAAAATTTACCGAGTGTCATTTATTTACAATCATCCAATTTGGGACTAGCGTAAATAACAAAGGGACCAGGGTGAGGGGTTGCTACGCACTCGCATGGACCACAACCCCCCACTGGCTGGCTTTTGAGCACTGCATGCAATCCTCACATGTGCACACTCACCGAACTTTTGATGAGAAAGTCGTTTTCGACGTAATTGCCCCGCCACAGGTTTGTTCGTCCTCCAAAACGAGCCGACACACGACCGCTTCCTCGAATCGCCAGCATAGATACCCGTCCCGCTCACCATGTCGTTCCCGACCAGATCACTTTCGACTAGACTTCCAGGCGCAGGGTCACAGAATGCCTCGTCAGCCGGCCCGTCACCTATACTGGTTGCACGCATTGCCGAAAAGAAGGCGGAGCTAGAACACCTCAAGGAGCTGCGCGATTTGAGTGCAGCAGTCGCCGGTCAGATGGAAGCTTTGGAACAAAAGTTATCTACGTTGTCGGATGGCACGGAAGGTGGGCAGTAGCAAACCTCCCAAGGATGCAGCAGGACTGACCAGCAGCAGCGATTGCCATGGTTATTGCCAATTGGCATAATGTGTTGGGTGCGATCAATATGGCTTCTGGTACGTTGAAACCGCATGCTAAGGTTCAGGACGAGGCTCACAAGTATCATACAGCCAAACTCGCAAAACCGCAGGCAGATGAGCCCTCTGAGTCTGAAGACCGCAGCATGGCTCTCCCTCAGACTTTGGTTCGCATCCCAACCGAACATGCCCCGACGTTGCAGGCGCAGGCCGAGAATGTGACAGAGAATTTGGAGAACACATCAACAATATCATGATGCCGACGACTTCAATCAGCGACCCAAAGAAGCAAGCATGTCTTACAATCCGACAGTTTGCTAATCCAGAGTCTCACCATATCGCATCCTTATTTTGGTCCAGTCTGTTTCTTTTACGGACAGGTTGGCTGAGACCAAGACTGAGTGAGACTGGCTGAATCCTCCGAAAAGCAGTGGAAACTACGAGTCACATTGCTTCCATGAAAAGAACAATCCGTTTTTGGTGCCGGATCGGCAGTTCGACTGGACAGCTATCAGTGTGGCATGCCACAGAGCAAGGCAATGTACTTGTGTAGTACTTTAGCGTGCTAAGCTCCCAAATGTCTTGAGCGACACTGGATTGGGCAGGCGAGCTCCACTAAAGTCAACAAAGGTGCGGGGTCCGAACTGAAAGACGCGTCTCAGGCACATGGACGCGTCCCTTACACTTACTTAGTGGCCGCACCATCCCGTTGCTACAGCGAGACGGGAGCTGCCTCACCCTCGTGGCTTGAGCGTGCCACCTCCTTCTGGCAGGCCAAAAGTGCCTGCCGTGTGGCGCCTTTGCCCGCAAATTGGCGTTGGACTGGCTTAGTTGACGGAAACTGGCAGGTAGAGCCGCGAGGAGGAGGGTGCAAATTGAAAACAATTTCCGCTTGCTTTTTTTTGGTCATAGGCCGCAAGCTGACAACTCGTCCGTATTGTTTGTTTGTCCTGCTCCCTGTTCACGCCTCAAGTCTCTCATCCATTCACACCATCCACACAATAGATGCATCATTGCCAACCATTCTCAACGAACTCTTTTCTTGGACATAAATCATCCGCTTTCTTCCCGTTTTGGTCCATCATTCAGCTCGGACAGCCAAATACTGTATGGTATTGCAACCAATAACCCCGCCATATTAGATGTGCCCCGGCTGTTCCGAAGCGAAATTGCCTTCAAATTCAATATAATCCACTGACTCCCAAAATCGACCTCCCCTTGTCGGCCAACTGTCTGGGGTTGGCTGTTCCCTGCTGAATCAGGTCGGATCCGGAGATTGTTCTGGTATAATGGCTCGCCTCTCTCGATCTGGGTTACACGCCCACGAGGTCGTCGAGGACCACACAGCCACTGCTCCTAATCAACATGCTGCAATTGACGCAAACGTCTCCTTCGGCGATAAAACGTTGACTATTCTCCAAAACCACAACACTAACATTGATCAAAGCTCCCCCGACTTCATCGACTCACTCACCAACAAACTCAAGGATCTTCATATATATAGCCCCAAGGAGAACCGCGGCGACAGATCGTTACTGGCTGCCCACCAGCGCCCAACGCGATCGTCCATCGTTCATGAGACCTTACCAATTATCGATCCCGTGGGGAAAGAAACTGGAAACTGCGACAATCCGACAGCTGAGACCACTCACGCGCAAGGGCCATTCCCTGCTGAGCCGCCTCGACTAAGCAAGCAGAACGAGGGTATCCCCTCATTGGCTGAAACGCACGCATCGTCGGTGGCTGCCACTCACCAGACGCCAGATACATTTGAAGCCAGCTTCCCCTCCAAAGGTTCGCTTGCTGGATTCCTCCTTCTAGCTATCCTCACGCTAACTAGCTCAGTCCTTCGCGCATCCAACCTTGACCATCACCCTCTGGGTACCGACCCCGACATTCAGTCGTCCATTGCAAAACACCAAGCAGGTCAGTATGACTATGTACTATCGCTTCTTAGCCCACTGAGCACAACTTCTTGCGAGCACTCACCCATTGATCAGCGCGAATCGACGCTGAAGTATGGCTGCAACGTTCTGCTGCAAAGCGAATGCCCTAGGAAGTCTGTATGCTGTCAGGGCAAACCGGCTAATACCTACAAAATTCTAGCCACACCTTTAGGGGATGAAGACGTCGTTTTACAAGACACGCCGCAGCAAATACTTGTGAAAGGAGACGAAGAAATCATGGCCGTTGCCGAGCCTATTGCTAGGTTCATCTCTCCAACGTCAGCTGGTGATGAAACTATGCCGAACAAGTTCAGCCAGTCAGGTGTCACATTCGCCGTTGTTGAGCAATCCCAACCAGAACCGCAGGACGCTCTGGCTGCTGTCGTTGAACATTCTAAGGACAGTGCCATTTCCTTCTCCAACGAAGATGTCAGCGTTGAAACTCCACGTACACCCTCACGATCAACCTCAGCTAGTTCACGATCACGCATCGAAGACTCGGTAGAAGCTCTCGATAGACTCGAAGAACAATTAGAGGCGATAGACGCGGCCATAACACCGCCCAGCAAGTCCCGTCGGCTCCAAGCGGCTATGGATGAGTCAACAACGACAAAAGCCGGTGGCCTTCATCGTACAAGCTCTCTGCTGAAGCGCGGACAAACAGACAGAGCTACCCCTACAACTCCCCAGGCACGCAGAGCACTGAAGAAGTCGGTTTCAGTTACTACCACAAACCAAGATGAGAGCTCTCCGGCGAAATCGGCCACTAAGCGATCCTCCGTGTCGCGGCCAACTAGCCTTCTGCCACCCAAACCACCAGCAAGATCCACAAAGCCACCCACGAAGCCTTCCTTTGAACTTCCAGGGGAAGCGGTTGCCAGACGTATCAAGGAGCAGCGCGAAACTCGTTTGGCGCAGCAAGCTCAAGAAAAGGCTGCTGCCGCTGCAGTACCGCAGAGAACTAGATCAACCAGGGCACCGACGCGACCCAACTTTGAGCTTCCTGGAGAAGCAATTTCGAGACGTAAGAGAGCGGAGCGGGAGGCTAAACTCAAAGCGCAAGAAGAGGAAGAGCGGAAGCGTCGTGAGTTCAAGGCACGCCCTATCAGGGCCAACCTCACGTCCGCTTCGTACCCTCGAGAAACCGCCACTAGTCGTGCTCGTCAAAGCAAGGGTCCGGAGCTCAATGAGATTGGTCAGGTTGGGCATGGCGGCCCCAAGCGTTCCTCTATTGTGGGCGCCCCGCGTGCACCACTCACCAAGTCCGGGTCAACTCGATCTCCACAAGTCAGAGGCAGAGGTATCTCACAGACTTCTTCTGCCTCTCCGCAACTCAACCGTGCTGCGTCAATATCCGCCAGTAGCGTGAGCAGTAAGCGCAGTACCCTGTCTGCTGAGGATGTAGAACAACAGAAAGTCAAGGGCAGGGCAGTCTTCGAGCGAGACAATTCCTATATTGAGGACAAGGAGCGCGAGCGTCGTGAACGCGAGTTCAACACCAAACTTGCTCGTGAGCAGGCCGCTGAACGCTCTAGACAAGCCAGTCGAGAATGGGCAGAGAAGCAACGACGCAAGCAGCTCGTTGTAGCTAACGCTGTAGCGGCTTAATAACCTATCCGCCTCTGCTAAGACCGATGAGAATGGCACCATTGGCACTTGCCAGACTTCATGTGAATTATTCGGCTCGTTAATGAGCTTGTTATTGCTTTAGATCCCCGGAGTTTAGAGGAGGCTCATTTTATTTTTAGCGGAAAGCTGTGACAGGTAGGCGCGCAGCATGGGTGTTAGTTGTGGTTCAGGGTTTGTTTAGTTTCTAGCACTTTTGTTTTGTTGGCACCAGTACATGGTTTAGTACATGGTTTTGTCTTCTAGCCAAGGCTATAACAAACCGGCCAGGTCGAGAAAAGAACTTGTTTACTCATAATCGTTCGTGAGCAATTTTGTGGCCGTATATGTGACTCTGGTGGAGACTGAGCGCCTCCAGCTCAGGGAGGGTGAATGGACCCTGAAGTCTGTGATTGATCGGCAGCACATAAGGTATGGTACTTGATACATTCAAGCGGAAGGTCTCTTCGCCGTGTTTCAATAAGATGCGACAGACATTATGTATCATCGCACAGTTCACTAGGTTGTCTATGCCGTTGCTGCGTCCCGGGCCGGACGTGGAGAAAACGGTATGAGTGCCGCTCCGACGACGGACTAGCCCCCGGGCGCTAGCGGAGCACTCCAACGACATCCGACAATTTTGGCCTGGTTTCCTGGTGGCCCCCTCCTCACTTTTTCCCCCGTCAGTCTAGTATTCATGCACCAAAAATCGGATTCTACAGAGTAGAACCACCAGGAAACCCGGAAAAGTCATCTTTTAATTGGCCTCATTCGTCTGTGTGCGGATACAGCAAAACGTTGATAAACGTCAACGCTCTACCCGCAAATCGTGGAACACGTTGTGCGCAACTTTTCACTGGCGGCGCTGTTGCAGCTTCCACCGTGGACATGAAAGACGCCGAGTCCCAGCCACCTACGGCCCGCCTGGATCAAGGTACATACATCGGTACAACCCTCACGAATTCCGACCTTCCGCGCCGAGTCCACGCCTTTCTTGGTGTACCGTACGCGAAATGTGTCCGTCTTAGCCATGCGGAACACCTACCGGCCTCGTCAGAGACATTTGACGCGTCGGAATACGGCCCCGCTTGCCCGACAGCGGACCCCTCGTTCCCCGCGAGCGAGGATTGCCTCTCGGCTAACATCTTTCGTCCGATCCCCCAGGGTTCGGATGATGTCGCCGTTAAGATGCTGCCTGTGTTGGTGTATGTCCATGGAGGCGCCTTCAACTTTGGGCGCGGCGCGGATAGGAATCTAGCTGCGTTTGTGGCGTTCGCGAAGACGGATGTCATCGCCGTTAGTTTTAACTACCGCCTTGGACCGCTGGGCTTTCTTCCTAGTGGCATTGCCCAGAAAGCCGGAGTTGCGAATTTGGGTTTGTTAGATCAGAGAGCGTTACTGGAATGGGTCCACAGAAACATTATTCGGTTCGGAGGAGACGCAGGAAACGTCACCGTCATGGGCTTCAGTGCCGGCGCACACTCGGTGTGTTTCCCTATCCTTTGATTCTGTAGCGTTGACTGACTGGCTAGCTTGGCCACCATGTACTCTCACCCCCCTCGCGCAAGCTCTTCCGCCGCGCAATTCTGGAATCGGGTGCGCCGACAGCCCGCTCTGTTCTGGCGTCCAAGCACCCCCGCAATGAAGCCCAGCTCGCCCGGTTCCTCTATCATGCCTCTCTCCCTCAGCACCTTCCCTCCGATCAGATTCTCTCCTCTATTCGCTCTCTATCTTTGCCAAAACTACTCGAGGCTTCACTGGCAGTCTGGTCTGAATGCGCGCCATCGGTGGAGTGGCCGTTCCAGCCCTCGATCGACGGCGACGCGGGTGAGAACACCATTATCCCAGATATGCCAATCCGCACCTGGACGTCACCAAACCTCCCGGCTCCCCCGCCACTAATCACAGGCTTCAATTCTTCGGAAGGGACAAACTTCGTCCCCGCCTCGGCGTCTTCGTCCACGGCATTTAAAGATTTTTTCGCCAAACTTATCCCGTCTCTCACGCCGGATGACCTCGAGACGCTAGACCGCCTCTACCCCCCGGCATCGACGTATCCGTCTCCGCCAACCCGTCACCACGGCACCGAGTTCCGTCGTCTCGCGCACGCATACGGCCACTACGGCTACATTGCGCCCTTGCTACACTCGGCACACTTCGCCTCCCGCAACGGCGCGCCGGTGTGGGTGTACGAATACGCGGCACACGCGGATCTTGGAGCGGCGAACCACGGAGACCACGTCCCCGCCGCGACACACGACAGCGATACCCTCTCCCCGGAGCGGACGCCGGGGCTGTGGGCGGTGTCCGACGCAATGCATAGCTACTGGTCTTCGTTCGTGGCCAGCGGCGACGAGACGGAATCCGGGCCCAACAATCAGGCGAACCCAAGCGGGGTCGCTTGGCCGCGGTTCATTTCTCCCTTCGGCGAAGCACCGGGCGGCTCTGAGGACCACATCCCTAGAGACGCAGAAGACGAGACGCGGGGCAAGATCCTCGTCTTTGGGGAAGGGAACGACGAGTTCATGGGTCGTCTCGGCCAGCGTCGGCCCGGTACCGTTGCGCGCGTACGCACGCTGACCGAGGCGGAATTGCGGCAGTTCCGGTTCTGGTGGGATCGTGTCGGATTGAGCGAGGGTATGGGCGGAGCGGACGACGGGTCGAAGTTGTGATCAGCGGCGGAAATGAGTGATGCCCAACGCGAAAGTTTAGCCGGGAGGACTGAGGCGTCTGGTTATTGATTTCATTTCCTTCGAACAAACAGGGCTGAGGGTGGAATGAGACAACTCTAGCAAGACCCCATAGAGCCGTATCACATTTATAGACTAAAACTAGCTGGCAGAGTTGGACAAAGGAATATTTCATTTCATACGTATCTAGAAAACTTCGACCTGGGGAATATGTCCCAGTTGGTCCTACATCCTTGCAACAACAGCTCTTTAAAACTTTTGTTATGCGGCAGCTCCCTGCCCTCAAGACAGTACTGTTTACTTTTCTTAGGGCATCAACAGGTCAAACCACCTGTACGCCTTCGTTCTTTATGTACACCAAATTAAATTGAAGGGGCAATAGCAACGCCCTTAGGAGCTTAATCAAAGCAACCCCGAAATGGTGTGTATGTATATGACGAAATAAATCATGTGCGTCGAACGATTGATTATGAGATCCGTGCTGCTTCCGCGAGTCTTGGCCAAATAAGCCAAATCAAAGTAGCGGAGATGGACGAAATTAATAATGTAGAAGTTGTCTGAGCAATATAGGCTGCCCTCGTATGCCATGATTCTGTGAAACCATAACGCCGTATTTGGACCCCGACTTCGAGATCAATTGCCTGGTGGGGAGGGTGGGTATCTTTAGAACGGAGCCCCAACAGACTGGTTATCAACAAACGGTTGAAGCGTGTAATTTTCCCGTAGGGCTTCGTCTAGAAGTTCTGCGAGATGCCTGCATTTTGTTGTTGTGGGTAGTGAGAGGGGTTCTCGATCCGGGTGTTACGGCGAGCCGGGTTGTCACGGATTACGGGTTGGCCGGGAAGCTCAGTGGGTCTCTGATCGCCGTACGAGTTGTCCGAGTAGGGGTTGTTACCGTACTGATCGTAGTAGGCGTTGCTTCCGCTGTAAGCCATGCCGATGCCTCCGTCAGATGTGTCGGAGCGGTTTCCGGCACTGTAAGAAGACGACGCATTTGATGGTCCACGCTGAACGCCGACTCCACGGTTCAAGGCGGCCGAGGGGCCCATGGCACCAAGAATCTCGCCATCGGGAGAGTAAGAGCCATCGTTAATCAATGGTTCACCTGAACGGGTGTCAGTGCCGCGAGTTGGCGATGTAGTGTCCGAATGGGCCGCACCTGTGTTGCCTCCAGACATAGTCGTGGACGCCTTACGTCCAGTCGATCCGGCAAGAGTGGTGGTACCCCATCCGCGGTATCCAGAAGAGCCATCCTCCTTCATCTCGTAAGAGCCGCCATCGCCAAGGGAAGGAATTGTAGGATCAGCATTGGGGTTGTAGGCGTAGTCCTCGACCTCCTTCCTACGCTCCTCCTCGGCGTCCTTGCGCTGCTTCCTCTTCCTCCAGAAATAGAGGCCGGCCAAAATGAGCAATGCAACAGCTGCAATAGGAACAACAACGGCCACAGCAATTTTGCCGCCGCCACTGAGACCGCCTCCAGAGTCGCTACCGGAGTTAGAAGCGCCATTGGTCGAAGACGCGGAGGCCGAGGTAGTGCCAATGGTTCGAGATGGGTTCACGGCTTCGGTTTGGGTAACGATGGTGATAATCGTGCTCGTCTGACCTCCCGGTACTGTAGGCGTAATAATGACGGTGGTAGCAATGATTGATGTAACCGGCTGAGTGGGTTCGGCCTGCGTCGTAGGGGCCTGGGTTTGCTGCTGGGTCGTGCTTGTTGTGGCGGGCAGCGATGGCTGCTGTTGAGAGCTGGGTTGGGGTGCAGGTTGGGTGCTACTCGCAGGGGGTGCTTGAGACGGCTGCTGGCTGGTAACAAGAGTCGTCGGGACAGGTTGCGAGTTGTCCGCTGGCGGTTGGCTGCTGGCAGGAGCTCCGCTGGGTTGCTGGTTGCTGGGTTGGGGAGATGCTACGGGAGCCGATGTGGGCTCGGAGCCCGGTGACGTGACGTTAGACATGGTGTTTTCCTGCCTTAGCAGTAGCTGAGGAAATTGACTATACGACAAAGCCATGTTAGCAACGACTGAATGCGAAGAAGAGTTCGCATCACCAAGTGCAGGACAGGGGATGATGAGACTTTGAAGGGCGGGGGAGGTGGAGCGACGGGTTCGACAGCTCTACACAATTGAAAAGAAACGAATTTGATTTGTGCAGCGGATCCAGCAGATGCAGCAGGATTCTGCTTGGGAAGCGACCTGCTGATCTGCGGAGGTGCCGTAGTGCACTCGGCACAGCTTGGGAAGCACGCAAAATCGGGTAACTTACCTCCAATGAGAGCAATTCGCTCACTCAGCTTGCAGAGTGAGTAGGAGATGGATCAATCCACAAGCAACTCCAGAAGAGTGTATTTTCTGGAAGCTGGCGCCAGTCGAGACAGGCTTCGACGAGCGGCGCAATTAACAGTAGACTGGGTACGGATGGTCCGAGTTGTCGGTGGCACAGATGCGACGGTTTGACAGGAGTCCGTTATTGGTAGGAGGAGCTGAAGGGGAGAATGCTCGCATTTGGACAGTAGTACTGCTCAGACAGGACGAACGGGCGATAATTGGCGCGGGTGGCTGAGTCAGGTTCACGTGGTACGAGAGATAGCGACCAAGTGCGTGCAGGTCTCTCTCCTGACTATTCGCGGGTCGGCGTTGGCGTTGAACCGGGGCGGTTAGCAGGGCCGAAGATCGAAAGTCGAAGCGGAGAGCGCCGCGGAGGTTATCGGTGGCCGTGGCGGAAGGGGGTGATTAATTGGCGATGATGGAAAAGAAAAAAGAAAAACGGGTTAAACAAATTGGAAGGAGAATGAGCGAGGAAAATGCAAGGAGTAGTGAGAGGGAGGGAGGGGGTAAGTAAGTCGCGGGTTCCTTGGTCAGAAAGCGTGTCGACAACTTGCTGCTGCCGCTGCCAATTGGAAAACGAGGGCAGGGTGGAGGAAAGAGGAAGGGATACAGGGGGGGAGGAAGAATATTGGAGGAAGACAGCGAAAGGGAGGGGAGAGGGAAGGGGAGGGACGCTCCGAAGGAGCAGGACAGGAAGCCGGGAATATGTATGTTTTGAGCAAGTGAGATGCTAGGTGGAGCTGGGCTTGCCTGCCTTACCCGTCGGGGGCCTGGACCGCAAAAGCTGCAGTGCTGAGCCTGCCCCGGGCTGAGCAACGTCAAGACCAGGACCAGGACCAGGAAACAGGAGCCTGTACAGCGATGCTCACTCGAGCATGAGCGGGTGGGTGGCTACGGACACATACAAGAAACAAGTCCAGGCCAGGACGGGATAGGTGCCTTGACAGGAACGTCTCGTTTCGTGTCTCTCTTGTCTTGTCTATATCTTGTCGCTGACTGTCTTTTTGTTTTGTTGCCTGTCAGACCTCGCCTGTCTCGTGTCCATTTCACCCGACTACCCTCCCTAGCCTGTACTAGGAGTGTGAGCACAATGTGGAAAGACAAATGCAGGTTCGGGAGGCGGAGGCAGAGTCGTGGGGACTTTGCATTGCCTTGGCTACTAAAAAGAACTGTGCCTCCCACAGCCCAGCTAAACTGAAAGCCGTTGAGGCGAGTGGCTCAGCGGGATCAGAGTGGTGGCTCCAGTGACAAGGTGCTGAAAGTATGCGCTCTGGCTGATGAAGCTTCAGGGTGAGGTCACCCAAGGTCGAGTACATGTGCCCTCCTACATTGACAGCTTGGGCCAAGTACCGGAAGTACTTCTCTATACTCTCGTTGCTGAGGTGCCTGAAGAACAACCCGCCTGGACTTTGCCTGACCCGCATCCAGGCGCCGACTGCATGGCACGTTGCAGCGGATACCTCAAGGTACCTGACTAAGGAAATCACACCTTGCCATCCCATGTACCTACCTACATGGTCAGCCAACTAACTTCCTTAAATCTTCCCAGCCCTTGTTCGTCTAGCAGGCCGTTGACAGCCTCTGGCTCGAGTCCAACATACGGAGTAGCAAAGGGCAATCTACCATCTGCCACTCTCGTCATTTTCTCCATTCTTCTTTCTTCTGACAAAGACAGTGCCGTCCTTCAATTCTTCCCAAATACCCATTCGATCATCGATCCATCTTTGCCTCTTCCAGTGTTAGCGCCCGTACCCTCATCAAACCAATTCAAAGGCCTGCTGCCTCTCGGGGAGGGTCTGCCATCAATATCACCTCCCAAGTGTCTCAGTTATTTCGCTGAAAGTGCGGCACATGCCCGCCTGCCTGTCGAAATTGCGAATTGCTACACTGCTGCCCTCTTTTCCCGCAAGGACCGTGGGACCCCAATCCGCAAAGATTCCCCCGGTCACCACAAAAGCCTAAAAGGCTTGGTAGGTATGGTCAGAGAATGCACCTGGACCAGGTCCCCTAAAATAACGCCGGTAAATGTCGCATCATGGGCAGTTTGGGGAATGTTTAATCCTTCCAATCATACAATTAAATGCCCGTCGACGCTTCCTACACTGCTCGCAGGGGACAACACACGGACTCGAATAGAGGTCAAGTCCCGCCCCTGAAAATCTCAACTTGCTGTGCGTTCCGATCTTTACGACACGACAGCCCAAGAGGATGATGATGGGACAAGAACCAGCTTGAAATGCGCAACATGGCATCTCAAACGCGCCACGCCAGGCAAATACGCAAGTGACGATGGCAAAGCATGGCAGTCAAGTTTCAAATCCTCTCAGGAAGTCCAGATGATGCACCATAAGAATCGTCCTCGGGAAACCCGCCTCAGCGGCCTTCCCATTTCCAGCTAGCCATCCGTACATGGTAGGAGCTGCAGCACTGCACGTCTTTGCTCGTTCCTTCGGGGAACCCTGAAGAAATTCATCTCTTGATTGGGATTGGCGATTTGCTCACTGCTACTAGCACACAGTACGCCACGCTCAGGACGCCAACGGGTCTGCCCGCACAGCTCGTATCCAGAGTGATTGGCAATTGCTCCGCACTGGCTAATTTCCTTTGCCCAGCCTACAGGCTTCTTCCTGGTAAACCACGCCGGATGCCAGGTCCAATAACCCAGCCGACAAACATCATTTGTTCCCAAACGGAAGGAAAAGAAAAGGCATTAGAGCCCGTTCGCGCACATAGTGTACGCAATTCTGGAGACTGCCGCTCCAGAAATGTCCCCAATTTGTCAGACCATCCATTAAACCTGTATCTCGGTCTCTCTTGGCTCCTCCCAGTTTCTCCCTGCCTTCATGAAAGCCGGGGCCTTCTTTTGAAGCTAACGCCTCGCCAGGAATGGCCAGCAATTGCAAGCCAATGAGACCACCTCTCAAGCTCATGATGTTCAATTTCTTCTCCGTACCTCACTTGTCATGTTTTTGTCCTTGGCTCGGCACCTGCTCAACAGGCCGTCAACGACTGCACAACACCCGTACACAAATAACCTTTCTCGGTGTTTATTTTTTCACTTGTCTCTCCCTTTCGTCGCTTCGGCAGCGAACAGCAGCTCGCATCCATAAGTTGATATGCCTCAAGGCATGTTTTCCCTCGGTCCGCTTGTGGACCGCTCGTATCCCATTTCCCCCATACAAAATGACCGCTGATCTTCAGCCTGTGCCTCGTCGATTTCGGCATGGATACCATTCGATCGCTTATTGTACGATCCCATCGATCTAGCATGGTACAGAGGTGGCCTTATGGCGTCAAATGCACACTTCTTGCTGGTCAGATCGACAGCAGCTTGGCCCGCTTGACCAAGCAAAAGGTTGCCCCCATCCAAACGCAACTATTGGAACCCTCGGAGAACCAAGCGACACAGGAATTTTGCCCGGGCGGGCTTGTGACGATCGGCAACCGTGCCGGCAGACCACCTCAGGCGGGAAACCAACACTTTCTGGAAGCTGAAGCTCTGTTACCCGATACCTTAATGGTTTGGGCGGTGCTGACTTTCAAACCAACCTGTCGCCCTGTCCTGCTACGTGGTATTCGCCGCCGCTTCCTTTTTTCCCGTTGCTCATGCTCTCAGTGCAAGATAGCAGATACGTCGCACCTGGCTGGCTTAGTTAACATCCTCCAGCACAACAGGAGACTAGCGTCCATCCACATCCACCACGCCTGGAGGCCGATCATTTCTTGATGCTTATGGTCTGCACACAGTCTGTAGTGGATAACAATCAGACTTCATAAGACTACGCGATTACGGATTGCTGCCCATACAAACAGTCTTCTCGTCTTTGTTTGTTGAAGGTCCTCTTGGTCTGGCTACCTCAACCATACAGACACATGATTAATTATTCTGGTCATAGGACCTGATGCAGCGCCAACCTTGCCTTCAGCCTTCATCCACTGTGTGTTAATGTTTCTGCGTTGGCAAATATACCCCCTTCATGACGTATCAGCCCAACTCAACCCTGACAATTGCAAACCACAACCGGGCAAGAGGGCTAGGGTAGCCTTGATCAGCCAGGATTTCATGAGGTGTCATCAGGAAATGATAAAATCCAAAATATCTTCATGTTGGTCTTACCTTTTTCCAAACGAAGGATCAGCAGCAATCCACTTTCCAAACGTCATGTCCCCTCAACCCACCTTTACATCCTCATAGCTCTGACTTAGATTCTTCACCGTTTGCGTTGTTCTAGGAAACCCTTTGGGCTGAATGTTCTCGCTGGCTAGACTTCGTCCCATCTTTCCACAATCCGATAAAAAAGACATCCGTCCCTAGATCCAAAACCCAATCGCTACTCAGCAGTCCTTTCTCCAAACAAAGAATGGTGACGACAGTGCCGACACCCCGAATCAGCTTTCTAAAGTATGCGGATAGTTCTGCATTCCCTGGCAAGCAAATACAACAACTTTGTTTGGATTGGACGTCAAATCTTGAACCCAATTTTCTTCCAGACCAGGCTCAATCTGGTCTTCACACCACCACGCCATAAGCATACATGCGGCACGAGGGCAACATAGCACACAATACTCGTGCATAAGCTCAGGGAAAGGTTCCGAACATTACTAACCTACCTGCCAAATTCGTGCAAATACAGGATGCAAGTGTCGACTCGCCGGTCCCTCAGCGGCGTAAAATTCGAATACGAATGCGTCGCCAGTTGTTTATCTCCCTCGGTATCCCTTCTTTCCGAGCCAATCTACTAATTCCCCAATAGTTATTAGGAACTTTGGCGAAACGTCCCGTAACTAGCATACTGCAAAACCAAAGTACCCAGGCTTCTTACTCAGTTTCCCAAACGCCACACACACATACACGCCTGGCTATGCCCACCCACAAACCGTATTCCATCCTAATTCCTTCTCAGCCACGCTCCCATTGGACCCGGCGCATGCTCCTCGCCAGTGAAAACGCCACCTATCGCAAGCACAAACCACGTCGCTCCACAGAAGCTCGCAAGTGTCTGGTGTAAAAATAACTTTCCAGTTGCCCCTCGTTGGTGCTGGAAAAGGCCCGTACTAGATCCCTCATTACGAGAGATGATGTTCCCGCCAAGGACTGGTCAACGGAAACTTTGCCGTGGCCCTCTTTCGTGACAAAATCCACGGATCCAGTCAAACAGAGCTGCGAGACAAACACGGGACAATTACCTTTCAGTCGTTTAAGTCTTGTAGAGATCGCCGCCGCTATGCTGGAAATGATCCGTCGCTATTTTGTGAGGGCTATGAAGTCTGTATCCAAGTATGGTTTGACGACAGATAGTCGCGGCTGCGCCGGGCACAATTCCTTCAATTCCTGCCGGTCGAGACAGTATCTAGCTTGGAGAATCCGCTAAAGCTCTCTGCAAGCCCTTGGACGTTGCCCGGTCATTAGTCACCTGAGAGGTCTTAGTCTACTAGCCACTGTGGAAGGGCAATTAGCCACAAAGGCTCTCTCGGTTCTTGAATCATGATATTCCAGAGTCCACCAAACGGTATCCATTTTTCCGGCAGCGCAGTACGTTGATGTTACCGGCCTTTGACTGTGAATGAGGGTATCTATAAAATTACACTGATGGGGAACGATGGGTGACACAGGGTGTTAGGCTGAGGCCATGCCAAGATGTGCCGGCCAAGCAGACGATGGAAGAACGACGGCATGATCCGGATCGTCTACAGTCGAAGGAAGGCCGATGTGAATTTATGGGGCTGGGGCAGAAGAACAACGTATGGAGCACAACAGCTCCTAGGATGACATGCGAGAGCGTAGTCCAAATAACATCCACCGACTGTCTCAACCGTGTGGCAGCAGCGTAACTTGCATGTTAAACTACCGTCTGACGTAAGTATGCGTTCTCGAGGCAAGATATACATGAACGTCTCTCTCCATACGTAAGGATTTGTTTTGAGCTCAGAAGTTTCGTCGCGGACAGGAGGGGGTTAAGTGATGGGGCCAAAGATGGAAGGGAAGATAAAGAAGGAGAGAGAGAGAGAGGGTATGCGAAATGACAAGCGGCAAACGTCCTTCTTTACACGCTTGGGAGGCCACGAGAATAACCCGGCGTTGGGGGGGGGGGGGGGGGGGTTTACTAGCACTGAGCATTTCCCCGAAAATGGAAGCACTCCACTTGACTTGGCCTCTTCATTTTCGAACGAGGTACAGATGATCATCTCTCGATGAAAGTCTGTCTACCCATGGCTTGCTCTCGCCTTGATAGTTTGCAGACCTTTGCCTCTGGCCTTGGGCGTACAAGGAGGGAAGAGCAGGTTGCTTTTGCCACTGTCGAGGTTGACGATGTCTTCTCTGAGACTGGGTTGAGTTTGTTGGCGGATTATCTGGGTAGGTTGATGGGAAACTGTTCCTTAGTTTGAACATCTACAGAGGTAGCATCACCTGGCACGTCGGACCTAGACTCATTTCACTTATTGCAGTTCACGGACACTATGCTCTGTATACTTTCTGTAGTATTCATCATCTAACTGATGTTCGGATAGAATTTTTCCAATCCGTTTTCTATATGCAAGCCCTCCGGAGACGGAACGGGGGAGAATATAAATATTTGTCGTGACCCTAGTACTCCACGCAGCGAAACAGAAATAAGGTGTGGTTTTTTTTCAAACACAAAAGACATTAGCAGTACGTCGCTACTAAATGCGAGAAGAATAACACCCTGATGCTACACCCCAATGAGAAGCTGGGAAGGGCTCCTCTTGGTTGTCGGAATTCATGTACATGGATGATAGTATATGAACTCTATGTGCGAATATGCATACGGAAAGTCGTGACCGTGATTCGGCGCTGCCGTATCAAAACGCGGCAAACAATGTAATGATATCAACAACAAAACGCCATTTGCTTTTTTTCTTCATTTACTGGCGCATGCCCCATTGCGGCTTCAGCTGGTCCTGAAGGGCGGCCGTCTGGAAGACCGTGTCGCCGGGCAGTCGGCTGACTCTGCCGGCACCGCTTCGGATAGCGGCTTGGTTGACCGCCGAGATGCCACTGCGGTTGCTGCGGATGCTGCCGGCATCGCTCATGTTGTCCGCGTCCTTGAACTTGCGAGGAGGAGCGAAGTCAAGAGCCGTAAAGGTTCCTGATTTGCGCAACATGTGCCTGGTTGTTGTTAATGGGTGATCGTACGCTGGGGTTTCTGGGGGGGTTAACTTACGGGCTAGGCATAGCAGCCATCTCCTCGAAGCTGCTGACCAACGGCGTGTGAGCAACCTTCGGTTGCACGTAAGGTCGCCGCTCTCCTGCAGGACTCTGAGAGCGACCACGAGCACGGCTGGCAAAGCTCTCGGGAGGAGCAAAGTCGAGGGGGTTCATAATGGCAAAAGCGTCATCCTTGAGCTTCGACGGGTTAGGCAAGGTGGTAAGATCTGCAGGTGGAGGTCCCTTGGGCTTCTGTCTCGGAGGTCCCATTCGGTTCGACACCGACGAGCCGGGTCTAGTGGTGTATTGGCTGGACATATCGGAGCCTCGTCGAGAAGGCCCAAGACGGCTAGACATGGCCGATCCCGCGCGTGGCGGGGGTGGTCCTCTTCCTCTGGGACCGGGGCTGGCCATACGACCACCCATTGAGCCGTACATGACTCTTGGAGGGGGAGGGCCGCGGAAACGGGCGCCGCTAGGCGGCGGTGTCATCGCACGACGAGTAACAGGCTGAGCGTATGGCATAACGAACGAGTTCGTCTCGGGGTCAAAGTAGGGATCGCCTCCCGGACCACCCATAAAGCTCGGATCGACGTCCTCATAGTACTGAGGTTGACCCGGAGGAGGGCCTCGGCCTCGGGGAGGACCCATGGGAGGCATCGGAGGTGGGGGTTGATGACCACCTGCCCCTGGGTTGTCAGGATCGAAGTACTCCTTATAGAAGGATCTGATTCTGTTGGCGCGCTCTTCGGGGTCTTCAGACTCCATAACCTCGTCCGGTGGAAGCGGGCGGAAGCCGACTGAAAGTCTCTTGTTGTCTTGAGCCGGGATGCCGAGTTGGCGAGATTCGCGGTAGTCGTTCACTTCCACAGAACGACGTTGAGACCGACCTCGTTCCTCATCCTCATAGTCGTTTTGGTCGTAAGGGTCATTATAAGCATACGTCTCCTCGGGTACGATGGCTGGAAGAGTCGATGGAGCTCCCTCCTTTTGGGGCCGGGGGCTTGAGGGAAGGGTACCACCAGCAGGGGGTGACAAGCGGTGAGAGTGAGTGGGGAAGCTCATATCGTCAAGACCAAGGCCAATAGCCGGAGGGGCCGGGGCCTGGGCCTGCTCCGCCTTTTCGGTGGCAGGGAGTTCAGCCACAGAAGGAGCGGTGTCCGCCGCCCGGGCTTCGGGGACAGGAGGGTTGGCTGCAGGAGGCCGCGGGTTGGCGGGAAGGCCTTTAAAGGCAACAGGAGCGGGTTCCGGCAGATCGGGAATCTGAGGAAGAGCCCCTCTGTTCCTGTCGTCGGGGTAAGGCACGGTCTCGATTTGAGGGATGATAGGCTCGGCGATAAGAGGGCTTCTAATGGCGGGTGAGGTGGGCGACGCGACAGCTGGCGAGAGGATCTCCGGGGCCGGAGATCCAGACCTGGACTTAGGCGTAGCGAAAGGGTCGACGGGAGTACCAGGCGGCTTAGGCAAAGAATTTTGTCTGGGGGGAAGAGTGATGTTCGTCATGGCAGTACGACTTGTCATGTTGGAACCGCGTTTCTGGCTCGCCGAGCGGCTATAGACTGACGCGCCATCGGGCTTGAAGGATCGGATCGAGCCAACGTCGCTGTTGGCATACTGAGCGACAGGGCGGTAGGGATCCTCGTTGTTGTGGAGAGTTTTCGCGAGAGAGTTCAGGGACTCGCGTGAGTTCTGAAGACCTGGGGGAAGGAGGTAAGGGCTGGAAAGGTTCATGTCCATGGACAGTTGACGCTTCTTTGTGTCGAGACCCATCCCCTTCTCACGGAACATCAAACTCTTCCGCTTGCTCTTGCCATTTCCACCCTTGTCAGAGCTGGTCTCACCCAGTCCGAAATCCAAGCCTCGGTTTGGGTCGTTGGCTTCCTCCAGTCGCTGCTTCTTTATGTTCCTTCGGTGGAAGTAAAAGAGGAGGCAGAGTGCACCAACGATTGGGATTCTAGAAGCCGTCAGCCTATATTCGCAATGTGAACCAATACAAAACCTACGAAACACCCAAAGCGATGGGCAAGGTCATGGAGCTTGGATCGACTGGCTTCTCGCACTGATTGGCAGGGCCGGTACACTCTGAAGCTCTCGCTCCGATGATACGAGAGGCAACTCGCAGAGGCTGGGCTGGACTAGGCACCGGCACAATAGGATTAACGTCCCGGATGGGAATCCGGGAGCCCATTACGTAGCCATTGGCGTTAAAGGAAGTTGATGCCATTGGGAAATATTATGCGCTCGACAACTTAAAGAATGATTTCGTCACACAGCTCTCTGCTAGCAGCTGGTCGTCTCGAGAGGGGCTTTTCTCCTTCCTTCGCTGAAACGCTATCGCGTTTATAGCACCATAGCCTAACGAGAGGTCGCGTTGTTGAATCGGGGCGGGGATCGGGGCGGGACAGGACGGTAGAGTGAGCGGCACCAGAACAAATGATCGATGTTTGCGGATCCAAAATCGTATATGCCTCCTAGAAGCGAACACAGGTGTATACGAGAGAGTGATATCGGTAGAATGAGCGACGATAGTATGTTTGTTGGTAAAGAACGACTTGCGAGTTGGACAGTTGACTAACTCCAACAATGCATTCACACGATCCAAACAATGATAAATGAGTGACTCGCCCGCTGGCAGGCAGTTGTTTGGATGTGGAAAGCCGGTGAATGTCACTGGCCAACTTGAAGCAGAGTAACGACCGACGATGTGGAAAGGACGTGAGGGAAAGGGAAAGTGAGAGTCAGTCCCTTTTGGGGGTGACAAAGGCAAAAGAGCGTGAGGATGGGACCGAGAGGGTCAAGAGGAGCTTCCGCGCAGAAAGCGAAAACGGTCAAGCCTGCGGGCCTCGTCAAGCGAAGTGAAGCGAAACGAACCAGCGAGCGTTTTGGGAGGAGATTGAGCCGGTTGAACAGCAGCAACAGTCGCTCGTCCCGTTTGTTGGCCTGACTTTGACCCTGGACCCCCTACCTAACGAGACCTAGCCACAGGGGGCCTTGACATTGACATTGACCCTGGACCTGGACCTTGACTTGGGCCTGGGAGCCTGGGCCTTACCAGGGCTGGGGGTGACAATGGGTCGAGTGGTCCTAACGGGCCAGCGAACTGCCACCATCGAATGGAGTTCAATAGCAAAGATTGGGGGGGAACCACTAGGAGGGGGGTAAAGGGGGGTGGTGCCTGTCAACTTTGGGATGGCGGGCCGGGGGCATGGAGCCGCCCAGTGGAAACAGGCGAATGAAAAGCAATTTCAGCAAATGAGCCGGGGCTGGCGCGACTTTTCCCCCTGGTTGCCCTCAGCAGGACTGGAGTAGAAGGACTCATGCTACTAGAGATAGAATCTTTCTGGCTGGACTTCTACTCGGCTCGACTCACCTCGCTCTTCCCTCATTCTCACCTCATCGTGACCATGCTGTTTGTGAGTGCACCCATCACACCCCATATCGTCGGCACCTCGCTCTAGGCATCAACTGCACCCCTTGATGAATCGATTCGCACAGAAACTGCGCCGGTGGGCTTTACACAGGCAAAGAGTCCCAAATCCCAATACACATGCTTCTCTTCCAACCCATCCGATCATCTATGTATCATCCCCTTCCTTGCATCAGCCAGGAACAGATAGCTGCTTACTGGCTAATGCTGCCCGAGCCTCCCTACCAACGTTGCACTAAAACCGATTCATATACATAGTGCTACAGGGGCTCTCCTCGCTTAGCGCAGGGATTTACTTCAGGAACGCGCCCCTCCTTTACCATCCAATGTCCAACCAAATGGAGACGGTTGATAAGATTGGACCAGATAATGTTGACCAGCAGGTTGTAAAAAGAACAGTGGCAGCAGCAGTACCACGACCACTACCACGACGCACCACGATAAGAGCGCCGGACACCGTGCAGCAGGTAAGCATCCCATGGCCGGTTTGCCCCCCAGCACTCCAAATTTCGCGCGCCGCACAAGCCATCCACCGTTGCTTCAATTACTATCACACTGTGATCATCTCAATTTAATGACGCAAAAAGAACAATGAGAACGCCTACGGAAAAGAAACTTAGAACGAATAAAGATCCTAACCGCTTTACAACAATAGCTCTCGTCCGCCACTTGTTTTACACCCGCCTCCCACATCCCTGACCGTGCAAGCAACGTGCCAGCAACGCTGCGCCGCACCGCACCGCACTTGTGTCTTGTCTTGTACAGCGCTAATCTGCCCGTTGAACTAGTGGCTTCACTGGCTTCTAGATCCTCGGCCGCTGTTTCTGGATTGAGGCTGGTCTCGCCTTACCCCAGCAATGAATGCATAGGCGCAATGAGCGTATCGGGGCACCAAAAATGACAATCGGGTGTCTTGTAGCGAGATGCTGGCTACAATTCCCGTTGCGAAACGACCAGACATACATAGTATGCAGTTTTCTACCGAAATTGAAGCCGTCATTGGGAGCTGGGGGGTCTGCTCTTCCCTTGGAACTACCTGGGCCTGTTGGGGCCTGGCGGCGATGGCGGTTGTGATGACGACGACGACACCGATATCAACAAGCAATACGGAGGATACACAGAGGCATCATTGTGAATCTCTCCTGATAACTTCGTCCGTGGCCCATCGTCTCGGAGGCTGAGCCTCCTCTTCCGCTCTCCACTGCGCTCCCCGCAACTGTATTTACGATCCACGGCCAGATAATGTCGCTTTTTATCCTTAATGTGCTTGCCACAGCACGGCACAACTTGTCTATTTTGGGAGAACAAGAATACACAAGCCACACACGCGCCTATTGAACGACGATTCCACGAAAGGAATGTATAGGGCTCTTAGGTCTCAGAGCCGGCCGGCGGCGTTGGACGGCGCGAGGCGCCCCCCAATTTGCGCATGATCCATCAGGAATCGTCTCTAGCCTCTCACTTGCTCGCGGCCAGTTTCTCCTTCTTATGCATAGGTCCCTCTGTGTGTGATGGCCGCTTGCGAAATGCACAGCATAATATATGCCATTCGGTATACTACTTATTCCCTGGCAATGAAACCACGGCAAGGAGGAATAACAATAACATGAACGTGGAACCTCGATCCGTCATTTCGGCCTTCAGTGGGGGGGTGACGATCGTTCATTGCATCCTGGATGAAGAGGTCCGTTCAAATCAGAAAGAAACAAGGAAACAAACCCCCTTTCTGACCAAGGTTTTCCCAGCTTCTGACACTCCCTTTTTACGGGGGATCCATGATAGCGACAGCGGAGGACCGGGTTAAGGGGCCGGTGAAAAGAGATAGCGGCAGTTGTCCGGATCAGCACCTGACCTTGCATGCACACAAATTTGCCATTTCTGAAGGGAATCGCTGAGTCGCATATCATTGCAATTCATTGTGATGGTCCACTGCACAACGATGCAATCACGGTTGGCCAGGTTGCTGCCATGGTCTGTCGGCGGTAGAGTTTTGCTAGTTTTTATGTTCGCCCGAACAAATGGACGCTTGAATGACTCCATCCGGGATTCTCGCCGCTGACGCCAAGCGACAGGGAAGAAATTGCGTTAGACGAAGGAGTCTAGTGTGTGTGAAATCCTTCTCACTCTTCCGCTAGGCTCCTCTATCTGAAGAGAGACATAGGCATTACCTCCTACATCTTGGATCTGTAGGCTTCGTGCAGTAAAAAGAGCAAAAAAGAAATGAAAAATGAAGGTATCGTGGATATTTCTCACGTGCCATGGAGAAAGTTAAGACATAACCACCTCACCCGAGAACAATGAAGCCACTCTTTACGATTCTCTCCCTTGTGTCATTTTAGACGGTGGGCCAGGCCTGAGACTTGCGCAAGGACGAAAAAGTCAATCGCGATGCCGTGCTAACCAGTGAAAAGCCTACTCGCACTGTCCCCCAGTCATCTAATTAAGCTAATGTCGACGGACCCTACAAAGCTTGTCATTGGCCGAGATCCTCTGATTGGTCCCCATTTCAGGCGGCTGGCATTTTCGCCAATCACATCTCGCATCACACATGCAAGGCTCGTATTATGCTCACCTATGTACTTTCATAAAGGTTATGTATATTATTCCAGAACATAACTTAGCTATCCTCTCAGACTCCTCTCTCCTCATGAGTATCTCCACTGGGGGCTTTGGCCAGGAGAGAGCCATTCAGAACCCTGCCCAAAAGACCATTAGTGACCAGTCAGGCTGACCATTTCACTCGGCCCGCCTCCTCAATGCAGACAGCTGCGATTCGGCCCTGTCTTGATACAACTATATCTGCCGCAAGATGTAGCTGCGCATTGAGTCGTGTGAGCTGATGTCTCTGCTCCAACAAACAAGGAACCTCGCGCACAGTGGTCCGGGGCTCGTGACAGCCTCCTTCTGGTCCCTCCCTATCCCTTTCTGTTGCCTCCATTGCCTCATGCTCTTTCTGGAGATCGATCACTGCTTTGGTATCTTAGGCCTCGGCGTACAAGCCCGGTACAGCGTGATCCTGTCTCCTCTCGTCCTGGGCCCCCTTTCCCTTTCCCCTTCCTTTCCTGACAGGGTTTCAGCTTCAGCCTCACATCGTCGTCGTCGACGCCGACTTGTCCACAACTTGATAGAACTCCGGAGCATACTCCACAAGCCAGTCTTTCTCGATCTTGGTGATGTCTTTTATGAATATTTTTGCGCCCGTCTCCATGACTTCGTGGAAAATGACCCAGTCAGCCTTGCGGTTGAACATGAGCGAGCTTGGGTGCGCGTGGAGCATCGTCTGGCCCGACACGTTGCGGAACGTGCCGTCTGGCTGCATCCTCGCTGCGTGCGCAAAGTAGCCCGCTGTGAGGCACCGCCGGATCTGCTCCGCCTTTTTGACGTTATCCTGCTGCTGCCCTTTTTTGTTGCCCAGTGAGTCGTCCATGACGACGCCAGATTTCTCAAGATACCGCTTGAGCTGTGCTCGTATGCTCACGGCTCGCGTCAAGGTTTTAAAGTTTAGGTTGTGCTCGCGACAGAACTTCGATTCCTTCTTGCCCGTTGTGACGAAGGCCTGGTAAACGTTGAGAAGTGTCAGATGGTCGCCCTCCTCGGCGGCGAACGAGCGCCGGGAGGTTTCCATCTGCTTCCGCTCGCCGTCATGGTAAAACCAGACATTGTTGCCGCCTGCACTGGTCATGGCTGCGATGGTAAGCATCTCACTGAGGCACCCGAACGACTCGGCACTCAGCAATGTTTTGCCCATCATCGGCTCTACTGCGATTTCCGCCATTCTGTAGCCCAGAGGTTTAGTAAGCTTGGCGTACTCGTCGAGGGCTCCCAGGGCGTAGAGCAATTCCAGAGCCTTGGCCATCAGTTCCGAGGGCGGCGGGCTGAGGAAGTTAAATCGAAGGACGTTGTCGATGCCCAAGGCTTTCAGTTGCAGAATGAAGGGTGCCAGGTTAGAACGCTGAATCTCAGGAACTGCGACTTGGGGGAGACCTAGGAATGATTCTTCCGTATAGAGCCGGAAGCACTTGCCCGGCCTTGTCCTTCCCGCTCTACCGGCGCGCTGGTTTGCAGAGGCTTTGGAGATGGCGGTAGTCGTCAGGGCCTCGATGCCTGTTCGGGGGTTGTACGCTCTGAGCTTCGCGAAGCCGCAGTCGACGACGTAGACGATTCCGTCGATAGTGATAGACGCCTCGGCGATGTTGGTCGCAAAGACGACTTTTCTCGTGCCTTCAGGAGGCTTATCAAAGACATACATCTGCTGCTCAGTAGTGAGACCGGCGTAAAGAGGGAGTGCTTGCAACTTCTTGTAGTCTTGGTCTCTCTTGTCGAGGAGGCGGTCGGCGATGGCCTGAACAGCAGTGTCAATTTCCTCGCGGCCTGTGAGGAATACCAGAATGTCTCCGTCGTTCTCATTTTCGTGAATATCAAAAACAGTTGAGATAGCTTTCTCGACGTAGTCCTCTGCCGGAGATTCCAGGTAAAGAATGTCAACGGGGGACGCTCTCCCTTCCAAGGGTATGATTGCAGCCTTCTTGTTGTCGCCCTTTGCTGCATCGTCAACTGGCTGCTTTGCTTCTTTCACCTCATCGCCCGGGTTCGTGGTGAAAAAATTGAAGAACTCCTCGGCCTGCAACGTAGCACTGCTGATAATGACACGCAGCTCCGGCCGCTTCTTCATAATCTTCTTCAGCAGGCCCAGAAGAATGTCGGTACTAATAGATCGCTCATGAGCCTCGTCCACCATGATGACAGAATACCGTGTAAGTAGAGGGTCGACGAGAGCCTCTCTGATAAGGAGTCCATCTGTCATGTACTTGATGCGCGTTTGGGCGGAGGTGGCATCTTCGAACCGAATCGCGAAGCCCACCTCCTTGCCTATCTCACAGCCAAACTCTTCGGCAACTCGCATAGCAACTGTCGTTGAAGCGACTCGGCGGGGTTGGGTGATACCGATAACCTTGCCATCTGTGCACCATCCTGCGGCTTCGAGGAATTGGGGGATTTGAGTAGTCTTGCCGGAACCAGTCTGGCCAACAACGATAGTGACCTGCTTCGTCTCGATGAGATAGAGCAAGGCATCGCGGTGCTTTGCTACGGGCAGGAGTGCGGCTGGCTTATGTAGTGCGGGAATGAATGCTGAATTGAGATCAAAGTCGGCCATGGTTGCTGTTGAGAATTGGGAACAAGTAATGTTCGTTTAATTGTGCAGATTTAGATACAAACAAAAAGTTTAGTGTTGTGGCCTGGTCTACAAATACAAAATTACCCAGTTTACCAGCAAAACTCATCTGCACTTATATATATATTGTCAATTTTATTCTGGCCTCACTGAGTCTGCTTGGCCTCACTGTCTGCCTGGCCTCACTGCACCTGTTTGGCCTCAGAATAGCATCGTATCACATGACATGTAGCTGCGTCTCGTTGTTGTTAGTCTATGTGCCCCTTCGGATCAGAGGTACTGTCTCCAAAGCCGGCATAATTACGGGTCGAAGATGCCAGCTGGCACCAGACGAACGTGGCCTGATGCAGCTGCCATTCCAGGGACCTGCGTTCCTTTGGTAAACTGACGACACCTGTGGCGACGAGGATTGTGGCTGAGCTTAAGCTCGACTGGCGCCTGGAGGCGCGGCGTCATCAGCTTGCAGCCCACTTTAATGTCATCTCGCCAGCTCTGCCACCCCTCGCTCGGCGCGCAATAACAGCAATCTTGCACAACCAACCTTGGGAGACACCCCTTTTAAGCCTCTTGAGACATCCAAGCTTGAGGCTTTTATACTGCGATTCATCTCGATCAAGCATATTCCGCAATTTCCACGACCCAGCAAGGACAGTAGGCAACGTAGTCATGTCCGCCCCCAACGAAACAGTGCGCCATCCTGCCTCGAAACACTTTACTTTATGCGATGTTCCCTGCGACTGACACCTCATCCTTTTCGTGATTTATAGAACAAGCTTACGTCCACAAGCGGACCCGAATCTCCCACCACAGTCAAGCCCTTGGACTTGAGCGACGACGAAGATATTCAGGAGACAGGAATACTCGGCGGTGAAAGCTCCAACCAGAACACGAATACCTCGGCCAACATGGCATCCTCGACAGCGGCCGCCGAACCTGCCCCCCCGGCGAAGCCCCCTAGACCCTCTACCGAGACACAGAAGAATGAGGACATCTTGAAAGAAGCCTTCCCCAGCATCGACATCTCTGTCATCAAGGCTGTTTTGAGAGCCAGCGGCGGGCGCATTGACCCTGCCTTCAATGCTCTGCTTGGTATGTCGCGTGCCCAACCAGATCCCGGCCTATTGCTAACATATCATCTCAGAAATGACGGATCCCGATGCCGCACGTAACGAGCCCGAAGCAGAGAACCCTCCTCCCCAGCCTCCCCGCCCTGCCGCCTCTGTGCAACTGTCTCAGCTCGAGGCGGACGAACTATACGCGCGCCAGCTAGCGGAACACTTCGATAACGTCGGCAACTACGAGGCCAGAACCGCGAACCGAAGTCCCGGTGGTCGCGTCAGACGCCAGCAGACCGGTCTCGAACCCAGAGTGAACGCCGAGGACCGCGAGCACAACTTCTTCGACGATGAGCTGCCGGTTATCCAGGAGAGGCTGCGGCAAGGCTTCATCGAGACCCAGGGCAAAGTCAACAGCTGGATTACGACTATGAAGAAGAGGTTCGACGAGGAATTCGCCGACGAGGATGACCACAACCAGCGACCCGGTCAAGGCCAAGGACAGTACGGCGGTAGACGTCCTGGGGAGTCGAGCCGCAGGAGTGGTGACTACGAGAGATATGATGCGGACCCTCAGGTCCTCAGCGACGATTTCGCAGGCATGAAGTTCACGGCTGATGGAAGTAAGTGCACGCCCGCTCCGGGCCCCTTTTTGGATGACCGCTAGTCCGGCGCTAACAACCGATCAGCTCCGGTTCGTGACGGCAACAGGCCGTTGTCACACCCCGACCTCTTTAAGCCCCCTCCACCCTCAAAGTCGCCCAAGCCAAGCGATGGGCGAAAGGTTGCGTTCCGAGAGGGAGCTGAGGAGATTGACGTGTATGGCTCGTCACCTAGGGTTTCAGCTGAAGATGCTACGGGGTCCAAGGCCAAGTCCAGCAAGTGGCAGCCTCTGTCAACGGTCGAGCCTAGTCCCATCAACGACAATGACCCTTTCAGCTTGGGAGATAGCGAGGACGAAAGAGAGGCCAAGGAGAAGGCTGCGTCTAAGGATGTCAAATCGGAGGACAGCGAGAGACTGAAGAAGGCCGCAGCTGAGGCGATGGCGGACAGTCTCGTCGAGTCCAAGGGAGGAGAGTCGGCAGATGCGGCGGTCAAGAAGAACTAATCGGCGTATCAATTGGTGGAGGCATCGTGAGTTGGGGGGACTGGTGGTTTTCGCTCTGTTCCTACGTCACTTTCATTTCCAGATATCCACCCCGCTGGCTTCAGCAATAATACAAGAGCCTGGCAAAAGGGGCCTCGGGAGGCATGGGGATTTGGGGTACCCCAATTCATTTCATAGGTAGCGCAGTCAGGAGAAAACCAAATTGAGTGCTATCGCAACAGTTGGTGTTGTTTAGTCAGTAAGACATTTACGCTGTGTAGTTCAAGAGGGCTTAATATGACGACGCCTATCACGTCTACATCGTGGCAGTAGATCTGCGCCTGACGTAGGAAAGCGTCTCGGCAACGGCAGACGCGACTCATCAGAAGTGGACTTGGTTCTGTGGATTGAAACGGCAATACGCGGATGCAGGAGGGGCGAGGGCGTCGGCGTGGCCAGACCCGGAGAATTAGACTGCTGGGAGATGCTATGTTGAGCCGAACTGGATAGAAGCTGAGTAACGTCGCAGTTGGAAGACAAGAGCCCCGCTACGCAGTTCAGGTAGGCAGTCGGGTTTTATTCCCGGCCCGACTGCATGACACTCGATACGACCCAGCAACATTGCTACTGAGGGGTTCTTCATCAAACTTCGCACAAAGGTTTCTGTAGCGAAGGAGCGAGCGAGGGGGGAGAATTAGAGCAGGGGCAAGTAGATCCAGACGTGGCTAGCCCCAAGTTGAGGTGATGTGTGTTGTGTGGTGCCCCTCACACTTTTTTGGAGGAATGTGCCCCGCATCATATTAGTATTATCTTTTTTCTGCCCATCTTCCCGGCTACTTCCGGTGTTACGATGCAGCGTCTCGACGCGAGGTACGAGATGCTTGTTGCCATTTCCTGCAGGTCTAGTCGTTGACTATCGCAAGAGGGCCAGGTTGTTTGAGAACTACGAGATCGGTTGTTTTCAGGTGGATGGGGTGATTTGAGGCGGCTTAGGTAGGCTGTTCATGTAAATGGTCTCCAGTATTATGGGCTTCCCGCCGGAGTAAGGTGGCTTCCATCGGAAATGCTGAGTGAAGGCTCAAATGCGGTGGAAGCTGAGGGTCTATTCAGGCTTCTTGCGGTGGACTTTGAAGCATCATACTCCGTCGGCCGTGCTTCTGCTGGTCCCTCTGTAGTGACTACGGACCTTTACCGAAAGGCATTATACCACCCAAAAAAAAAAAAAAAAAAAAAAAAAAAAAGCGGACGCAAGATCTTCCTTTTCCATTTTTTGGACCCGAGAGTACTAGCGACATACACAGAGGTAGTTGAATGCTGGGGTTGAGGATGATGCTGAAGGAAGAGGGGAAGCAAAGACAAACCAAATAAACCAAGGTTTGAATGGCGCATGTCACGTTTTTTCTTCTTTTTTTTGTGGTTCCTATGCTCCCGTTTTCTGTTGGTCACTCTTCAGCCTCGCACTTGGCATGTCGAGCAAAAAACGTGGTTGAATTGTGAGCCGTCATTGGCCGGCAATCTGAAGACTTGGCTTTGAGGGGTGGCCGAGCGGCGAGCGGAGGGGAAGGGGTCCACGGTTCTTCCTTGAGCCAACGTTGCCTGTCTGTAGGTACCATGCCTCAAATTGCCTGGCTAACCCACTCAAGAAGGCAAGTACACGCTGGCAGCTGTCGGTCGTACGGTTCCAGTGCAGAGGTGCGTTAGATACCTCGGGTGCACCCTGCGGCTGGAGACGTACTACGTACGTAAGTAGTGACCTGATTGCAAGATCAACTTTATTGATACTGTCGCTTTTTCCCACGAGAGAAAACTAGCGAACCCACGTGTCTCATCTATTGACGTGAGGTAGAAGCGCACGAGCATCGTTGGTTGTGCTATTCGTGGAGTTTCCTGCGCGGCAGGCAGTGTCATGGAACTGTAGCCGGATGGGCGAATGGACAGTTGCAGGCGGAGACAGCCTCGGGGTCTAGTCCCCCGACTGCTTCAGCTTTTCTTTTTTTTCTCTTTGTTTCCCCCTTATATTTGGCGATTATCGTACGAAATTTCCCGGGAAGGCAGGTAGACATAGGCTTGCGATGAAGTTTACGAAAGACGTTGGTGATGCAAGCCTCGGTAAGAGCATTGGCCGCAGTTACCGTGTTGGAATGCTTGCCCAATCCAGCACCAAACGCAACGATGAGCGACTTTGTGCATTAGAATAGAAAGAGCCACTACTACCCAGTAGATACATGTTTTAGCGTCTCTCAATTTGTCAGGTCTTATTGGTAACTGGTGAGCTGCTGCTCTTCTCTTTCTTCATTCTACTGTCGCTGCTGTTGCATTGTAACCTGCAAGGGTTACAGGTACCCCGCACCAGTCACTAGACAGGGGGGTTGATCGGGACGGGCAAGAACAGGTCAACAGTGTGGCCCATAATTGGCCCGTCTCTGGACGATTAGGCCCCTCTCATTGGATAGACCGACACAGTGGTTGGCCAAGCCCCGGCCGGCACCCATTGTATTTCACGGGCTCCAGCTCCAGGTTCGACTTTGAGCTAACTGCCCGTGGCCCGTGGAGGTTGTTGCCAGTCCCCGTCACAGTCCCCCGTCACTCTACTACCTTAGTCGCATCCCATCCCAACGCCAGATCTGGGCTTGTCGCTCTACCTTGCGCTATCTACCTTGCCTTACTTGCTCCTGCGCGAGCGGTAAAGTTGCAGAACAGACTTTGCTGTTCCTACCTTACCTTACCTCGACTCTGTTTTGTCGTTGTCTTGACTTACCTCACTTCATTCTCACACATTCATTACCTCACCACCCAACCTGCGTCGGAGCAACAGCATCTTATTGGCATCCGGAGCCGCCCACTGCCATCTAGCCGCAAGAGACTGAAGCCAAGCGCTTCGTTCGCCTGAACTTGCCTCTGCCCGGTAAGCCTGACCACTCCCCCAGCACCCCCCGTGATCTAGTTCCATTTGCTGCAAGTAGGTCTCCTTGTCGTTGGTTCGTTGCTCGCCTGGCTTCGGTCTGCCTTCTTATCCCTTCTCCGTCCAAACGTCATCTTTGATTTTCCATGTCTAGCTGCTATTCTTGTCAACGGCGTCTCCGTTCCTATGCTTGTTCTCTCAAACGAGGAGGAGACAGAAAAAAAACACACCCCGACCCGCTCCAATAGGCCCAGGTCGTCTTGACCCTGTGTACGTTACCTGAGCACCCCTGCCGCGATCAACATATCACGGGTTCCGGGCCAGATCGTGCCCTGCTAGTTGGGGGCAAAACCTGTATGCGCCAAACCAGAGCCGACAGTGTCGCCCGGAAAAACCCCAACTGGCGCTGACATGGTATCTTGTCATCCACCGCCAGCGAGTATGCGCGTCCATTCACCTGTCGATATCCCCCCACGCAGCCTCCTATTTTGGTTACTGCCACTTACTTGTTGTACTGCCCTCAAGCATTGCGTCTGGCCATGCCCATGCCATGTTGCAAGTGTCATATGCGCCGGGCAAGCAACCCCCCTCTTCCACCACCAAATGGTTGTCACCGAGGCATGTTCGGGATAGCTTCAGCCTGCCCCCACCCTACTCCCCGTTCTCGCTTCCTGGTAGTACCTTACGCAGCACTTCGTTGTTCTCTCTCTATGGGTACCGATCCAGGGGTGCTTTTCTTCCCGTGCCTGTTCCGAAGGCCCAGAGCCCCAACTACTTCATATCTGTGCCGACCAAGCAACTAACCCGTTGTGGGACTGTACACCCCCCCGAATGTTCATGTTCTGTTCTTCAATCGAAACAACTTTCCTTTCTGACTCAAATCAATAGTCTCAAGCTTTCCAGCCTGGGTTGAGCTTATACCTCTTCAATCCTTACTCGATTCTGCTGCTCCGTAGGTTTCACCCTCCGGGTCACCTTGGAACTGTCTGACTCCAGACTTGGGCGTCTTAATCCTACTTTTCTTTTCCTCAAAAGCAACTCACACCACCATTAGCCCCCACGTGCGACTCTCTTCACCATCTGACAGCCGTGTCCAAGACGCTTTTGCCGCTTGTCGACGTCACTCAAAACATCCTTGTGCTAGTCATCCACTTTGACTGCTGCCGACAGATACGCAAGCCGGCAGAGCTTCCTTCTGTCATACTGCGCTCATCCACCTGCAGACTCCCACCTCCAGCTTGCCAGACCTGGAGAGCTTGCATATTACTGCCGTTGAGACGTGTTCTGCCGCTCTTGGGCGCCGTGATTTCACGGGCGTCCACCCACCATGTGAGCTTCATTCTCAAACCTTACGGCCCCTCTCCCTCATGAGTGCCCACGGCACGGGGCGCGCAGGCTTGCGCTAACATCTCAATAGGAAGTTCGGCAAGCAGATCCAGAAGCGCCAGCTTGAGGTTCCCGAGTATGCCGCAAGTTTCGTCAATTACAAGGCTCTTAAAAAGGTATGTCTATGTGTTCAATAGCCCCAGACCCATCCTCGCCTCAGGCCCCCTCGCTTCTCGTCCGTTTTGGGTGGGCGTTCGGTGAAGTAAACCACAAAAAGAAAAAAAAAAACCACACTCCCTAGGCTTTAGTCACTCGGTACCCAATACGGCCCCTTCAGGGGCTAGGGGATGGAGCAGCCCCATGACAGTAACCAAACAATATGCGGCTTTACCACTGACACCGGGCCGTCTTCTAGCTGATCAAGAAACTGTCGGCTACTCCCACGCTGAGCGCACAAAATGATCCTCTCCGCTCCGCAATATCTATAGATTCCCAGGCTGCTCTCCAGGCCAACAAGGCCACCTTCTTCTTCCAATTAGTAAGTATCTAGCCATGGGTCGGTGCAATGAATATCCCACCGTACCTGCTAACTCTCGAACAGGAACGAGAGCTCGAGAAGGTTAATGCCTTCTATCTGCAGAAAGAAGCAGAGGTATGCATTTGTTTTTCTCCCTGTTCGTATGATGCTTGGTCTGACTTGACTTAACCCTTTCACAGCTCAAAGTCCGGTTGAAGACCCTCCTCGACAAGAAGAAAGTCTTGCAGTCACGGCATGGCGTTTCAAGACGATCCGCCAAATTTACAACCCTCGAAGAGGGATTCCAGCAGTTCGCCAGCGATCTGAACAAACTCCAACAGTTTGTCGAGATTAACGGAACTGCCTTCTCCAAAATCCTCAAAAAGTGGGACAAGACGTCAAAGTCGAAGACGAAAGAACTCTACCTCTCTAGAGCCGTAGAGGTTCAGCCCTTCTTTAACGCCACCGTCATCAGTGAGCTCTCCGACCAGGCAACCACTAGTCTACAGGAGCTCGGGGCATGGGCTGAAGGCGATCATGTCACCTTTGAGCCCCGTACCGATCACATCGTGAGCAGCCAACATTTGCTTGGAACCGATGAAGGCGACGCCGATACTCTCCTGCTTGACACTGTCATCTCCGGGAACCTTGAGGCGCTCAGGGATCTGCTCGTTCGCATGAGGACCGCCGCTGCCGGCTCGTCTATGGGCTCTGACCTCTCTTTGATGGAAAGGATCACCCGGACTTTCCTTGCAGCAATTCACGAGGCACCCAAAGAGACCCTTCAGGTCCTTCTCGACACGGGTTTGGTTGACATTCAGTCAGAAGATGACATCAACGAACGTAATTGCCTGCACCAAGCCGCCATCTACGGAAATAACTTTGTTCTCGAATATGGTCTCTCCAAAGGCGTTGCTGTTGACCGTACCGATGTGTACGGCAGAGTCCCTCTGCACTATGCCAGCATGCATGGACGCTTAGACATGCTTGACGCTCTTACAAGCGGTGAGATAAAAACTACCCTGGGCTTTTAGGGCGACGTTACTGACATACAACTACAGCAAATGCCCAAACGATAGACCTGATCGACCATGATAATTTCACTCCGCTGGTACACTCTATCATTCACGGCCATCTTAAATGTGTAGAGCAACTACTGGCGAAGTCCGCTCGTATTGACCCTGTATCCGAGGCTGATCATGTACCGCTGAATCTTGCATGCGAGCATGGTTCGCTGGCAATCGTGGAATTGTTGCTTAAACACGGCGCACAAATCCTTCCTGATGCCGAAGGCCTCTTTCCCCAACACCTTGTTGCTCGGTCCGGACAACGCCCGGAACTTTTGCTTCTGCTGAAGAATTACGGTGCCAACCTGGACCAAATCGATAAGTTGTACGGATGGACGCCCTTGGTTCATGCTGCAAGCGAAGGCAATGTACCCTGTTTGCAAGCCTTGTTAGAGGTTGGAGCCGACCCAAACATTGTCGACGAGAAAGACTTACCAGCAATGTATTACGCGGCATGGGAAGGTCACTTGGAGTGTATGAGGCTTCTGGCCCCTTACAACACGAGGACGAGAGCGAGCCCGATGATCATTCAATCTGGAGGCTCATTGGGCCCGATGTTGACCAGCAGCGGACCCGAACCGATGGCACTCGATCCAGATGCCATACCTGAACTAGAGCTTCCACCGCCCATTATTCCGCTGCGTCGCTACGGCCACAACTTTCTGGACACGAAGACTGTCATCCAAATTAGTTTTGAGGAGAATGGAGATCAACCCCTGGTGTTCTTCCACGATGGCAAATACCCGGCCGCCCGCCTCACAATCTCGTCCAAGGTCTCCGATCTCATTCCCAAGAACATTATGCTGCCTTTCCAAGAAGATACCCGACTTGTTTCCTTTCAAATTGATAATCTGGAGTCTTTTACTCTGGATTTCGACGTCTTTCCCACCTACGGCGCAAAGATTATTGCCAAGACGGTTGCCCTCCCCAACACATTCAAGGCGTTGCTCAGCAGCTCTGGCAAGTGCTGTTTGCCCCTCTTTGATCCCAGACTCCGTGCCATTGGCCAGATCAGCTTCCATACTCAAGTCATCAAGCCCTTCAACGGCAAGCCTCTGGAGATCACCGACTTTGAGACATACTGGAAGGCAACCAGTCAATTCGACCGCAGCCCTAGCACGTTCGTTACGGGTTCAAGCCTGTCTGGCGACTTTGTGCGGTTGTTTGTTCAACATACTAGCGATGGTGTGCCTGTGTTGTGGCCAAGATGGACGATACCATGCGGCGGCATTGATTTGCCAATCTCGAGGTTAACAATGGAGCAATTCAACACCATAACCTCCAAGAGCCCAAGTCGAGCCGAACTGTCGTCCCTGCCGTCGAAACCTTTGGATGCGATCGCAGACGTCCATCGCGTCTTGGCTACGGCCGGCATTCCTCTCAATGAGGCCTTGGCCCTCCTCCCTCATGGAATGCATGTCAATATTCAGATCCTCTACCCGACACCAGAAGAGGAAAGAGCACTGGGTCTTGGTCCATCGCTAGATCTTAATACCTTCGTCGACTCACTGCTTACCATCGTGTTCGATCACGCGCGCGCTCAGAGAGCACAATCTCTTGAGTCGGTTCGTTCCGTGGTGTTTAGCTCATACAACCCAAGCTTATGCACTGCACTCAACTGGAAACAACCCAACTTCCCCGTCTTTTTGTGCAATGATCTTGGCCGTGAGGATGTCATGGCGGCGCCGGACGTCATCCAGAGCCACGGAAGGAGGTCTGCGTCTATTAAAGAGGTTGTTAGGATTGCGCAGAGTAACAACTTCATGGGTTTGATTTGCTGCTCAAGATTATTGGTATGTTTTCCTTTTTGACTCATCATTTATTACTTAGAATATGCTGACCGTATCATAGGAAATGGTGCCTGCCCTAGTCGATGCAATCAAATCACACAGCTTAGCGCTTGTTACAGACAAGTCGCTAGAGCCCTCAACGAGTCACTCCCTGACGGATCCTTTCCCGAGGTTGCCCAAGGGTGTAGACGGCGTGCTCAAAAGTCATGGTGTTTTGCGTTTTAACGAATCCATAGACGTGTAGAAAGTTGTAATTACGTGCCGTTTTAGTGAATAAACTTGCGGACTTTGCCCTGAACCACAATTCCCAGTCCAATTCCAGCTGCCCGATCCTTTTTCGCCAAGTACATACAGGTCATCATTCTGGCATTAGTCGTAAAGATCCATCATCTTTCATCGCATCGTAGTCTGATCATGCACCCTTGTAATCGTACTTGAGAGCGCCCAACTCCTTTTCGGGATCCACACTGCCCATGACCACTTTTGCGATGAGGATTACAACGTACACCATTGCAGGGAGGTTTCCCAACCCCACATGTCCAAAGGTGTCTCTCACCCCAGACTTTGTCACCATACCCGTCAATACAAGCATCACGCACAACCCCAAGTTGAGGTAAGGAAGGTAAAGTTCCAAGGGTGACTTGTGCTCTTGGTTGAAGGAGAAGGAACTCCGCCTAGGACGGCGTTGTGACGACGAGGGGCCAGCCACGGTGTGGTACTGTGAGGAAGCTCCAGAGACGGAGGAGACAGAAGACTCGAGAGAGGATGACGGGCTGGTGTACGGCGTCTTGGGGCGCGACCAAGTGTCGATGAAGGCGATACCCGTCTGTCCCGGAGGTAGGGTGTGAAGAAGGTAGGCCGTCGATAGGAGCGAGGTGATGGAAAGGAGAGACGTCATCAGCGACGTCAGGCGGAGGAGGGAGATTAGGTAGGGAATCGTCGTGAAGATGGGAAGGGCGAGGAGGAAGGTGCGAAATTGAGCATTTCGGGCGGCGTTTTCTTCGGCCAGCTGTTGGATGAGATTATCTTGTTCTACGAGGGATGAACGTCAGTGACGGAGGCTCCCATAGTGAAGTAAAACTAGTCGTTGAAGAGTGGCATGTGGCATGTTACCTTCTTCGTCTATCGCTTCGGGTTGCGAATCGGCCGAATCTTCGTCTGTGGGATAATGGAATGTGCGTCGCAGGCGGGCGGCCGCGCCTCTTGGTTCTGCCATGGCTATCCTATTTGCGACAGTGCAGCGAATTATGACATAGAATCAGAGAGCCGATATAAAACTACTGGTGCGTTGCGCGGGTTGATTGTGTTGTATTTTGGTACAAGAGTTGATATGGTGGGATTTTAGGCGACAAGGTAGATAGAGCTTGGAGGGGTGTGGGAAACGTTATACAAATACGGAGCTCTAATGGGCATGAAGCGTTAAGCAAATAGGACTAGGTGGGAGAGCGCAATGACAACCCAGCCTTATGACGCCAGGTGCATGTGAGCATGGTGGCACGGGCTGCGATTGCAAAATGATTGGCCAGAGCTCAGCGAGGCTTTGGGCTTCCGCTGTAATAATTTTTGGAAGGGCCCTGTGCACCACAGGATCCTCCCGGGATTTTTTGGAGCTTGGCCCGCCCGCCGAGGCCGACTGAACTTCATGACCTGATCGGAGTATTCCGAGTTTTCGTCACGAACAACTACGAGCCTCTCACCACACACCAATAACGACACTTTTTTCAGACTGGAAGTCTGTCTGTGATTGCTTGCTGAGTATGCTCTCGAGGACAGTCACCAGGAGGCTCGCCTCCTCACTGAGGAACACCGTTGCTCGCCAACAGCCACAACTGAGAAACCAGACACAACGGAGATGGGCGACTGCGGCGCCGAAGCCGGGCTCAGGGCCGTTAATGGAGCGCCGAGCTGACCGAGAACTTCCGGGTAAACTTTTCCTCCTCTCTTCCCTTATATGGTATGTAGGAGGCAATTGGCTGACATGCGCGCTGCAAACATCAGACATCAACCAAATCACCTTCCGCTGGTACCGCTCTCTCCCCATCTTTGCGGCCGCCATCGTCATCTCGAGCGTCGCAATCTTCAACTACCAAAAATCATCGTCGCCCGTCATTGCCTCGACGATGTACGCCCTACGTACCTCACCCAAGGCCCGCGAGGTGCTGGGAGACGAGGTTTACTTCAAACACCAGATCCCTTGGATCTCGGGAGAGATGAACCAGCTGCACGGCCGCATTGACGTTAGCTTCAGTGTCAAGGGCACCAAGGGCGAGGCGGTGATGAAGTTCACGAGCTTCCGAACCTCGCACAAGGGACTGTTCGAGACCACCGAGTGGAGCTTGGAGACGCCCGACGGCCGCAAGATCGACCTGCTCGATGGCGCGGATCCCTTCCGTGGCATTGTGGGTGGTGGCGCTGATGACTTCGACGATGACTTTGATGAGCAGCCTGCGTCGGCGGCTACGAGAGGTTTCAGACAGACGAGCTTTAAATAAGGGAACGTCTTGGTATTCACAGCATGGTGGTTAAATCAACAGAAAGATGCAAGCAGCAAAGGGGGCTGGGTCAGACGATTTCAAAAGCATATGTTGCGTGCATAGGTGGTAGTCATCGGTTGGGATTTGGGCGACTAGAGCCCTTTAGTTATGCGCCTCTCGTAGGGCTGTAAATGTACAACATGTATAGTACACGGACTCGTAAACAACAACGGCAAAAGGGAAAGATATTCTATACAAGCCCCGCCGCTTCTCTCCTCTGCTTCTTCAGCTCCAAGTGCCTCTCCCTAGCCTCCTGCAATCTCGCCTCAGCGTCCTGGTTGGATTCCAACAGCTCCTTTAACTTCTCCTGGCGGTACGGGAGCGCAGGCGCCTTCCTCTTCTTCGCGTCCTGCAGCTGTACGACACACCCCTTGGGGCCTGCAACAGCGCCCTTGACGAGCACGACACCGAGCTCGTTGTCCACCTTCAGGACCGTCAGGTTCTGGACCGTAACCCGCTCGTTGCCCATTCGCCCGGGCATCTTCTTGCCGGGCAAAACTCTAGAACCGGAGCCCTGCGAGGGACCGGTGGTACCGATGGTACGATGGTTCTTGGAGTTACCGTGCGACGCCTCCTGACCCGCGAAGCCGTGGCGCTTCATACCACCGGCGAAGCCCATACCACGGCTGTTGGAGCGAACATCGACATATTGGCCCGTCTGGAACCAGTCTGGGAACAGCTGCACACCGACAGGCAAAAGACCCTCCTCAGAGCGGACCTTGAACTCGGCAAGGTGGCGCTTGGGCGCGATGCCCTTGGCCTCGTAGTAGCCCAGCAGCGGCCTCTCGACGTTGCGTGGTTCCTTGGATCCCAGCCCAACCTGAACAGCCCAGTAGCCGTTGTTCTTGCGCGTTTTGGTGGCGACAACCTGGACCTGATCGAGCTGAAGGACGGTGCAGGGGACGCGCTTCTTGCCGTAGTAGATGGCCGTCATGCCCTTCTTGAGGGCGAGGACGCCAGTGCGGAGGGGGGTGGTGGCCTCGCGGCGGGCAAGGGCGGCAGCGGGGCCGGTCGTGAGGGCGGGAAGGCCGGATGTAGGCTGATTGAAGCGGCCGGGCTTGCTGCGAGGAGGCGCGGTCGACCAGCCATACTTTACACCTCGCTTCGCGGTGAAAGGGAGTAGATGGAGACGCGGGCCGGCGAGGACTGCGGAGGCATTGGGTATCGTCGTCGGTCCGGTGCGGAGGAGCTGAAGACAGCTCGGGGGTAGTCGGGGTGCCATGGTGATGGCGGTGGTGTGGACGGTGGGAGGCGTGGGTTGAGGTGTTGACGCTCTGCTGTTCGTGAGATGGAATTTTTTGGGTGAGGTCGGACCAGAGTGCATGGGAGGTGGAAATCTTGAAGTGGTCCGTGCACATAGGGATCTATCAATGGGGTGAGCTCTCGGGAGCTTCAACCAAGGTCTTTCTTTTCACTTGACTACCTGCTGGGCAACTCGCTCTTCGCAATTTGTTCCTTTATAAATAAGATTTCAATTCAAAAGCCACAGTATGGGTCAAATGTCAAAAGCCGACATCTTACTTTGGTACAGATGTCTGTACCGCAGTGCTCTTCGGGCCGTTCAGTTTTCGGTGCCGGCGCGCTACATTGTTCGTGACCAACTGAGGGCGGCATTCCGCTCGGAAAGCGAAGTCCTGGACAAACATGTGGCACAGAGGACGAATTGGTTTCTTCAGTCGGCGGCAAAAGAGAGAGGACTCGAGCACAAGATTCTCAAGAATCTTGTCCAAGCAGCGAAGCAGCGGAACCAGAAGAAATCCTGGAAGACCGACTATCGCAAAGGGATTGAGCTGCAGGGGAAGCCGCTGTGAGTGTCTTTCTGGCTTTATCCTCCGGTGCTACGAGGTGATCCATTGCTAACTGGTCGACTTTTAGAGCTCAAGCAACCAAGGACTTTGACGCTACCGCTCACCATCATTTTGACATGACGTTGGCCATGTTGAACAAGTCAATGGGGCTGGGCTTGCGGTGCGGTCCAACTTCTGGTAAAAGGTGAATACTTCGGATTGAAGCTTCACCTTTGAATCCTAGAAGATTTACGTGGTCTTCTTATTTACTCCTCATCACAGCAAAGGGGATATCCTCCTCAGTTCTAGTTGTCTCTGAGGTTCTGGAAGAATGCTGCCGGGCAGCCAGCCAGATTGAGTTGTCACTGCAAAATGGAGTCTTTTGGCACGGTGGCATTGATGAAATTTCAATGCATCGCCCAGGAAGGATCACCAGACCAGGCTATCAAGAAACAAGGCTTGTAGTGATCTTGTTGCTGTGCTAGGTCCCAGAGACGGCGAGACAAACGAGAACACGAGGCGTTGGGCGGAGATGCAGCAACTTTCAATATCCGGAAGTAACCTATTGGAGGGACCGCCTCCCTCGCGAAGAGATCGCTGGTGTGACTTTACAGCTCGGGCGATCTGCAGGCGCGTGGGGTCAGCAAGCCAAACGGCCCGCATATGGTTGGTCAGCCATGTCTGCGAGATGGCGGCGGCTGCCCTTTTGGAGCCATCGACAGGCTTTCTTCGTCATGGAGGGTAATGTAAGGGCAAGAAAGGGATGGACGGTTAAGGTTGGGATTGGGGTGGTGAAAATTTGGCGCAACGAGGCAAACTTTTTGGTGGTTGCATTGTAGCTGTATAATTTGTTGCCGAACCGCTGCTGGCGCCAGTCAAGTGCTGATTATCGCTGTTACTGACTTGATCCTATCTCGTATCATTGCATGAGTTCCTGGTGGGAGTCACCCGGAGGCCAAAGACGGCATATTTTGGGTGTGAGGAGGGATGCACGAGATTGGCAAAGCACATGTAATCAGGGCTGCGGTTCGCTGTTGGAGACTATGACGTTATCTCACATAGGAGTATTGCGTCCCCAAAGGTTGGGAAGAGAGTGACTTTGATGATGAGTATAATCACAGCATGTATATGCTAATACTACAAACATACAAATAGAACTGGAGCTGAGGAATTGAGGCGAACCCCCGTGTCGGAGCCAAGAATCTCGGCCGTCGTGCCGTGTCGGAACCTCTGGCCGGAGACGAGATGCTGAAGCTGAAGTGGTGCTGAAGTGGTTCTGTCTCTGTTACGAGTTTTGCCAGAAAACACGGATACATACTAAAATAAAGACCCTCGTCAGCTGTTATTCCGGGAGCGAAACCAAAACACAATGGCTCCGTGAAACCGCCGGCCTGTTTTGCTGTCGTAAGGTAGTCGGCCGAGCCTCCGTTTGAAGATGTGCGATGCATGTCCTCAAAACAGCGTCAATGAGCCCACTTAGAATGTACCGTACCATTCCTCTCGTCGTAGTCTCTATGCTGCCCTAGCTTGTGATGGTGGGCCGCCAGCTGTGTCACAGTCCAGTGAGGGGGGCTAACCTCTCTCATGCTAGCGGCCGCAATCGGGATAGCGAATGACAGGCACAGCATTTGTTGGAGATCCAATGGGGCCCTGAACTCCGTTTGTGGTGGGTACTCTCTACCCTGCCATTACTGTACGTGCTCTCCTGCGGTACAGTGTACAATGTATGCCCATCGTCACCACCAGTTACAATTAGAGATACCAATCAGGTGCTGTTTACTGGACGATAGGCGGGGTCCCAAGGGGGCCTCCCAGGTGCATCTTTCCGCACAACGAAAAACGCCTGGTCCTTGGGGCTGGACGCTTCGCACCTTACCTCGCGGCGCCCTCAGTGGAGTTTAGTACCTCCAACTGTCCCAGCGCGGTATCGGTACCTCGCACTCCACGAGGGCCTCGCAGCTAAGGCACGGGAAGCCGCTGGTGCTAGGTACATGAACCTTGCCTTCCCACGTCGTGGATTCATTCCACTGCCGACCCCGCAGTCCAAGGTGCTTAAGGATAGAAGGTAGTTCACGCCGTCACTCGTCTTTCCCTTCTTCTTTGCTTTCAACTTAACCCACAAAGATCGCATGGTAGCGAGCACAACAACAGCATTTTCCGGGGGTTCAGCCTTCGATTCCCCAGGTCACCTGAAAAGATCTTGCTTTCTACTCTCCAACCACGACCTCGTTTCTCATCCAACAACTTTCTAATTCTTAATCCTCGTCGACGGCCGCTTCCACTGACTGCGGTCTGGATGGACCTACCCCAGCTGGCACCGTGCTGTATCGCGACCGCGCCGAGGACCCTGATCTCTTTCGAGATCACTGTCTAAAGGCGCTGTCACACCGCCATTGCTGGAAAGCATGCCCGCGACAGAAGTCGAATATCATCCAAGACACCATGTTCCGGCCCGCCAACCGACTGCGATCATGCCTCGAGCTCAAGAAGAGCGTCCGCAGAGGCTGGTCAAGCGATACCGCACAGAGATCGCCGCTAGCACCTCTAGCATGTTCTCAACCGTTGTCGCCTTTCCCCTCGATAGCGTGAAAACGCGAATGCAAACCTACAGATATGAAGGGTTCCTCGACTGCGTGAGGCACACCTACCGCACCGAGAAGCTGAGAGGCTTCTTTCGGGGTATGCGCTCCCTTGCACCACAATGCAACTCCTACCCCCCTCATCTTGACTCAGTTCTGACCTTTCCTCCCCCTCTCATTAGGCGTCTTCGCTCCAATGGCCAGCGTCACTCTTGTGCGAACCATTTCCTTTTCGATCTATCAACGCGCCAAGTACACGTACTCTGGCTGGATTAAGCAAACCTGCGGGTTCGACGTTCTGCAACACGTTGGCAAAAAGGGCACTTATCCAAACCTATACTCCGTCGCCTGCTTTGGAGCCGCCGGGGCCACTGCTGGCTCTTGTATCACGCTTCTTGCCTGTCCCTTCGAATTGACCAAACTTAGCGCCCAGGTGTCTGTTTTACTGTCTGACCAGAAAAAGCTTGCCGAGGCCAATTGCCAGGCAACCAATGGTCACCAGGTTGCGGCCAGTTATCAAAACAAAGGCACCTTCAAAACAATGTCCAACATCATTCGTCATCGGGGTGCTTTGGGGCTCTACACTGGCTTCAACTTGCACTTGTGTAAGTCTGCCCAGGCGTACAACCCCGCCCATCCCTTAGCTAACCAATTTAGTACGAGATACTCTGGGAACTGCCATTTATTTCATGGTGTATGAGAGCGGCAAGCAGCTCGGAACCACGTTTGGCGGCGATCATCCCACTACTAACAAACTGGCGGTTGTCGTTTCAGGAGGACTATGCGGGATAGTGTCCTGGGCAATGATATGTAAGGGCTCATGACGTCTTTCTTGTTCACATGGTACTAATACTCTATCAGATCCAATCGACTCGGCGAAGAGTATCTACCAACGTAACTCTCTCTTGTACTCAAAGGGACAAACAGTCGAGCCGCCTCCGAAGATTGAGTTCTTCAAGAAACAGATGTATCGCGGCTTGGGAGTTTCCATGGGACGGTCATGCGCTGTAAATGCGCTCTTTTTCTCTGCTTTTGAATTCATGAAGAAGCACGTCAATTCGCTGGATGACAACTAAGGAGTTATGTAATTTACGAAACAGATGCCAACAAACGTATCGGAAACATGGACGGCGGCGTTTTTTGGCTCAATGCATAGGATTCCAAAATCCTGGCATACCTAACTTGTAAGAAACTATGGAACAAATGTACGAACAAAACTTAGTTCGTAGATTGGACTTTGAATGCAAACAAACAGTAATTCTCAACATGACGCACTTAGCAAGTGACTACTTGTTCATGCTTTTTGCCATAATGGTCTTATGGAAGCAGACAGTCTGTAAGGCAGTGATCATTACGTCTTGAAGCCCTTTAAGGTTTGCAGTTGAAACAACCTCGGGTTACCCCAGTCCCAAACATGAAGGAGTTCGGACTACACCTGGAATTTGATGAGGAAAGTTCCCTTGGCTGCTTACGCTCTTTGGTCGGTGTACGTTGCAACCAAATGTTGGCACCTGCATCCCACGTCATTCGCCCGATGAGCCCCGTGCACACCGCCCCGCCACTATCGTCACGTGGTGATACGACGATTTCGAAGCGAACTCCCAAAGTTGCGACCCGACCTCGTTGGGCGTTTTCGTCCTTCCGGAACAACTGATCTCGCAGCCCTGGCCTCGTGTCTTATGCACTTCGAACATCCAAGCATTGCATCGCCTGCACTGCACCTTCCTCCTTCAAGTGCACGCAGCTCTTGCCGGACTTGGTTGACGAATCGTACATTCAAATCTCCGCAACCCGGACGTTTGATTCCTTTCTTCTCTACGTGATTTACTGTTGTTTCTTTGACGCAGCGAGTGCCACTTGCTAACGTCGTCACCTCTGGGACAAGGTGCTTGCCATTCAGAGGCGCTTGCGCTTGCGCTCGCTCTCACTCAGCGTTGACGTTTTGGACTTGACCTTCGCTCTCTGGCTCTAGTGCAAGCTATCGATCGTCGCCCTCACTAACTGTCGATCCTGTTCATCTTTTTTCTTTCCCGTTTCGGGCAGTTTTAGAGGTTTGATCCTCGAACACCATGGTAAGCTGATAGCAAGAGAGATAATCAGACATGGGGAGAGAGAAGAGAAACCTGCCTGGCGCTGCCACGGCAAAGGACCGCCACAAACGTGCTGCCAAGGTCAGCAAAGCGATAGATCGCAGCGAACCCCTGCCGCCAGGACTCGTTGCCGCAAAGCCCATGAACACGGTTACGAAATCGAAACACCAGTCGTATTTCGAGTTCATTGAGAACAAAGACAAAAAGAAACCCTTGCTATTCGAGGTACGCTAGATGTTGGAGACCTCTCTTGACGGTCACCGTTTCACTGACTTGGTGTGATTGTAGATTACGCCAAACCGAACGCCGCCACCAGGAATGAAATATATTCCAATAGGAAATCCTGAACTGACGGAGAGGTGCAAAGAGATTTCAAGAGAACTAGGCGCATCTGTCTACATTGTGGTGAGGCTGCTTCATTCACATCCAAAAACAAACAAACACAGGCTTACAAGGTGGTACACAGACGTTTGCGAAGAAGGACGCCTCCGAGTTGTCCCAACAAATACATCGGGTTGGCCACCACATCCGCGAATACATCGTAGAACAGGCGATGCATGAACTAGGACAGGATACCTTTTACGAACCTACGACCACAGGACCGAACGAAGTCGAGGAAATTCCCCGCTCGCAGACAGAAATTAATAGACAGGCAGACGCTGCTTTGCGAGAGCTCTTTCCTCGTATTCCAAATACGGATAGACAACAGATCATCGATCATGCTTTTAAGAAGGTTTGTGGAAGCTTGCCAACTGCGCGAATGCTTGCGATGCTTATGAATGACTACAGGGGAAACAGTTCAATGGCGAGCTGGTTGTGGGATTGCAGCAGGAGTTGTCCCTATCTCGCCGTGTACAACTTGCCGTCCTTGCCCATATTCGACACAACCACACGAGATACGATGAGCTCCTTAGAGAGACGTCCTGGCACAATGCCAGAAGAGCAACAGAGCAGCTTTGCCTAGACATCCTCGTCAAGTGGCGAGGCGATGACGAAAATGGTCGGAACCAGCTTGACGAAATTCTTCGTGAGGTCGTTGTTCTTTCCGATGATTCTGACGATGAAGATTCGGGCGAGGAACCTGATTCTGACTCATCGGCTGTGCTCACTGACAGGTCTACCAATGCAGCCAGAGTGCAGGCGCCAGCCGTACGTCAAGACCGGACTGACGGTAGTCGTTTCTCGACAGCGGTGCCGTCCCGCCCTGGATCCCCGAAGCCGCTTGCAACTCCTGGAAACCAGAAGAAGGTTAGCAAGAAGCAGCGGAAACGTGCCAAGCACCGTGAGCGCAACTTCAGCCGATATGAGGCTGCCCGCAACGCTGCATGGGACAGTGCCATGAAGCGCCAGCATCAGGTACCCAATCAGCCAGGTGCGGCAGGTGATTCCGTCAGTCACGGAACATACCCACAAAGCCAGCCCGTCGTGTTTATGGAGGGTAGAGCCCCCGTGACTGACCTTGGCCCTTCACATCCACAGAGGCCTGCCCCTGGGCCATTCGTTAGCAACAACCTCCATGAGGCCAGGACGCGCGGGGATCGTTCCTTTGCTGCGCCGCCATTGCGTTCTCATAATTTTTCTTCTGGTTCTACAATGCAAAAGGTAATTGAATCTAGCAGTGCTCCGCGCCCTAGCACCATGGTTCCAAAGGGACGCCCAAGTCACCATTTGCAGGACTTCTTGCACCCCTCCATTGAATCTAAGTCCCCTGAAGCTGGTCGGCCCCCATCGCGCTATCGTCGCCCACTGGTGGAGTATTCGGACCTCGCAGATGACGAGCCTTGTTCTCAAGTGCAGTCACAACCTCGTGGCCCAATTGCACGAGAGGAAGACCGGTATTTGCCCCGTCAGATAAGCCAAGGCTATTCAAATCACACCCGTTCTTTTCCTATTGGTCATGAACTGTCGAGAGCACCTGCCGCTTCATACTACAATGCTCCACAGGACACAATTCGGCAGCCAGCTTACCAGGTTCCACCTCAGAGTGATCCTTTGTTGCGCAGAAACGAGGCCCATTTGGGGGCGAGAGGCAACCCCATTATGATTGAGGAGCAGCGTGTTCACCCCCAAGCTGTTGTTCTCGGTTCTGGAGAGATTGTTAGGGATAGGTTTGGTCCCGACGTGGAGATCCTTCCTGTTCGTCGTCCTGCCCGTGACGTTGGCCCAACTCCAGAACGTCAGCCCTTCGCCCTCGATGAGGGGTTCATCCGCTTGAGAGAGGATCGCCCCCCAGAACCGCGAGACGGTCTGCGAGAAGAGGGTTTCCTTAGAATTAGAGAGCATCCTGACAGCATACCTCGGCGTTCAATTCCTGTGGCAATTGAGAGGACGTCATATGATGACTTCCGGTCCACCTTAGACCCGTTCCGGTACCAGCCGGCCCCGGGATCTGAACAAGCCATCTACGTGAGGCGTGCCGAACCGGAGCCTTTGTCTGATTTTACATATCCAGCACCTGGCGCCCGCCGTGCGGAGAGAGTGATGGGCGAAAGGCTTATTCAACGCGATGTCCCGCCGCCTGTGTATGGCGGAGCGTAAGTTATTTGGTAACTAGATTTCCTTCGTCACGTACTGATTACAATACCGCTTTAGGCCCCACGAGCCCTATCCATCCCATCAACCGCAGGGAGCATATGGTGTCCCCGTATATCGACATGCCAGACCGGCAGTACGGGTTGAAGAACCCCAGAGGCTCGACAGATACCCACCACCTCCGCCCAGCCAGCCACGCTGGCCGCGTGCAAGCGACGACATTATTGTCCTTGAATGAGTAATAATGATTACGACTGCATTTTTTATCGCAATACTGTACATATTCAAAGAGATATGGCGGAAACTTCATGGTTCAACCAGGAACCAATAGCATCCGAGGCGTTCACAGGAATTACAAGTTGTCTTCTGATGAAGCTTTTTTTTTTTCAACCTTCACATGGGTTGGGGCATTGAAGGTTGAGTTTCATATTATAGAGCCTAGTTTTGTAGTGGTACTAGAGCCAGCCGGAAGACGTAGAGTTGGATTATGTTTTGATACCCACATGGAAGGACAATTAGGACTGCTCGCAAGCAGTGTCGAGCGGAGGACAAGCATCATTAAGAGGTCGCTGCCGAGTTACCGGGCCCATTGATAACTTCAAAATACCAATCAAACCCACTGATGCTCAGAAATACCAATAACTGTGTGTCAAACGTTTCATAATTGTGTTTTGGCTAGTACCCATTATGCCCTCAAAATCAACTACTAGCCGCCACCACCAACAATGCGGCGCTTTGCACAAGGCAACAGTACAGAAGATGACGTGACAAAGTAAAAAAGAAAATATCCTAACCGCCTTTTCTAGTGTCATATCGCTGCGCGTAATGATAGGTAGGTAAACATGAGCGTGCTCGAACTCCATGGAAATGCAACCGGCCGATGAATGCTTGAAACTCCTCAAAACAAAGGCGCCTCGTCATTGGACAAATAAAAGAAGCGGAAAAATGTCGTCATGATGCCAGCATCGCCTGTCTCGTCCTAACAGGCTGCTGGGCTTCTGGCTCTTCGGGCAACACCGGTTCCGTGTCTGGCACAGTGGGCAGCTTGTGTTGCTTCGGCGGGTTGCGGATCGCTTCCTCCGCGGCGACGCTGGCCTCGAGAGCTGCCAGCTCATCCTCGACTTCCTCCTCATCCTGATTCGAAATGCGGCCACCAAGCATATCACTAACTTCCTGCGCATGGGAAACAAGCATTAGCGGTCAGTGTCACTTGGCAATATTCGCCCCATTTCCTCAGGGGCCAAAGGCGCACTGTACCTTTTGGTAAGCGATTGCATCAGCCGTCTCGCCCATAAGCTTCTCAACGTGCTCGATTCCGCCCATCTCGGCGTGTATCTCCTTCAAGACCTTGGTACCCTGCTGCAGGCCGAACACGACATCCTTCTGGATCATGGCAAACTCGACCGAGGAGGTGAGCTTTTCGAGCTGCTCGAGCTGCGCATCGGTTTTTTGTAGCAACGATTCTTGATATTTTTTCCGGCGGAGAGCGAGAAGTGCGCGGGGCTTGTCGCCCTTTGCGAGCATCTGCTTTGCGACAGCGGTCTCCTTATCGGTGAGGACGGTGATCCGGCGCTGGTACTGGTGGAGCTTGTCGCGTTGGAGCTTCAAGTCGAGGATGGCCCTGCGAGGATGCGCGTTAGCGGGATGGAATCTTGAACCAGCGGACGAGATAGAGCAGATGGAGATCCGCAGCGGGTATGCGACCTTGCGCGGCGGGTGTTGAAATGTGGTCGGTATTGGCCGTGAGGGACAAAGAAGACTCACTTGTCCTGGGCGGTGACTTTACTGGCATTGCCGCCCATGTTGAGGGATTCCAAAGGGGGAAGTGTTGAAATGGTGGGACTTTTGCGATTTTTCTATGGAGTTCTATGTACGATGACGGGCAAGGTCGGCAGAAAAGAAGGTGTTTGTTGATGTGTCAGGGGGACGGATGTAGTCAGTGGTCGGGCGGCGGTCGGTGGATGATGGTGGTGGTCTCGTGCCGGTTTCGAGGCGCAATGCTGCGACGGGCGTGCGAAGAGCGGCGGCGGGATGGCTTACTGGGGAATTGGGGGGACCGACCGCTGAGGAATGGGAATGTTCGTCATTGCCCCGTGTGCCAGGTGGGGCATTGCGCTATCGATAAGATAAGGACATTGGAATTAGGAGCAAGACGGGTTAGTGAGTACCGAGGTACATGTCGAGGGGCTAAACAAACTCAATGTCTTGCCATGTTGAAGTTACGGCCACATGCCTTGTTACCAAAGACCAGGCAGGCCTTTAAGCTCTGCAAGTTTGTTTTATGCAACTATCTGTAGCTCTGATATTGTTCTTTCTCGAGTGGAAATTGTTTAATGATTGTGGAACCCTTCGAGTGTTATCTAAACCGACACACTGACTGGGTCGGTCGTGTTAGTTCGCAGCGAATGCAACGACCCGACAACTGGCCAAAATGTACAATACTTATCGCACAACTGATAAAACACAAAGAACCTCTGAACACGTTAAATCGAGTTTTTTCATAGGTAAGATTCGATTTCTAGAGCAATGGTCGTCAAAAGCTGAAGTAACAAGTCTTGCTAGCATGTGATTGTGGTCAATTGGAGTCCTTGGGCTTGCGAAGGACATGTAAAGCTGTACCAGGTAGTAATAAGACATATATAGGAACCTGAAGGGGAACAAACTGACTTTTATATAGGTCAGGTCTTCCATGTATGACCAAAGATCCCGGAAGTGAGTGTTGAAACGGATGTGCCAACAACAGTCTGTGTGAAACGTGCAATTGGAGTAAAGTCCGCTCTGGTCCGAATGGGGTGGGCTGAATATTTTGAGCTTTTATATAATTACCACAGAAATATCAGTAGTACCATATCCATCATTTTCAATGACCTCAACTTCCATCTGCTGACGAGATAAAACGCCCATCGATAAAACATACCTGTCGCACATAAATACTCGGAGACGGTTCCGAGTCATCACTGTGTATGGCGGCCATGATCAACCGAGTCTATTATATGGGTATAAACAATCAATAGGTGCTCACTAGCTATACTTTTAGTCTACCTCTTATAGGAACAGCCGACAAAGCTGTCGTATCGAGGAAACTATTTCAGCTCATTTAACGCATCACAGGAGACATATATGGCAGCTCGCTTTCAAATCGACCTGCGTTATTTCCAAAGAGTTCCAAATGAATGGCATTAACTCTCTGTCTCCTAAAAATTCTTCTCTCCATATACTTCTACTGCCGTACTATTAGACCGCACCGGTGCCTCCTTTCATGGCGGTGTCCCTGGAACCATGGATCTTCATTTTATCTTTGGATTCTGCTCAGTTCAACGAAATTCCGAGGGGTTGCTTTCGCTGTAGGTATTAGAAAGATCTTTAATTGTTCTATGGGCGCCATATTCTACAATCATTCGAGTGGTCGTGGTAGGGTAATGAGTTTCCTTCATGAGGGATGCCATAAAAACACAGTGCGTCAACTCGTACGGTTGGTGATACTCGGATCAAATACATTCAAACTTGCCAAACCATCAGTCACCTGTTCAATGATCATATAGGTAAGCCGAGAGCAGTTATCTTTGGCTCTTTAAGCCTTAGCTTTTGATAGAAGAGTTGAGCAAGTCATACCACATCTCGTATGTATCAACACACACTCGGGAGAGTCAGCTTTGGCCCATAATAACATATACCACTGCAGGACATGGCTTCAATTGCTCAAGAGCCTTATTGCTGTTACGGTGATAAGTCGTCTGTTAATCCGTTATGTGACTATGTGGGCATTGTTACTCTTGGCTGCGAGTTACCAAAGCAATTGGCCTGTCAACGTCTCCAACGTGCTCCGTTGATGCAAAAATAGGCGATCTGTGTCCACCACTAGTAGTATTTAGATAAACTCTAGATATTTTGGTTGAGTGCTGAAGGATAATTATTAGGAGTGGCCTCAGACGAGTGAGGTATTGTGTTTCCGTGTCTTTTGCTGTACCATATACCACGAGCTGATGCCTGTAGGTTAAGGGTACGAAAAATGTGTGAATAGTGTGAACAAGAAGAACTATCTTTATCAATATACTTCGAGGCTCAACCCAGCCTGCTGTCTCATGAATAGTTAGATAACGATCTTCTAACAAGAGCTGAAATTGTCGAGCTAAACATGTTGCTAATGTCCCTTCGACGAGAACCCTTCCCGATGGTTGTTTTGGCCCTCTCTGTTTTTTTTTTCTTCCAGATGTTTAGCTGTAAAGACAGAACTAATATTGTCAAGTATATGATAAGAAGCCATAGTGGTACTGCATGAGCGAATGTAACCGCCATGATATTGCCATTTCGCCAGCGAAGATGTGCTAGTGTTACCCATACATGTGTAATGAGGCCTGGGTTCAGAAACAAGACATCTGACATCCCTCATGAATTAATCTGTGCGCATTGAGGATATGGAGATGGATGTCCCGGAGTTGGAGCCCGGTAGAGAGAAAGACTGGGAAAGCAAACCAGAGTCAATGGCTAGATGTTTGGGTGACTTCATAGAACATTGCCAGAAGGACCAACATAAGACGAGACAAAAGGTTGTTAAATTCAGTGTTGATTTATTATCTTCCCAGGTGTCTGATCTGCCGTTGGTACCACTTGAAATTGTCTTGGCATCTTACCGTGGCTTCTCATAAGATATCTACTTGGTGATTTGAACCTATGTATCCTTCGTATATGCTCATCGTTTGAGACGCGTATGGACCATTCACTCCAATTTCAGTACCTCTGGTGTGCTGGACATCAAATGGCCGCCAACGCAATGCCTACTCGTGAATAGCGTCAATATCCAGCCGCTTATATGGCTTAGTACACGAGGGCCCGAAGGTGCACCAGATGTTGCAAGTATAATATACTTCGATTTATACAAAGTAAATACTACTCATCCAGGAGTAGTCAGTTTCTATTCATTTTAAGCTGAAGACCCCGAAGAGCGCCCAATTAGGCTTCAAGGCACCCCTAACGTTTACAATAGTCTACTGTGCCCAGGCTACTCCTGCCAAATCTTAGGATTTCACATTGCCAAACGTCTTTGTTTCTTGATGCTGGCTTTTGTTGCCCTGAATGCAGATAGCAAAGTCTTCTCGAAGCCCAAGCTACAGTTGGTGTATCGACATAGCTTGCTGGGCACTTTCTACACGCCCAAATTCGATATACCGGGCACCTTCCAAGGTAGCTCTCCAAACAGTGAATAATTCCAAGGCACCAACGTCAATGAGCCCGAGTAATCGCGAGGCAAGAATCACCATGCAAGTTTCAAACCTTCGTCACCGCTATTGCGGGTTTAACCAAATCTATCCAGCATAGTGCCCCCCCCCCCCCCCCCCTTGATTTTACTAAGGACATTGTATTCCGATAATCACAATCTGAAAAACAAATGAGGCCTGACTCGCAAGATCCTCTCATCCAACTGATAACTTCCGTTCCCTGCCAATGCATGATTTCTAAAGGATTCATCTCCATTTCAAGATTTCCAGGGACATTCTACTCTCACTCCTCCGCCCACAGAAACTTTTTGGGATTTCTACAATCACACCGCAACCTTGAAGCACCTGAGAAACTCTTGGTACTGTGGAACTTTTGACGAAGAGGATCTCTCTATACGTGTACACCATGAACTTTTGTTGCCACCCATTACGACGAGGAAGAAAAGGGTTAGATGACTTTGCAAAAGGACAAATGATGACGATAGAAAGGCCAAACATCGAATACTGATTGACCGTGGCGCGATAGGCTTCAGATGGCCGTAAATGAAACACAGAAGTACAAAATCTACTCAGACCTGGCAACGGCGTGGTCGCATAGCAGGATCAATATGTCCCGTCATCCAACATCATACTCTATCTACAAACATCACAGCAACATGGTTATTCACACCATTAGAATCGACTCAGGCAACATGGATCTTGTGGATCTTGGTGCCTTACTTCTATTGATTTTGAATACTCTTTCTATTTTGAATAAGTAAAATCTCGCTTGGTGGACGAAAGCAGTCATACGACCGAAGTCGAATTCGACATTGTTTCGTCACCGTGATGCCTCGACGCCCATTTTCCCCACAACAGACAGGGGGAAAGCTCGCAAGCATTGCAAAATCGAGATATCGTGAATCTCGGCGAGGAAGCAATCTATGATTCCTACGATCGGAGCCCGCATACCCACGTGTGCAGTAGATCGTCCATCGCAATCGCGCCGTATGCGCAAGAGGTTATCGCCCCTGAGCGGACTTTGGAGCTGCATCAACTTCGATCTCTTCATCAACTCCACCCCGCGTGGTCTCAAAAGGGTCTTCGGGACGCTGACCGATCTATCTCCAGCCGAGATGCCCCCTGTCCCCTTGCTCCGCTTCATCGAAGGGGTTCTTGCAGGATGTACGATCCAGCTTTGTTCCTTGGGGAATCCACAAACTCCCCTTTCCCTTCTGACCGGAGAAGTGTCTCCTAAACCATCACCTCGCCTGCATCGCACCCCACGCCATACCCGGACGGAATCACCTCACTCCAGCCGACTCCTCGCATGTCGATGATGACTCCATTCAAGGAAAAAACAAGGGGGGCTCGATATGTAGTGCGTTAGCCAGCTGGGTGCTTCATACCGATAGCTTTCACGCAGGGCTTCCCGCGCCCGCTGCGACCAGCCAGGCCCCCACGACGACAGGTAAGGGGGAGATAGGGGGGGGGGGGGGGGTTCATGGCTCAATTTCTCACGACCGAGAGCTGTCGTCTCCCGTAAGGTTGGTTTCTCCATCGCCCACCGAGGTGGGACCGTCTCCGCGCCGGGTGCTCGCCTTGCCGGTTAGCGACAGCTTGGAAAAAGAAACGCCGACCCTCACCGGTCAAATGTGCTGCGCTGAACCCCCTCTTCTCGGGGCTGGAAAACCGCATGGAATGTTTCTTTTCCTCAGCCATACCCCCATACTCCTCAAGAAACCGTTGTGTGAATCAACACGAAATTCTTTAGGGAGCAGAATCTCCGGCACAGGTTATCTACCATGTTTCTCCCTCTGCCAGCGAATAACTTTCAGGTCCTGGGAAAAAAAAAAAAAAAAAAAAGAAAGGAAAAAGAATGCTAAACCCGCGTGTACCCATACGGACAAGATCAGCAAGAGGCAGAGAATCAATTGCCGACTCGATCATTCGTAAACCGCCAAGGATTGTCATCCATGGTCATACAAATTCTCTAACCAAAGCTGAAGTGAGGGAACCAGACGAAGAAAATAAAATAAAATAAAACAAAAGTCCGAACTGTTCTAGGCCCGGCGGTTCGGGAGATGGGACGTGTCGTCGATTGGCCCTGGACGGCGGCCGCTCTATCTCTCCGCCCCTTGGCCTAGGCCCTTGTGGAAGGATCATGGGCGATTTCGTCAATCGTTAAAGAGGCAAACAACACTCCTTGTTGGATGTTCGCGTCACTTGTTCCCCCAGGGCTAAGATTAACGAAAAAAATAAAATAAAAACTTTTTAACGGCCCATGATCGACCAGCCAGTAGCAGATGGATCACTGGATCACTCAGCCCAGTCAGCCAAGAAGCAAATATCCCCCCCATCCCGCTGAGCTTCCATACCCTCCCCACCCCCCCTTGCTCATCCCAACTGGAGGGTTATGTCCCTGGCAGATTCGGCAGGATAGGCGGCGAAAAGAAAAAAATGCCGAAGCGATCAGCACCAGACCGAGATGAATGCCATTCATTGGTTGTTCCAGTTTATGGTGATGGTGGGGGGGGGGGCAAATGTGCCAGGTGAACGAGATAGGTATTTGTCCTCTTCCCAATAGAGGCGAGTGGGCAGGCAGGCAGAAAGACACATTCAGCGCCGCCCACCTTCAGCCAGCCCTCTGCGCCTCCAAATCCACGGTGTGTCCGGTCAGCCTGGTCAGATGCAGTTCAGACCTTTCAGTTCCGTATTGGGAAGTGGTGTCTACGGATGCGGACAGGGTAGGAGGGGGGGTTGCAAGAGACGACTACGAGCTGAGCGTCCATATCCGTAGTAGGTAAGCTTGTGGCGAGCAAAAGAGGAGATGGGTGGACGAAATGACCTAGCCTTGTAGGTCGGATACATGTGAGGGATTGGCGTGGAGTGACTGGCCCATGAGGCCTGTATAGAGAGAGAGAGAGAGGCAGATAGAGAGAGAGAGGGGGGTCGCAACCACATGGCCGGGCTTAGCGGGCGGCGTAGGACTAGACCTTTGGTGCGTGAGGGTGTGGGTAAACGTCGTCTCTCGCACCCTCACCCAATGATGAGGTGATATTATCATGTAGAGGAGGGTGTTTGCTACTGTTGGTGGCCGGGAATCTGCACTCTCGTGCATCCCGTCACAGATGCGTCCCTCTCCTTTGGGACAGAATGGGGGGGGGGGGGCGGAATGCAGACACTAGTAAGAGAAAAAGAGTGTGAGAGAGAGGGGGAGGAGGAGGAACAGCCCATAAGATGTGAGGAACAAAATAGAAAGGTCACGAAAGCGTGGCTCGCCGCTGACCTGCGCACGACTGCGTAGTGAATTGAGAAAGTGGCTTTTCGCTTGCCTGGCGAAGCCTTCTAGTGAACACTCGTTATCTGCACATCGTCGTGGTTTTGAAGCAAGGGGGGGAATTGGAGGGGGAGTGAATACCAATAAACACCGGCACTAGGCAACTTAGACCCTTTTGCCACGCGTAGAGTAGCAGAATGTAAGAGAAAACACACCCGCAAACAAGTAAAAAAAAAAAAAAAAAAAAAAAGAAAGAAAAGAGGAAGTGAGACTTACGAGACCAACGGTGGCCAAGAGGTGTGCACGCGTGCGTGTGCATTCCAACCGCCATGGTCTCAGAAAAAACTGGTAACATGGCCGCTAGTCCATGTCATCCGGTGGCGCGGCACCTTGAAATTCGGACAGTCTCAGGTAGTGAGTTGGTAGTAAATGGATTATAGGAGCAATAGTAACAAGACACTAGGCCTAGCTTCACACCAGTAGCCGTTGCAGAGCATGTGTTGACTACGTTACTTTCCCCCTCTCTCTCCTTTGCATATAGAGAGTGTGGGTTTTGTCTCGAAGAGAGTCAAATCAAGAAAAGGAAACATGACCTGCCAAGGGGGAGGGGGGGACGTCGTCTCTAGCTAGTCCTTAGACGTCGGTTGACCTGCGATGAGATGCCTCAATTCCTCTTCAGAGGTTGGCAGTGGGGGCATCCAATTGCAGCAGACTTGTGGTAGATGACAGTTAGATTGGCCGCCAACACGGCGATGCACTATGCATGCGGGCAGAGGTTGTCGTGGACCATTTTGAACCTCCCTGCCGGACGAAATGGCATGATTGGGCAATGGCCGCCGCTGTCATTCTCTTGTTCCCGCCATCAGCTACCGTTTGACTGGCCATTTCTATCATGACCACCTTCCAAGTCGGCAGACGTCCTTGCGGAGAGGGCCGAGCACGTTTTTTGTCATCAAAAGTGCGAGGTATAGGTGCAATGTGAATGTCATATTGATCGACACCTCATAAACCGAACCGTACACCCAAAGGGGCGTGAGCTTTTCTTACAGACCCCGGAGACAGGAGGACTGCGGTCGTTGTGTAACATGACAAGGGGAGGGTAAAACACTTGCCGATATTGTTGACTGGTCTAGCCTACCGTTGATAGCACCGACGACCGCCGCGCGCCCATTCCTTCGGTCGACACATCTCTCGGGTGCTGCACTGCCGTGCGGATGCGGATGCAGCTACAATCGCATGGTTATGAGGCCTTGTCTATGGCCAGGTTTCGAGTCCTAAAGTGCGGAGATGAGAGAAATCAGCAGTTGCCATGATTGAGACGACTTGTTTACAACAGCGACAGCCCCCGGCCTTCCACCCCGGCAATACTGCGTCGTCACCGAGGGCGTTTCGTTGAGCCCCGAATATCTGCAATTTTCATAGTGATCTCTTCCGCCCTGTCCGTCGGGGATTGTCGTAAGCCCATGGAAGCGCTAGAACGGCGGCGCCGTATAGCCACAGGGTCCCAGTCGGGGGCGGCTGGCGTGGAATCCAATCCCATGAACCAGAACACCAAGCCACGTGTACCTTGTAGTGCCCGTTGGAAGGGAGCGAGCGATATACCTCTTTCAGGAGCAGGGAAAGGGAAAGACATGCGCAAGAGGGCATTTGCCATTCCAAAACCGACCCCGTCAGACTTTGGGTCGGAGGAGGAAAGCCCTGGCCATTTTGTCGGACGGCGCTAAATAAGCAGTGTGCATGATCGCCATCCAGCCTGGCGAGAGTTCAGGTTTCCATAAGTTCATGGGCAGAACAGGTTGCGGCAGGTCACGGTAGGCAACCACCATCAACCAGAAACGCATCCTCATGGCGCAATGGCCCTGACATGTTCCGATATGCACGCTGCCAATTTCGTCATGTTGTACCCCGGCCGTTGACTTCGGACAAGGCGTTGCAGGAGCAAGCCAACATCACCGATGCAGCCGTAACTGCAGCCCACCCCTGACATGTTGGGGTAACAAAATATGGAAACGGTGGAAAGACGGGCATGTTCATGGCCCTGAAATCAATAGTGGATGGGCCTCCAATAGTGTGGCGTTACGCCCGACGTGATGCTATTCCTGGATGGTGATCTTTTTACGCTGGAGTACTTTATCAACTACATGGTAGTCTTTATCCGCACCTCGTTAGAGAATGGGATAGATTGGAGTGACGGGATGGCACACAGGCCTCAGCCAAAAAAAAAAAAAAAAAAAAAAAAATTGGCTGGAGGCGCGCGTCATAGGTATCCGTTTTGGCTACGAGCAATGCTGGAAAGCGGTTGACCCTGTTGAGAAAATGCAGAAAAATAACATAATAGTATCAATAATAATACCAAGAGCCAAGACCAAGCACGGCATGCGGAATCCAAGACGGCCCTTGTCAGTCCTTTTGATCCAACACTGCCGTATCCGAAATACCCTTGGTTACCTGAAGCCTCAGAGACAGAATACTTTCTGTTGAAATGAAGCGGAGCTGGGGGGAGGAAACATGGGCGGCTTGGACGGCATGGAGAAAAACAAACATGGGAGAGGAGGAGTAGTGTGTTTTGAAAAATAAAAAAAAAATGATGAAAAAAATTGAGAACGAGGACCAGCAAGCCATGTTTTAGGCCCCGTCCACATCAATTTCGCCAGGAATGCGGGGAAGGGCCACTAAGGTGATGCAGAGAGATGCCGTCCGAGAGGTTGGCAAACATTCTCAATATCCTGCATCCATGCTGCCACTTTTGCCCCATACCTCGACTAGTGGTGCGGCGAGCGTGACCCCATCATGTCTTGAGATGTCTCGTTGTGCGCCAGAGTGTGACTGTTTAAAGGGCGGTTTAAGGTAAAGGAGAGGCCATCAGAAAATGCGGAGAAGTGTTTGAATACAACACCATTGACACGAATAGTGGGCCATCACCAGATCACTTCTCATACTAAGACTCCAAACGAGGCTTAGCATCCCCAGTCTTTGATGAGCTAACCCATTTTCTCCACGACCTGCGCCGCGCCAGAGATAAACGAGCATGGGAGACAATTAGAACATGCAGAAAAAAGAAAGAAACACACACACACACACACACAGTGAGACAGGAGAATGAGAGTGCCTAGGGGTCATCTGCGACCTGCGGCACCGGGTCCAACCCCCATGATATGGATATCCATCGCTGGTAATCATGATCCAACTTCAACCCTCACCTGCTCGCTAGGTGATTCACTTGACGTCAGCAGGATGAGGAGATATACAAACAGGAAAGAAATAGCGAGGACAAGAAAGGTAAGGTAACCCGGCTGCAAGGCTGAGGCGTGCTAGTGGTCATGGTTGACGAGCAAGCGAACCGGGCAAATTGATGCCCATCGGCATTGGCATGGCGCAAACATGCCTGCCCCCCAAGACCTCCTTGCGCGCTCCTATTTCCATTGGCGCAGGTGTTGTTTGC